CATTTTAGTAACGATCTTTTGATAGTATTTTGTAACCTAAAACCTAACCAACCAATCCATAACCATAACCTAACCCCACGTATGCCTTTTCATGACGTCATAGGCAGAAATTTCCATATCTCAGCAACTACGGGAGGTGTGCATTTTATATCAACACATGCTGTTCCTGTGCCCTCAATTAACATAATGGATTTTCGATGTCGTTTTGCCAGCGTCAAATATTCCCATGTAACCACGATAGCGTGACGTAGATTGAAAATTGTAACCCAAACTTCAAGCAATGGCGCAGAATTACTCCCAACTGGGACCACCTACAGAGGCTTATTTCGTTTGCGCTCGTAAGAGAGTGACAAACTTCCGGTTGATTTAGGCGACATTAAGATGTTTTGATTTTGAAAATTTTCACTTTTTTAGTAATGATCTTTTGATAGTATTTAGTATTTCTTTGTAGAAACGTATTCATGCCACTGTTTTACCTAACCAGAAGTCATCAAATGTAACACAACCAAGCAAGCTTATACAGGGAGCAATTCATTATAGTTAATATTTTCAGTTACACATCTTCATGCGCTTTCTATCCTTACACCTCCTTCCCTTTTGAACAGCTTTGGATGAAGATAGAGAGCTAGATAACTGAGCAGAAGCAACACAGGTACCTCAATAAGTGGTCCTAGCGTAGCAGCTAGAGTCTCAGGAGCATCAGGACCGAATGAAGCTGTGGCAACAGCAATAGCCAGTTCAAACTAGATATGTTATTAGAGGGGAAAATATAATTATATAGACTCACATTATTTGATCCAGCTGTGAATGCCTGCGTAACTGCCCTTTCGTATCCTCCTGCCAATCCACTAAATCTTCTAGACATATTGAGGCGCCAGAAACCCAAAAATGTGGCTGCATTGAGTCAGTTATAATATACCGTGTGTAATTACCACCTGCCATTCCAGACAATTATAAAGTAAGCTATGAGTGGTACTACTGTTCTGCAAACTTGGCCAATGTTGTCTATAATGTTCTGGCCTTGGGCAGCGAACAGTATAATTATAGTGTAGAGCAACGCCGTTAGACCGATCTTGCTAGCGAAGCTATAGAATCTGGCTTTGAAAGTAGCATTGGTAAACTTTAGTAAAGCAAATCGTGTAACTATGCCTGCAGCAAGTGGTATTCCTTGTAATTACATTAGGTTATAACTGTACTTGTTGATTCACTACTAACCTAAGTAAATTCCTACAGAGCGTGCAGTATGCTCATAATCGAGCTGAATGTCAGGTCCACCGCTGTTTCCGCCCAATAAATTAACAAAGAGTAAAGAGTATGGAGAGAACAAAACTATTTGTAGTAGCGAATTGATGACCATGAGATAGGCGCAGTAATTGACGTCACCTATGTATGCGTGTTAGTAAGGTAGTAAGTATTTCAACCGTCATACATACCATCAGCAATAGTAGTCCAGATAATAACCATCGCAATACAGCGACTGACACCAACAAGCAATACGCCCTTTCTGTATCGTTCCATAGAGTCTTCAGGTAAACATGCCCATGCTAATCCCAGCATGAGAAGTGGAGATAACACCCAGTTGATAAATATAGACATGGCAATGTGAACCCATAAGCGCAAATCCTTGTAGAATTCACTCAACTTCTCCCAGTTGACCTTGGCTAATGCAGGCCAAATCATGACCAGCAAACCAAGTAGAATAGGGATCGAGACACCTTCCCATTGTGCTGAGTTCTGAAGATGTTCTTGTACACCTTCTTTAGCGTACACACCTATAACGACCCCAATTATCATCGCTATGAGCACCAGCAGCCAAAGGTACTTATCAAGCAGTGACAGCGACTTGAATGGGTCTAGCGAGCATTACTTGATGTGAAATGTGACGAAAATCGTAGCTTACCATTCTTTTTGCTACAGCTTTCTTTTGTTCCTGTGAAACCGCCAATTCCCCTACAATCGTCGCAATCATTGCAATCTTCTCTAAATAGATAACACTCATTCAGTGCTGCCATCTCTTCAACTTGATTGCATTTTTCAATCGTATTTGGACAGCACTCGGATTTATCTACCATTGCCACTGTAAATTATTAAGGAAGAAAGAAAAAGCTTCTCTTGGCTGAATCAAGAAAAGGGTTCTAGTGGCAAATCCTACGTAATTTGAAAATGCAATCGAAAATTTAGCATACGTTATAAGCCTATTCACAAATGTGGCCTTCATTTGTGTTTTATACGACATATAAGAAGAGCTTTTGAGCTTTTTTAGATTGGCAAAAATTTGGAAAGTATCAGAACATTCGAGAGTGTTCACGTAACGGTTTACATTCGATCGATGCTTTCCACTAGTCTTCCGAGACGAAACATTTTGCTATTACCACATTCGGAAAATCAACAATAAATTTAACAGTTTGTCATATTAAATTTGCTGATTTTGAACATTAATTTATAATATAAACTGAAATAAATTGCAAATGCGTATTTCAATTACACATTAACAAGCACTGCAATGTATATGCGCATAAAGACGTGTATGTATTTTCGAAAGAGAAAAAGTTTAGTGCAGTTATCAGTAAATGATATATTTGATATTCATTCTAATGTTCCTTCTTAACCTCTTTCTCTTCTTGTGAAAGAAGCCGTCCCTTGGCTTCCTTCTCCTTTCGTTCACTCCATCTACTAGCAAATAGATCGGTTTTACCGTAGAACAGGCAGCTAACCTTGATGAATTCTTCGCAGACATCAACAAGTCTATCACGATTACTGGACGGAAGAAAACGTCCATCTGGGCTAAAGGCAGTCCAAGCTTTGGGCAAAGAGCTTTGATTAGCTATTGTATGCATTCTCATCCATCTACCTAACAACCTGAGAGTTCTCAATCCCTCATTTCGTGATAAGTACCTCGCACTCACCTGAGTGTATTCACTGCGTTAAAAGATTGTGAACCACCGTTCACCTGAGCAACAGCTAGTATTTTACCTTGAGTAGGACGTACTGAACCAAGTGATAATGGAACGTGATCAATTTGAGTCTTCATGACACCTTATACACATTAACCGAATCTCAAATCAAACTACTTAAAGATAGTGAAGCTCACCTGTAATCTGACCATGTTGTTCGGGTGATACCCAAAAGTTAGAGTCGCTCCAGGCGATAAGCTCACGTAGTTCTTTGACCTTTGTGACGTAAATTTTAAATCGAGTACATAAAAAAATGTCGTACCTTTGGGTGATTGTCGGTTGTATCATCCTTCAATGGTAAGCCCGATGGATTAAAGATCTTGACATCTGCACCCATGTGGTCGAGTATTCTAGCAACCTCGAATGATACGAGTTGAGAATACGATCTAAAGGCATGGAAGTGAATTTTGATAGAAATCAAGAGTACAACGTACCTTTGGCGAAGACTACCATAGAGAATCAAGACGTTGAGCTTCTGTGGTAAGGTAGCAAGCATCGTTCGAGCGTCACGAAGTTCATCTTTGCCACACATGTTAGCAACGTCAAATGTCCAGTCATCCGGGATTGATCTTATTCCAGGTTGATTCAAGCCACTTAAATAAGGTTGATAGTCCGACATTATACGCTTGCTTAACTTCGGTATGTTTCTAAGCATACGTTGTCAACTACCCTCAAAAGAAGATTCGATCGTTACTTTAAATGCCAAGGACAAAATCAAAATCTTTCCAACGTTCAACAAGACTCATAAAAAATTCGGTATGTTCTTTGGCATAGCTTGTCGACACTCTGAAAAAAAGGTTCGATTGTTGCGTTACATGTCAAATAGGAGATTAGTAGAGTCTCTTCAACATTCAACCGAGCAAGTGAAAACACAAACTATGCAAGAAAATCACCCAATTAATTCTACAAACTGGTGGCATATTTATGGTGAAGCAAAGACTGCTGTTAAAGATATTACTGTCGATCAAGTTGCAGATCTATACATCAATGGAATCTCGGGAGTAGATTTCGTTGTCGTCGATGTAAGACGAGCTGATCTGTCTGAGATGATTCCAGGTGCCATAAACCTTCCGGCCCAGTCATTGCCAGCAGCATTACCTAGCCTGGTACACAGTTTGAGTAATATAGAGAAGTTCATCTTCCATTGCAACTCATCAAAAGGTCGCGGTCCTCGAGCGGCTGGTTGGTTTGCCAACACGTTGGACAGTCATTTGAGAAGTATTGACCCATCATTAAGCATAGAAAATCGGGTCTTTGTTCTCAAAGGTGGTATAAATGCTTGGAAAGACAGGTTTGGAGCTGGTAGTATTGAAGATCGTGGTAGACTATGGGACCGTAAGACGATGTCCACATTGCAATTGTAGGACATCACTTGTAACCGTAACCTAACCACGCAAACAAACTCAAATGGAAGGCACTCAAACTGTAGTTCTAATAGTTCATTATTGTATATCTATTATGGCTTACAATGCATTTATATCTCATTTCCATCAGATAGTCCCATTGCATCCTAAAATACTGACCTAAACCCTGAAAGTATAGGGATAGCTCAAGCAATAACGTTTTTATCATAAATCATCATATCATTCACCATATATTGACTCATTATGTAATTAGAACTCTTATCATAAGGAAACAGCCTATGGAACACAGATAAAGAGACCAAGTATATTTACAAAGGCCATTAATAATTTACTCCCGAACTGTTACATAACTCCGGTGTAGATTTAATTGCGTCACAGTTGTAATCAAAAAAATTGGACGGGAATTTCAGGTATCTATAAAAGGACAAAATATGCTAATAAAATATAATCCTCATGACTCTAGAGTACAAATTATATTCCCCGAACAGGAATATATCTTCATATTGTCGAGCTATCAAGAATTCCGAAAACCGAAATATCAGATAATGGTATTTAGGTGAAGAGAAAGTGCTTGATACATAAATAAAAGCCATATATTTAATACCCGCTGAATATTATGCCGAGTTATCCTCAATTAGAAGGGTTTTCGAAGATTATTAATAAGGTAGTGAAATCCAGATTGACTAATCTTTTCGGTTTATAATCTACCTTTAAATACTACCAACCTTTCGTAAACACACCATAAACATTTACAATCATGGAAGACCCGTTCATAGACCAAGGTAATCACCTGGTTGATATAGACAAATCAAAGGAGGTTTACCGTAAGCTTAGCAAACAACTCAGTAGAGATGACAATCAAGATATCGCCAACACAGCTGAAGAGTCTTCGGAGACCACACTCAAAGAGCACCCCAGCGAAGGAAGATTTGATTTACATGGCTTTTTATCCAACGACAAAAAAAACAGCTCGAAGAAGCAGGTAAAACAAGTAATAAACATTTGGGATTGGCATGGAAGAATCTACGTGTGAATGGTGCTGGAGGGGAATCTACCTTTGTGAAAACCTTCCCCGAGGCAGTGTTAGGAACTTTTGGACCAGACGGCTATAATTTAATAACTGGATACTTCCCAAAGTTAGATGTGATTGGAAAAAAGACACCAATTCGTCCTTTGATTCATGATTTCACTGGTGCACTCGGAAACGAAATGATGTTAGTACTAGGTAAGCCTGGTAGTGGATGTACCACCTTCCTTAAGGCTCTTGCAAACAGACACCACGAGTATGTAAGCGTAGAAGGTGATCTCACCTATGGTGGTTTGTCTCCTCAAGAGGTTAAAGAGAAGTATCGTGGTGAAATTGTTATGAACACCGAGGAAGATCTACACTATCCAACTCTCACCGTTGCTCAAACACTCGAGTTTGCAATACGCCAGAAGTAAGTGTAATCATGGGTATATCAGTATGCGCTAATTTCACCATTAGAGTACCACGTATTAGACCAAATGGAATGAGAAGATCGGAGTATGTGAAATACATCCTTGATGCACTAGTGAAGATGTTCGGTATTGAGCACACAGCCAACACAGTCGTAGGGAACGAATTTATCAGGGGCGTCTCTGGTGGTGAACGTAAGAGAGTCTCTATAGCTGAGACACTTGTCACAAGAGCTTCCGTCATGTGTTGGGATAATTCAACACGTGGGTTGGATGCTACCACGGCTGTTGATTACGTGCGCTCTTTGAGAATTATTACAGATATCACCGGTGGTACAACAATCGCAACCCTTTATCAAGCCGGTGAAGGTATATACGAACTGTTCGATAAGGTGTGCGTTGTTGATGAAGGTCGCTGTATTTATTATGGTCCAGCTAACGAGGCATGCTCATACTTCGAAAGTATCGGTTTCTACAAACCTCCTCGTCAAACCTCTGCGGATTTCTTGACAAGCGTTACTGATATCCATGAACGTATAATTAAACCAGGTTGGGGAAACCGCGCTCCACGTACACCAGAGGAGCTGGAAAAGGTTTACAAAAATTCTCAATACTATGAAGCGGCTGTTGCATCGGCTGATCACACATTTAATGCTGAAAACAATCACCTAGGCGACTTCAAGACTTCCGTTCGCGAAGACAAGAAGAGACGTATGGCGAAGACTTCACCATACACTGTTTCTTTCATTGAGCAAATCTACTACTGTTTAATTAGGGAAATTCAATTACAGAGGAGTCAAATAGCTAATTTAAGAACTAAGTTTATAACGATACTATTCGCGGCACTCACTGTTTCTTCTCTTTTTTATGATCAATCGGGTTCTGGAAGCATTTTCGCTAAAGGTAGCGTTTGCTTCTTTTCAACCGTTTTCTTTTGCTGGGTACAATTATCAGATATATGGAACGGATACACGGGTCGTGAGATTATAGCAAAACAGAGTAATGAGTTTGCATTCTATCGCCCTAGTGCTGTTACTTTCGCAAGATTTTTAGTTGATGTACCCATCATAGTCTCTGGTATATTGCTTTTCTCTATTGTGGTTTATTTTCTCGGATCACTCGATTATACGGCAGGTAAATTTTTCACTTACTTCTGCTTTGCTTCTTTCAACGCTGTTACATTTAATCAAATGTATAAAGTCATAGAAAGTGTATCGCCTAATTTCAGCAGCGCTATAAGGTAAGTTGAAAAATAGCACGAGTATTTTCGCTCATCCTTCCTGTTTTAGGTACTGCGTCGCTTTACTCGCAATAACTTTCACTTTGGTAGGATACACAATCCCAAGATACGATATTGGAAATTGGTTCAGATGGATCTCTTGGATCAATCCCCTTCCGTACAATTTCGAGAGCTTACTAGTGAATCAATTCCATGATGTCAATATTGAATGCGATCTATCAGACATCGTACCAAACGGAGTAAATGGTGCAGAAGAGCAATATCAGTCATGTGGTATTCAAGGTAGTAGACCTGGTAGCTTGCTGGTCCTAGGTGATGATTACGTTGATGCGGCGTTTGATTATAAATATTCTCATCTTTGGAATAATTTGGGCTATATTAGTGCTTTCTTGATTGGTTTTTTAATAGTCACCGCTGTCTTTACCGAACTCTTTAGTCAGACAGGTGGCAGAGGTGGTGTAACCGTCTTCGCAAAAACGGCCAAAAGTAAAACTAAGGCTAGTGAAATTGAAAATCCAGGCGATATCGAAAGTGGAGCTCCAGAAACAATCAAGGAGAAGAGCAATGAAGATATTGAAATTGGAGCTATCAATGCATCTGACGCTGATTTCACTTTCAAGAATGTGACGTATACCGTTACAACCGCTACTGGAGAAAAACGACTTCTTGATGACGTCACTGGATATGTTAAAGCTGGTTCCATTACAGCTCTCATGGGTGCATCCGGCGCAGGTAAAACAACACTTTTGAACACACTTTCACAACGAGTGACAACTGGAATCATTACTGGTGATATGTTGATTGACGGTAAACCACTTGAATTGAACTCCTTCCAAAGAGGTACTGGATTTGTTTTACAAGGTGATTTGCATGATTCGTTTGCTACTGTTCGTGAAAGTATCGAATTCTCCGCTATTCTTAGACAACCACGTGAAACACCTCGTGAAGAGGTTCTCGCATATGTTGATCAAATCATCGCTCTACTTGAATTGAAGGATCTTGAGGATGCTATAATAGGTTCCCCTGGAGCAGGTTTAAGTATTGAGCAGCGCAAGAGAGTGACCATAGCTGTTGAATTAGCGGCAAAGCCAGATCTACTTCTGTTCTTAGATGAACCTACCTCAGGTTTGGATTCTCAATCAGCCTACTCAATTGGTCGTTTCTTGAAAAAGCTTGCAAACGCTGGTCAAGCTATATTATGTACAATTCACCAACCTTCAAGTTTACTCTTTACAGAGTTCTTCGATCGTCTCCTTTTGCTTGCTCCTGGTGGCAAAGTCGTTTATCAAGGTCCTGTTGGTGATAATGGTAGCGCTGTTGTTGATTACTTTAAGCGCATCGGTGCTCGTGAATGTAAAGCTCATGAGAATGTTGCTGAATATGCCATCGAAATGATCGCTTACGGACGTGACGCAAATGGAGAGTTTTTGGATTTCGTTAATGCATACAGGAATTCCCCAGAAGCCGCTAAACTTGAAGCAGAAGTAAACAAAATAATTAAAGAAAAATCAGAGACACCAAAGGAACACACAAATGCTATGACCAGGTCTTATTCACAACCATTTTTCGTTCAACTTAAGCTCCTTGTCCAAAGAATGAGTCGCAATTATTGGCGTGATTCATCCTATACTTACGGTCAATTTTTCGTAACTTTCGGCACAGCCATGCTCAACGGATTCGTTTTTTTCAAAAATGGAACCTCGATAGTGAACATGACTGAAAGGAACTTTTCAGCTTTCCTCATTCTTCTTATTCCTCCTTTTACTATAATATCAGCAGCACCGAAATTCTTTACCAATTACGAAATATTCAACAGACGTGAAAACCTTTCTAGAGTATATTCTTGGTATAGTTTTGTCACATCATACTTACTATGCGAACTTCCTTACGCGTTTCTAAACGCAACAATTTACTGGGTAATTTGGTACTGGCCAAAAGGATTTTCACACACTACCGATGGTGACTTTAGATTAGGATCGCCGGCTGGTTTAACCTTCCTGATGATTATCGAGGCTTTTATTTTCGCTAATTGGCTTGCTGCATGGATGTGTACGATGTCACCAAATGTCAAATTCACCATGGACATTATGCCATTTATCATTATCCTGCTATTCTTCGTTAATGGTATTTTTATTGACTACGCCAAACAACCTGTCTTCTGGGAGTATTTTATGTGTAAGTGGAAAATATCTAATGAAATGTTATCTGACAGCGTACAGACTATGTGAACCCATATACGTATCTCTTAGGTGGACTTATTGGTGCTACTGTATCAGATGTTGAAATCCAATGTTCGTCAAGAGAGATTACGACATTTAGTCCTCCTTCTGGCGAAACTTGTCTATCTTACGCTGGCGCCTTCGTGGAAACAATGGGAGGATATTTACTCAATGGCGACTCCACAGGTGATTGCCAATACTGTCCAATGTCAAACTCAAATGCGTTTTTGGATCAAAAGCACGTCTTCCATGCAACTGGCTGGCCTTGGGGATATTTTGGCATTTTCACGCTCTTCTCAATATCCAGCTTTGCATTAACATACTTTTTTTACTATATAACGAAAGTTAATCCACCAAATCTTAAATTATTCAAAAAACTCTCTCTTATCTAAATTTGATGTCATCGATCGTTTATTATTTATGAATATATTTACTTTTAATATATAATTAAAATGATAAATTATTGAATTTTCTTCTCCTACCATAGCGTCCATGAGCTCATCGCAAGCAAACAAGAGAACGAAGCTAACAACAGCAGTAAGGTCTATATGATATGGAAATATATACTAACTATATAATAGTGCGACAAGTGAGCTAATTTCACCTAAGTAAACGCCATCTTAGAGATAAATTCAGTTGCAGAAAGAGAAAGATCAAGTGTGATGGCGTTAATCCTCATCGTTGTAATAACTGTAGCAAAAGAAAAGGGACTGTATGCACTTACAATGGTACACACATTACTAGAATGTATGAGGTGAGCTATGTTGAAAATATGAAGGAAGAAGTACGTAATGATTAATAACGTGTATTTGGCTAATATACAATCAGCTGTCCCGCTGCCAGGCTTTATTAGACGAGAGTGCTTCAACATCAAAGGATAGTCTGGAAAGGAAGAACAATACTGATATAATACCTTCAAGCGACTACGAAGACATTTCTGATGAGCATTTGGTTGATAATTTAGATGGACTTTATACACACACACACGAAGAAAGAGCTAATATAAAATTCTTCGGAAACTCTCCATTTAGAGGGTTATTTGCTAGAATTGAAGCCTATACAGGCTTGAAAACTCTAGATTTTATCAACGGAAAGCGTCCACAGTATTGGCTTGACGATTGGTCCCGAGCAATTTCTCCACATTCATATTTTACCAGTTTACCTTACACAAACGAAGACTTTGGCGATGAAGCCCTTTTGGAACAATTAATAACTTTATATTTTGAGAAGGTTAACGTCAGTATGCCTTTACTTAACGAATCACACTTTCGCAAGCAAATCCCGAATAAACTTAACAGATCATTCGGAACGATTTTGATGCTAGTTGCAGCTCTTGGAGCACTTTACTTAGATGACAATCGATTATCAATCCCAGGAAGAGAAAATTTAAAGTTCCTTCAAGGTTATTATTACTACAATATAGCGGTAGAGAAGATGCCAAATTATATGAAAGCTTCTGCTGAATTGGAAGATATTCAGGCTCTAATTCTGCTACAAATGTACGTTCAACGAGGTGTACACACGAAAAGCTCTTCCATGATTAATGGCCTGACCATTCTACTCTCACAGAATATTGGTTTACATTCTAAGCTTATGAACGAGAATCACGATGATATAATAGAGAAGGAAGCCCGAAAACGTGCTTGGTGGATTCTTTATATTATGGACCGATCTAATACGGCATGTTTTGGCCGAAATTTACTCATTAAGGATGATGAAATGCACTTGGATCATCTCCAGGTCACCGCAGAAGACCCTTCGAATAACACAGATAGCATTAAGTACATCAATGATATAATAAAGATATGCGAAATACATGGTCAAATTACCCACAAATTGGTAAGTCTCGATGAACAAAACCTTTCTAACAACAATGAAGTACAAATTCAGTGAAAGCAACCCAGGAGAAGATGCCATTCTTGAAATGAAAGATATCGCTATGTTAAACACCAAGATAAATGATTGGATTAACGATGTCTCCATTACTGAAGAGGACATAAAGAATGATACGACATATCAATTACGTGCCAATATCAAATTAGCTTTCTACAATGCGCAGGTAAGTATGACTTATTATTCCCTTCAATTACTTACAACGATAGTTGATTCTCTATCGACCCTTCATGCCATGTCCCACACTGAAACGAATCTCCAATTTTCAAACAGCCAGTTTAGCGATATGTTCTAATGCGTCGAGATCGATCATCAGTATTTATAGTGATCTCGTACTAAACAGGAAAGTTGATCGCATCTGGGCCGACTGCCTTATCTCTTGGTGCCCTTTCTGGGCCACTTTAATCATGATACTGAGCTTCTGCGAGAGCAAAAGAATTGGCAATATAAGATATCAAGATCTGGATTACATCAAAACGGGAATATTAACACTAAGGAGTGTTGAGAGTGAGAATGTTCTGTACGGACGAGCTGTAGACATTTTGTTGTCCATTGTGAAAACTCTTTTACCACCAGGCGACGCTTTCATTGAAGACCAACAACTAATATCTCTCGACACAGAGTTCTACAGTACTGTGGCCGCCCACACTTTACAACCACCACAAGATAATGTAAACGTCGTTGAGCAAGATAATATTTTCTTTAGAGACATGCTTGACTATCTCAGGTCCGACTCATCGAATAGTGTTCACGGCAGTTATAATCTGCTTATAAGTCCTGAACATGAGAATGATCTGAATATGATGATAAACTCAATACTGGATGGTGATGCAGATGCAGTATAGAAAATGGTGCAGTGACAATTGTTGTTTATGCATATGGATTTTACATCCATCGGAATTCGGGATTTTGGGTATTTTTGTGATCTGAGATGAGAGCAGATATGAACATGGATACGTTACTATATAGAAATACTAAATACTATCAAAAGATCGTTACAACCGCCAATTTCACGAATTTTGGCACGTTTAGGTGGTTAGAGTTATATGGGAATCTTTGACGCTGGGAAAACGACATCGAAAGTACGATGTGTTAATTGAGGCACGAGTGACAAACTTTCGCTTGATTTAGGCAGTATATTTAAGATTACTTTAGTAGAAAATTTCCACTTTTAGTAACGATCTTTTGATAATATTTAGTATTTCTTTGTAGAAACGTATCCATGTTGCTTTTTCACCTAATCCATAACCGTAACCTCTCTGCTGTCTCATGCACCAGAAATATAAAGACTCATTACAAAGGCGGCACAGAGAATCACCCACCTGTGTCATTTAATTATCTACAGCGTCGGTGTTGAGCTACTTCTAGTGAAGAGTTTCACTTGATGCTGCATGACGTCATTGGCCTTCATCTCAACAACGACGGCAGATACACCCGCCATACTAGGCTATTTCGATTTCTATACGCGAGTATCCAAACATGCCTTAATTTCAATTTTCGCAAAACCGCTCCAATACGCTTTGATTATGATCGTTGAAGGTAATCTCAACAGCGACATTCTAGAATCACTCGAGGGTTACGATAGGTTGGTGAGACGCGGTATTTTTAGTCCTTTATGTAGAATGCTCTACTGCCATAATTTTACTACGTTTCCTTTAGACTTCCGGTTCTGCAATATTGCGAATCTTACGATCATAATGGCTCACATCGACCCTGAGCAACTTGACAAGCCAATAATCGATTAGCTATTGCGAATTTAACTCCAATAATCATCAAATATTGTCTTTAATGAATGATATGGTGTGCTCTGCACTTTAAAAGCAGAACACCACTCCCTCTCAACACCTTTTGAGTTGTCTCGATTTCGTTTACCCACACAAAATGGTCAACTTTGCAAAAGCTCTGCTGGGAGCATGCGCACTTGTATCCACCACAAGCGCATTCCCGGCCTTCGACGGTGAATGGGAGAAATTTTATTTCGAAAACTTCGACAAAGCCATCGATCCTATCCTTAAACGCATTGATCAAGAAAGTTGGAACAAGATTGCTGCTATTGAGAAACGCCAGCAGGCAACATTCAACGAGGACGCCCAGCGTGTCGATGTCTCAGGCGAGCATGAGTACAGACCTCCTACGGAAGGTAAGAGTGTGTTTATACATCATCTACTTAATAACAACCCGCACAGGTCAAACCCGCGGTCCCTGCCCTGGACTCAACATCCTTTCTAACCACGGCTACTTTGACAGATCCGGCAACACCAACCTGATCGAATCGATCGACGCACTCACAAATGTCCTTGGTATGGGCACAGACACGGCTCTGGCACTCGTAGCCTACTCGATCGCTATCATCGGTGACCCAATAGCACTTACCTGGTCAATCGGCGCTTCGCCAGGCAAAGAAGTACTTCTACCGGGCGTACTCTCTCCACCAGGAGGTATTGACCAATCCCACAATTCCTACGAGAGCGACGCATCTATCACGCGTTCGGATTCCTACCTCTCAAACGGCGATGTATGGTCATCCAACACCACCCGCTTCGAACATCTTTACAATCTTTTGGACGACAATGATCCAAATGCCAACTTCAATCTCGATGTCATCAACAAACAGCGCGCATGGACACATGACGAATCTGTCTACCACAACCCTAACTTTTTTATGCGCCATTTGCAGGACTGGTCGTTGCATCTGCTGCACACAATTTCGTGCCCGTCTTCTTTTCCAACCATAGTGCAGAACATCCAGAAGGCTACCTTGACCACTACAATCTGAAGACTTTCTTCGGATACACAGGTAATAGCAAAGATGGTTTGGTGTACCACTACGGCCAGGAGCGTATTCCTGACAATTGGTACAAGCGTACTGACCCATACACACTAGTGGATGTCGTCACTGATGTATTGGGTAACATCGCTTACCATCCTCAAGCAGGTACAGTCGGCGGAAACCTTGGTGAGGTTAATACATTTACCGGTGTTGATCTTGGTAACTTAACCGGAGGTGTCTTCAATGCTGCCAACCTTTTAGAAGGTAACAATCTCTTCTGCTTTGCATTCGCTGCTGGTAGAGCTGGTTTACCTTCAGTGTTGGGCGGTGCGGCAAGTATTGTGGGCCAGGCACTTGGATTCTTGGATGAAAAGCTTGGACCTATTCTTGCTGGTCTCTCCTGTCCGGAGCTGGATCAACTCAACTTGGATGTCTTTAACCAGTTCCCTGGTTATGGTTGAAAGATAGTTCATTCAGACTGCTACAGGAGGTAGATCTGAGGGCGGTAATTGGAAGTGTTGTATTCATATAGTCCCACAGCCCATACATCGAGCTTCTTTCCTCAATTCTCCCAGATTGCTGTGGTATAACAATAGCGATCGAAGCAGAATGTGACGAGAACATCGACAAACAAAAATAATGCAGCCATCTACACATTTAATCCAGTAATAAGGATTGGTTTCCCACCAAAACTCACCGCTATGCCAATGAGCACCAGCAAGCTAATTTTCCAGTATCAGAGCGGATAAGTCCCTCCTAAACCTAACCTATGAACTTACTTTTGTCACATTGCTGATTATATGGAGAGTAAGGATTGTTCCATTGACAATTATCCATGAATAAAGCTCTCGTGTATAAATCAAACCAGTCGAATAAAACCTTCTCGCATAAACTCTATCTAGGATCCCTTAACCATGTATTCATTTCAACCAAAATATCAGAGCAACTAAGTTCAAATTTCATGGACCATATTATATAGCCTAAGCTTATACACTATCTCTTCCTTTAAAGACACATAAAATGTCACACATCACAGATGTGAGGGACCTTCATTATAGACAGGCATCCATTGCAACCATGCTTGTACATGTCAAATCATTTTATCGTGCAGAAACCTTGTGTCTGCGATGTATCATCTTGACAAATTCAGCCACTGACTCGATAACTTTGACACGACCAGAATCAACCATAACGATATCCTTGCATGTCTCATTGATAAAAGCTTGGTCGTGTGAAGCGATTACGACTGCTCCATTGAACTTCTTAATACACTGAATTAGTGCTTCGATTGTCAGAAAGTCAAGATGATTTGTTGGTTCATCTAGAACAAGTAAGTGTGGTGTGACACCAATAAGCATCTTCGCAAACGCAACTCTAGACAACTCCCCACCACTCAAACAGACAAGTGGGGTCATAGCTTTCGACCCTTTCACACCAAACTTTCCAAGCTCAGCCCGCACATCCTGCTCAGTTAAGGCAGCAGATTCCTGCATTAGAAGACTGATAGGATTTTTATCTGAGCCACAGACCAACAACTCGTCAACGTTATGTTGTGAAAATTGTTTGATTACTGCTTGCCTATGTTTGACAATGCTACCGACAGTGGAAGATAGCTCATCAATTATGAGTTTAAGCAATGTACTTTTACCCTGTCCATTTGCTCCTATAACACCCAAACGACTATTTTGGGTAATTTGTAACGTAACATCAGACAAGACATCTGGCGTCAATTTAGAGTATCTGAATGATACTTTTTCCAGACTGACAATATCCCCGGAGGAACGTAGAGGCACAGGGTCATCAAATGACCACTTAGGTGGTATTTCTAGCGTTTCAAGCACAATATCCGGGCGAGTGCTATCATTCCAGCCAGGTCTGTCTCTATTAAGCTTGAAACGATGCCCTTTCTCATTGACATCCATTTTAACAGTATCTTTCAACTTACGTTGCTTCGATGCAACGGCAGCCATTTTCTTGTCGTCACCAGATTTACGAGCACGGGTCATTTCATTGTTGACAGATTTCTCGGATGCGCTTTTCTGTTTCTCCAGAATCTCCACCTTGTGTTTTAAGTGCTCTTGCTTTTCATCTAAAAATTGTCTATACGTATCATAGTTTCCTTTGTAATAAGACAAACAGTGATTTTTGTACACAATAGTTTCTTCAGTGACAGCATTGAGAAATGCTCTATCATGAGATATAACGACGATAGTGGAGTCAATAGACTTGAGATATGATTGCAGCCACAGGATAGCCGGAAGGTCGAGGTGGTTTGTAGGTTCATCGAGGAGCAAAATGTCAGGTTTGATAAGCAAAGCAGAAGCCAATGCAACCCTGATTCTCCATCCACCGGACAGCTGGTCAATAGAGCCATCTTGCATATCCTTTGTGAATCCTAACCCGTTCAAAATACTACGGGCTCTGGCTTCCAAACTATCGGCATCACGGATCTCCAGATCCTCTCTAATCATTGATAATGAGTTCTGAGCTCTATTAATTGCTTGTATTTCGTCATGCTCAGTGATACTGCTAATATTTAGCTTTTCTTCAGCTTCTTGAACGAGAACCTCCATCTTTTTGAGATCTTTTCTAGCTTTTGCGCCTCTAGCGCCGCTGCGTTTTGTCGCATTACTAATCGCTTCTTCTTCTTCGCACTGTCTATCTTGAAAGTCGTGTTGACGAAGAATGAGAGCGATTTGCTTGGAATCGCCATTTTCAAGTACATCGTGTAGCTCTTTAAACCTTAGTCTGAGCATATGACTCTTTCTGTCTGCGTTGACAACGGTTTCGAGCGCAGATACGCTTGTGTCAGATCCTTCGAGTTGTTCAACGTAAAGCGCGTTGATATTTCGTGGAAATCCAATGAGAGATTTATCACCCAGACATTTAAGAAGAGTTGATTTACCAACGCCATTTTGACCGCAAAGGCCGTATTTGACACCGTCAAATAATTTGAGCTCCGCATCAATGAGAAGATCGTGATCGCCAACTGTTATGTTAACACCTTTAACATCAACATCATTTGAGAGCGTCTCTAAAGTTTCTGAGTGGAATCGGGATGTTTGAGAAGTTGCCACAACTTGGTTTGAGCTCCCTTTATTAGCTGCCTTGATGTTTTTCTTTCTCATTAAATCAGCTGTATCTGTTTCAATGTTAGATAGCCTTGTTCGAGCTTTCATATACATACAAGGTATTTGATAATGAAGTCATGTGATTGAAGAGTGATAATGGACAGAATGGACAGAATGGACAGAATGGTAGATAAAATTATCTTCTGTATGTAATCTAAAATATTTATTACTAAGCATGTGTCTTGATTAGCCGAGTAGCTCAATTCATGTCTTACAATTTTACTTTCGAGAATACAGATACCTACTTGACTGAGGATATCCGAACTGGTTGCTTACATCATATTGACCCTTATGGCCCTTAGTCGTAGAATCACTATTCTTAGAGATTATAAGTGGTCGAGAGTGTTGATTATGCATGAAATCATATTAAACAAAACACCCAAGACTGACAAGAGAAAGTGATGTGCCGCTATATAATGTTGGTTGACTTAATAAGTACCCAAGAAGGTCTTCAAACATCAGCATGATGTTCTAATTACGCTTATTCATACCATTGTTGGTGCAGCCGTTTTCTTAGCTCTCGTACTGTGGATTATTTAGAAAGGTGTAGGATTACACTAAATGGGGACAAGTATGTTATTTTACTTCCTTCACGCTTGTCAAGAGCTTTATTTCAATTTCACATTTAGAACTGATGTCAAATTATTGAATTAAAACATTTCAAAAACGTCAATGAAAATTATAAATTGTATCTGGTATAGCATTTATAATAGCCACAATAAATAAGTTAATTCAACCTGTAACATGTTCGATTCAGATTTGATTTTATAATTTTATAAAAATATTAAATAGCTTTCCACACAACCGACTGGTGCTGCAGTATTCGTAGTGTTTAAAATGTGGTCTTCTATATATATGTTAACATTACTCTTCCTATTTTTTACGTATTTGGAAGTATATGATGACCATCGCTGGTCTATTCATATTTCTATTATCAAGGAGAAGGCCAAACTAGTCAGAAGACCTAATAAATGTTCAGAATGGCAAATACCAACTTGTTATTGGATGATAACACAACATGTATCCATACATGGAACTTAGTATTTATTATACTGTTATTGTATACACTAACTTTCGTAAACGCTTGGATAAGGCTGCAGTTCGCAAATCACTTTAAAAACTGACTTGGGTTCAGTGATGAAACGTATCTTAAGTGTTAAGACAAATTATTGTTGTATTAAAAGTCTACCAGGCCATTTTATGACTTTTACTAGCTAACTTGGGCATTTACACTGAAGCGGCTGATGACGTCATCTACATAATCCAAAAGTTTAACTCATTTTGGCGTAATCAGACACACTTTAATGTATATCCTGGTAAAAGGAGTAGTTACATTTGTTTAACGCAAAATCCCCTTTCTATTTATATCCACAATATCCTTGTAACATAGCACTGTAAAAGTTTAATCTTTGTGTCTCACTTTTGTTCATCGTAATAAACTTTACTTCCATCTGTAAAATATCATGGCTTTATATTATATTTAGAATTTGTAATTATTTCGGATACTTAACGTCATGAAATTGTATACATACATATGTAATCCTTTACATAATCTAATTTGCCTCGTCATCCATTATTGTCTATAAGGCGTGGAAGCTCTTCGCTACTCTCACCATATAAGATGGCTTCTTCAAATCCACAAGTAAACAATAACGCAGATTTCAGACTTGAGAATCTGTTCTCAACACGAGGAAAGACTGCCTTAGTATCTGGTGGTGGCAGTGGTATTGGTCTTATGATTTCTCAAGCTTTGGCTGTCAATGGTGCACATGTGTACAGTAGGTGAATGCTTAATTCTTATTATCATCTGACCTTTCCAAGTATTCTCTCGTACACAAGAAAAACTCGACAGGGTTGTTGAAACCTACAACAAAGGGGATATAGATGGTAAAATAACAGCACTTCAAGGCGATGTATCAAGCAAAGAGAGCATTCAAAAACTCGTCGAGGAGTACTCAAAACATGAGAGCAAGCTCGACATTCTTGTTAACAACGCAGGTATCGCAGGAGAAACTACTACCTTTGAAGCAAAGACAGCTGAGCAGTTGCGTGATAATCTCTTCAATGGGGACTCATTTGAGAACTGGGAGTCTGTCTATCGTACCAACGTCACTTCGGCTTATTTCTTGACTGCTGCTTGTTTGCCGCTCTTGAACAAATCTACTGAGACTATAAAAGGCTGGTCTGCAACTGTTCTGAACATCATCTCAATTTCAGGCTCAATAAAAATATCACAACACCATCCAGCTTACAATAGCTCAAAGGCAGCTTTCGGGTATCTCAACAAGGTGCTCGCAAATGAATTCGCTTTGAACGGTTTCAAGATTCGCGTCAACGGTATCTCACCTGGCGTTTTCCATTCTGAAATGACCGCGGGTGATTCTTCCGCTAACCAAAAATCAAAGGTTGAGAATGAAAAGTACAAAAAGCTTCCAAGTGGCCGCGTAGGCGCTGATAAAGACATGGCTCAAGCCGTATTGTTTGCCATTCTCGACCAGTACCTTAATGGTCAGTCCATCATTGTCGATGGAGGATATCAGATCACAAATGGCGGCCAGTAAACGTGATGATATCTCATCAACAAATTCTTCGTTATTCAAAAGATGTATTATTTAGTTTATTTGACGATGTTACATAAGTATGTTAAGTAATGATGGTAACAATCTTTATTAGTTTGTCCCTCTGACATGTCAACATTATCCCGGACTGTGATGTAGATTTTTCTTTTCAATGAAACATAGACTCATTAAAAATTATCTTGTGTTTAACTGTAAAGAATATGTCAATTCAATCTAACATATTGATAACTCTGATTCCTATTTAGTAATTTTATAACGTGTGGTGTACAAGTACAAATATAGGACATCCACCTTGAAGCAAAGTAATTCGTCAAATTTATCTATGTCTAAGTTAAATGTGCATATTAAGAAATTTACATATCCAATTCGTTAGTTATTACAATGAGACTGAGTTTTTAACTCGAAATAATGCGAAATCCTGAAGAATGTTTGTCTATATAGTATTTGAGTTATAAATTATTGTAATTGTTTAGCGTGTGCTTCTCTTCTCTCTTCCAAATCTATAATATCCGCATCACGACCTTTTGTTTCAGGCAAAAGCAAAGTCAAAGCTGCACCAACAATAGATATACCGAAGAAAACTATGACTGTTAAATGGGCTTTCAAAAAATTTACCTCAACTTACTCCATAATGTGTTGTCAGTACCGATATGATGTGATGCTTCACCAAATCCAAGGGCTGCGATAATTGCACCTACTTTTCCGCAAGCAGCTGAGAATCCATGACTGAATCCTTTCACTCTGGTTGGGAAAACCTCGGCTGGAATAACGAAACAAGTCATGTTGGCACCAAAGTTGAAGAAAAATTGCAACAAAGCGAAACATGCAAAGAAACTGGCTGAGTGGTCCTTGAGATAATCAAAAGCACCTGCGACAATACCCAAAAAGAGTGCTTCCAAAAGAAAACCTCCGAATTGCAACCATTTTCTACCAATATATTCAATAGTGAACATACTGACGTAGTAACCAGGCAAGAAACCAGCAGCTAAAGAGTGTTAACTTGATTAGGTATGCAAAGTTAGAAGACACACCTGTAATAATTAAGTTGGCAATTGAATTGTCCCAAATATACTTGAATGGTTCGTCATTCTTGTCTACGAGCCCTACACTGTCGATGACAACACTTTGGTTAAGCGAAATACCATAGAAGGTTATATCAAGTAAAAACTTTGGGACGGTTAGATATATTCTATCTCGAAATTAGTTCACTAACCCAACAACCAGCCGTGGCGATCAGCAACTTGAGGTGACGCCATTCCTTGTAATACTCGACGAATTCAGTTAAAGCACCCAACTTCTCATACCAGACTTGCTTGGAATCTTTGCCTTCGGTAAGCTCAGTCTCTTGAGGCGTTGGTTTTGATTCAGGAGCGATTTCAATATCCTTGTCTTGAGAATGAGCAGAATCGTCTCCATCTCCTTGTATAGTCTCTGGATTAGCAGCAGTACGTGCTTGAAGTGCTGCCTTAGGATCATCAGCGTTGAGGATTTTATTTTCTTTGTCGGCTCTCATTTGCTGTACAGCCTTGAACTTGGTTGATTCTGGAAGTCTTAAACGATTGTAAAGTGTAACTATACATGGTACCAAAATGATACCGAAGAGGATACGCCATACTGCATTGAATTGTCCATAATTGCCGTGGTCTCTAATACCAGTTCTGAAACATGAAAGTATGATCAAGGTGATGATTGTACATGCGAATTGACCAGCACCTTGAGCTGAGAAAATAAATGCCAACATGGTACCACGACGGTTCAAATTTGCTCTATCAGCGACAACAGAACTGCTCATAGGGTAATCACTGGAAAGACGTAAGCTAGCTATTTATAACAATAGGATACTCACCCTCCTACTCCAATACCCAAGACTACTCTCCAGACTGTTAAAAATTAGTATTTTGAGACAAGTCTGAAAGTCGACTAACCAGTAAGCCAGGTGAATAAGTCAACTCCACTAAAACCATGTTCTCCAACAGAAGGTGGACTGATGATAAAGATAGTTGCAATAATGATAATCATCATTTCCTTTCCTGAGAGGGGTTAGCGAAGTCTCGTGGATAATAGAAACGCACCATAGACTGCCTTACGGCCAAAAATGTCACTTAAGAGTCCAAAACCTAATTGTCCTACGACACATCCAATCTATAATATGTCAGATACTGGCTAATTGTCGCAGGACGTGAAATGAAAGATTTCATTTGCCAGGAAGACATCGAAAGGCTTCCAAAACACAACCGCGAGTACTCACGTTTGCTGCAGCTTTGAATGTACCACCAGACAAGCTGATCTGAGTGGGAGAAGAGCTTGGTGTGCCAAAAGCAACCAAAGAAATAGCCGGAAGTGCCAAATTGATAATGAAAAGATCATAAGCATCAATAAAGAAACCAGTTGAAGCGATAAGGAGGAGCTTTAACTCCTTGACTGTTGGTCCCCATCTATGTTGCTTGGCAGATTCATCCTGCTCGTAGGTAGCTAATGCACCTTTCTCTTGGTATGCGTCCATGCGAAAAAAGAAGGTCTTGTGAAGTCTTGGGGGTTCTTGGGTGGTAGTGAAGGAAGACGGTTTTTAATGGAAGATCGAAATGCGACGAGACGAACGTGCAATGAGAATCTGATCCGGGGAGGCAGGAACCAAAAAGATGACATGAAGTGAGAAGCAAAAAAAGCACCAAGGCGCCGCAAATTTCTATTTCCGGTAATATTTCTCTCGATATTCGCCTGAGTAAGCTTTTCGTGTAATCCTGGGTCGTGTGGCAAGCGGAGATAACCGCAAAATGTAAGCTGTTAATAAATACAATAGAAACATTGTATAGGCTGTAGAAGAATATGCCATGACTTGATAGGCTACAGATTCACCTTCTTAAACCGGTCAGGGTAAGTGTCACAACGTGCGTAATGTTAGGCACCAATTGATAGGAAATGCGAGTATCGTAAACGTGTCGCTATTCTTAGCTCCTCGGAAGGTGCCTTGCTGGCTCGTTTGCACGTTTTTCCTCTTGCCGGGCTCTTAACTTAATGCTCGCAAAATCACAATAAAGAGTACAAAACATGCATTATATATTCCAAAGGGATGGTCACTTCACTACCACATTAGAGGTGCACAACAACAAATGGCACGTCGACATCCTCGTCGTTCTCGTCGGTAACCATGACCTCGACGAGAAGGCTCTTTTGCCAAGCAGGGACGGGCTTTTTGGAGACGCTCTCAACCAACTCAGAAAAGCGCATACCCAAGCGCTCTTGGGCCTTCTTTGGCGGGAGGAAGAAGGAGTAAAGCATGCTCGTGCCTTGGCTAACCATGCCAACATCCAACTTATGGTTGTTTGTGAAGTAATCCTTGAGCTCCTGAAGGGTTGGGTTGCCTGTGATATCAAAACGGTCCCAGAGTGTCCATTCAGTGTCACCGTATTTTTGCTTTGGTGGGGCGATAGGGTCTGAAAAGCCGAAGAAGGGAAGGGCGAGGTTGACAAATGAATTGTTATACTTTTCAATGTCCTGGGGAAATGTTAATAAAGTCACGTTATAAACTTCAACCCACCTTCTTCTCATCGATGATTTTGAATAATTCCAAGCAAACCAAACCAACAGCAACACTCGTAGTGGTGGCAATTGCAGGAATAATCTTTCCGGCAATCTGCTTAGTCTTCAAGCGCTCTGCTGGTGTGATACCATAGTTAGTCGCACGTAAATTGGATGCTGCGGTGATGAAATCGATGTGGTGGTTGCTATCGTCGTCTTTCTCGAATTCAACTGGGGTCAACCTGAAGCCAGCTAAGGTAGAAGGCTCTGGAAGATCCTTTGTAATATTCTTAACGACTAATGCGTCATCATCGTGAGATTCCTCCTGTGGTGCTGGTTCATTCTCATTAGTTTGTACCTTGACTCCACTCTTTGGCTTGAACTCTTGTACAATAGCTTCCTCTGCGACCTTCTTGTATCTATCTCCATCAATGTCACCCTTGAGACCATAGTTGAAAGCGTGCAAATTTGCAGCAGCAACAATGTACTCCATGTGAAGAGGGTTGTTACTGTCAAAGCTAATTGCATCCGGCGCACGCTTAGGACCTGACCAAAATGGTGCACCAGAAGATGTCAAAGTGTCTTTTGGAAGAGAGTAAAGCAGCTGTTGAATAGAATGGTTGTAATTCTCCTCAAACTTGTAGCGAGCCCAGATAATGCATTCGTCGAAGCTGATCGGACGCGATGTGGTGAGCGAGTCGAGCAATTCCTCCAATTGTGGTCTTTGTTGGCCACTAGTCTTGATGGTTTCCAAATAGTTTGGCTGGGAGAGGTACATGTTAACATTTGTAGGTGGCTTGACAAATAGGGCATCGAAATTCTCCCTTGCCCATTGGATCGTATGCTCAATAGCATTTGGGAAGTTCTTGACCGTGCATGATGGGATTTCCTTCTCAGGAGGGTCTTGTGAGGATGAATACGATTCTGTGAGGTCTGGATAGACGACTTGGGTATTGGCCTTAGTGCCAAGGGTACCACTTTCGAGGAGCGGCTTTCTGTAAAAGACACATCTTCTGTCGACGTACTGTCTAGCAGCGACGTTATCAAGAGCATTGGTAACACCAGTCAAAGAATTGAAGAACGTCTCACCGTATAACTCTTCCGTTTCTGGGCTGACACGCTCTTGATAACTCTGAATCTTTCCGCGAAGGTCCTTGTTCATGTTCGCGACAGCCTCTGCAGCGACTTCCGCCTTGAATTTACCAAGGTCCTTTGCTCTAAAAAGGAACTGGCGGTTCAAATTGCTCTTCTCGATCGTGTCCAAGTCTGTTACATGGATTTTACCCTCTGGACCACTACCAAGACCCATCATAGACCAGTTCTTAAGCATTTCACAACCTATCGCACCTGAACCGACAAGGAATTGACGAGCATTGGCAATCTTCTCTTGGAAGCTTCTACCGAAAACTGCAATTTGGGCATCGTAACGGCTGTTGAGCGGTTGCACATCAGCTTCTGTTGGGAGAACATCAGGGAGCGACTCCAGGGAGTCGAAATAGAGATGCTGAAAGAGCGGGCTGAACTTTCCAGAGCATCCCTTGAGAACTTCCTGCGCAGTGAAGCCACCGATGACAGCATTGACTGGGGCAAGGTCACCACGGGCTTGGTAGGCCAGCTCCTTTAGAACACCTTCATCAAGCTCCTCTGTGGTGGTGGCTTTGGCGAGCTTGACAACTTCCTGCGCATCTTCGTCATTGCGTGGACGTGGAAATTCCCCGCGCTGCTCTCTAAATGCAGATAGCGCTTGGAAACCGGCGTGAAGGGTTGGTGGGCGGTCGAACTTTGCCAAATCAAGAAGGACTTCCGGTTGTTTCTGTGATTCCCTGAGCGATTTGAAAGGAATGATCTTTGGCTGTTTTACTTGGGTGAAGACACCGCCTGAAGTGTATTGGGAGAAGGAAGAAGTATCGCCAATGGTAAAAGTGTATGGACCCTTTACGGAGACCTTCCTAGGCTCACATCCGTTGAGTTCTTCCATACCCTTGATTTCTGAGAAAGTGACGTAGTCGCCATCCTCTAGACCGTGTCTTGTATCGTCGAGGCAGGTAACCAATCCTTCTTTATCCTAAATTGCGTTAGAAATGGATACATAGCGTGCAACTTCTTACCTTCTCAATTTCTGCTATCATACCGGTTATGGCAGGTTCTCCTGTTGGATCAATGCATTTGAACTCGCTGCCAAAGTCGTTAAATACACTACCAAATAAACCACGCGTGTCGGCAGCAATGAATCCAATGCCATTCTCATGGCAATAATCGTTTACCTCAAGCTGCTTATTGAGAGATGCCTCGGTGAGAACAACTACTTTAAATGGTTTAACGAGATCTCTACTCCAAGATTCCGGATTTCCTGGTGTTTTTGGAGATTCTAAAAGTTTAACAGGTACGTATTGGTTTAATTCAGCGAGCTTTGGGAGTGCGACCTGATCCCTTGGCTTGCCGACGTCAGAATCGTCAAAGTAGAATTGAGAGGAGAGATCGGTCATAGAAACTGGCTCCGGATCATAGATAGTAACAGATTTGACACCGGCTAAGCAGATATTCTTAGCTAAGTAATATGTCAGCTTACGCAAGCAGGAGTGGCTAGATATACACACCGATTTCGACACCCAATCCACGCATACCAACTATGAGTACATCAGATTGACTCATCGCTTTCATAGCGTCTACACCCTGTAAATCTCCTATGAGCTAATGGCGTGGAATATAATAAAGTGCGCACCAGAACGAATAATTGCCTGGAGTATAAACCCTCATCTATCGTATCATTGTTTAGTTGAATATTTTGTAAATCATCTCTCATTTCTGTGTCTGTCATGATGATCGTTGGTGTACAAGGTGTTATTCAGCTACGACGAAGATGTCAACTAGCGAATTTTACGCGTTATTTAATCAACAGAAGGCTAAGGATGATAAAAAATCTACAAAAAAACAAAAGAATGGCACTTCTACAACAAAAAAGCAGGACAATCAATATAAGATGAGCAGCGCGGGCAAACTAGAAAAGCCAGCTGTTCAATGTCCTAGTAATACCACAGATGCTCCAAAGAAGCGTAAAAATAGTGTGATAGAGATAAATGATGACGAAGAAGACACCGTTGTAATATCTCGGCCTCAGAAGAAACGTGAGAAAACAGAGAACACAGGGAAGTCATCATCAATACTCTCAGGTGAAGCAAACCGAGCTACTGTCCCAGAGCGACCTCTACATCCGCTTTTTACTTCGAAGTATTCACAGAAAGGTGGTGATACCACGCGAGGCGTACTGGCGAAACAAATACCAGCGAGACAACCAACTATTAAAGAATCACATGTACATCCAGACAACGATTTCACGGTCTATGACGCGATTATTGACATACCATTTAGCAGACGCGCGAGGATATTAGAGAAGAGTATCCCGGTTGGTAACCTAAGCATTTTGAAGAATCCAGCAAGTGATTCTACGTCTCCTAAAATCCCTTCAATACCTACATTTCCCTCTAGAACATCCTCCGAGTTGCTTACTAACTCCCTGCGTCCCAGACGCGCAGTGGATGTGCTTTCAAACTCTCTGGTATCAACTTATGTTTCCGCCTGGATGGCAAATCTTGCCCTTGGATCACCGAGGTGGGAAGACGTACGCGCTGCACATGCTGAAAAGAAATCGCGCAAGAAAGGACCATACGATGACAACTTTATCGTCGATGACATGTTTGATTTTGATTTGGACTTTGACGCACCTACTTATCCATCGGAACTACCGCCTCTGCCCGAACTGCCCGACCATCCAACCACGATAGAAGGGAATTGCATAATACTTAAAGGTCCACCTGGGAGTGGCAAGTCTGCGTCAGTGTACGCATGTGCAGAGGAGCTTGGATGGGAGGTTTTCGAGGTCTTTCCAGGTATTAGCAAGCGGGGTGGTAAAGAAGTACTTAACCTTGTCGGTGCAGTAGGCCAGAATCATATTATAGGGAAAGGCAAAAAAAGTATGATAGAGCAACAACGAGAAAAGACGCACAAACAGTCTGTCATCCTCCTCGAAGAGGTTGACGTGCTTTTTGAGGAAGACAAAGGCTTTTGGCCGGCGATACAGGCTCTCACACAGTATTCCAAGCGCCCAGTTATTCTCACGTGTAATGATGACTCTACTATCCCCGTCAATACGCTTGTGTTGCAAACCACTTTGCAGTATAAGTGCCCGAAATATGATACCGTCAGGAAATATTTAGAAAGTAATGGTGTTAGGAACATACCAACACAATTGAACGCCCTTGAAACACCATCACCCGCGATTGAGGAAGACAAAAGCTGGTTGCTTGATGCAGGTGGCGGACTCTATGGAAAGGAATTTGACAATGGGTGTGATCTCCGGCAGACACTCATGCAGCTGCACTTAGGTGTTGCGGAGAAGGATCACCAGGAAGCAGTCCCACCAAATTCTCTCAAGGAGATACTCAAACGCGCTGAAGCGCTTTCTTTCGTTGATGCACAAATAGCACAGCCACTCTGGCGCAATATGCAGGTGAGCTAACTACCTAAATCAATGTTCTTCTATTTAACAAGCTCCCGTAGGTCATTGAGCCGGAAACACCGAATGAACTAGTGGGAACTGAAATCACTCAGACGACATCAAAAACACAAACTACAACTCTCGCAGAATTTGGATATGAAAATATCATAGCTGCGCATATCTTAAGTGGTTACAACATTAGCGCAATCGATACGACTTCGCTCTTGAAAGACACACACGCACAACAAGATATACTATTAGACATTCGTCTAGATATGCTATCTGCAACAGCACCAATTATGCCATCCCCTATCTTGTCAGTTGATTATGCCCCTTATATCCGACAGCTTGTCAAACGCGACGATGAGGAAGCGAGGATGATGGAAGCAAATAGCATAGCAAGTAATAGAGGGACGCGTAACAGCAGCAGAAATTTATATCGCAGAATGTACGACTACGATTGCGTGCCTAGCATACAGAACAGCTATTTCCGGGAAAGGCAAGAAGGAGAATGAAGAAAAGACTATTACGACAGCAAAGGACGTATGATACACCCCATACATTCCCCTATTATACCATATTTAATTAATGCATAAACGTCATAGATTTTTTATTGTTGCTTATCAGCCATCGAGATTGCGTTAGTTCCCAACAACCATGATCAAAGCACTCGCACTACTCACACTGTCAGCATCTACGCTCGCCACCCCACTCTACACTCAAGAGCTCGCCCCTATTCACGGAGAGCCACACGTCGAGGGTTCAACGGACCCTCGCGTGCACAACTCCTACATCGTCGTACTCAAGGATGGCGTAGAAGGTGAGCATAATTGTTATTTCATATACACCCCCTAACAGCCTACAGCTGACTCGCACCACACCTTCACCCGCAACACTCTCAAAAAGCGTTCTGGAGGCGGACGTTTCGGTCACGTGTACAACCTTGACAACGAAGGTGACAGCATTTTCAATGGCTACTCAGTACACGACGTCGATGAGGACGTTATCGATATGATCAGAGCAAGGCCAGAAGTTGCCCACATTGAACGTGATTCAATTGTGACGACACAGGAGACCTACCACGGTTTAGATGATGTAGTCGACGCACTCGACGTAGATGATACAATCACCCAAAAGAATGCCCCTTGGGGTCTCGCCCGTATTTCACACCACGATCCACTTAGTCTCAGTACTTTCAACAAGTATGTCTACGACCCACACGGTGGTGAAGGCGTAAACGTCTATGTCGTAGACACTGGTATCAATACTAAGCATGTCGAATTCGAAGGCAGAGCCTTTTGGGGTAAAACAATTCCATTGAATGACGTTGATGAGGATGGTAACGGTCACGGCTCCCACTGCGCTGGTACCATCGCATCACGCAAATACGGTGTCGCAAAGAAGGCGCACGTATATGCCGTCAAGGTCTTAGGTTCTAATGGTTCCGGTACCATGTCTGACGTCGTTAGTGGTGTTCTTTGGGCAGCTGAAGATGCCAAGAGAAAGCAAAAAGCGGCAGCTGAGGAATTACGCACTACTGGAAAGACATCACACAAGGGTTCAGTTGCTAATATGTCCCTTGGCGGTGGCAAGTCACCATCACTCGACAGAGCAGTCAACAAGGCAGTAGAATCAGGTTTGTCATTCGCAGTCGCAGCTGGTAATGATGACAGAGACGCTTGTGACTACTCCCCAGCATCTGCTGAGAAGGCCGTTACTGTTGGTGCCTCTACACTCTGGGATGAACGTGCATATTTCTCAAATGTTGGCGAATGTGTTGACATCTTTGCACCAGGCTTGAACATTCTTTCAACATGGAACAGCGGTCCACACTCAATCAACACTATCTCTGGTACCTCAATGGCATCTCCACACACCGCTGGTGCTTTGGCATACTTACTCTCACTCCATTCACACGAATCACACAAGTCATTCGCTGAAAACTTTTACAACACTGCTCTTAACACGGTCTTTGAAACAATTGGTGGTGTCCTCCCTGGATGGATCGATCTTTTCAAACCAAGTGCACCAGTTCCAGCACCAGAACCAATCTCACCTGCATTCTTGAAGCAATCATTGCTCTCTTTAGCCGGTAGAGGATATCTTAATGACCTCGAACAGGGTTCACCAAACCTTTTGTTGTTCAACAATGCTACAAAGGCATAAGCTGGCGTGTATAACGTGTATGATTAAAATCATTTCATTGTAATATAATTTTATGAAAGGTATTCTAAATGAGCTCTTTGTGTGAAATAAAGATATGGTAGTTGTGAGATTGAGTCGAGTATAACACGACCTTCGCTCAGTTGAGTTGAACTCATAAGATTGGCAAAAAGACTTAAGGTTCATATTACTCAGTTCTAATGCTTGTCAAATACTTCAATTCTAGATAACATATCACAGGCAGAGAGATCTAGTTGACATCCTCACCAGAAGTTTTATACCATCACCACACCTTCTGTATCATATATTTATAGGTAACTTCGCAGACACACGGACTTGTTTGGACACTAACATTTAAGCAAAGATCGCCGCCACCTTGCACATCTAGAATATCTTCAAAATACTTGTAATATAGATTTATGAAATAATCGAACAATTAGGTAGCTAAATGAGCGTTATATCGCCTATTATGGTCGCGTTGGAGGGGTATTTTTTGGTATAGCTGAGTTGTCTTGATTAAATGAAAGTAAAGTTTTCCATAAAGAATTAAAGAAATTGGCATTCGTTAGTCCAGTTTGTGACGTTAGTGCGTCTATGACGGCTTTTTTTAGTTATACTGATTGATTACAGCGGTTGCCCAGTCTGCATCTTCAATGGTAAATTCAGGCTCAGGTGTTGCTGGTGCTGGTGCTGGTGTGGTATTTTTAGGTACCTCCTTTGGTTTCTCTTTAGGTGCAGCTTTAGGCGATACCTTAGATGCACCCAATGAAGACTTACTCCTGCCGGCCTCCTTAAGCTCTCTTATTCGGTTCTCTTGAATCTTTCTGTTTCTCGCTTGCTCCTCTTCACGTTCCTTTTTGCGTCTTTCTTCGGCCTCTTTGAGTTGTCTTGCTTCTTCTTCACGTCTCTCAATTTCTTCGGCTGTTGGGAGGTTGATATTCATTGGTTCAATTGATCTAAGCGCAGGCAATGTCTGACTAAAGCTGGTAGGTAAAGGTGGCACCTCAATAGCAGGTGATTGTACCCCTTCCAACGTCTTCCTGCGCTTACCAAATATTTTCTTTCCTTTGAATATTCTCCCCATTGAGCTCTTGAATGTGGACTTTGTAGAATCAGCTTGTGACAAAGCAATAGAATCGGAAGTCGAAACTCTCGATTTATGTGAACCTGGCTTAGTTTGTTGTTGATCGGGTATATTTCCACTAATGCCGCTTTCGTTCAATTTCGGTTCTAATTTCGATATTGCGTTTGGTTCTGTGAGGGATATGAAGTTGAAACGCTCATCGAGTGGCATAGAAGGACCGAAATCCATTGCAACTGGATCTTCCTCAGGTGGTGGTTGAGATTTTCTCGCCTTGTTAGTCGCTATGTACTTCCAGCCATTATCGTTATCATTTTCGTCATGATTAGTGCGTTCTTCTCTTTCGCGCCGTACGCTAGTCTTTGAGGTATCCCTAGGAGGCACTACAACAAGTGATGGAACTGGGTTGGCTTTGATAGGCTGTGGAGAGGCTACCGGTGTGGCTACATTTGACGCCCTTGGTGTCGCTACTGACTCCTTTGGTGTAGTTACGGATGAGGCTCCGGATGAAATATTCCCTTCTGCTACATTCTCTTGTACCTCATCTTGTGGTTCTTCATCTAACTTTGGCGTTGGCGAACGTGATGAGGATACAACTGTACACGTTCCAGATCCTATTCTTCTGTTAGAGGTGTCACAAAGATAATATCACTTATACTCACCAGAAGCGTCCTCTACGACCTTCTTGTTAAGCTCTCCATTGTCAGCTTCACCTTTGGACATAAGCTCTGCAAGGATTGCAGAGTTTGCTCTAAGCATGTTTGACGTTGGCATACTTGGTGTATTCGCATCTGCCAAAACGCCGGCTGGGACAGACTGAGAAGACTGGTCTGACATTATAGACAAGCGTGAACTATCAAGCATTGAAATATCCTCAGACCTTCTACGTTGTTTCTTTTCAACGTCTCTCGGAATAACGGCAATCGATGGGTTACCACCAGTTGAAGCTCTTGGTATTCTATTGCCTATAATCTGCCTTTGTTTATTATCATTCAAGGTATTGTAATTAATTGGTTCTAATGGCTTCCCGGTATCGAATTGTGAGAACCTCGCTGCACGTCCCTTCACAGATAATTTGGTATCTATTGGCTTATTCTTAGCTTCTTTGTTATTCGGGTATTGAGATGATTGCTGTAGCGCTTGAATTCTCTCAGATATTTTGTTATTCTGCGCTGGACCCATTGATGAACTTCGTAAAGAAGTAAGGACGACTGAAGTTAGAAGCAGCAATAATTTATATCAAGACTGAATATGTTTTATAACCTTATATAATATTACCAAATAATAGTCTATTCAATAATCTTCTTGAATATTTCCGCTCTGCATATTTAGCAAGCTGAATGAAACATTCTTCATACCTTCCATCGCTCAAACAGAACAAAACAGTATGTCGATTAATCGGATGTAGAATTAGCTTATCAATGGACATACATTCAGTAAGGCGAGAATCCACGCGTCTTTGACTAAAATTTTCTAATAATTCTAACACATCAATTACTTTACAAACATGGTTTATCTCCACCTAGATGATTCCATTCCTTTGTCATTTTTACTTCTGCTGTTCGTCAAATTTTGGCTGCTGTTACTTCTACTTGGGAACGCGCTATTTGTTCGAGATGATTGTAAGCTCGTGTTTTTACTAGCATGGATGCTTTGATTACTTCCATAAGCGCTGCTATTGCTACCAGTCTGACTTGCTGGTCTCTTTAGTATAGCTTTGACTTGATTATTTGGTGTCGTTGTACCACTGCTTGGGTTGCTAGCATACTTCTTATTCACAGCACCATTGCCTTTCTTCGTAACATTGATCTGCTTCCTTCCAAAAACCTTATCTTCATAGTCATTTGCATCTTTAGCCCACTGGTTGAGCAAAAAGACAACATTATTGGCCATCAAATCCAATTCAACTTGCTCCTTTGGCGACAACTTCTCTTCGTTTACCTGTTCAGCTTCCTCTTCAGATTGTAAAACGAGTAAATTGTCAAGTTTGTAAATCTCCTCATCATTGTACATCTCTGCTTGCTCGAGAGCACTACCGGCGTGTACACCTTCAAATACTCTCAACATACATGAGTGTAACATCATTTTGAGTTTGCGCAAAGATTCAAGTTCTTTCTTTTCTTTGATGGTACATTAGCAGAATCAATACCCCTGAGGTAACACTCACGTCCAAACAACACCACCCAATCATCAATGATAACTTGGTCGCCATCCTGTTTTATTTCAGCAGCACCAAAGAGAGCATACACCATGAGGTCCAACTTGGTGCACATTCTCAGCATAACTTGGGGTTCTCTTCCTGGTGGACCAGCCGAAAGATTTGAAACGTTCTTCGTTTTCTCTTGGAATGAAACAATATGCTTGTTGACATATTGTAACTGCTTGCTATAGCTAACCTCATCCTTTTCATTTCTTGGATGAAGAACCGAAGAACTATGAATGAAAACACTCTATGATATGTTAGAAAATCACCTTATAGGTGCTATCACACACCTTTTCAGCAGCTGTACGATGGTTACGGTCACCCGTCCTCAATGCGAAGTTTGGTGAGCAAGACATAGCGATAAGTGCAGCTAACATGGGTTTCGAATGCGCATTGACGTTAAGATAATCTGGAATAACTAATTCACCCTTTCTCAAGTTCTTTGCCTTATCTTGGCTCCCTACTTTGGCCTTGTTGAGTGCTGGATCAGAGGTAAGGAACTCAGTCAATTTGAGACTCTCCAGCGATTTATAGAGGTGTTCTTTAACTTGTCTAATCTGTAACAACGTTGCACGTGATAGGAAATTCTCATTGACGAAATCCCAGGCTTGGGAGTGCTTACCAGCACTATGGAGTCCCCACCAAGTTTCATATGCGTTGAGGATTGTAAATGGATCACTCTTGTATTCCCTTTGAGACCATTTTTGTTTCGCAGCGTTGGCCTCAGCGCGGAGATCAAGTGGAGCAACGAATGGGTCTCTATTTGTGAGTATAGCTGCTAAACTGAGTGCTGGATCTAAACACCTGAAGAATGTAGCATATAAGATCAACTTTCCAATTGGGGCCTCTATTGGTAATTGCAATAAAACCTTACCGAGGGATGTCAATTCCTTCTTCTTGTTGATAGCACCAATCAGGTAAAGCCTATCTAAAGCTAATTTAACCCTTTCAGGCGCAGGTGGCTCGATCGCCTGAGCCAAAACATCTTCGACTTCCAGACCAGGGAAATTTAGTGCTTTTACGCGCAATACAACTTCACTTAAATCCACTCTCTTCATTTCAACTGTTTGATGTGCAGCCAGTGATTCGTAGCGACGTTTAGATAAAACACCATAGTATTCACCTTCACGGTGTCTACCCGCTCTACCGGCACGTTGATTAAGGTTGGATTTACCTACCCATGCTGAAACCAGTTGACTCATATGCTTTTCAGCGTCATATCTTTTTTCTTTAACTCTAGCAGCATCAACGACGTATACGACATCAGGAATCGTAACCGAAGTCTCAGCAACATTTGTAGAAAGAATAATTCTCCTGATTCCTTCTTCGCAAGGTTCAAAAATCTTCTGTTGTTCTTGTACTGGTACGGATGAATGTAAAACATGAATTGAGTATTTACCACGATCGTTGAAGTCAACACCATAAAGCTTTTGTTCTTCGAGAATAGTCTGAACTGCTTTAATTTCATCCCATCCTGGCAAGAAAATAAGTATATGACCATCCTCATTCCTAGACAACCTTGCAACATGGGCTATAGTGAGTGCAACAAGTGGATAGGGTATTTCCAATTCATCACCACCCATTTCATCTTTGAATTCATTCTTCATATACTCCATTACGTTCTTCTCTTTAAATACCCATCCACCTTCTTTCTCTGGTAGAGTTTTCATTTCTTCCAGGTAATCATCCAAAAAGTACTTAGTCACTGGAAATGATCTACCTGGTATATCAGCTACTGGTGCAGGTACGTCATTATTAACTGAAGCGAAGTAATTTTGGAATAAATCTGAGTCGATTGTTGCAGACATTAAAATGACTTTCAGTGGTTTACCTCTTGCTTTTCTATCTGCTATTAAACGCTTGAGGACGACCAAAGTGAGATCAGTATCTACATCTCTCTCGTGTACTTCATCGACAACAACATGAGTGATATCGTCCAACATACCATATTTATCTTTTCCTTCAGTGCTATCTCCTGCGCTCTCTTCTAAAGCTGATTGCATGCGTCTCAAAAAGACACCAGTCGTACAAAATGTAATTGATCCATGAGGTTCTGGTTTCTTTGATTCGAACCTAACTTGATAACCAACTCTTTTGCCTAACTTCTCACCCCTTTCAGATGCAACTCTTTGTGCAACAGAAATGGCTGCGATACGTCTAGGCTGGGTGCAAAGAATGTTGCATTTTGCACCTCTACCATGTTGTATAGCATCGTCTAATATCAACTGTGGCATTTGTGTGGTCTTACCTGAACCAGTAGCAGCCATAAGGACTGTGATCATGTTGTCATTTATACTAGTTACAACTTCCTCCGCTTGTGTAAATATCGGAAGTGAGCCTCTTTGTTGACGTATCTTGTCAAATTGTTGATTTGTGTTGTAGAATTCTAAATCTTTAGACATTGACTTTGATTTGTTCTCTAAGTGCTTCTTTGCTGGCGGTCTGCGGGGCTTGAATTGCTTTGATGGGTTGTTTGCAGCATTTAATGGAGTAGATGAACGTGTGATCACATCCTCGTCTTCCTCATTGTATGGTCTCTTTGAGTATATCTTTGAGTCTTTCATGTTGCTAATGACACCGTTAAGGGTTTCTTGCACCCTATTCGAGGCGTGATAAGACATTGATACACCTTTGAAAGCATCCATGGCTGCTCTCTCTGCCTTTTTATTGGTCTCCTCTTTGATGCTATCCTGGAACAATTGCCACAGAGAGTTGTCACAGCTGTGTAGATACTTTGTTGCGTCAATGTAAGCTAATTGGTTTGCTTGCTTTTTATTTGGATAGTCTGCTCTACCCATTGTGAGACCATGAATTTTGAGGATAGAAGTCCAACCATCTGAGTGTTTCTTCTTACTCTTACCACTATTTACCATCCTCTGATGTGCATCAACTTTATGGCTAACATTGTATTTATTGCAATAGAATTCAACGAACTGTTTCGATATCTCAAAGTCAATAGCGGTCGTGTTATCTGATAAAAAGTGTGTAGAAGTCTTCTCTGTGGAGTTTTGCATTTCATTTGAAGTAAAATTACGTTCAGGGCTGTCTAACAAATCGAATGCCTTTAGTTGATATAAAGCGTCTAATGCAGCTACTTGTTCAGCCATTTTAGCGACTGGATTATCACCAAAACCTTCTATAACGCGATCTTGAGTTTGATCAACTCTAACGAATGATCTGTGGGTAATTTCATTAATAAATGTAGTCTATAGTAAGGTAACATACCTGTATAATAATTTGCCTTCTACTATACACGCTACATTCTGATAAGCAGGTGCAAAGCCATACTTTAACATAACGTAGTTTGCTATTGGAGACTTTGGGTTCTGCGTGAGATGAGATTTGAGATGCACATTTGGGTAGCTATCTTCTATATATTTTTTAGTGCGTCTAAGGCCATCGAAGTGTACGTAAGATTGTTGGTGCTCTTTCTGATATGGAGAAGATCTTCGCCATTGCTGAGATTTGTCTGCTGTATTCATATTTCTAGATAATTTAGGAGATTTATTAGTGAATGTAGATAAACTTTCTAATCTCCTCTTTGACATCCAACGAGAAGACAAAGCTTTAACAACTTCAACGAGGGTGTAATAAAAAAAATATGAATTATTTCACTATTTTAAGGAATATACAACATCCATGTAGGTATACTCTTTCTTATTCGCTTTTATAATAACTTCTCAGCTCGCACTTTCACTTCTTCGGCAGTAAATCTAGTCAGCAAGCGTAAACAACAGTCTAGACTGAAGAAGAAGACAAACATCGCTAGAAAGCAGGCTTTGATCGATGCAGAATCTAGCAACTTACCTTCAGCTGCTTTAGGATACGCACCAGGTCAAGAAGACGTATGGTCCAACTCAGAATTGTCAAAAATAATGCTCACTCCTCATCAAGTCTATAACAATATCGATAACGTATCTGGGAGAGCTTCTTTGGCTGAAATTACAGGCGTCCCAGATGATCCATCAGACGCTTTTCCAAACTTACAAATACCTAAACTATTAAGCAAACCAATGACGAAAGATGATTTATTGACAGTATACAAAACACTTCCGTCTTTGTCAGCTCAAAGGGGTCTCGGTGGATCAAGCTTACAATCAGATTTGGATATAGAGAAGATCATTCTGAATGAGAAGGAAAAGTTGGAAACTTTCAGTCGCTTAATTGATCTCAGAAATGCATCAGCAAAGGGTATAATGTTGGAGAACATCCGTAGATGCATATCCGTCTTTGGTGATGACCATATCAATGAGAAGGCCAAACATCCAACACACCAAGGTGACTCAGGAAAGATTGAAGTACAAGCTGCTATTTTGACCACTAGAATAAGAGCAATTGCTGATCACTTACATATAAACACCCGTGATATACAAAACAGACGCTCACTTTCACAATTAGTCCAACAACGAGCAAAATTACTCAAGTACCTCAAGAAACAATCATTAAACCGTTATGAGAGTGTTTTACCACGTCTTGGTCTCACATCTAAGGCTATTGAAATGGAAATCAAAGGAAAGCTAATCTGAGGAACACTCATGTATCATAAAAAACAAACAAACAAACCCCCTTGTAAAAACTATGGGTATAGAATATAATTCATTTCTTTAAATTGAGTAACAAAAATACTTATTAGGACACATACTAAAGAGAAACTAAAGCTCTAAGCGACACCGAGATGACGAAGGTTTTCCTCCTTTGCTGCTAATTCAGCTCTCTTCTCAGCAATTTCACGTTGGACACGTAATTCAATTTCTCTAAACTTTTCTTCTTCTCTACGTAATTGCTCTTCCTTGTAACGAACAGCTTCTGGGTCTTCACCATTTGAACCCATAGATGATGAGTTTCCAATTGGGTAATGTGATCCATCGCCAGTTGCAGTGCGTGAGAGCTTCTCAGTACGGTAGTTTTCATATAAGAAGTCATGAGTAATTTCTTTCAAATCAGTCAAATGTGAGCTAAGAAGAGCAGATCTCAGTCTTGAGAAATCTGAGTGAGCTGGGTCATCGACGTTTACGACACCCCATGGGTAACGACGAGCTCTAACGACTTCACCATCGATTGTCATCTCCTCCTCTGAACCAACGATCGCGAATGGAAGCATAGCCTGTGATGTGTTAAATAATGTCTCAGAAGGGAAAAGAAAAACTAACTCTCAATTCGGAGTTATCCATGACTGTTTCCTCATCATCCTCTTCGACATCGTATGGGAAAGAGTAAATTGGAATTTCGTAGTGTTCGATATCTTCCATGACGCGCTTTTTGAAAGTTTTCAACTCAGATGGAGTCAAAGAGTCAGCTTTACCAATGACAGGGATGACATTAACACGTGGGGATAATCTACGCATTAATTCAATATCCATTTCTCTCAATGAGTGACCAGTTGGTGGGATAAAGTAGAGTAAAGCGTGGACTCTGTTATCACGGAAGCGAGGGTTACGCTTGATACGTGACTCCTCAGCGAGAATGTCATCGTATTGACGTTCAAGGTAACCAACGATTTCTTGGAAGCTGTTTATCGTTAGTGAAACAAACCACGTGGCAGGAAGTATACGCACTTTGATTCGTTGTTGATGTTGTCACCAAAACCAGGAGTGTCTACGATAGTGAGTGCGATTCTAAAACCTTCCTCATCGAGTTCAACAGTGAGTGGCTTGATTTTGATACCCTCCTCGATGTGTGCTGTTTCTGGGCTGTCGTTTGCTTTGTGTTGGAGAACTTCAGATTCGCAGCTGGAGGGATGTTAGTAATGTCTAATAGCAAGCTATGAATGACTCACAGCGTGTTTACGAAAGTAGTACGTCCTGTACCAGATGCACCGACAACCATAACGGTGAATTGGAGACCCTTCTTGACGCTTTTGCGTCCTCTTCTTGCTGATGCCATCACTGTGAGAGTGTGAGCTGTGTACACGTATATTTACTCTCCACATACTCTTTTAGTACTGGAATGGGAACGAAGCCTCGCTCGAGCCTGTTGAAGGCGAGTTGATTTTATATTTTTTGTCTTTGGTATGAATAAATATAAATAAAAAAATTTAATCGTCTAGTACACTCTCGTCGAATTCATCTGGATTGTTGGTCTCTGCTGCGTTGTCTTCCTTCTCTATCTGCTGCTGTGTCTTGTTTGCTGCTTTAGTTTCTTGTATGGTTTTGTAAGCTAGTAGTTTGTTAAATATATTAAATAGCCTCTAATATACCCACCCTTCAACTCCTCGTTTAGTATTTCCTCGAGTTCACCCTTTTGTGTACCAATGTCTAGTTCTTTCACGGCAGCGAGAATGTGAGCTGCGTTTACTGTTTTATTACTCTTATCATGTGCCTTCTCTTGAGCAGCTGATGCTATTTTTTGTAAGCTAAACTCTCTTTCATAGGCCAAACAAACCCAAATAGTTGATAAATACCGAACTGCTCTTTTGTAGAGCGAGTAGTGTATCTTTCTGGAATTTTATACCATCTGGTACCTATATTACACGTGAATATACCGCAAGATTCAAATAAACACCACACTAACGCCTTCTTTCGCCAACTTTGTAACTGTGGACTTTGGCAGCTCAAAGTTGTCTATACCGTTAGACTCCTGGTCTTTAGATTTTCTAAGGTTTCTCTTTGGTTGGGCTGCTGCTGCCTGCATTGCCTGTGGCTGAGCTGGCTCTACAGCGATATTGATAGGTGATGACATTTCTGATTATAGAGATAAACTAAGGGGGGGAAATATAATAGTTTATTACGCATTCATCACATATAGTCAAAAATTAAGTTATACATTGTACTTCTTTAATACTCTAATCTCTACATCATTAGTTATGAATTTCGGATCTGATAATTCCAAATTATCAATCTCAGCTTTGAATACTTTGTTCATGTCTTGGTTTTGCATTGGATTTGACTGGTTGAGTGCACCTGAAAGTGCTGCAAGTGATTGCATATCCCTCACGCTATCAGTTTCTACGGAATGCATTAGATATTCCATATAACATAGGCGATGTTCGCCTATAAAGATACTCACTATTGCCGTCACCGAGGAGTAGCTTAAATACACTATTCAAACCGAACAAATTGAGGAAATACCAGCTTATACTACTAACATAACTAGCTGGCATGTCTGGTGTCATAATACCCCTTTGTAGCATCGCTTTAAATCCTCTAGTCAATGGGAATGGTAATTTAATCAAAACGAATCCACTAAAGAAGCTGTTTATCCATCCCATGATAACAGTCTGGGGAATGAACATAACCATCTGCTTTTTCATGCCATCCATCATGTTATCCATCTGATCTGGGTCGCTTAATGGATTTGGTGGTAGCTGTGGTTGATCACCCTCCTTCGGTGGTGCAACTTTGAGGTATTTACCATCCTTAAACGATTCTATTAGGTATTGTTTGCGCTTAACGAAAGCTGTATTAGTGAGCACTTTGCCATTTTGTCGGAGAATTGCTGAACGCATGAGTGAGCGTCTAGAATGTTGTTAGATTGTAAAAAGAGTCTATATATGACAACTAACTGCTCCCTAATACTCTTTATATCTTGTTTCTTTGGTGCACCGCCTAATAACTGTACTACATAATGCCTAAGCAAACCAACTAGTATCATGACCTACACCATAAATCAGCTATTCTATACGAAAGGTATAACACACCAATGTAATAGGGAATAACACCCAATCCCTTATCTGATCGTCTATATACAACGCAGGCGTGTCAAGCGAATACCTCATAGCAATTGAACAAGAAACAATGAAAAGTAATTTTAAGAAAAATGCATGCATTAACTTTTATCTTGAGGTACTCTCAAATCTGGACTGCTCAATGAAGTTGGTATAGGAGATTGCCAGGGTTCTTGTCCCCCTTGTTTGCCTTCTTGTTCGTTTCCCCGTTGTCCTTCCTGTGCACCTGTCTCTTTCAACAAGAATTCAACAAACAGTTGTCCAAACGATGCGTTGTCTTCTATATTCGTCATCGCAGGTCTTGTCCTTGAAGTACTCCGTCTAAAGTATGAAGAAGGCGAGTCAGGTGATGAAGGTATTGGGTATCTTGAGCTCTTAGGCGCGATTCCAGCTTGCTCACGTTCATATTGATTCCAACTCAAAATTGATGCGAGTAGGTTTAACATTTCAAATCTCTTTCCATCCGATCTAGGTGTTGTCACGAATTGCAAGAGAATATTAGACATCAGTTGACGATCGACTGAATCTGAAGTATTGTATTCTTTAAGGCGTTTCAATGCTTCCGTGAGATGTTCATTCAGAATCACAGCTATGTCATTTTAGTGAATGTTACTTAAAAATGAAAGCACTAATACACACCTTCATGCCTTACTTTCCCTATCAAAAGAGTTTTTTCTTTACACTCCTGCTCCAGTTCTGGCGTCCGTTCAGCATCTTGTCTAAATAACTCTAGATTTGCCTGTGTGGTGTTAAATAGACAATAAAACTCTCTAAGAACGAACCTTTGCATCTGCAACCTCCTTCCGTTGTTCCTCATTTTTCTCCTTGAGTTCCTTTAGTTGAAGCTCGTAGTGTTGTTTCAGCTCGTCAAACTCTTGTTGATTGGCTTAAATTGTATGTTAGAAAGCAGCCATTGAAAACACAATCTACGTACTCAATTGAGACTCGCTTAGTAGACTCTCCACATTTCTCAATGCCTTTTCGCTTTCTTGGAGACTACCATTCACACCCTTATACTCGTTCTTTATTGTTTCTAGTTCCTCGAGAAGGTCTTTATTACTCTCTAATGCACTCTCGCACCTGAGATGTTCCTCATCCGCTTGCGACTGCCATTCCTCTCTCTCCATCTTAACTTTATCGAGTATTTTCTCTAAATCCCTCAATCTGGATTGCATCTGAGATGATTCATCAGTGCTAGCTTTTTCTGAGCTGCTTATTCTAGCTCTGAGAGTGCTCAGATCGTTCGAGAGCTGAGCATTTCTGTCTTCCTGATCTTGTAAGGAACTCTCGAGTTCAGCAACTTTGGCCGTTTGCTTGTCATTAGTCTCTGTGAGTGCATTTATTTGTACCTCTCTTCTATCCAACTCTTCAGCATCTTCCTTTAACTTCTCCCCGAGTGTATCCCGCATACTTGATAATTTACCTAGGAGGTTTCTATATTGACCTTCTAACTTTAACTTATCAGCCTTAACTTGCTTTAATTCTGATAGTATCTTATCATCACCAGGTTCTCTAATTGCTTCAGTACTACCTCTCTCTGATTGCGCTGGCTCGGAGGATGTTGGTGCAGTTTCTACGTGAGAGTTATTTTCTTCATCTACACTTATACGAGCAGGAGCGTCCGATTGACTTTCCTCAGACGCCATCTTTTTTTCCTCTTACTACGTGGTGGTAAACAGTTGAGTGAATAGATATCAGATAGGGTGGATTAAGTGGATGTGATAATGAAACTGTAAGATGTATTGATCTATATAGCCAAGTTTATTATATGAACAAACTGCGTGTTACTGCATCGATTAACCAATTAGATCAATCGATCGATCGAGTGGTGTACTTAAACTTTGAAGACGCGTTACTCAATTGTACAGACCTGCACTTATTGTGGCTTTATACATAATGATTGTACCACAGTGTGACAAGACGTCAAACGCGACAAACATCAACACTCTCATAAATACCATGTATAGTTGTTGTAAATCACTAATTATTGATATTTGAACAATTTGCAGCAACATTTGAACAATACATCGATTATAAACTATAGACTCTGTTAAATCCCAAGACTGCAAATTTGACCTTTATCAGGTCTTTGGCAAATTATATCATCCGAGTGCGTCTTGAACGGCAAATTTAGTTATTCAAATTACAGAAAACTGTAATTCCATAATATTAATGCATCTTACAAAAAGAAAGCGCGATATTTCTTTGTTGATATTGCCAAATACGAGACAAATGCTAAGCATATCTTCCATTTTATCCTAATAACATTTGCCAAAAGGCTTATCTCTTTTCCTCGTTTTTTTGTATTCCTAAAACTATTTTCATGCTGCACTTTCGATATTATCGAGAGTATTGTTGATACAGTTAGTATTATCAAGCAAATCGCCAGCCAAGTTAACATTTGTTATATTTAGGCTTGAATGAAAAAAATTGTAATTATCCCTGTTATTGATTAGGTTGTCCCTACTTACCTTGATACCTACATGAGTTACCAAAAGCATTTCAAATCAATTCCACCGGGCATGTAACATTATATGTAAGCATGAGCTCCTTGGCGGTATCATCGAAGCAGACTGTTTAAGCCTGGCAGTGAGAAGCCATTTTTAATAAACTCTACAAGAATTCCGAATTTTGATAGTATGCTACGAACTCTCGTAGCAAGTTATACTAGATCCATCCTTGAAATTTCAGGCAAGAGCATGTGTGTCTTACCATAATCGCGCAAGTATAGACTCCTGATCGATATTTTTAAGATTAATAAACCCCCCCCAAAGCAATCTTTCTGAGTGAAACATCAGTTGTTTGTTCAATGCATGATAACAAAACCGCTGCATTCTTTTTGAGATGTGAATTCCTATCTAGTAGCTTAATTGTTTATATGAGTGCTTTGAGCGTTTTGAGCAGCAATCATCATCAGTGCTACTTTATTTTTTGGCCTCACCCAGGATGACTACTAAATCCAGTAAATAGTAGATTCCACATCGTCGAAGCGGTTACAGGATAGTGTTGGTTATGCTGCTGTCCAAATAAACACTAATAGTAATTTATTTGGTGATTTTTGAGGGGAAATCTTCTTTGTCTGTTTTGGATATCATCGAAAGATAAAGATATAAGAAGATAAGAGCTATTTCAGCATATGCTACCACAGCTGTATAGTATAAAGCTGTCCTTCTACTTACGTCTATTTCTAAGAATGGCTTGCTACCTTCCATTTCCCGTCAGACTTATCAGCCTGTTAAAGTGTAACATAAAATACTAGACTTTTGGTGATAATTTAATAGTTCGCATATCTGAAGATGTTCAACTTTAAAGTGTTACTACCTTCCACATCAAATCATCGCTTATCAGCTGACGCCCATCATCTCAAATGCGTTTCACGCTGCTTTTCGCACTTCTTTTTGCTTTGCTAGTGCTAGTTTCTGCACAGGATAATGACGACGATAATAACAATACCAGCGATGAACCTTCCAGCACGTCCGCCAATTCTTCGTCAGAAACAAACAGCAACAGCAGCTCAAGCAGCAGCACTGAATCTTCCAAACCGACACAGTCAGTATCTGAAGAAGCATCCTCTGCAGCTGGTAGGTTAGTCGCTGTCATAGAAACGTATTGACAGGTTACAGAACGCCCAGCTCCTTCCCCAGGTTCAGGAAGCAAGAACGCAGGACCAGACGATAATTATATAGCAGCATCTACAGCTACATCTATGAACATCGCTGGCGGTTTCGTGATTCTCTCGGGTATAACATCAGCTGGAGTTTTACTTTTATAACGATATTTATTACAATTAAAGGACAATGACAACTTTGTGGACAATATATTTATTTTATTATAGCAAATTCAGCCCTTTGATGGCAATGGAAGTGGTTTGGCATCTCCCTTTTCATTCTTATCTTCAGATTCTTCCTTTGACGTTACATTCTTTGGTTCTTCAGATGGCTGTACGCTTGCTTGGCTTAATGGGCTAGGTTTGAGTTTATTACTGTTGCCATTATTTCCTTGAATTTGCCTAGCTAGTGCTTTTCTCCGCGGAGAAAGGTTCATTTGCTGACAGAATCTACATTCCCATTGTAGATCGATATATTGCTCCCTAGGAACTAAACCATTGTGCTTTGCGCATTTCTCGCATATCAACGCATACCTCTGACTTATATCACCACTAGTAGAACTAGGATCGTCGCCGAGGATCACATCTGCAAGTCTGTCATACCATTTCCTTTCTCTAACAGGTGATGCAATTTGTTGCGGTATAATCTGCTGTGATGCTTTTCCTGGTGTAGTTGGTAGAGTGCCATCTGATTGTGGTATCTGCGGTTGCAATTTGTTTATTTGCATCTGTTGCATATTAGCTGGTGATGGGGTGCCAGGGGAGGGTGTTTGTGGTAGTTCTTTTGATGCCTTGCTTGGTGTGTTTGATGGAAGGGGAGTTGATAAGTGTTTTGCTTTCATAGGCGTGCTCGTCGGCGTCGAAGGTGTGACATCGTGGATGGTAATGCCCACAGTTGTTCCATACCTCTCTAAAAGACTTCTGGCCTCATTATATGGCGCCTTCACTTTTACTTCTTCGAGTGTCTTGACAAGTGAGGTATGCAAATCCCTCAGACGCGTTTCTTGGACAATGTCAGTAAATATGACATAAAAGCAGTTTATAACATACCTTCTTGTGAACCTATGCGTGTGTACCAACTCTTTGCGATGCGTCTGGCAAACAGTGTCCTGATATACTTCAGCTGAGTAGTGTATAAAGAGTGTCTACGCACATGAATGGACCGACTACCACTCCAGACCAGGCTAATAACTTATATAATCCACTGCCAACGCCATTCTCATCGACGGATATGAACCAATCGACTAAACCAAGATACCAGAAACCGAGGTATAGTGCCCATATAACTATCAAGGTGGTGGTAATCCATAAGCTAGCTCTACGCTCTCGCACTCTTATATCGGCCAGCTTGGCTTGATGTTCAATCACGTCGCTAGAGAGACCATTGAGTGTTGATTCAAAGTCAGTATTTTTATTCCTCTGTAATTTGAGTATCAGATTTGTACTATAGAGGAATATAAACTCTCACCCGCCTGAAGATTGAACTCAACATATCCTAGCTTTTGAAAGCGAACTATCAAGATTGAAATGGGAAAAAAGGATAAGAAAATTTCTGATAGCAAAGCTGCATCTAAAGTGGCAAAGAAGGAGAAAGCTGCAAAGTCAGCTGAAAAGCAGAGAGATAAGAAAGCGAAGAAGACGACAACAGATGGTGATGAAGAAGATTTAGAGGCTATTTTAGAGAAATATCAGAAGGAAATGCAGGAGGTTCGTCTATTCCGTGTCTTTATATCCCGTTAGCTGACGTATAATACTAAAGAACTTAAGCGTTACCGAGGAAATACTCGAAGAACCACCTAGTAGGAGAGCAAACGGTACTTTAACAGCCGATCCATCAGGTACTCATTTATGGCTTATCGGTGGTGATTACTACGACGGTCATCGTTTACATACATACCACAATGTCTATCGATTTGATCCAAACAAAGGCGATAAAGGTGAATGGAGGGAATATAAGAGTAAAAATGCACCTGCACCTCGTTCAGCTCATCAGACTGTCGCAACTGCACAAGGGGGTGGTAAATTATGGTTATTCGGTGGTGAATTCGCAGGTCATTCTACCTTCTACCATTTCAGTGATTTTTGGTCTTTTGACATTCAATCAAAGGAATGGGAGAGAATTGATACAAAAGTTAGACCTTCCGCACGTTCTGGACATCGTATGACTGTCTTTAAGAACTTTATCATTTTATACGGAGTGAGTAGACGTAAGTTTGTTATATAAGTCTAATCAAAGCATACCAGGGATTCCACGATACAGGTGTTAGAACCACTTATTTAGATGATCTCTGGATATTCTCTTTAGATGACTTTAAATGGAGAAAAATAGAATTTTCACCACTAGAACGCAAACCTTCTGCAAGATCAGGATTTTCATTCCTTCCATGTCCCGAACAAAATGAAGTTGTTGTTTTTGGAGGTAGGTTTCCTGGTTTTGTGATATAATGAAAATCTAATTATGTCTAGGTTTCTGTAAAACATACGAGAAAGGCAAAAGGCCAGTAGCTAAATCCTTGGATGACTGTTATGCTCTCAAGATAACGACTGACGAGAAGAATAATACGATTTTCAAGTGGGATCGTCGCAAAAAAGTCGGTTATGTACCGAGGTGGGGTTTCTCGACCAATGCCAATATTTTCTAACACACAGCAGCTTGCGTTCTGGTGCAACTATGGCATACTGGCAATCAAAGAATATGGGTGTTCTCTTTGCCGGTGTCTCAGACATTGACGACTCAGAGGAGTCCTTGCAATCTGTATTTCATAATGATCTGTAGGTTCTAAGCTACTTTATGAAATAACTAACCCGTTATAGCTTCGGATACAACCTTCTAGGTGGTGGTAAATGGCAATCACTTAACCTTCGCAAACCGAAGAAAGCAGGCACTAAGAAGAAAGCAGCAAAGAAGAGGGCAGCAAAAGCAGCAGCCACAGCGGAAAGTGACAGTGATAAAGGTGGTGAAAGTGGTAGCGAAGATGAACAACAACCACAGCAACCAGAAGAAGAGGTTATTATTGATGACCCTCAAAAGACTGTCCCTATGCCACGGTACAACGCCATGCTAGCGATACTGCGTAATACTCTGTTTGTGTGAGTAATATTAACATACTTTAGTCGTAAAACTCATTCGTTAATCACAGTTTCGGTGGAATCTTTGAACAAGGCACACAAGAGTTCACCCTTGATGATATGCACTCTCTTGCTCTTGATAAATTGGAAAGATTTAAGTGTATACAAGAATGCAATGTCGTAGGTATTGAGGATGAGCAAGATGATGATGACGAAGACGATGATGATGATGGAGAGGAAGACTATGAAGATGAGGAAGGTACACTCGAGAAGGGTACAGATAAGCAAGAGAATCTAGCTGAGACACAAGTAGAGCCGAATGAACAACCTGAAGAAGCTACGCAAGAAAACCCATCTGATCCGAATCAAGATGAGGGCTTACCACAACCTGGAGAAACACTCCGTCAATTCTTCGAACGTACAAAGGATAGATGGGTGGAAGTAGCATTACAAAAGATGCCAGAAGCTCAAGCAAAAGAATTGCGTGGTGTTGCTTTCAATCTCGCGGAAGAAAAGTACGAAGAACATAAACCAATTTTACGTGAAATCGAAGCAATGATTAGAGAGAGTGGAGCTGAACCAATAGCAGCTAAATCTCAACAGCAACCAGGTTCAACAAGCAGGAACCGTCGTTGAAAATAAAACACAAATGCATAACTTATAGATTAATTAATCATGTATAACTAAATTTGGATAAAGCTTATAGATTTGAGTTATTAAATGGGTCGCTCTTGGCATATGTCATTAATGGTAAAGACATTCTTGATATCTTTCTCCTTTGGTTATCGATAACTTCACGTTCCAACCAACCATCTTCAGGTATCTTCTTTTTATATTGTCCATGCAAATGGATTGCAAATATTGAGGACAATCTCTCTCTAAATTGTGACCAGTGGAGATCACTGTAGCTTGGGTCTTTCTCGAAAGGATCTGATATTCTATTATCCAACCTACAGCTTCTACCATCTGTGAAACAATATGGTAAGATTTCGAAAGGTTTTATAGGTGGATCGTTATTCAATAATCTACGATGAGTTTTATGATATAATAATGCGCCCCAATCTGTAGAACCTTGACGAGGTTCTTCATCATTTTGCATTATGTGCATCATTTCACAAAGATATGGTGAGTGTTTCTTGAAATGCATCATTGCACCATTTAGAGGTGAATATGGTTTGTCTAGAAGCGAGGTTTAGTAATATGATTTAATGATAAACGTACACTAACCATAGCAATCCCACTGTGTGACAAACTCATGTTCAAGTAATGGTTGAAGATCTCTTGTCATGATACTATCCATATCAACCCAAACACCACCATAGTTCCATAAAAGAAGAATCCTAACAACGTCACCATCTAACCATGCTCTTTGGTCATTCAAGTTGAGTCTATTGCTATCTTCCAATGGTGTACCTTTCGATAGATCCTTCAAATCAACGGTATCAACGGTGAAATGATGGGGGAAATCATGAAGATATTGATCAAGGAACTCTCCATTAAACCTTCTCAAATCTCCATTACTCCAGAGTTTAACATCAACGAAATCTAAATCCTGTGTTGCGAATATAGAATCAAGGAGAATTTTCTCCCTATATCCAAGAGCAGCAATGTCTGATCTCCAATATAAGTGAATTGTAGAGCGTACCTTCCCTTGTCCAGGTTGCATTTGCACTAAACGAGAGTGACCATAGCAATCAAAGCCATGCTTATACGCTAAACCGGATTGTAGTTGATTGTACTTGGGTGAAGTCAACTGACGCTCATCGTAAGCTTTGCTGATATTGTTAAAGCATCCTCCAAGTGGTTTTGTAGTTTTTATTTCTGTTTTTATCCATCCACGTCTGTATTTCGCTAATTCGATGTGGAGTTCAAAAGTCCAGAAGAAAAGTATCAAGCTGAAAGCTAAGAGTGCTAGCAACAATTTTGTAGCTAATCTAACACCCTTCCTATTCCTCCACTTGAACTTGCCATCCCTTGAAGACTTGAAGTCACGACTAGAGGCGTACTTTTTATGCATATTCCCCCTATGAGTTGGTAATATATTGCTCATCCTTCTAGTAGTAATCATGGTATATTATTCGCTGATCACTCCCTAGACCAGCTAAGTTCCTTATCAAAAGACTCAGATTAGCCGCAGTGAGTGAAACGCACAAATAAAAGACAAAAAATTAAATTAAATTAAATTATACTTTTGTTATAAAACAACACTTTAGAAACCTGGCACTTGGAATTTCCATCTACCTGGTTCACTTTCATAACTTATGAACGTCGTTCCAGGAACCTTCTTCAATCTATTCAAATGTGTCGATAACCTTGGATGGTTTTCCTCTTTGATGAACTCGCCAGTTGATTTATCTTTTGGCCAGCAACCGTCTAACTCAATCTCTGCTGATACGTTCAATCCTTGTCCTGGTGCTGGTTTGATCGGTGCGTTATTTGGATTATCTTCACCTTCTTCAACACTTTCTGGATATACATATACAACTTTATGTTCGAATGAGATTAAGTTTCCTTCAATAACCTCACTTAATCCATCCAAAGACGTTAAATCGACTGGTTCAAGGAAACGAATCTCACCAAAGCCTTTTCTACCAACTTTTAATCCTTCAACTGATTTGAGTTCTCTATAACTATACTTGTTGAGCTCGTCTAAACTTGGTATACAGTAGTATTCTCCGTCCTCGACTTGTGGTGTTGCTTCAACGCTAGCAACAGATGAGGCGAGTGTATGAGTAGATGGTGCTGGGCTTGCAGATGGGGTAGTTGATCTAACGAATTGTGAATTAGTTGATGTCTTCAATGGTGTGTTTTCATGTTGTGAAATCGTTGTACTATCACCCAGGCTATCTTGTGCTGCTTTTTCAAGGTGTGGGTTAAAGCTAACTTTTGCGCCGGCTTTAGATGGTGTAACGCCCGGTGATTGAATACCACCACTTGGTGAATCTGGTATAGGTTTACGGTCAATGACTAATTTCTTAACTGACGAGCGTGGCATGAATGCATTTGGCGACATGGCATTTTCACTTGGTAATCCACCCAATACACCTCCATTTGTTGAGGCTGCTGGTGATCCAGCTCTAGACAAACTGAGTGACCTTTGTGATGATCTTAAACCTCCATTTATACTCATACTTGGTGAAGATGGCGGCATGACTGATGCAGAGAAGTTTCCACTTGATGGTGAAAGTGGTGTACCTGGTGATGCTGCGAAACCTCTTAATCTGTTGAGTGGTCTAGCAGGTGAGCGAACACTTGCTGAAGCACTAAACACTGGTTTCTTTTTAGTTGAAGCAGCAGCAGCAGCAGCTCCACCGACTGCAACTGCATGTGGACCAATTGGTGGGTTTGGACCAAGATCAAACAGCGGATTGACACCATAAGGTGATTGATCAACAGATGCGCTCAAATTTGGTTGTGACTGCTGCAATGGATTTGATTGAGTAGACTGTCCAAAGAGACTACCGCCACCGAAACCAGTATTTGTTTGTGCTGGTTGCGTAGTTGATTGTCCAAATCCACCACCTGTGCCTGTACTGCCGAAAAGACCACCAGCAGGCTTAGGAGCAGTGGAAGCACCACCACCGAAAAGACCACCACCTCCGCTTGAGGTGTTAGTATTGGTACCGCCTCCAAAGAGACTTCCTCCTGTTCCTGCGGTGTTGGTGTTGTTAGTTGATGAACCCAATCCACCGCCAAATAATCCACCACCACCAGTTGCTCCAGTAGCTGTATTTGAGCCGAAGCCACCTAATCCACCAGTTGCTGGTTTGTTTTGTGCACCACCTAAGCCACCACCAAAGCTGAAACCACTGGATTGTTGTTGAGGTTGTTGTTGTTGTTGCTGTTGGTTGTTCTGTCCAAAGCTGAAGCCACTACCGCCTGAGCCAAATCCGCCAGTAGCTGGCGGTTGTTGCTGGTTTTGTTGGCCACCGAAGAGACCACCACCGGTCGTGCCAGCTGTACCCGTCGCACCAGTGCTTGATTGGTTTTGCCCGAATCCACCACCGAATCCAGTACCAGTGCCAGTACCAGTACCAGTGCCGGTTGTGTTCGTAGATCCAAAGCCACCACCGAAGCCTGATGTTGCTGGCTTGTTTTGCTGGCCGAAACCGCCACCACCAAATCCACTACCGAATCCAGTACCACTTTGTTGTTGGTTATTAGTTTGGCCGAATAAACCACCACCTGCAGCTGGTTGACTTGGTTGAGTCTGACCGAATAGACCGCCTCCAGCTGGCTGTGAGGGTTGTTGTGGCTGGCCAAATCCACCGGTAGAACCTGAGCCAAATCCACCTGAAGATTGGCCAAATGCTAAAAGAAGGTTAGTTGAGTTAAGGTTTACTATTTTAATACCCACGAGTGGTTGAAGGTGCTGCCCCGAATGCCGGCTTTTGTGCGGTCTGGCCGAATAAGCCGCCGCCTGTGCTTGGTTGAGCTGCTGGTGCGCCGAATCCACCTGTAGTAGTAGAAGTGTTAGATGGTTGACCTTGAGTTTGTGAGAAAAGCTAGAAACATCATAACAAACATACCGAAAGAGAAGCCTGTGCCACCAGTTGTGCCTGTGTTGCTGCCAAAACCGCCACCAGTGCTTGATTGACCAAACGGTGTGGATGCCGGAGGGTTACTCTGGCCAAAAGCAGAGCCACCACTAGTTCCACCACCAAATGGAGTACTAGTTGATGTAGATCCTTGAATTTTGTTAGAATGAAACAGATCGTTTCAGATATAAACCTACCAAAAAGAGAAGGTTTTGGTGGTTGCTGACCGAATGCACCTCCGGTAGCCGCACCACCACCAAATGGAGTGGACTGGGTATTCGATTGTCCAAATAATCCACCACCAGCTGCCGGTTGGCTTTGAGTTTGTCCGAATAGACCACCACCGGTTGATGAACCACCGAAGGCAGTGTTTTGTTGAGGTTGTGAAGCGCCAAATAAGCCACCCCCAGTGCCTTGGTTTGAACCGAATCCAGTGCCAGCTGATTGACCGAATGCGCTTGTGCCACCTGCAGGGTTTGAAGCGCCGAATGCACTACCAAAACCACCAGAAGTGGAGGCGCCAAAACCAGCAGTTGAAGGAGCCTGTGAGGAATTCTTTGTACCTCTGCTGTAATCCATAGTGCGTAACTCTTCGAATGAAAATGGCATAAATTTAGATTCTGTTGTAATTGAGTGGAATTTTACTCTATCTGTAATACGATCTGGGCCTTTAGGATCTTCTACACGCTGGTTAACCTCGAATGGATCTGTACCCTTGACTGTTGGTCTAATGAGATGTGAAGTGTCGTAAGTAGAAGGACTGACCGTCGTTAGAGGGGCCAGACAAGGAGCTGCCGAATGCACTTGAAGCTGGCTGACCGAAAGTAGAAGTAGACGCTGGGGCTGGGGCGCCAAAGGGAGAAGGATTTGCGGCGGGTGCGCTACCAAAAGAGAAGCCAGTAGATTGTTGAGGCGGTCTACTAGCGCCGAACAAACCAGTTGAAGGGGTATTAGCTGGCTGGCCAAACGCGCCTGTAGATGAACCGAAGCCGGTTGACGATGCACCTGAAGGACGGGGTGAGAGAGAGATAAACGGGCGAGCGACGTACCGAACGGAGGGTTCTGCGCTGGCTGGCCGAACGTAGACGGAGGTTGCTGCTGCTGTTGCTGTGGCTGCTGTCCAAAGCCAGCCGAACCGAATGCAGGGGTTGTGCTGCCAAAAGTAGAGCCAGAAGAGCCGAAGCCAGTACCGCCAGCACCAAAGGAGAAGCCAGACCTGTTTATTATGAGATATATTCTATTACTAGACGGGTGCTAACATTGAGATGGACGTAGATTGGAGAGAAAGAAAAGAAATATAAATAGGAGATAGAGACCAGAGTGTAAAAAATAGAATTATAAATTTATTTAAATTTTTTAATAGATCTCTATTGTGAGAATCTATCGTTATAGTCATTACGACGATGAATGAGTTGGATAAATATGAATTCCCTAACAAATCAAGCAATCACCATCTAGACAATTCTCCGCCAAGTCCAGGTACTTCCCCTAGGCAGTCCACCCAGCAAATTCCTCTGCGCTCCGCCATCTCGTCCTCTGACAGGGCTTTTCTCAGAGCGACAGGCCAGCAGCCATCGACGAGCACTACAAAGGTCATTCCTGCCTGCTTCAACAACCTCAACATCTACGACTACACGGACTCCCGCAGGAAATCTGTGGACGTCGGCGGTCTGGCCAGATCTAACAAAAACTCAAAGGATGGTCTAAGCGAGCTCATTGGCGATCTATTCAAAAAGTCTACGCACCTCAACGAAGAGGACGAGTTTCATTTTGATCCTTCGGTCGAAATTCCTAACAAATCTTTCTTGGTTGATAAACTGTCCACTTGGTCGTTCCAGCCGCTTAGTTTAACTAACGACGACTTATTCAATTGCGCTATAATTATTGTTGAGAGCGCTCTCACCTTGCCCTCGTTATCACAACTCAACTTGTCCCAGTTCATTCCTTTCTTGGTAGCCGTTCGTAAATCGTACAGCGCTCCAAATGCTTATCACAACTACACTCACGCAATTGATGTTCTACAAGCAACTTACTCGTTCCTCGTTTTGCTTCAAGTCGCTCCACCTATCAGCAACCTGAACAGTCATGAACCATGGCAAAGGTCTCAGACCGGTTTAGCTTCAACTTTACTCTCAGATTGGGATGTTCTTTCTCTATTAATTTCGGCTATCGGTCATGATGTCGGTCATCCTGGTTTAAACAATACTTTTATGGTCAGTTATACCTCTATTTAACAACTCTCTCTAATACCCCATAGAATAACGCCCAAACACCGTTGTCAGAGATTTATCAATCAAAGTCAGTTTTAGAGAATATGCATTGTTTCCTCCTCGTTCAATTACTCAGGAAACACAACCTCGGTTTTCTTATTGGCGCTTCTTCCGTCTCTTCATTATCTCCATTTGACGTTATAGATATTACTGACGATCACTACGATAGTGTCGAAACTAACCAATTAAAAAGAGCGTCCGCGAAAGCTGAATCAGAGGTAACTGCGATGGCTACAGCAACCCCAAATTCTCCAACAACTCCAACAACTTCTGCAGCTCCAAAGGAGAATAAAACTACACACGATGCTAGAAAATTCCGTAACTTAATGTCAAAAACCGTTTTAGCAACTGACATGAGTCTCCACTTTGACTTTATGAAAATGTTGACAGACATGCGCGAACGTAGATTAAATGGGAAAGAATGCGATGAAGATTTAGACAGGACTTTATTATTACAAGCTTTGATAAAGTGCGCTGATATTAGCAACCCTGCCCGCCCTTATCACGTCTGTGAGCACTGGTCTAAAGCTTTACTCGAAGAGTGGGCAAAACAAGCTGCCTTGGAAACTCAACTTAGTTTGCCTGTCACTGTATTCAGTAGTGCTGATCCAGTTTCACAAGCTAAGTCTCAAGTCAGCTTTATTGATATGTTTGTCCAACCATTATTTCAAACTTTATCAGATTTCTTACCGGGTGGGTTGACTTCTAAGTTTAAGCTACTTTATTAACAATTTTCTCAGGTATGAAAGGTGTTTTAGAACATTGTAAAAAGAATAAGGAAAGATGGTTATCGAAGACAGAGAAATCTGAGTCACAGAAAACTTCACCTCCACAAGCTACACAATCTTCACCATTAGTTATGTCTAGAAATGTTTCAATAAGCAGCCAAGGTGGTACGATAAGTGGTATTAACTCTCATAGATCATCCTTGTCAGGTGCAGCCCCCCATCACATGTTCTCGGCATCATGTTGCGCCGGTTCAACACCGTTAATGAGCCCGTCAGCTGAGATCAATTTGCAATTCAGTCGTAGATCATCAACAGCGAAGCCAATAGCAATTCCAAGCCGTAGATCATCTTCAATTTCAACTGATGATTCTGGAATAATGCGTCAAACAGAGGCCAAACAGTTTATTAATGATGTTAGTAAACCATCTTCAACAGCGCCGGCATCAAACGCTAGCGTAACAGCATTTGATCCTAGGTTTAGACAGTTGTTCCCACTTTCACTCCCTCAAGCTTTGTCAGTTAATGCTAACGATGGCGATGAGCTTGGTGGTCAATTAAGGTCAGTTTCACCTGGCCATAGACAGAGTCGTTATAGAGTTAGCTGGCCTGCATCACCTTACTCATGTGGTTTCAATTAAAGGAATCCTTTTTGGCATTATTTAACATCATTTTTGGCATATTTATTAACTTATAACACCAGCATCATCAGGCAACATCATCTTTGCATCATTCATACACGAATCTCTCATTATTTTTATTCTTATAGACACATGCAAATAGACGCAAGATCACAATTTATATAGAAATCCCAGAACATCAAAGAGCAACTATTAAGCGCATAATCGTAGTTTTATTTTTCGTTAATTTAAAGTGTTCATCTAAATTTTGTTTATAGACGTTTTATTTAAACAACTGGTATATGTGTGGGGTATTATTGTTGTGTGTATGTAATATTTAATCTTGTTTCGCTGGTTCTATATCGATGGTATGTTCTTCGTATCTATCTTCTTTTGGCTTATCTTGGCTATCTTCCATATCATATTCATCATCGCTAAGAGTTTCTTCATTGTCGTAGTCACTTTTATTAAATACCCGTATTAATCGCCTTATTAGTGTAACTGATAGGGTAATAACTAGAAACGCGAGTAGATTATCTCCTAAACAAACTTCTTCCCCATTTATTAAAACCATTAGTCTTGAATTAATAGGGCATTGTAATCCACTGTAATCCCCCCAAAACGCTATCTTACGGTAGTCCATAAATGAGGTAAAACTGGGCGAGTACCTGAGGACACGAAATTAGCAAAACGTCCGCATATAAAAAACCGTAAACAAAACAAAATAATTATTTAAAATATTTTATAACTTATATCATTAATGAAATACTTTAAATGAGTAGATGTCTGTATCATAAGTGATATCCACGATGTCTTACCATAAATAGCTCACATTATTTAATATGGTATATACTATTAATAGAATAGAAAATTATATTACGAGATATCTTCATCATAAAACCATTCTTTATGTCATTTATTATCTTATCGACTAGTGTGATCTTGACGAGAATTAGAGGTCTCATTGACAAACAATTGTATGTCATATTAAAATCACATCAGATATCTACTTAACATATTATGCAATGAGCCATATTATCAGCAAAAGCCATTATACTACACACACACCTTGATAGCAATTATGAGACTGTATATTGATATGTGAAGAACCATAAAATTAGCAACCACTACATATAAAAAAGCAATGCTAGTGTAACCTATGAGCCTTACAGAACCTTTATATATGTTGACGAAAGAAGATTTCATTATACATATTACAATAGCACACCTTCACAATCTCAAATATCATAGACTACTTTGGATTTCAAATAAATAAATAAAAACTTTGAACTTATATTAGCGACACCATTTATTTCAACTGCTTCGGTCATAAAAGTAAAAAGCAAGCAAAAGAAAATGCAAAAGTTAATTCGGATACCGGGAATCGAACCCGGAGCTTCGGTGGTTATTCAACTGAAAAACCGATAGGTTAGCCGCTACCCCATATCCGATGTTGAGAATTACTAATATTCGTAAATCAAATATCTGAAAGCATAAAACCGTGACGTCATCATCAAGTTCTTGGATTGTCGTAAATATAAGAAATCTGTGAATTGATAGATTCGCATGAAGTTACAAACCACTGGTTCCATTAGTGCAGCCCATAACCGCTAAGTGGCCTGTGGATCCATTACTAAAAGTAACGAGTTTAGCCATTTTAGAGCAATTAAAATGTTCAGCAATGTTAGTCAAAGCGGAAGCAAACTTTTGTTCGACTTTGTAATAAGTACATTAGGACGAGATCGAGATCGTAGCACGTGGTTGATAGAAATGATTGAAACATTTTAGCAATGCTTAATAGATATATTTGCAGTAATTTCTTTTGCTTGAAACATACCTTAAAAAGGACCTATGTAATATAGTTGACTCGCTCTCCACCACGTCACATCACCACCATTGGGTTAAATAGACACAATCATCTCTAATATAGAAAATGTCAACACCACTACCAGGATCATCTGACGTTATCATCAAGGAAGGACCATTCGTATATCTTAGTGATTGGGATGGAACTATCACTACACAAGATTCAAATGACTATCTAATCGATAACTTCGGTATGGGTAAGGAAAACAGAGAGAAACTCAATGAGGATATTCTCTCACACAAGCTTAACTTCCGCGATGCATTCTACGAGATGCTTAGAAGTGTCAGCAAGGCGAAATCATTCTACGAATGTATGGAAATCCTCAAAAGAGGTATGTCATTCTATTTATAGCATAATATGCAACTGATTATCATTGTAGACATCGTACTCGACCCAGGTTTCAGTGACTTCTACTTCTGGGCTAAGATGAATAATATACCGGTCATTATCGTATCCTCCGGTATGGCACCATTCATTAGAAGCGTTCTCTCAAAGTTAATCGGTGAGGAGGAAGCTAAAAACATCGATATTATTTCAAACGATGTCAAGTTCAACGACCCAGAAGGTAAAGATTGGGAGATTGTCTATAGACATCCAGAATCAGGATTCGGACATGACAAGTCAAAGGCTATCTTACCTTACAGGGATCTGCCTCAACCACCTACGCTCTTCTTTAGTGGTGATGGTGTCAGTGATATGAGTGCAGCCAAACACGCTGATCACCTCTATGTTCGTAAAGAAAAGGACTTAGAGAAGTACTGCGTTGCTCAGAATATCCCATACACACCATTTGACACCTTTACGAACATCAAGAACTATGTTATTGACGCTATCAATAAGAAAGAATAAACTGGACAATAATACATCAGAATTTTCACCTCTAAGAGCTCTGGTGATGCGTGCAATATTTTATTATCTATGTGAATATGTGCTATGTATAAATAAACTTTAAGTTGTTCAGATACTCTATGTTCAATTTACTAAGAAATACATTAAATCCATAACGTTACAATTAAATAAGTATTAGTAGTGTCTATTCATTATCATTTCATGTCCTTTTTATTGTAATTCTTCAATTTCTATGTCATCATCGTCAAGATCGTCGCTTAAGTCGTCTTCATCCATGTCAACGACTCCTTCATGATTTGGTTTAACGTAAAGTCTGTTTCTTGGTGGATCAAAGGTAATCTCAACGGTCTCACCATCCAATACTCTCTCTGAAAGTATGAGTGATGAGAGTGGTGTGAGTATCTCTTGTTGAATAGAGCGGTTGAGTGGACGGGCACCATAAACAGGGTTGAATCCGACAGATGCCAAGTAATGCTTAGCTGCATCATCGACATTGAGTTTAATATTTTTGCCATTTCCTTTCATGCGTTTCTGTATTTCATCCAGACGGATGTCAACAATCTTTCTGACATCTCCCAATGCAAGGTTTCTGAATATGATAATTTCATCCTAAAATCAAGTCAGTTGTTATCTCGCAAATGTGTGTAACACTTACAATTCTGTTGACGAATTCAGGTGGGAAGTGCGCTTGTACCGAATTCATTACTAGTGCTTTAGCTTCAGCTGGTGTGCCACCATCTTCTCCTGCGAGTTCTGCCAAATGGGATGCACCGAGGTTAGATGTCATTATAAGAACGCAGTTGTTGAAGTTGACAGTTCTACCTTGGCCGTCCGTACATCTACCTTCATCGAGAATTTGGAGGAGTAAGACGATGAACTCTCTACAAGCCTTTTCGATTTCATCTATCAAGATGACTGAATATGGCTTTCTTCTCACATATTCTGTCAATTGACCGCCTTCACCATGTCCAACATAACCTGGTGGTGCACCGATTAATCTTGAAATTGAATGTTTCTCACTGAATTCTGAGCTATCAATTCTCATCATTGCTTGCTCACTGTCAAATAACAACTGTGCGAGTTGCTTTGAAAGTAATGTTTTACCCGTACCACTAGGTCCACAGAAAAGGAAGCTTGCAATAGGGCGCTGAGCATTTGATAAGCCAGATCTTGACAATCTGATAGCATTTGCTACGCTTTTGACTGCTTCCGGTTGTCCTACTACATTCTTCGCGAGAAGTTTTTCCAATTTAAGGAGCTTTTCTTTTTCGGTTGTCTGTATGCGAGTTGCAGGAACGCCAGTCCATCTTGCAACAACTTCACCAATTTGATCAGGCGTTACGATACTTGTTGCTTGTCCTTCAGCTGCCTCCTCTTCATTCTTCTTGAGTTCCATCATTTCGATCTTCTTCTTAAGATCTGGAATTGCATAGAATCTTATATCGGAGGACGTTGCCAAATCGTATCTACGTTCAGCTGCATCGGCTTTAGCTGTGAGTTCTTCTACCTTCCTTCTTGCTTCATTGATTTCATCATCACGTCTCTTGGATGCTTCATGAGCTGCTTTCAATGGCTTGAGCTCTTCATCTATGCCAGCCAATGACTTCTTCGCTTCTTCGAGATTAGCTTTCGATTCCTTGTCACTTTCTCTAGAGAGTGCGTGAATGGCTACTTGTAATTGCAGTTTCGATCTTTCCAGTTGGTCGACTTGTTCTGGAACTGTTTCTCTAGCGACTCTGACACCAGCACATGCTTCATCAATCAAATCGATAGCTGCATCTGGTAATTTTCGTCCAGTCAAGTATCGTTTTGCGAGTGTAGATGAAGCAACCAGTGCTGAATCAAGTATACGGACACCATGATGGACTTCCAATTTATGTGAAATACCTCTAAGGATAGTGATTGATTCATTGACGGATGGCTCATTAACTAAGACTTGTTGTAAACGTCTTTCAAATGCAGCATCCTTTTCGATATGTTGTCTGAATTCGTTCAATGTAGTTGCACCGATCAATCTGATCTTTCCTCGAGCCAACATTGGTTTAAACAAGTTAGCTGCATCCATTCCACCAGAACTATCACCAGAGCCGGTCATAAGGAGGTGTATCTCGTCACAGAAGAGTATAACTGGATTACCTTGATCACCGAGTTTTTCAATTTCATCAAGAACACTTTTAACGCGCTCTTCGTACTCTCCCTTGTACTTGGCTCCAGCCATCAATGCACCTGCATCCAAACTAAATAATTTGCCTAGCAAGCTTGCTGGTACGTCTCTATTCACAATTCTTTGTGCTAGACCTTCAACGACTGCTGTTTTACCAACACCTGGTTCACCAATCAAGACAGGGTTTGATTTTGTACGTCTGCAAAGTACTCTAATGACTATGATTCTTGTAAGTATATTCGAATTTGTATACAGAAGATACACTTACCTCTTCTAATTTCGTTATCACGTCCAATGACAGGATCTAAACGACCTGCTTCTGCTTCACCGGTGAGATCAGTTGCGTATTTGTTGAGTGCATCAAAGCCTTCCTCTGCATTTGGACGGTCGACGCGTCTTCCGCCTCGCTGTTGGTTGAGAGCACTCTCTACAGTCTTCGTACTACTCAATCCAACATTCTTGAGTGCTTGTATGATAGTGCTATCCTCCAAAAGTGCTGAAATTAGGTGATCTTGAGCAACATATGTGTCATGTTGGTTTTTCATAATATCTGAAGCTCTCCTTAGTATCTTGCTAGTACCAGGCGCTAATGTAATATCGTCTGGCACTGGTTCTTGTACTGGTACTTTGACGATAAGCTTTTGAAATTCTCTGTTGGCTGATTGTTTATCTACGCCCGCTCGTTCTAATGCTGTTGCAAACAATGAGGGAGAAGTACCCTCCGGTCTTGTAGGATCATTGAGTAAGACGCTGGCTAAGTGTGCAGGGTAGACCATAGCATTACTGTTCTCTCTCGCTAGTTCCACAGCGAGAGTGAGTGATTCACGTGCTTTATCTGTAAAGTTTGTGCTCATTATGTGTGTGTTAGATGTTGATTGAACGTGTCTAAGAAGTTGGCGCCGACTTTTATTCAATGACGAAATATTCCTGAAGTGCCTAGAAGCTTACAGGTGGGTAATAGTAAATAAGGAAGTTTTTGAATTGTACTAGAAAATGTATTATATATCTACTGTTACAGAACGAACGAATGAAATATCAAGATAGAAATCTATAGAATATTATAGAAAGTTGAGTGAATAACTACTAAGCTAATCACTATATAGTAGTCTTAGTGATTACATTTCACTCATATCACATCTTCTTTTACTACCCCCAATGTTGACTTCAGACCAAAATACCACATCGACTAGAATGACGCGACAGACAGCCAGCAAACGCAGCTGGTGCCCACCACCAGATCAAATAACGTATAGAGAGTTATTACGCTTTGAAGAGCGTTTAAAACAGAATGCAACGGCGCTCCGTAAGCGTAGACGGAGGTATGAGTGTAAGTAAAGTGAACGTTATAGGTCTATTTTACTTAGGATTAAAGTATTTCTACTTTTTCTGATATCAACTTCTGCTGTTCTTGCGTGGAATGTAATAGATAAGCAAAACGTGGGTTGATTAGCATTCAAACATCGATAAGATGCTCACACGTTTATAGAGGCAAACGTACAGGGGATATGCTTATATGACGATGCTCACCATCACTCTCACCACTCTCATTCTCTTCTTTGTGTCTGGAGTCTATTCTGAACGCATCACATATGCAAATAGGTGTGTATAATGTCATTAATATTGGCACTCTCACTTACAGTCTTCTAGATACGTCCCACATTGCAATAGGGCACTCAGATCGTTCAATATGGCACTCAATATGCGCCTTATGAGCCCGTCAACTCCTTTTTCACTCTTCAGGCGGCCCGCAAAAGCTGCAAAGGTTGCTTCACAACAGCGTCAGAAGGCCATGTCTAGTTTACCACCAACGACGAACCCTCGCGGCGAGCTCGTCTTTAGTCATCGTGTTGATAAGAGTTTCAGGGACGGTTATGACAAATACAGGGCAGCATTCGAGCGTAAGAGAACGCAAGCATTAGCTGCAAAAAATACATCAAAAATGCCCCAGGTAAACGTAAATATACCTCGCCAAACAGCCCCCCATAATCGCAATGAAAGTTTCAGTTTTCTCCTCAATGATAAAGCAGCCAAGCAATGAGATAGGATTAATACAGATATGCATGAAAGTTCGTATTAAAGAATTAGAGAAAGTGGAAAATCTTATTTGTCTGAATTGTTTGTAGTGCTGTGCTGTTGGGATAGTTGAGGTTCGAGTGATGCTAACAATGCTTCGATTTCTTCTTGATGCGAATTATTTCTGCTTTGGTTGTTTGGTTGATAGTTATCTATTGATTGCGCATGATTGTGTGTACTATGCGACTCTTTTATTCTCTGAAGTTCCCTTTCACGAGCTCTTTGGAATTCCATCCTGGCCCATGTTGTACTCCTATGATGCGAGTACGGTGTAGCGGGTGAACTTTGTACTTCTTCACTTTCGCTTTCGTCTTGCTCGACAACATCATAATCATCATCATTTGTTAACCAACTCTTTGGTAGAATGTAAGAAAGCCAACTACTGATACCAGAAGGCGCCTTGTTTATACTATTTTGATTAGATAAAGGCGTCTGAGGTAACGTCGGTGATGCCCACGTTGATGGGTTGAAGGGGTAGTATAAAATCGCTGGGATAGAATTGGCGAGGTTGCTAGGCGGTGTACTCCTCGACGGACTCGATGGTCGGCCCTGTCCAGCTTGATTGGCTGTGAAAGGCAGAAGTGGTATCTGTTGACCACGCCAATCGAAGAAGTGCGAATCAGGGAAGAAATACGCAGGAGGTGGGAATTGATGGTTTTGGCGCAATCCGCTGGTACCACGTCTTCTGAAAAAGACTAATCTGAGGATACCAATGAAGAGTACGAATCCACCAATGAGGAGCAAACCTCTGCCCCATCTACCAAGGAAAGTAATAAATCCAGCATCATCTGCGTGCCAACTAGAGCCGTAATAATGATCAAAGAAGCTATCTGGCACGGTTCCATCCTTGGCGTTCTTGCCGTAAAGACTCTTTGGAATGACACGGACAGCGTCCCTATCGTGTATGACATCAGGGTGATTTCCCATCCAAAAACCGTAGATTGTTGAAATAAACATAGGTCCCGTAGAGAACATAACAGTTGGGTAGTGTGTGAAGTATTTGTGGTTGAACGTCTGCAAGTTGTGTATCACACTTTCCATAAATGAACTCTTGCGCTCAGAGAACATCAAGTCATTTGAAACGCCTACTGGGATTGTCTTGGCGAGGACGACTGGATATTGGAGGAGAGGATCGATGCGTCTTCTGCAACCAATATCGAGATCTATATAAGTACCTCCGTAATGATAGAGAATAAAGTAGCGTATGCTATCTGCGCGCTGTATGTTGTATGGATAACTCTTGACTATGCGGTGTAAACGGAAGCAATCCAAAAACATGAATACTCACAAGTGGGGACAAACCAAGGGTATTCCTTTTCTAGAAATTCGAGAGACATCGCGTCTGTCCACAAGATATGCTCGTAATCGCTGTGCATGTCCATGCAGCCGTCCCTAACAACTCTCCACATTTCTGGGAGGTTGTTGTCCTTCCAAGTCCAGTGTAAAATCCTCGGAATAGTCTCGTTCTTGTCTCTACGTGGCTCTACGTGATAAGCAAAACCATCGTATTCACCCCAAGTTGCATTTGTGATATCACTCGGTTGCTGGTGAGGATTCTGTGGAAAAGCTGGCATATCGACGGGATACGGGTGTAGGAGTGCATCTGACGGTACAGCATAGTAGCTGGCCAGGGCTGTGAGTACAGTGAATGTACAGAAGAGGAACACGCCTAATAATATCACGGTTATTGCAAGTGCGCGCCGTGTGAACATTAAGGACGTTTTTTTTCGTTAGTACGGAATTTCTATGGGGATCTTGGTTGCAAGTTATTAGGAAGCCCAAGCCTCAGGGCAGAGAACGCCGGATGACCGATTTTGAATTATTTATGTCTATAAGATAATTTGTATATAATTTTATTTATAAGATAGTTCATTTATCTTTCTAGCTTTCTCGTAGCTGCTCTGGCTTCAAATTTCTATTGAATAATGGATCCTAGATTTATAGGAGACCTGAGTTCAAATTACTAGACGCTTCGACACTCAGTTAACTGCATCCATTATTCTTCAATACGTCACTTATCCCCCGTGGGGCAACCCTACTCTTTCTTTCGTCTTAACAGTGAGCGATGCTGAACCCAAGGCCAAAGTTACCACACACAAAATCAACTGCGAAAGCATTTAAACCGCATATTTCATTAGGAAGGTCCGTTCTGCTCCCTCAATAGACTCACCTTCTGATTCGATGACATAGCGTTCCACAAACGCCATCTTCAAGACCATTCGATCCACGACTGCTGCTAGGACAGACGCCTACATCTCCCAAACTTCTTGCCGCTTTGGGTAGACTGGCGACTGCGATAGACACTGCATTTCCGAAAGTAGAGGCTCACCCACACAATGTCTGGTTTAGATACGTTGACCTCGGTTTGTCACTCGGATTCAGGCCAATTGATGACTACGTCCCCGCTGAGGGTGAGGACGTTGAAAATTTGGACTTTGCGCGACTCATTTTGGCAGAAGTGACGCTCTATAACTCACATAAGCTACAGCAAGACCCACCATTCCCCTTCCTTCCATTAACTATTCCTCCACCACGTTCGGCGAGTCAAGCAACCACCCCAGCTGTCTCACGGAGCAACAGCGTCAGTTCAAACGCATCTGGCAAGTCGTTCGTTAGTGGGGATGGTCGCTGGCCTGCTCCACCCTCCCTCACACCCGTGTCATCCAGCTTTGGAAGTCTCGGTGGCGGTCTAGCCGGTGGTTTAGCAGCCGGTTTGGCTGGTATGTCGACGCTAGACAGCGACAAGCCGTCTACACCTGGTACGCCTGGATATGAACCGCCTAGAGGCTCTGTAGAACTTACCGAGACCTCAAAGTTGCAAAATTTCATGAAAACTCTCGGTGATCCTCAAGAATCATATTCTGAGCCAACGCCCAACAATGATGTCGCACATGCACCTCGCACGCAAGTAGTTAAGAACTGGCCACGATATGCGATCAAAGCACAATTCGCAGCTCCTCCGGAGAGCGATTTTAGCAGGCAGATGGAAGCTAGGTGGCTCACGGTTCGCATTTCAGATGCAGATGGCTTCGAAGAAGACCCACCGGAGAAGGAGATCGTTGGTGTAATGGAATAAATGAATTGACGCGCTAATTGTACAATTAATGACATTATCTAGTATGGCTGATGACGATTCTTCTTTGCTGAATTAAGTTGGCTTGACTTTCTATATCCGATTTCGTTATGATTGATCTTCGTTTGAGATTTAGTGAGTGTTATTGGTCTATTACCGACGTATTTGCCGTCAAACTCTTTCCAGGCTTTGAGGAAATCCTCTGGATCAGCGAATGCAATGAAACCGTACTTTGCCTTGTTTGAAATCTTGTCACGTACGACTCTGGACTTTGTGTAGCTCTTGAATTTCGAGAACGTCTCATCAAGAAGCTGTTCGGTAACGTCATTTGAGATATTTCCTACAAAAAGCCTATAATGGGCTAATATAATGAGCAGATAGGTTAATACGATACTAGCACTCACATGGGTCCCAATCTAACAGCGTCGGATCCTCCCATTGCTGACCTGCACCCTTACGAAGAACAGTCTTGCGCTTATCGCCCTTGTTCATCTTCTGGGCGGTAGATTTTGATTTAAATGAGGCTGTAGTAGGCACATAGGCAGATTGCTGGTTCAGTGTTTGATCGCCGCTGTATGACATCGTTTTTTATGATGATAGTCGGAGTGCAAGAAGTTTCTTGAACAGCGACAGTGATGTCTGCTATAAGAAGAGCAATAGTGCCTGGTCTGAGATCTTACAGCAATAAAGCCAGCACTTCTCAGGCTAAGAACACGCCACAAGATCAGACAAAGGGAGATAAAGTACCGGAGAAAAAGAAGTCGATAAAGGAGATAGACGATGAGATGATCTCCAAGCTCAAAGATAGGGATACAGGTCAGGAGGAGATCGAAGAGGGTGAGTATTCTTATCTCCAGATATACACACTCTATAACAAGAACTCTAGGCAACATTGAGGGTGGACTTAAGCATCATGTACGAGCACAGAAATTTAGATTGATTTAGACGTTTTTGACTGTTGGCTGTCCTTTCTAAGATACGACGATGAACTCCGCGAGGAGATACGAAGATGACGACAGACTGAACGATCTAGAGAGTAGTTTATCTACTATACACCAGCAATCTCTGCTTATAAACCAGGAATCCGGCGAACAAGTCGGTTTACTAGACAATCTTTCGAATTTCATAGATAGTATCAACAACAAGATGGCAGGGAGTAAGAAATACTTCGATAAACTGAGTAGAACGAGTAGGTCACCTCGATATTCCTTTATCTCCACTTACAGCGTATAGATGACAAGCAGAGCATATGTATAGTCGTGCTTATTGTAATACTAGTTATACTATTTATCGTCCTAATATCAATTTAATACCTCTTAGATTCTTACCACCATCATTGTATTATGATATGATTATCAACAGCTTAAACGGCGTGATCACAGAGCCTGGCAGTCTAGACGAAAATAGTCTGCTATTAGACGACGCAGGTAACGAAGTGGAAAGCTTATCTACAGACCAGATCGTTTATCTCTTCAATCGTCATCAACTTAAGTCATTTTACAAAGATAGCGTGAGGTTGTATACGACGCCGTTACATACGCTGAGCGACTATATTGCTGCATCACACTATCATCTTGGTCAATCCCAGCATTTACACACCACCTCTGTCAATAGGCACAACAGCATACGAGTCGCTTTGAACTTTATAAAGAGACAGCTATCACTACTAGACGAACTGAGGAGCGACTTTGATACATCTTCAACAACGCTTCTACAACAACACTCCGCTTTATTGCATCATCATCAATTCCACATGCACCTCGTAGCGAACATTCCCATTAGTCCCAAGCTAGAAAAAAGAAAAGAGCATCTCAGTGGATATATGAACTTACAGAAAATGGAGCAAACATATCAAGAATCACTTGAGTTTCACAACAACCATCAGAGAGATTACCAACTGTTAGACGAGCAGTGGGTAGATATTGACAACGAATTGAGTGAATTTGAAGGTTTGCTAAATTCATTCGATTTTCGCGAATTCGACGATGCATTGACTGAAGCAAATGATGCATTCCTCAGTACAGGGCAGCTAAACATGAATGATATAGATCAACTAAGACAACTCGATGGGTTCCTCAGGGAAGACGTAATCACGCTTACCAATTTGAAGAACTCGCAACCTCATTTAGATTACTTGACCCGATTGAGTTATTTGCATCTCCAATTGACGGATATCTCAAACCAAGTTGCACATTTCAAGCACTCACTCAATGCGACATCATCCGTCCAGCACCTCAGCAGACTCAAGGCAATGCCAACAGCTTATGTCTCATTGTTATGTGAATTGACGCGCAGGACGAGCTTTGAGAATCATTTCAAGGACAAGGTGTCCGATGTGGCAGAGTTGCTCGCAAACGAAAGTAGGAAGGAGGAGATACGTAGACTTGCGTTAGTTGATTTTCGTGATTCATCACATTCTCTTTCTGCAACAACTGGAGAGAGTTTCATGAAACTTGCCGCTGTGAAACCGTCGAAGTTTCTTCCATTCGATGTCGGTGCTTTTGATGGCACGACTAATAAATCTGAAGTTAGCTTGCGTGGAGGTAACCTTGTTCGAATTTCAGTTGAAGAGCTTCAAGAGACGATTGAAAGTATAAGGACTGCAGTGGATAAATTCATCGATAGCGAACGAATAGATATCGACTTATCGGCTATTCTCCCTTTATTTAGTGTTTATGAGAGCACTATGGAGTACATACATAACCTCGATCTTGAATGGGAGAAAAGAGCATCAGGGATGCTTCTCCCTCAGACGACAATGAAGTTCAAAGGTGTGTATAGCTAGTATTTCACTGCTTATCTGACTCGTAACGCACAGCTTCGAATGATGTTGACCAAATTAAAGAAGACTACGAATACCAGATTTCGGAATTGAAAGACGCACATGCGGCTGAATTAGAGCGCCAGAGGAATGCATTTGAAAAGGATCTACAGGCAGTCAAAGCAGAGGCTACTAACGATTCTCAAGCCGAGGATATGAAGCGCACAATAACCAACCTTGAAGAGCGTCTCGCCGAATTGGTGCAGACCGAGCAAGCAGCGAAAAGAGAGTTGCAATCGAAAGACGCAGAACTTAACGAGAGTAAGCGAGAACATGCACAGATTCTCACCGCGCGTGACAAGGACTTGCGCAATATACGCTCGGAAATGGATGCAGACAATGCCGTGTTAAGTCATGGCCTCGAAATGTCGAACCAGGAGGTCATTCGCCTTGAAGAGGCTGTAAACTCTAGTCAAGGAAAGTACATAGCTCTCTGCGAAGCACTAGAGAAGGTGCTCAATAAGGGTGCCGACAAGAATGTCGGAGGGGGTGGCATCAACAATGTCCTGATGAACTTCTCAAAAACACCCTTTGATACTGATGATGTTATCCACAAATTGTCGACCTATGTTCGGAGATGGCAGAAAGAAGCCAAAGTCAATAGGGAACGCGCTAAGGAGAAGTTGGCATTTAGAAACTTCACTCGAGGAGACCTAGCGCTGTTTTTACCTACTCGCAATGCTGCAGCTAAACCCTGGGCTGCGTTCAACATATCCTTCCCACACTATTTCCTCAAGCCGACACAGACGCAAGCTGAGACACTCAAGAGTCGTGAATGGACGGTTGCCCGTATAGCCAACATAGACGAAAAGGTAGTCGAAGAAAATGGTGATAATCCTTTTGGACTTGGTGTTGGCGTGAAGTACTTCCTACTCGATGTGGAAATATGGCAACCCAAGCACCGACGCAATCTAGCCAAAATGGATAACTTGTCGGGTGACACTAGTAATCCATTCAATGCACCGGAGGATAGTCCGAAGGAATCGTCTGGACAGCCCGATAGGTTACACAAAAGGAGGACGATGTCGACGGCTTCGAGCGTTGCTTCGTCAAGAACAAGAAGCAGCGTCGGACAGCAGCCACCTCCAAACCTTCTCAGTCAGAGTCCTGGCGTTACTACTACCCTTACGAAGGCTTTATCAGAAGAGAAGAAAGAGGACGTTAATCATTCTCCAATCGTACCAACACCATCACCAACTGTCACAACTAGAAATGACAGAAGTGGAAGCGGAAGTGTGACGGGTGCTGCGCAGGATTTGTTGAGAAATAGTCTTAAACGTCAACAACAGAATAGTCCTAGTATGTAATTATGAAGAGTACATTAATGTATTGTATATGTGTAGGTTGAGATGTGCGAGAAATTCTTAAGTAATAATACATTCATGTAAACTAAGTAACAAGGAGCAAGTGAATTAAAGCAATCAGCATGGACGAGAGTAACCCTGGTGAGAGCGGTCTTGCTTCTTATTATCTTCGGCAGGTCCCTTTGACGATCCAGCATGAGCGAGTTTGTAGAAGTCTGAAGTCATATCAGTGAGTGACTCCTGTACTTCAACTAGATCCTTGACGAGAATATCAAGCATATCTTCAGACAACTCCTCACGAATGACAGCTCTAACTATTTCTATATCTTCCAAATCTTTCGCCATAGCATAGTTTGGCAAAATCCATCCCTTAGTCTTCATGAGAATTTGTAGCCACTTCTGTTCAAGATGTGGGTGCTCAGATTTGAACTTGTCAGTCCACTTAAATGCTACAACGGGAAGTGAAGGCGTATAGAACTCAGCTAAAGAGTTGTCATCGGTCTTGCGTCCATCAGCTGGTCTGTGGTTGTCAGAGAGTACTTCAAAGTATCCTGATGCCTCCAATGCGCGTGCTAGCATACGTGCATTCGCGAGATCATTCTCCAAGATTGTCTTATATCCCTCGAAACCGAGATTGATGAAATTATAATACTGGGCTATAACAGGTGTAGCTGGACGTGAGAAATTAAGTGTGAACGAGAGCTCTGTTGATCCCAAATAGTGCATTTCGAAAATGAGTTCTTTAGGTAAGAGCTTCTCGTCTCTCCAGAGTACAACACCAGCACCGACGTAGACACCGCCGTATTTATGACCAGACGCGTTGATTGAAACAACTCGAGGAACATTGAACGCCCATTTGTGAGATGGGAAAGCGAATGGGAGGACGAAACCACCGGATGCTGCATCGACATGTATTGGAATGTCGTATCCTTTCTCACGTTGTACTTTATCAAGTACATTGTTAACTCCCAGGACATCTTCGACGTGTCCAGTGTATGTACTTCCTGCAATGAGGATTACACCGATGGTGTTCTCATCACATTGTTCGTATACGAGCGCTGGGTCTAATGTGTACTTGCTCTTCTTGCTGATAGGTAAAATACGGGCCTCCACATCGAAATAGCGAGCGAATTTCTCAACACAACAATGTGCTTCACTTGCGAAGATGATGTTTGGTCCAGGTTCCTTGAAAGAACGCTTTGGAGTAGCGTTCTTGACCTTCTCTTGCCAAATCTTCTTCAATGCGAGACCACCGAGGAGTAAACCCTCACTGGAACCAGCTGTAATGGTACCAATTGCACTGTTGCCCTTGGGGACTTTCCAGAGATCAGCTAACATGGACACACAACGTGTCTGTAACTCAAACGAAGCTTTATATTGATCCTGATCTGCGATATTCTTGTTCAAGTTCTCCAAAATGAGTTTGTTCGCGCTCTCTGGCTGACGTGTGGTCACAAACGAAGCCAAGTTGAGTAGTGGTGTTCCATCACTAGAAAGCTCATCATGTATGAGCTGATAAGCGATGTGCTCATCCACACCCTTCTCTGGGAATTGATACTGAAGATGTGAGTATGATGATCTCATGACAGAGTTTGATAGTCACCTTTGGGAGTGGCGCATGGCCATATCTTCCAAACAGTGGACTAGAGGCATACTTGCGTGAATCCTCTCCTGATGCTCTCTGCACAAGTTTCCTAGCCTTATCGTCGCGTGATTGTTCGATCAGCTTGTCTGTGTCGATGTGTTTAGATAGTGGCATAGTTTATATCGTGATAGTCAGTATCCAACTGAATCTACTGTGGGTAAGTGTCATATGGATGACGTCTGCGGATGGCTTCTTTTTATAGAATAGAGAGTGCTAGCGTAGGTCTAGCTGAGTATTATAATAACCAGAAGGCTTCAAACTTCCTAATCATAAAAAGAAGACCGAAGGAAGTGAAAAATTTTAATTTTAAGCGTCTGAATTTAAATAAAGTATAATTTTCAGCTGATTAGTTGAAAATACTCCAAGTATAACTAGCTACTACCACACTAGCACTTCCATAGAGCTCTCAAGCTAGCTAAATCTCTACGCGCTCTTTCAACCAGAGCGTCCACGTATAAAATAAAAATGTCAGAAGCCGAAGTAGATCTCGATAGTGTGATTGATAGGCTGCTAGAAGGTGAATAAATCGTATAAAGTATGCCAGTTTAGCTCATAGATTATCTCCTCAGTACGTGGAAATAGACCAGGAAAGCCAGTACAATTGCAAGAGTATGAAATAAAATACTTATGCACGAAAGCTAGAGAAATTTTTATATCTCAGCCAATTTTGTTAGAATTGGAAGCTCCTATAAAGATCTGTGGTGCGTATTAGTGGAAGTTTAGTTAAAATCAGAACTTACGACTATCAGGTGACATACACGGTCAATATTACGATTTATTACGCTTATTCGAGTACGGTGGATTCCCTCCAGAGGCTAACTACCTCTTCCTTGGTGACTACGTTGATAGAGGAAAGCAAAGTTTAGAAACGATCTGTTTATTGTTGGCTTACAAGATCAAATACCCGGAGAACTTTTTCGTTCTTAGAGGTAACCATGAGTGCGCATCAATCAATCGTATTTACGGTTTCTATGATGAGTGTGGGTTGTCGTGTTACCAGCTGCGAAGACATCACTAACAACTTACCAGGCAAGCGTAGATACAATATAAAGTTATGGAAAACCTTCACAGACTGCTTCAATTGTCTCCCAATAGCTGCAATTATCGATGAGAAGATATTCACAATGCACGGTGGTTTAAGTCCAGATTTACAGTCAATGGATCAAATTCGACGCGTTATGCGTCCGACGGATGTACCAGATACAGGTTTACTATGTGATTTGCTTTGGTCAGATCCAGATAAAGATATCTCAGGCTGGTCAGAGAATGATAGAGGTGTTTCCTTCACTTTTGGTCCAGACGTCGTCACTCGGTTCTTACAAAAGCATGATATGGATTTAATTTGCAGAGCCCATCAAGTCGTTGAAGATGGTTATGAGTTCTTCGCTAAAAGGCAACTTGTTACACTCTTCTCCGCACCAAATTACTGCGGTGAATTCGATAACGCGGGTGCTATGATGTCGGTTGATGAAACTCTCCTTTGCTCTTTCCAAATACTCAAACCTGCCGAGAAGAAGCAGAAATTTCCAGCATCTTACGGTATAGGTAGACCGGTAACTCCACCAAGAAAAGGCAAGAATAAGAAAGAGAGTAAAACGTAACGACGATAACAATGACGCATTGAACATTCTTAATATAATCCTTTTTCCCTCTTGTCAAAGCCACTGAAATTTCAATTTTTATTTTTATTTCTTCGTTTTACTGTGTCTAAGATATAATCGCTGGAGTCTTTGTCTTCTTTCTGTCACGTCATAGAGTAATGGATCTTGAGGAGTTTAGGAAGCATGGCTACGAGTGAGGGTGTTCATAATGACTGTTAGTGATCTCACAGTGTTTTAAAGTGCCGTTGATAGGATCTACAACTATTATAAGCAACTACAGGAGAATCCTGGCGAAATAGCCGTACAACCGAAAGTGAAACCTGGATATTTAAGTACTTTGGGAGGTGTGTTGTAACACACTCAGAGAGCATTACTTACTTTATTTATTCAGACGTTCCACCTCAACATGGCATACCCTTTGATAGCATCCAAAATGAATTCAAAGACGTCGTTCTCAAGGGTCTAAACCATTGGCAGCATCCTAGTACATTCCACTATTTCCCATCTAACACATCATTCGAGTCAATGATAACTGAGATGACGATTGCGTCAATTAATAATCCTGGATTTAGCTGGCATAGTAATCCGTCATCAGAACTTGAATTAGTAGTGATGGATTGGATTGCTGGACTTTTTGGATTTTCTGAGACATTCTACCATTCGAAGAACACATCTGGTGGGGGTATCATACAGCCATCGAGCTCAGAGGGTATTCTGGTTGCCATCATAGCTGCACGTGAGCGCATATTGCGCGCTGAAAATACACGAGATCAATCAAAGCTCATCATCTATGCGTCCACACAGACACACTCGTCAGCTGCGAAAGCTGCTCGTGTCTTTAACCTCCAATTGAGGATTTTGGATGTCGACGAAGACTTATCACTCAGAGGCGAGACCGTTATGAAAGCGATAAATGAAGATAGACAGAATGGATTGGTCCCATTTGTTGTGATTGCTACTATCGGTACTACATCGACTGGTGCAATTGATAAGATTGACGAGATTGGCAGAGTTTGTCAGTCAGAGTCACTCTACTTGCACATAGACTCGGCATGGGCGGGCACACATCTTGCATGTCCTGAGCTGCGCGATGAGTTAATGCTAGATGGCATCAACGAGTTCGCTGACTCTATCAATATTGGTATGCATAAGGTGGGAATTAGCACACTGTCTTGTGAGAATCTAATAATCACCAGATGGGTCTCGTTAGTATGTCTACAGTTGTTATGTTTGTTAGAGATATCAAGTCGGTTACCGATGCCTTGACAATAACGCCTGCTTATCTCAGGAACCAAATGACAGATTCAGGCGCTGTACTCGATATGAAAGATTGCGGTAATTAGAACGTTCTAAGTAGATTTTGCTTAACAGTCTTCCCAGGTATCGGTCTAGGGAGACACTTCTCAAGTCCTAAATTGTATTTCATGCTCAAATCCTACGGTGTAGAGGGGTTCAGAGCGCATATAAGAAAGTCGATAGGACTAGGTGAGAGGTTTAGACGGTACATTGAGGCAGATGAGGTCTTTGAAGTACTCTACAAGCCGCGTCTGTCTTTGACTGTCTTCCGTCTAGGTGGAACGGGTGATTTAAACAGTCTGAATAGAACATTCTACAACAACCTTAGTATTCATTCCGATAAGCTTTCATTGACGCATACTGTAGTCAACGGACTATATTGCGTGAGGTTCGTGACTGGATGTCCACAGACGCGAGAGGTGCATGTTGATGATGCTTATAAAATAATTTCAGACGTCGCAAGACTGACGCTCTCTAGTGAATTGTAAAATTTAAAGCTATAGATTTCTATGCCGTCGTTCTTTGATTGTAGCACTCAATTGAGTATGGGAATATTCGACACTATAAAGGGTATCTTTGGCGGTGATAGCAGTCAGTTGTCTTTATAAGTGTATTCTATTCTCACGCTCCTTTATACAGAACCTTCAAGCGAGGATAATAAGAGTGTATGTTGTTCTAGTAACCAGTGATATAACTGAAGATTACGCAGGTAATGCAGCCACCAGCAAATGAATTAGAGCCACCAAAAGATACTCCAATCACCGTCGACGAGCTCAAGGAGCATGACGGCAGCAATGATAAGCCAATCTATGTAGCCATCAAGGGTACAGTATTCGATGTAACAAAGAAGAAGGAAATGTACGGTAGTGGTCAGTCCTACAATATATTCGCCGTGCGTCTATAATTATACCGGCACTCCGATTGGCTGATTATACACAGGGGAAGGATGGAAGCAGAGGACTTGGAATGAGTAGTCTGAACCCGGAAGACGCGGTATCTGATTATAGCACACTCTCAGAGAAAGAGCTGTCTGTACTTGACGGTGAGTAGATACTCTTACATCGACGATATCTAAGAGAACACACAGATTGGTACAAATTCTTCAGCAAACGATACAATATCGTCGGAAGAGTCGTATAAATGCTTGTAAATTAACGATCATATGACAATATCAATGTCAGCTAGAAATATACCAAAAATAGTGCTCACTAGGCCATTGATGCCTGAGATTATGTCTAAATTCACACAATCCTCACGTCCTGTTAATCTAGTCAACTGGAAGGAGGATAAGCCTGCGCCACGGGAGTGGTTACTCGAGAACTCGAAGGATGCCGATGCCCTGCTCGTAATGCTCTCAGATAAGGTCGACAAGGAGCTCCTCGATATAGCAGGATCGAGATTGAAAGCAGTGAGCACGATGTCAGTTGGATACGATCACTGCGATCTCGCACAACTGAAGCAGAGAGGGATTAAGCTTTCGAATACACCAGACTTACTGACGAGTGCCACGGCTGAGACAGCCGCTTTGTTGTATCTAGCTGCGACGAGACGTGCTGCAGAGTCAATCAAATTCGTCGAACGCGGTGAATGGCCTCAAGTTGGTGTGTATGAATTTGATTAGCTCAATATATATTCACATCTATATAGGATGGGGTCCTCTTCTCATGGCTGGTCAACTCTCAGAAAACAAGACACTCGGATTCTTAGGGTGAGTGGACAACCCCACTCGAGCTATCATTCTAATGAAACAGCTTCGGTCGTATTGCACAGGCCACTATGCACAGATTGGCTGCTTTCGGTATAAGAAATGTTATCTACACTGATTCAGGTGAGTGTTTCCTCAGCATCCTCTCACTTCATACTCAAACCAACCAGGACGGACCGACAAAGCGGAAAGAGATGCAGAATTATCCCATAAATATGATATAAACATCAAACGCGTAGATTTGGACGCTCTCGCTCATCAATCAGATGCTGTAATTCTACTTGCTGCGATGAGTCCAGACATGAAACACATCGTTGGAAGAGATTTCTTACAAAAGATGAAGAAAACTGCAGTAGTAATAAATGTTGCTCGCGGACCTCTAGTTGTTGGTCTACAATCTTTCAACTGATACTATTATTAACGCGTTTCTAGGACACCGATGCACTCAATGAAGCAATCAACGAGGGTATAATTGCAGGCGCGGGCTTGGATGTCATAGAAGGTGAACCACACATAGATGCAAATCACCCAGTTGTTAAAAATGACAAGATCTTCCTCCTTCCTCATATTGGTAGCTCTACTGTTGAGACACGCTACGCAATGGCTGATTTGACAGTCACGAACGCCATCAAAGGCGCTTTCGGAGAGGAAATGCAGGCTCAAGTTAAACTTTAATTTTAGTTATCTGAATGTATATATTCATTGATCGGCTATTTTATCTTAGACAACATACATGAGAAAAAAGGTAGAAATGTAAGACAGAAAACAAATGACGTGAAAACAAATTAAACGAGAGTCATTAAAAAACCTTTGATATTTTAGAAAATGTTAAAGTAGTGTCATCAGCAATAAATTATCTTGGTGTCCTCTTTATTTTATCTATTCCACTCAAGTGATTTTACCAAAAGACCTCTTGAGTTGTCGAAATTCCAGAAGAGTCTCTCTATTGGACTCCTTCCAGTCCAACTCTTTTGATCTCTGAGTATCATAGCTTGTTGTGCGCCTAGATTACGCTGCTCGCGCTCAAAGTTTTCTTTATGCTCTTCCAAGCCTTCCAAAAGTGTTTCAAGTTCAAAGAGTATAGCTTCAAGTATATCAGCTGTGTAGAGTATACTATGGTCTTTCTTAAATCTACCAGCAGATACTGACATTGAAGGTGAGTTCGCATTTGGTGAGAACGATGTGCTATTTATGAGATTAGCTATTGCCATTCTGACTAGTCTAACAGTCTCGGTGAGAAGACGTTGAGCTTGACCATTATTCTTGCGAGAGATAAGTATCAAAGCTCTCGTTATCATATCAGAACTAAGTAATTCCATTCTACGTCTTATAACATTCGCATCTGGATTACCTAAGATTGCATTCAAACGCTGTGAAGTCATATTAATTGATGATCCAATCGTCGACTGGTTGTCCGTCATTATGTTAGGATGTATCGTCATCGTCAATAAAACTGGCTGTACGAGCCTTGATACTGATCTGCCAACGTTTGGATCATGGTATGATGCATCAACTTCAAATAAAGCAGCCTGAATACGTTAGTTTTGAAAATTAACTCTAGAAAGCACTCACTTCGTCAATCAAATCATCATAGGCATCCGTCATTGTTTCGCCAACTGTCAATCCGGCTAAGCCGTCTTGGATATTCGAATTAACATTAGCTTGAGTCGAGTACCTCGACAATCGCTTGGTGTTTAACCCTGAACTACCTATTGTAGCTTTTGCAGGGTGTATAAGATCCATCTCAACCAGTAACTCTCGCTGTTCTCCGAAGTGTATCTCTCCGAGTTCAACGTGTACTTCATTCCCATCACTTGAGACAATAGTCGAGGTAGACGGAGAAACCTTCCTCACTCGAACCATAGGCCAGTCGAGAACGTTTATATGAAGTTTCATATTCGTAGCTGCAACACTGAATAATCCACCAACAGCACCTGCTATACAATCCCTCAACTGATTCCATTCTTTCACAAATGTGTATGTACCCCCAGTGTGTGAACTCAATAACCAAAGTGATGATGGATCATGCACTCTACTCCATCCGAGTGTATGGATCGGGACGGAAGCTGCTTCAGCTCTGGCCAAAACCAGTTCCATTTGAGCGCGACGAGTAGGATCTTGATTATCACTGACTAGGAAGATACCAGTTACTGCATTTTTGCTTGTTCTTTGTAAAACACCATCGAGAGCGGCATTCATTGCGGTAACTACATCCGTCTTCTCGTCTGCTTTCGTACCAACTTTGAAAGGGTCAGGCGCGCCATCAATACCATAGACTGAATCATCCCAGTTGTTACCGAAAGTTTCCAAGAATCTCGATAACTTTTGTTTTCCGTTGATAGATGATGGTGTTATAAATGGAGTCCTTCTCAATGCACCACCCTGCATTGATCTGAAAGTAACAACGCAGATTCTGTCACGTGGGCCTAGCTTGTTGATGACAAATTCGAGGGATGACTTTAAGAATCTGAGTTTCAACGTCGGGCTACCATGTTGAGATGTTGGTAGAGGTAATATGAGGACGACATCAGCAGGCGCGTGCGGATGAAGTGTACCATCATGAGGGGCGAGTTGCACTAACGAATGTTCAGACAGATTCGCTGACACATTTGCTGATACAGACGATCTCATTGATTCTCTAGCTTTGTTTCCACCACCTTCACCAGCATAGGCTAAACCAAATGCAGAGACGTCAGATGGGTTAGTTGATATTCCTGAAGTCGCTATGCTGCTCGCTTTGCCATACGAACTTGGTGCTGTCGATCTTGGGGAATGTGGTAAAGAAACTGGTGACAGCGGCGCAGTGAATGGTACCTGTGGTGCTGAGAAGCTAGTCTGCTGCGACTGCCTGTTGTTATTTCCAAGCTGTGGTGTGAGTAACCTTGAAATACGTTCCTTTTCGATTCGTTCCCTCAAAGAACTTGCAGGTGATTCTGGTGATTGTTCCGTTTGTTGATTTTGTAGAGTATTCACTTGCTGCGGTTGCGGCTGATGGTGCTGAATATTCACAGATGAGTATATAAGCTTGTCAAATTGGGCCTTCCATTGTTCGCGCTCATCGCGCATCATGAACATCAATGTCAAATCGCGGAAATCGTCAGTTTCTGTTTCAAGAACGAGTGCAGTGTCACCAATTGAAGTAGCTCTATTAAGTTTGTTAGACAAGGTTTAAACGTTGCGAAGACAGTCTCACCTTCTTATGTTAGATATGTAGATCTTTCCTTTCAATTTGAGTACCCTTCTACCATCTTTCATTGGATGGGACTTCCTATCTTCAGAAACGCAAATGAGAGCATTCTCAAACAAGAAAACTTGTGCAGTCTGAGACTGAGTTGACCTTCGTATAGTCAAACTAAGGGAGTATAATAATAATGATCCGAAACTATGAGGGTTGTTGCCTTTCCAATCTAAAATTCTACTGTACAGATCTGTGGTTACAGATTTGAGGGGTCTTTGCTGTGATTGTTGTGATTGTGGAGGTTGTTGTGGAGGTGGTTGTTGTGGTTGAGGCTGCGGTTGAAATTGAGGTTGTACTGAGAAGGTAGACGGCGTAGAATTAATACTAGCGTTATCTGCTGACATTCTACTGTCAGATCTCCTTAATTGTGAAACAGTGTCGTCATTATAAAGAGCTGATTGACGCTGTTGGTATCTAATTAGACTTGGATGATAACTATCTTGGATGTGATTAGACTCTGCTTGTCGTGAAGGTATTTTTACAGTTACGATAGCTGTAATAGAAGATTTTTGATCTACATGGGGTCTAATCGCTGCATTGAATTCTGTTTTTATTGAGATATTAGGCGATATTAATTCGCCGAGCGATGATTTTGAGTTGTTTGATATCGATGTGTTTGAGCTGCTCGATGGTGCGGCAGGTATAGCGTCGTCTGCAGAGCTGTCTAGGGGATCTAGTGGGGAATCTAGGTGCTGTTGCTGCAGCTGTGCCAAACTCAAGGTTGAACCTGTGTTATTTCTCTGGTATTGATTCTTCAAAGAGGCGTTTGATTGAGAAGATTGTAAATCACGAGGGTTTGGTGTGGATGCGATACCAGCCAGTTTATCAAGTTTATTAGTTTTTCCTTTCCCTTTAATTTGTACATCCGCCTCGTCTGATAAGTTCATAGGTTTTCTGCATATTCCGCACACGCCCAAACTCTTTGACGGTATTTTCGCAGAGGGGATCACGCCGTAGACCTGAGTAAAGCATTGATCGTGTAATGCGTGTCCACAAACTGGTACTATATGTGGCTTTTCTCCTATAAATTTATTAGCAAGACATGTAGAACATCCCAGAAAACGCACCGGGAAGTCTGAAAGAGAATGAAAGCGGCTCTAAGCAAACAGGACAATTATCGCAGTCCTCTTCTTCATCCGCTAACACAGCGTTCGACGTTGGTGTCACTGGAGACACTGGAACAGGTGACGGCTGGCTTTGGGAGTATGGGTGGAGGCCATCACCGAAGCTGGCGCGTGCTGGAGACGCCAGATTGTCATTCACGGGGTGCAGCGGTGTTATAGGTGAACTCGGCGTCGTTTGCTCAGATTTCTTGCGGTTCCACCTCACCTTGAACATGATTGACGAGACAGAACGCTTGGTTCGTTAGAAGGACATAAAAAAATAACAAAAAAACAAATGAAGCAGTTTATGTATTTTATTGGTATACTTTACAGAATATACTTTAATCACTCTTCATTGGGCTCTCCGATCGACTCTGAGGCACACCTTTCTTTCTTCTCTTATCAATCAAGGTGGCCTGGCTGAGATCCAATTCAAAGTTCTTCTTAGGTGCTTTCTCCTGTTTACCAGCATTGTCGCCTAGTTTCTCTACATGCTTCTTCTCTCTTTCTGCCTCCTTGTTTTGGGTCTTCTTTATAGCTTCCTTTTGTCTGGCGGCGTTTACCGCTGCGATTTTGCGGTGATTTGATATCTGGCCAGACATTGGCTGAATGTCTTCCTCTTCGTCTTCCTCGTTGAGACTGCCAAGGAAACCGCCGCCGGACGACTTTCCTTTGCGACGCCCCTCTTCTTCAGCTCTGTGAACGGCGTAGGTAACGTCAAATGCTTCCTTGAGCTGAGCAACACCTGGTGATGCCATAGCTTTTCTATTGCCGCCCATATCTCTGAGCATTGGCGAATCGAGCGATGTTGGCTGTGGTGCAGCTGTCGGCTCCTTATCCTTTGCTGTACCGGTTGAGCTACCCTTCATCCATGGATGAGCAAAAAATTCATCAATTGTGTAACGCTTTCTTGGGTCTATAGTGAGCAAATGTGAGATTAAATCCTTTGACGAATCTGAAATAGCATCCCACCAGGGACTCAAGAAAGTGAATTGGGCTTTCGCGACTTTCTCTGTCAAAACCTGAATTGATTCATCGTAGAATGGTGGAAATCCGCATAATATAGTATATAAAACACATCCTAATGCCCACATATCAACAGACTGTGAGTACCTCTCATCCTTGACAATTTCAGGCGCTGTGTAACCTACAGTTCCACATGGTGTCATTGTTTGTTGGTCCCAGACAACCTTTGACAATCCGAAATCGGCAATTTTGACTTTACCAATCTCACCACCGCCAATACCTGGTCTAAATTCCCCTTCGTCAACTTTGTCCTCATCAAATGGCTTTTTTTGTGGTACTTTCGACGGGAAAATTTCTATCCTGTCGAATAAGATATTCTCTGGTTTTATATCACGATGTACGACTCCTGCTTCATTGTGCAAGTATCTAATACCTTCCGCTACTTGGGTAATAACGTGTCTAGCCAATTCCTCAGAGAAGTATGTGAGTTTGACAATCTGATGGAAGAGTTCACCACCCTCAGAGAGCTCAAGGACTAAATGGAAGTACTTCTCCGCATCAATAAAAGTGATGAGTTTGATGATATTCTCGTGTCTAACTGCACGCATAATTTGGACTTCTTTGAGGATGTTCGAACGCTGATGGCTCGAGAGTTCATATTTTCTAACCACTTTTATGGCTACTTTCCGGTGTGTTTTAGTATCGAGGGCTTTGTAGACGTTTGAGAATGCGCCATCACCCATTTTCTCAATGATCTCATACTGTTCCAGTCCAGGATAAGAAGGCTAAAGGGTGTTAGGATGTGAATATTAAGGAATATGCGATACGTACCATCTTAGCTCTCTCTTTCCTCTCCTGCTCGACAATCATTTCGGCTTCGCGAGCGTATTCCTCTGCTCTATTCTTCTCACGCTGCTCTTTCTGCTGTTGTGCAATAGCATGCTTCTTACGCTCTTCTTCCTCGCGTGAGAGACGCTTTGGTACGTGTGAGAGCATATCGTTCATGGGATCTCTATGCGACCGCGCCGGCTGCTGTACTGGCGAAGGCGTCTCTAAGTCATCTGACTCGTAAGCCTCTTTGTTATGTTTATCACGTTCGTTTCGTCCGTGTCGTATCAAATCTTGGCACAATAAGTTCCTGCGATGGGTGGATAGTAGTTACTCACTTCTAAATACTTGAATTGCGCCTGACCTGGGTTGCTATTAGCGTAGTTACATTTTACATCGTGTTTCTCACATTTCTTAGTCTCTAATAAACAACGTCGCTGTTAACCCTCAATCAAATTCCTCTGACGAGATGGAGTTAGAATTCTGACATCATCGTTTTTTCAGACAAAACTAAAAAATGATCTGCAGTTGACGCAAGTTCTAAATAAGCTTTCTCGGTTTATGAACTACTGTCTCACTAGGCTCTCAAAATGCCTTTAATCATATCATGAATACAAGATCTCTATGTTACAGCGTCAATAGACTTATCCGTGGCTTTAGTTCAACTGTTGGTACAATCATTGAGTTCAATTCTACCTTCTTGGCTGGTTGCCCTAGCCTCAGGAGCGGGTTTAAGCGTCCTGTCGCACCAGCACCCGCAGCAGGTATGCCAGGAGCGTTGATAAGTGCACCCAGTATGACTTGATACTTCTTAAGTGCTTCAAACGCTGCCGCACGTAGTTCTTCAGTGTGATCACCCTTCATTTCGACCTCCATTCCGCTATGACCACATAAGACATTTAGGAATGCAATGTCAAAGCTTTTGCGAACTTTTGCTCGTTCGTCAGTTTCCTCCTTGTCAAATACTCTCGACATCCTCTCCCAGAGTTGTGAGAGCATGCTCTTTAGTAATTCCTTGTTATCTTGTAAATGTAAGGATATGTTCTCGACATCATGTGCTATCCCGCTCAAGAGGTCAATCAATTGTCGTGAAGGTCCTTCTGGAATCTTGCTACCGCCTGAAGAATTACTCCAACGCGTCTCATCCGCATCGAGCTCACTTGTTGACCATACAAAGCTGTCATCTTCTACTTTATCATTAACTACGTCTGTCGCCCACTTCTCATTAACACGTTTTATGACATCCATATAAACAGGCTGTTGTGTTTCTTCATTAAGCATTATATTCCTTGCTATTGTCTCCTCTTTTTGAAGCGCTTCAAGGAGATGACGGAATACCATAAGTTGTCGTTTGCGTTGGGTCGTATTTGCATTTTGCAATACTTTGTCAAATGTACTGTCTAGGTTATGTAGGAATCTCGTAAGCGTGCCATTGGCATATTCGTGATAGGTGTTGAGCAAATTTTTGGACTGAAGCGCCGTATTTGGCGCCCATAAGAAATCGTAAATTTGATCGTGAATGTGAGTCGATTGGTTCTTAATTACTGTTAGCATTTCGCTAACGATTGGTACATGTTCCGTGTAGAGTGTAGTGGTATCTAAATTTTCAGGTAAGGGCGCAAGCAGATTTTTGATCGGGTCGTTTTCTTATTTATTCATTAGCGTATTTTCTAGCGACAAAATTTACCTACTAGCATTAGGGATGTTTGTGACGGTATTCATGGCTTTATTAACTTTAGTCTGAGTGGTTTCGAGGTAGTCATTGTGAAGGTCTTTCCAAATAACCTGACAGCGTTCTTCTAAAGCAGAAACAAAGAAGTTTTTCACGTGCTCTATGTTGGTGATTTCAACTATCGCTCTAAGTGGACACAAATCAGAAATGTTATTAATATCAGCTAATAAACCATTCTGAGCATCCAGAACACTCTTCAGGGAGTCGAGGCTGCTTGCTATCCACTTATCAAGTGTCTGGTTGACCTGCTCATTTGGGATCTTGTCAAAGGGTGCAAAATATGGCGTGTAGTTGAGCAACTGGTTGGGTATTCTATGTATAATAATTTCAGAACCAGACAGCTGATTAATGAGGGTGTTTGTAGTTATGTCAGCGGTGTTACCACTGCACTGACCTATATATCGACTAAGTTCATCTTGAATATAGAGCTTATGAACGAGTTCATGTGTCTCGTTGATGAGTTGTAAGGATTGACTGATGATGAGCTCAACTGATGGGTTATTCTGTATATGTGTGAGAGCAGTAGTGCGCTGAGTGAGTAGTTTATCGAGAGATTGACCATAAGATGGGCTGTCTAAGAGGATAAGAGCTGTGAGTGTAGATCTAGCATCATCAAACGTTATCGATTGCTTGATAAGAGAAATGACGGCTTTCAAAACGATCTGCGGTTTCAGCTGGAGTGTTGACTCGTGCTGCGACTTTAATATGACGAGTTGGTTGAGTGTGTCGGGATAAGTGCTTGATAGCTGCATGTGTGTTATCTTAGCCAGCGAATACAGCCAGGCGGCGTGTAGATGCTGTTCATTCTCGATAAGACGCCAAATATTTTCCGTTGAATCGTGCACTAATTTCACCAAAGCGGGTATGGGATCGATGTGGGTAGATGGTAAGCTGTTGACCGGAGTATCTCTACTACTGAGGCTGCGTATATCATCTATCGTATTCTGTATCTCTTCTATGCTCTTATCGAGATGCACGACAGATTGGCTGACATTCAAGACCTGCTTGTAGCGATCACCGACTATGGCCTGTACTATCAGTCCTCGCTTGTCTATCTCTTGTTTGAGTTCTTCTATCGGGTGCATCTCTGAATTTTTTATTTTGGATAAGACGGTCAAACAAGCGTTCTTCACGGCGACCAACTAATAAAAATATAAGACGGTTATCTGGTTAGTTGGGAATGTCACAACAACCAAAGTTCAACTATGCGGCTGCTGCCAAAGCTAAGCAGCAGCAACGAGAGATGGCCATCTCTGAGAAGCAGCCACCAACGAAGCCGAAGGAGACGAAGCCAGCAGAGGCTGAGAAGGCTGACAAGACTGACAAGTCTGATAAGACAGAGAAATCTGCGCCTTGTGTGTTTTTTAAAAGATTTTTGATACGCCAACTTACACTATAACAGCTAAACAGAAGAAGGAGTTCAATCCACACGCATTCTTTACGGGCGGGGGCGCATCTACGCAGCCACCACAACAGTCTCAGCCAGCGAAAGCTCAGAAGCAGCAAAGTGGTCCTAACAACAACACACGCAATTCTGACAGTTTGAGGCTCAATGCTCAGCCATTCAACCCTCAACACCAGAACTATAGACCACCTCAGTCGTTCCAGCCACGTGGCTCTATGACACAAAACAGCGCATCTAGACCGCCACAGCAGCAGCGCAGCCCACAGCCACCTCAACAACAGCTCGGGTCACAGCCTTACTACACACCAGCTGTAAGTTTACTATAAGTATTCCTTTCGAATCCCGCTCACACCATTTAGTATAACACAACTGGCTACTACGATCCTAATATGGGCATTTACGTCCCATTTGCACAGGCGCCTGCAGCAGGGTGGTCACAATACCCACCACAGATGCCTCCAACGAGTCCTTCAGCTCCTCAGGTGTCGTTGCCAGCTACGACTGCTCCAGCTGCCGCTAATGCTCCAAGGAATGGCCCTTCACCGCAAAACATCCCAACTACACCACGCGTTTCTTCTTCTAATGCGTCACCAAGGCCACCTTTCACGCCTTCAGCCAATGCACCAATCTTCTCACCTCCTCAGTCGACTACTACTTCTCCACCACCGACATCCGGAATGTCTCCGTCTGCAGCTTCCTTCATGCCACAGAGAAAGAGCGCGGCTATTAAGATCTCAAATGCTCAGGGCGAAAAGATTGACTTGACCAGCTTCAAACATCAACGCCAGAGCTCTTCTATTCCTTCAATCGCCTCTGTTGAGGCTTCAGCGCCTGATCCTTCAACTTACGTAAAGCCACCTCCACGTACAGCCATCAGACTTGAGTCTGAGGAGGCAAAGGCTAAGCGTTTAGCAGAGGAAGCAAAGCAAACTGATTCTGAAGAAAAGAAGAAGCAAGAAAAGGCCAATGAAGAGCGTATAGAGACTTCCAGAAAGGAGGAAGAGAAAAAGGAAGCCGAAGCCGAGGAGAAGAAGAGACAAGAGGCTGCAGCTGAAAAAGCGAAGGCTGAAGAAAAGCTTGCTGCTGAGGAGAAGGCTAAGGCAGACAAAGAGGCAAACGCTGAAAAGCTCGCAAAAGAGCAAGCCGCTTTGCTTGCGAAGGAGAAAGAAACAACTGAAGGTACCACACCAGGTACTTCTCTCGACCAAGCAAAGGTTGAAATTTCTAAGGATGAACAGCAAAAGGAGCTCATCTCCAAGATTGCTCCAGCTACTGATGAACTTGCCACTCCTGCAGAATCTGATAAGCAATTACCAAAGATCGATACTTCTTCCCCAACTGTTGGTGAGGAAGAGAAGCCTGCTGCTGCGTCACCATCCACTTCAACTCAAAAGCCATCACAAGCACTCGGTGCTGCCAGAAGAATTGATGACCTTACCAAGATTTCCTACCCAGGTGATATCAAATCACCAAAAGCTGAGCTTAACAAGCAAGCACGTCCTGGTAAATTCCGTTATGACAGGGATTTCTTGATGCAATTCATGTCAGTTTTCACTGATAAGCCAGCTAGTATGCCATCATTAGATGCTATTGGATTAGAACCAGACCAAGGTATGGGCTTCGGTGGTAGATCATCATCTGGTAGACAAGGTAGCAGAGGTGGTATGGGTCGTTCATCAGGATTTGGCAAACAAGGTGGATTCGGTCAATTTAGTGATGTATCTTCAAGAGGTACGTCTTCTGCTGAACGTTTCGCTAGATCACAAGCAGCGGGTGCCTTCGCAGGCCAACCAATGTCGAGAACTAACTCTTCCCATCGCGGTATGGCCAGGGAGGCCTCTGGTGGTGGCAGAAACAGATCTCAACGTGGTAAGACACGTGATGGTAAAGGTGGTCAATCTGCTACTCCACTTGCTGATGCTATGGGTTCCGTCGCACCACTTGAAAAGAGTGAAAACGCTTGGACACCACAAGCACTTAGAAATAGAGCTCAAGGCGTAAGACCTGGCTTGAATGTTGATGAGAATGACCCAGCATACATTGAGAAGAAGGTTAAGGGTCTTCTTAATAAGCTTACTATAGAAAAATTCGAGCCTATATCTGATCAAATTATCATATTTGCAAACAAGTCAGAAAATGAGGATGATGGTAGAACACTCAGATTGGTCATTAAGTTAGTCTTTGAAAAGGCTACCGATGAGGCAGTCTGGTCAGAGATGTATGCTAGATTATGTCGTAAAATGTACGACCAATTGTCAGCTAACATCTCAGACAAAGACCAACCAACTACTACAACTGGTGGTCGCTTATTCAGAAAGTACTTGTTGACTAGATGTCAAGAAGACTTCGAGAAGGGTTGGTCGGACAAGGCTGCAGCATCAAAGGCTGCTGCTGAGAAGGCCGCGGAGGATGACGCTAAGCGCCAAGCCAATGAAGAAGCTGAAGCTGACATTGCCAAGGGTGGTGAACCAAAGGCTGAGTAAGTTATTGTCTTAATAGGATTATAAGTTACTGATGAAGTTAGTGCACAATCACTTTCAGATGAATACTACGCTGCACAAAAGGCTAAGCGTAGAGGTTTGGGATTGGTCAGATTCATTGGTGAACTGTTCAAACTCACATTACTTACAGCCAAGGTCATGCACCTCTGTATTATGCAATTGCTCCAAAGAGATGACACCAAGGAGGTTGAGGAAGAAGACATAGAATCACTCGCCAAACTCCTCACCACCGTCGGTGGAATGCTTGAAACACCGGAAGCCAAGAGGCACATTGATTCATACTTCTCTCATATGCAGGATATAGTAGATAGTCCAAAGACCTCTTCGAGATTACAATTCATGTTACTTGATGTTATAGAGTTGCGGAATCACAACTGGGTCGGTAGACACAAGGATGCTGGTCCTAAGTCGATCGCACAAATCCACAGAGATGCTGCTAAGCAAAGGGCACAATCTGCTGCTGATGCCAACGTTGCCCTCCAAAGAGGCTCATCTGGTCGTGGTCCAGCCAGACAAGAGAGCTCGCGTGGTCCATCTAGACGTGGTCAGCCACGTGCGCCAGCAGTTCCTGAAGAGAAAGGCGGTGGAGATGGATGGAACACAATTGGTAGCGGTGGTAACCAAAAGACATCACAGGTAGCAGGTAATCTCAGTCAATTCGGTCAATTCTCTTCCAAGGGCGCTCAACAACCTCAGCAATCTCAGCAATCTCAGTTTGGCCCAACTAGTGTATTCACTAAGAAGGGCAGACAGGGTGGATCTGGTGGTACATCTCCATCTGGCGTTGCATCACCATTGCTTTCAGAAGGCAAATCACCAGCTGTTAGCAGAACCAACTCTAGTGGAAACATGTTCAGCTTGCTTGAAGCACAAGATCAAGCTCAGCATGAGGAGCAACCACAGAGAAAGAAGCTCAACTTGCTTCCACGTTCATCTACCAAGACTGATGTTGAAGAGCCAGAGCCAGCTCCAGCTGCACCTGCCACTGAGGAGATTACCGATGAGAAGGCCAAGCAAATGGTCAAGACTATGATCGAAGAATGTGAGTGGATTTTTAGAGGGAAATGCTTTACTAACAACAACAGTCTACTCTCTTAAGAAAATATCAGAGGGTTTGGAATCCTTCAAGGAACTCCCAGAAGAACACAAACCAAAATTGATTGAGCAATTGATTGATAGATCGCTGAACGGAAAGAAAGAAACCGTTGATATCACATCAGAGCTCATCACAGCCGCCGTCGAACAAGAATTAGTAGCCCAAACACAATTAGAAACAGAATTGGTTAACATATTAGAATTTATTGAAGATATCTCAATTGACGTACCAAACGCATACGAGTATTCAGCTTCACTCATAAAAGCTTCCAAATTTGATTCAAATGGCATTGATAGACTTTTAGCTAAAATTCCAAAATCTGACTCAATAACGCAACCAAGTGATAAAGTCAAGAAGTACTTATGAATTTGAAACGGAATTATTCGCTTTTGCTTTGTTGTAGTACGTCGCGTATGATTTAATTATTGCATTCATGATTTTTCGCCTGTAAAACATTATGACGTCTTGAATATTGACTATGAGGGTAACTATATTAGGATCAGGTTTTGTTGGTGAGACGGCTGATTATTCGCAAATGGAATACTAAGAAATCTATAGCCACTAACGTCGCCAATGCTTTACGTTTACGTATGCCAGATGCAGCGATAAGAGTTGCATCACGCCAGACAGAACACAGAGTGGATGTGACGGATAGGGACTCCCTTAGGGGTGTGCTAGAAGGCTCAGACGCTGTAATTAATACAGTGGGACTTCTTCAGGCATCTCGGAAGACATTTGAAGCAGTCCAGCATGAAGGTGCTGAAAATGTTGCTAGAATCACTAGAGAGAATAATGCAAAGTTGGTACAAATATCCGCAATTGGCGCCGACGCATCCTCTAGATTACCCTATCCACGTACAAAGGCGCTCGGTGAGCAGGCTGCACTGTCTGAATGTCCAGATTGCTCAATTGTCAGGCCTTCGCTTATTTTCGGACCTGGGGATAGCTTTTTCAATAGATTCGCCTGGTTGGCGAAATACATGCCGTTTCTTCCCGTCTTCGGTACGGGTGAGACGCTCTTCCAACCGGTTTATGTCGGCGACGTCGCAGCCGCCGTAGCGCTCTGTGCAGAAAGCAGGAGTGATGAAAGGATAGCAACTCGTGTAAATGGGAAGATAACTGAAGCGGGCGGACCTGAAGGTATGCACGTTATTTATTATTATTTCTTAGCTGACAGAATTAGTGTTTACATATAGACAAATTATGCAGCTAGTTATCGATTACAGTGGTAATAAGCGACCTATCGTATCTATACCTTGGTCTATTGCCAAAATGCAGGCTTTTGTTCTCGAAAACTTACCGATGCCGCCCGTATTATCAATCACGAGGGACCAGGTTGAACAATTGAAAAAGAACAACATTGTGACGCCGAAACATGAACAGGAGAGTAATGCTATTAGTTTCAAGGAGCTCCTGGGTGACTTTTCGCACATACAGCCGAGCAGTGTACACGAAATTTTGCCGACATATCTCTCACCAGAAGGACATGAAATGGCGGTAACTATGGATCATAAAACCAGAGAAGAGGAAAGGAGAAAGAAAAGATTGATGCTCCGTGATAAAAAATCTTACTGATTGTGTGACATACGTATAAATAACATCGTGGAGTGAGATCATAAAGGAGGTGGTAGATCATGTGAGATAAGATAGTAGTATAAAGTATAAATATGACTATTGTAATCTTATCGATACTGTTTCCGAGATTCAAAAGGTCATTAGAAGATGATATTAAAATCGAGTGAAAATTCGACCAATCTGGATGCACAGCGCTGAGGAGCGCAGAATGTGCTTTAAGATGAGCTATGAAATTAGGACAATAGCGCAACTAGGAAGATTTAAAATTCTCAAAAAGGAAGGTACTAGTCTATCGCTCAATCGATTGATTAGGCTCTTAGTCTCATACGACGACGACGATGTTGAGATGAACTTTAGATCGCCGAATAAAATAGAAAGTAAATATGGAGTAGTAAGCGACTACACAAACTTGAATCTCCATCAAGCAGCCTTCACAAATGACGTTGGCTCAGCAGCATTTGCACTAAGAAATGGACAGCCACAGAACAGCGTCTATAAGGGGACACTTCCAATACATGCTGCCTCCCTAGCTGGCTCAAGAGATGTCCTTAGAATGCTGATTGATGCCGGCGCCGATGTCAACGCACCTAGGTACGGACTTCTAATAAATTAAAGTGACTTTTGACATTTTTCATTAGACTGCCGAAACACGTTGGTGCTCCTAAGGAGTCTCACCTGCATCACCATCATGAGCATAATCCACCTGGTACTACCGGATCCACAGCCTTGCATTTCGCAGCTGCAGGCGGTCATCTACAAATAATCAACATTCTACTAGACAATGGTGCTGATCCTAACAAAGTCGATAAGAATGGTCAGGTGCCCGCGACTCTAGCGCTCCATTGCGGTCATAAGGATATCGTACACATTTTGGTAAATTATACGATGAAGTCATCACAATCTGCAGAAGAAAGCGTCGATGTGTTGGAAGATAAGATTATCAATTCTGATAAGTTCAAAAACCGTAGACCCTCTCTTCCGTCTATCATTGAGCAGTCTTCGTCAACTATCAAGCATTCAACGAATTCAATCAGGAAAACGACAAGAAATAGACGCTTTAGCCATTCTGACAACCTATCAAACGTTTTAGAGCTTCCACCAACACCAATAGAAGATTCATTTAACCTCACCCGAGCAAACGCCACTTTCTCAACCGAGAGCCTAAATGAGGGCACCAACGTTGCTAGTAGCAGCAATGCAGAACCTTCACAGCAGCCACATCACAGTCTACGAAGGTTAGTGAGCAAGCAATCCCTTGCCAGTCTCTTCACCAGATCAAACAAAGACAAGAACCAAGAAAGCGACAATGATTATAGCCCGGACACGGTGTCTGCTCCTTCATCTCCTCATAAGAGTATTCAGAAATTGCCAAAGAGGAGGAGCACTTCAAATTACGACGACGGCTTGCGTCCTCTTGAACCCCTAGAACCACCTACCCCAAGAGATCGAACAAACACAGTATCAACTATTTCTTCCACGAATACGAGATCATCACACACACGTACGACTGACGATAACAGTTCTAACACTTCACCCACGAATTCGACATTCATTTTGAATATACCCATGAACCAATCACAACATGCCCGCGAAGCACATGCTGAACGCCAACAGAAACGGAGGGCCCAAGTACGGCAACAGAGCACCAATTCTATCGGATCGCAAACACCCATCCAGCATCAAACACAACTGCATCAAGAACCACAGCATGCACAACCACAACAACCACAACAACCACAACAACCACAACAACCACAACAACCACAACAACAACAACAACAACAACAACCACAACAACAGCAACAGACGCGCTTTGGAAACCTTCAAGAACTTTCTCTACAGGAGCAAGAACGGCGATTGAGTTCTTCCCAAGCAGCAGAGATGGTCAAGAGGGTTGAGAAGGAGCTACTAACTCTTGCTGAGAGTGGAAAGGCACCAAATTTGAGTAATAGCCGATTGGGGAGTGGTGTGGAGCAGAGTGAACTCCTCGAGCGTCTGCAACGCTATGGTGAGACCCTCGCCTTAAAGCGAGATGCAGAAAAGCGAGAGGATGACATTGCTCGTAGTCAAACAAGTAGCCAATCAAATAGCCCACAGACTGATAATTTGAGAGTGAGCGTCAACCATAGCGAGACATCCCCTCGTACATTTGCGCGCAGGCAGTCGTCTCTACAGCACAACAAGCTGAAGCAGAGTCATAATATTGCAAAGAAGAATCAATACAATGTCCGTAATGATCTCTTTCAGAATGACTTTGATAGTAAGGTTCCTTCGCCGCTGCATTTGTCACACACCACGTCCAATAGCTCGACGAGGTACTCCAAGATATTCAAGGGTATTAAGTCTAAACTGACCCATTAGGGTTGTATAAACTATGTAAAATAGCTGTATTCTTGCCATTTTTGTAATATATTCTGAGCTCATGAACGATCATTCCTTATCAATTGCAATCAATGGCTGAGAATGAGAAGACGGCTATTAGGATAAACTTACCTGAGAGGGCGTTTCCTATTGTATTCTGTGGTACGCTCGTTGGATTCTCACTGGGTAGCTACAGAGGCGGTAGAATCGCCGGTAAGAAATTCCTAGCGGAGAACGCTCACAGGGCGCCTAAAACGGTCCAAGGGTGGTACTTCTACAACAAGACGAAGAACTACAGGATAATGCAGAGGAGTTTGACTACTGGGTTGCTAGATGCCTCCAAAATCGGTGGAATTGCCCTGGTCTGGGTTGCAGCGTCTTCTTACACAGAGAGACTGAGGAAGAATATTGGGGTAGACAGTGTATATTACAAACCATTAGATGAATTAGCCGGTGCTATTTCTACCGTTACAGCCACTTCCATCCTTTGTGAGTACTTTCGTAGTTTCCCATTATAGACTATCTCTAACAGAAATAGACAAACTACCGAAGCCAATAGTGAAGCGTCTAGCTAGCATAGCTATACCTTCTAGTTTACTAATGTCTACATTGATTATATTTAAACAAATTTTGTAATTTTTATTGGGAATATCAGATACTATACGCGTCAACCGTTACCGTAGCGTTTTTATATCAGAAATACCCAAAATAAAAACGTTTAAATGGCGTCTTCAGACTCTTCAATAGCTGTATCTGGTTTGTGCAGAGCTATCAACGCGATTTTCATCTGACGCACCGACCAAACAGTACGCGTTCGACCACTGACAGGCAAAGAGAACGGATTAATAGAGCCACTTTCAAGTAATATATTTAGCTCAGATGCTAGTTTATCCTACACACCATCCAAGCAACCAGTTAGAAGTAGCAGGCGGATAATTGACGTCCTCGATGACAGGGTTTTGATATTTGATCCACCGGATAATGACCCCGCCCGCTCATTTCAAAATCAAGGTTTTACTCGTCCTGGTACGAAGCGTTACAAAGACCAGCGCTACGCATTTGATAAGGTATTCGGTGAACCAACATCCCAAGAGAACGTCTTCTACGAGACGACGTTACCTTTAATTGATGGCGTTTTGGATGGTTACAACGCTACAGTATTTGCCTACGGTGCGACGGGATGCGGTAAGACACACACTATTAGCGGTACACCTGAAGATCCCGGAATTATAATCAGAACGATGAATGAACTCTTCACGCGCATACAACAGGTTGAGACGACATACAATGTACAAGTTAGTTTGAGTTATTTGGAAATATACAATGAAATGATACGCGATTTGCTCGCACCACCAGACGCGAAAACGCCAAGAAGTGGTCTTGCCTTACAGGAGAGTGCAGCGCAGAAGATCTCTGTTGCCGGTTTGAGTGAACATCACCCAAGCTCGCCTGAGCAGGTCCTCGCTATGATTATGGATGGTAACAAGAAACGTACGATGAGTCCAACTATGGCAAACGCAACTTCAAGTCGCTCTCATGCAGTCTTGCAAATAAATGTCAAGAAGCGTCAAGTAGGACATGATGCAGAGCAATGTGCGACGCTCTCCATTATTGATCTCGCGGGTAGTGAGAGAGCATCAGCAACACAGAATTCAGGGAAACGTATGACAGAAGGTGCCAATATCAATAAGAGTTTACTCGCTCTCGGTAATTGCATCAATGCACTCTGCGAGGGTGCTAAGGGACATATTCCCTACAGGAATTCAAAATTGACACGTCTGCTTAAATTCAGTCTTGGTGGTAATTGTCGTACGGTTATGGTGAGTATTATTAATCGATGGTATGCTTCTCTGACAATAGTAGATTGTCTGTGTATCACCCTTCTCACAACACTATGAAGATACTCAGAATACTCTGAAATACGCAAATAGAGCGAAGAATATAAAAACCAAAGTATCCAAGAATATCATCAACGTTGATCGTCATGTTAGAGAATACGTGCAGATGATAGCCGAATTACGAGAACAGAATGCGAAGTTGCAAAATATTATCGATGACAGGTCGACAGAGATGAGCGCAGCTGATCAACGCAAGCGAGCTAGCAGTTTCGAAGAGATGACAAGGATCAAGACGGACATCAGTCAGAAGTTAGATGAAACTCTGCCGTCAATAGTTAAAGGTGCTGCATGGGATGCCTTGTTGATCACATCCACGATGAGAGCTCAACCGTTAGAGGCAAGGCTAGGAAATCTGTCGCAGAACCCTTCTGGAAACAGTCACGAAATTGCACTACTGTCCTCAATGCTTCGTCCGCTAGCAGGTCTACTGGCAGGTAACTCCTCCGCTCGGTCGCATATACTTCAAGCTCAAAAGAGCTCCGCAATGCTTGAAGCAACTCTTCGTGCTATCGAGAGTAAACGCTACGATGGAATGGATGAACAGACGGTCATGCAGATTAAGCAGTATGTCCAAAGTTGTCGCCATCAGGTGCAATTCGAGAGCGAAAAGCAGCGTTCTGAGCTTCTTAAGAACGCACTTGGTGTCATGTCGACTGGACTCGCTGGAACAACCAAGACGATTGCTTACCTCGCCAAAATTGGTAATGCGTTAGTCGAAGATGTCAATAAGAAGTCAATAGATTATGATAAGCAGATAGGATATGCAAAGGCCTTGCAAATGGAGTATGAAGGCTCAAACTCACTTCTGAGTTCTATCAACAGTCACGATGAATTACCACCGCCAATTTCTGCTGTCAATTCACCAGTCAATACTTTCGATGGTGCTACATTCCAACCTCCACCTCCGCTAGCTATCAGCCTCAAGAGCTTGTCGCCATCGAGCATGCCCGCTACTTCTCTCGTAGAAGTCACTAACAGACGACTTTCACCAGTGCGTAAAGTCAAAACGACAAGCGGTAGTCCGAAGCGCGTTCACAGAAGACTGTCGAACTTTGATGGTATGATGGCATCAAAACCGCCTCCATTATCGTTTGGTGCTGCTAGTATTGCGGCAGGGTCACAAATGAAAGCTTCATTCGCACAACCTGCTGCACAGCCTCCTGCATCGATACAACCCAAGAAGAGTTTCCGGTGGAAAGACGAAGCGGGTGAGGGCGAGTTATACGAATCCCGGCGAAGACAGAGTCTCGGAAGGAGCGTCAAACCGTCTACGACGATCATCAATAGTAACGGAATGGATACTGACGACAACAAGAGTGATGGTGGCTGGGAAGATGACGATGGTAGTAGTGTCTTCAATGCCGCACCTGTAGCTGTTCCAGCTCCGGCTCCAACTCCTGGTCCCGCTCCAGCGTCTGCACCTACATCTGCACCTGTGCAGTCTGAACAGAAGATGCGCGGCCCCGTGCGTCTTGAGCAATCGCAACAGACGCAACCACAAAGACGCTCCAGCAGTATAGCTATGCGTCCGCTTGGTTCTAAGACACTCGCAAGCAAGAAATCAAACCTGAGCAACGTCGGTGAAGACGAAGAAAGCAGCTTTAGGTTGCCTCAGGGTTCACCAATGCGTCTGTCGTCACCAACTAAGCGCATCGCGCTGCTTGATCTTAATGACCAAGGCAGCCCGAGTCGACCAGCTCGCGGGTTTGCCCAGCCAACTGCAAGCTCCGCCAGGCGGCTTTCGAAACTCCCTGAACCTACCGGTATGGGCACGCCAAGAATGAGACGCGTCAGACGAGGCAGCAATATCGGACCAATGAGGCGAGGTAGAGCTAGTCTCCTTGCTGCTGAGACCTCAGTTCAGCATCCACACCAACCACCACAGCCTGCGCCGTCGTCCGGTCCAGTCCGATTCAACCCAGGTGCAAATCTCAAGAGTCCTCGCAAAGGACGCAGATCGCTAATGCCATTGGGCAGCTCGAGAAGGATGAGCGCTGCACCACCATTAGGTGATTTTAGTTTTAATAAACCTGGTTGGAAGTAACTTTATTATACCCACTAAAATGTAGTAAAAATTTTCAACACTCTTTCACTTGTTAAAAACAAACTGGTAATATAATATGTATTAAGAATTACTTTATATTAGGATAATTAAGTTGCTGTAGTAGCTGTATAACTTATTCTTTGTCCTGCAAAGTTGTTAGGAGAACTTCAAAGATTCTAGTGAGCTTCATACCTGAATAGGGACTATAATTTATTAGATATGAAAGTATATATAATCGAATTACTTACCGTCCTTGCCAGTTAACTTCTTGTAAACCTTACGGATACTGTTACATTATGAGCTGATATTCGGAAAAAAAGGAGTAACCAACTGACCCGTCTGTATAACGTTAAATGAGGGTATAAGGGAATAACAGAATACTCACCAGAGATCTTTTCAACGGTTGATCTGGATTGCTTGTGTCCGAGCTTGTTAGCGACAGCATCGACACCCTTGTCTGTAGTTTGTTAGTAGACTATATGAATAGCACTACTATACTCACCGAGTGCATCCATTTGACCACCAGATTGTGCAGCTTCGTTTGACATTATGATTGTTTGGTTGGAAGAGCAAAGAACCGTGCATTAGGGGTTGAACGGATAAGTTGATTTTTCAAATCTTGTTTGGAATGTTTGAATACAGGACAAGATTTTAGCTATTTGTATTGCATTAGCTGTACCTTCAACGACGTTTTTAGAAAGTCGGCAAATTTTCTCAAGCGTATAAATGACAGACAAAGTAAATAATGCACACAACAGACGGTAAATTAGCTCATAATGAATGTATCATTCAAGACAGTTTCCTGCAAGTCAAACTGCTTAGTTTGCTTCAACAGCGCCCTTCTGAAGTGGTATGTTAGTGTGACCTAGGGAGTCATAACTATTGCTTACTCTGATAGCAAGTGCCTTCTTGATGTTACCTTGAGTAGCGTATCTTTGGTCTGATAATTTGTAAGAAGGATTGAGGACTCGAAGGCTCTACTTACTACGAAGGAACTTTGGGTCGACACCCTTCTTGGATGGGTAACGAGCTCTTTGGGAGAACTTCAAGTTACGGTGAGCCTTAGCAGATTGGTTGTGGTTAGTGTGGCTGTAAATTGTCAGTATGAGGCTATCTTTGAAGCTTTAACGACGGACTTCTTTGACTTGGCCATTTCGCTATTATTTTATTAGCTTTTTGCACTTTTTAAAATATTTTTCTGCACCCACCAGAAACCGTTGCTGAGCTAGAGAAGAGTACCGTCAGTTTGAATATTTTATGAGGAAATTCAAAATTTAATTTTTAACTTTATTTTATATATTTATTATTTAGAACGTCAGTATAGTATATATACCTTTTTCCTTCTCTCTCGCTGCATCTTTTTTTGTTCTTTCTATAATCACTCATCCATGTCATCATACAACAAATTTCACTCTGGCGAAGCGTATATCTTATTATTCAATATGTAAGCAGCAACGGCTGATGGGAGGAGATACCTGATTGACATTCCTCTTCTGACGAAAAGTCTGACTTTTGTTGATGATATATCATTGTATATCAGCTGCTTGACGACAATAACATTCCTTCGATGCTTGTACAGTAGATCGTGTGACAATAAGAATGCCCACACATCAGATCCTGTTCTTTCGACAATGAGACATCCAAATTTACCCAAAATATGGTTCAAATCGTCCTCTGACCAGACTCCTGGTTCACCGAAAGATTCTATAAGATCACCACCTGCTAATAACATGATTTGAACCTTTCTTCTGCTGCCATCGCGTAGTTTAACTCCGTATTCTTCACATTCGTTGATTTCTTGATCAAAGTGATCCAAAACATGAGCCGTTCTTGTGAACTCCTTTTTGTTGGCTTCCCAAGGGTCAACCATAAGCCAGTCTGATGTGCATTCTACACCCAAATGGCACATCATAACTCTATGCTTGGCACCAGCCAAACCAGATTTCTTGTAAGCATCCGAGACAGGTGAATAGTATCCGCCTAGTATTTCATACTTTCCTTTTTCATTTATTTGATCACTTGCCATTTCAAACATACGCAAATGCAAGTAAGTTGGCGGTGAAAATGAACCGCACGCTACGATAACGAGTGGAATCTTCTCCTCATCTGGTTTTGAATGTCAATATGAGTACTCTCTAATAAATACACAAACAGACCTTCCATCATTCCCTTCAGCTTATGCTTCGGGAAGATATAACCGTCTTCTCCAAATAAATCGGCCTCGTCTAAGTCGGGCGGACTGAAATCCTTTGTCTGACTGAAGGGATTTGGAGTGACTGGGGCCTTGTCGTGTCTTTCATTTATCGCTTCAGGTGCGGTCATCGGTTCCTTAGGGACCCGGTCTCTAGCAATACCAACCTGCGAGCTTTCGCGCTGTACAGAAGGTCTAACAGCCCGGCTTGCTATAGCGTTTGCTGCTGAACTCGGGAGATCAGAGAGCATTGGGTGAGGGGATGGTTGTGCACTACCATCTGGTCTGGGTGAATACATAGGTGAGAAGGCGGCTTTACCCCTTAACTGGTTCTTTGGTTCAGATTGCGCACTAGTCGAGCTGTTAGGGGATGATCTATTTGAGTCTGAAACGTGTAATAGTTCTAATGGCGGTATTTCCTCATCGTTTGCTTGTCCGGTGAATGGGGGTGAATCTTGGTGGTAAGATTGCACGCTAAGGGATGACATTGGACCACCGCGGTTATTCTCTGGTGCTTTGCTGTTGAATGGATTTTTTGCCATTTTTCTATCCTCAACGTCGTTGTTCAAGGTGTACCTCTGTTGTCATCGTTAGTCAATCGAATTAGTAAGAAAATCCGAAATGTCGGGTAGATACACTTACTTTGATAGCGTATGTACCATTTACAACTTTTAATCGACATCTAACACCTCTATAGGATGATTATCGCCTTCCTGAAGGTATGAAACGCGTTGGGTATGATAGCGATACACAGCAGTACACTTTCAGGGATAATGAGGTAATTATATTATTATACGTATGTATACTTAGCTGACACATACAGGGGTACTACATTGGTCAACCAGGTATGTTGTCATTATCTTTCTACACTCTTGACGCCCCACAGGTGCGGAATATGGAGGTAGATTAACCTACACAGGTCCACTCACTGGTAACGAGCGTGACGACGACAGTGAATTCATAGCACCACCAATAAATGCTCCAAATTCACCTTACCGCCCATTACTTCCATTTTTTGTCATTGTTGCTGTTATATTGCTCCTTTTAGTCAAGTTTATCTACTCTGGTAATACGTCTATATGTCCAGATGATCTCATAGAGTACAAGATTAGCAGAGGTGATACATGTTGGGATATTTCTCAGACCCATTCAGTAGCCTTGGATTGGTTACAGGAGAAGTACAACTGCGACAAACTCATTCCTGGCACTCGTATGTGTCTACCAAGACATAACTGAATGGTAATATAGTATTGCAGATTCTACTTATGACGATTGCTGCATTTTTATAATCACAGAGGAATCTCTATCACTCTTATTCTTATTTTAGACACGATGCATACCAATGTATAACATATAGGCTTTAGAACAGTGTGCTTGCGTTCTGTGCCAAATCGAGTCCGATACCCAGGTGAGACAGACGAGCATCGACTATTTTTCCCTCTGCGCTGAACTCTTGGGTGTTCGTTAGATAGGTGTTACCTTAAACATAATACACACCAAGTATCTTTTTATGGAGATCCTTCAATGGTACCAAATGGCGAACGATATGCTCGCCGTCATCTAATTCCTGTAATGGTGGTGGAGCATTCTCATCAATGTCATCTACGACTATAGTCACGCTCTTCATATTCGCGTTGCTCATACCAGGATCGTTTGCGACTACTGGCGATTCATCAATCACGCGAATTGAGTCTCCCTCTGGAGTGAGATTAGGTATTTTAGCCTATTATGAACCATAATAAATACCCACGATATCCTGTCTCTTCGCGCAACTCGCGTATGGCTGCCTGTACCGCTGATTCACCTTCTTACATTTAATGAAGTACACTCTAGTTTGCTAGACCCACCTTTGTCTATCAAACCAGCTGGGAATTCAATAACGTTACTATCGACTGGCTGCAAGTCGTCAGAAAGTCGTTTAACATCATATTAAATGCCGTACCGGCCTGTACTGCTCAACTAGTATTACATCACTCAGCTTAGTACTATTCTTGTATTTAAGTACAGCTGCGATGGAAACGGCTATAAGAATTCACGTATTACGTCATTCGAAAGCAATGTTTTCAAATTACTACGTACCATCTACGCCTCCCTCTGACCTTGTAGTACGATATGCGTTCTCCCATTTTCGTTGCTTACCCTCCTGGTCTCTCCAGTGCAACGTTTGGAGTCCCTAAATGTGTGAGTCGTGCGCGATGATATTAAAGACGATTTACAATAAATTTGGTGTTAGTGTTAATATTCTCTACCTTCTCAATCACTGGTTTCTGTGACATTCTCCTTATTCCTCCCAATCTGGATATTTGGCGAAGTAGTTGCATCGAAACGTCCGATAAACAAGCAAACGGGTTTCAAAATGAAAACTTTAATGCATAATGTTTATTGTTCAAAAATGTTTATATAAATTAAAAGGCACTATCATGATGTTTGATCTATAGCGATCTTTTTGTTATCCAGGGGTACTTCATCTTCTCTTTCACGCTTTCCAAGTACACTGTTATTCGCGAACGAGTCATTGTGGCAGGTCGCGTGATATATTGTTTCCCCATCTTCTAGGGCATTCTTCCATACCCATTCTTCGTCTTCTTCGCTGAACTCGCCTTTGAATTTTTCCTTGCAGATTGGACAGACTTTGGCGGCATCTTCAGCATCAGCAGGAACAGGTACTGTCATTGATTCAAGCTGCTTCTTGTACTCTGCTTGTTGGGTTTGCTCGTTATCCTCGTGTGATTGAATTGGACCGCGTTGAGATGCCACGGAATCGTCAGCTACATCGTTCATCCAGTCCTAATTTCTGTTAGATAATATACAGCATTGTTATAATTTTCACTCACTTTCAAAACAATCAGCCAGGAGCGCGTTACACCTCTGCTACCCTCTTTGTTGCGTCTATTTATCCTGAAATGTGTATCTATATGCTCAGCTAACTGCTTCTTCCCTGTACTGGTATCTGCAAACCGCCGCGAACATTGTGGACATTGAACTGTCAACCTGTCATAAAACAACTTGTCTAGATTCGGTCTAGGACTAAAAGAAACTTATTAGAAATAAATACTGAATGTGAATTTAATAAAACACACCAAAGTATATCATTATTATCAAGTACAATATCAAGTGCTAGCACAGCTTGATCATAAGCCTTTTCTTTTTCTTCATCCTCCTGACTATCTATTGCCATTATTTGTTCTGGCTGTGGTGATTTTGACTTTGATGTTACTGTACTAGCACTATTTCCGGCATTGACTGTTTTCAATAAACCGGATGCTTGCAATGATTGCAATAATCCAGATACATTTGAGCCAACTTGAGGTTGTTGTGGCTGTGGCTGTGGTGGTGGTGGTGGTGGTGTATTTGATTGCAATAAGGGATTCAATTGAGCTGCGACAACGGGTATAGGTGCGGCTGGCTGAACAGCTGGAGCAGGTGTAGATATAATTGCAGGTGTCGGCAATGGAGGTGGAACTGAAGGCGTTGACGCGACCACCGGTGTTGCTCCCGCTGGTGCATCATTCGACATAGATTTGACTCTCTCATAAATTTGGTTCAATTGATCAGGTGGTACATTTGTAGTGAGCAGGATCTTTTCAAGAGTTGACAAAGCGTGTATATGCGACTTTGCTTTCTCGTCGTATGGGTAATACTGAACATGCACTTTCCTTTTTTCTAGTGCAGCCTGCAACTCTGTAATTACGAGCGTTCTTGAGGGACCATAAGAAAGGGGTATGGAAGCCTTCCAGCCACCTTGTCCGTACAATCTCTGCTCGCAATCAAGTTGCGCCTGCCTGCCAAATAAGTTACTACCATATGGACCACCATTGCGCCAGGTAATTACGAGCTCCTCCAATTTCGATCGGGTCGCGCCATCAACTAGGGCGTAAGTGTTGAGCCAGTCTTTCGCGATAAATGGGGCGAAATGCTGGGCGTAGTTGAGCTGTGAGAGGTTTTTCGATATGCTATCAATCAAGTAAAGGACAGGAAGCCTGTAATGTGGCTTCAAACACGTTATATGGTCGTGAATCGCGTCTGCAACCTGATTAGCTGCTGAGCCGTACTGCTGTGCTAGCAAAGTCAGATTAGTTATCAAATGCTTCTGGTTTGAGTTAAGAGTGCCTAGCTGTTGCTTATAAAAGCTATATACATCCATAATCAAGCACAACACAAAAGAATTTATAAATTAGATGATGGACGTAGGAGATGAAGGAGTGTGGCCAGATTTGGAAAGGATAAATGCAGCGGGAAAAGGTATATTTATATATATATAATGAATAATACAACTATTCACTGTTTCAATGTTTATTAGCGCTATCTGAGCTGTCTCTGGGTATATTTACTATCGTCATCACTTCGTCCGTCAGAATCACTCAAGAGGAAAGGTATTCTGATGTGAATATACAGAAATCATCTCGCAATCCACCATATATTTAAAACACCTATCGGGGCTCACAGGAGCAAATCTTCACCCCGAAGCAACGAAACAGCGATCGAGCATTTCTAGAGCGTAAAACAAAAGTAGTAGATTATGCTGATGGTACTACAATAAGATAGAACATGCAGTACTAAAATTTTAAGTTTAATTAATTCCTAGCGCGCTTCGTTTAAATTTTTGTGAAAAGAATCTTCGCCTCTTCAACTCTCTCCCCCACGGACAAATCACAAACGACAGAAAACTTATTACTTACCACGCTATGTGAGTGGCTTATCGTGTTCGAGAACATATAGTCGTCTAACCTGCAATACAGTTATTAGTCCACTATGTTCTAAATTACTCCCCAACCCGTAGTTTATAATTTGACAAGATCAAGTTATATTAGAGAGTTTATCAATTATGTTTTATTTTGATTACCTATAAGCGCTTTTATTACTAGACCACAAGGTCCCCAGACAAAAATTTTCAATATGTTTACAACAATATTATCAACCCAAGAATGTCACAAATTAATTACAGTACAATCTCAAACTCTTCACAGTATGAAGAGTTGGACTTTGAGTCCCTTCTAAACTCATTCAGCCCTCCAAGCCTTACAAACAGTCCGTTCTCATCAATGTCCTCCCCGGAGCAGCAACTAATTACACCACAAATGCTCCACAACGACACAAATGACATGCTCGCAGGCTTTCCACTCTTTGGCGCTCAAACTGATGTCAAGGTCGAGCCATCTGATGAGTATGTCAATCCGCTACCATCTGATTCTGTGTTTGAAGGCTTCTCATCTCTGTTCAATAAGGATACTTTAAATGCAGCAACTCCACCAAAAGAGGATAATCACCAACCTTCACTTTCGCCAGCTCCAAAGGCAAAGACACGCTCAACTGCCCAGTCAGCCAAACGTACCAAGGTTTCTATGCAAGATCCAATACAGCCTAGGAACTACTCGTCGGCTTCTGCTACATCCCGTAAAAAGATCCCCGCTGCCTTTGAGTCACGACTCGACAAGAAAAGAGGTCGGGAAGAGGTGGAAGATGACGTACCTTTGGACGTTAAAGATGCGATTGAAGCCAAGCGCAGACAGAACACGCTGGCTGCTCGCAAGTCCCGTGAAAGGAAGAGGAAGGAATTGGAAACTCTTGAAGGTCAGGTCAATGAGTTGCAGATGCAGAACAGGGCGCTTGTTGATCAAGTCGAACGTTACAAGGGTATTGAAGAAGAGTTGAGGTTGCTCAGAATGGAGAATGATAATCTGAAGAACGCTCTCCATATCTAGTTTAAATTTTTTTCTATGTTTTATATTTCTTTTCTTTCCCTATATTAATACATTTCATTTTAGACTAATATTGGATTCTTATTTATGTGCTATCCTGCATTGAGTGGGTTTTCGAAGATTAGTTTCTTCGTGGAAACGCTTTTTGCGAATGTCGCGAAACTTTTCATCTTGCACGAAGTCAAGCATAGAATGTTATAAAGTTTTTTTTTAAAAAAAAGGCTTGCGCATACTACAATTTACTTTAACTAGTGAATGGCTCAATCTCGCTTTTCAATGTACTATGTGGTAATGTTGGTATAAACCTGTGTCACCTAAACGAATAGTAACAGAGCCCTCAACTAGCCACTTGGTCACGTGACCACGATAAGTTGGGAGATATCAGACGGGCAGTACGTCATGGCCGTTGTCATCCCATGATTCGGTCTCGAGCGGGGAATCACCAAGGAAGAGAACGAAAGTTCGAAATGAGTCTCGAGCTAGGTAAGCATTGCTTTAAGCCCATAGTTCATCTAGTACTTATCTAGAATCAATGCGTTTTTATCTGTAGACAGTAAAGAAAGGCAGATCCCATTTATGTACGAGTTATCTTACTAACAAATACAGAAGGAATGAAAGATCACGTGAGAACAATTCCATAGCAAATAGGAGCTGAACGGAAACGTATGAACAGCAAAACTGTCTTCAATGCCTTAGAAATCTCCCAGGTGTAAAGAAACCGCTATCAAAATCCAAGACATTTGGGCATATGCAGGTAGAGGAAAAATTAGAAATGTAGGAACAATACGAGCAAGTAAAGTCGTTACTCCGGCGCACGTTCTATCCAATTCGCATGATGTTCTATCCTCTGCCTCCACTGATGAGATCAACAACGCTGCCAATAATTAAGTACAAATACCAGCAGAGTAATATAACACGTTTAGCAGACTAAAACTCTATTGGTAGCCGAAATAATTCCGGTATTTAGCGACGGATCTATTTGTAGAATGGTATGTATGCATAATTGAAGCTAATAAAGCTGAATAAATTTGTTGAATGAAGATCCAAGTCCCCGTGTCAACTTTAAATATTTACCAATATTTACCTTTTCTATAAACCTATAACTGAAATACTGTAAGTGTAGAACTTGGCAATGATGAACGTTCAAGAACAAGGAACGATCTTCTCGCTAGACGTTCATCTTGTTAGCATAAAAAAAGGATCTCATTGGCTGACTATAGACAACAGACTCGAATGGTATGAAGTTTAGCGTGTAAGTTCTTATAATACAGTTACAATATCATCTAACAAACAGCAGTCGTATACAGCAAGAAGCAATAGCAGAGTGGAGGCTTTGTTATCTCAATTACAAACTATGCAAAAAGAAGCTAAAAAAGCTAACAGGGAGTGCTGAAATAGACGAAAGTATCAATGATATAAACTACATCATCAACGAGTTACCGGACACTCACAGATCTTTCTTCAATACACTCAATGCGGAGCAACTCAAGATCAATCAGTTCTTCTTAGACAGATTGAATGATGCACAGACACAGGCTGCTTTGTTAGACTCACAGCTACTGCAATTACGCAAACATAGACAATCATTTTACACGCAGTATCCAAAGAATATCTACCTGGCCTTCAAAGGGGCCTGGGAGACGCGCCATTTGCGCAACTTCTATAGAGCGTGTACTAGACAACCGCCTATACCACCACATAGAAAAGACATAGAGGATGACAACTCAAAAGGTCTCCCAGATCCACAAGGCTACAAAAAAGCTCAAAGAAAGCTCAAAACAGCCGTCTTTGAGTTGCATAGGTACCTGAACATGCTCAAATCATACACCGAGCTCAATCAGATAGCTTTTTATAAGGCGCTCAAAAAATACGACAAGTTGGCGGAGAATAACATCAAGCTAGGGCCTCTGTATATCCAACAGAAGGTCAACGAAGCTGAGTTCTCTACATCCCCAGAAGTCAACTATCTGTTAGACGCGACAGAGAAGGTATTCGCATCCTATTTTGAATCCGGATCACATAGAAGAGCGGCGCAACGTCTTCGATTGGAATCTGTGAAGCAATCGATGACTATTCCGCTAATTTTCACTGGTATTTTCATCGGACTTTCTATTCCCCCAATATGCATGGGTATAGAAAACGTATACAATCCTGACCTCAGAAGGAATCTGCCAACATGGCAAGCACTATTGCAAGCATATAGTGCTTGCATTTTACCCCCTTTCTTTTTGTTGCTATTTTCAGTAAATGAGGCATTACTAGCTAAAGCTAGAATCAATTATGTCTTTATTTTTGAATTAGACGTTAGACACCACTTGCATCCATCACAACTTGGACTCATGGCATCATTCTTAGTTTTACTTTTATCTTGGGCATTCTACATTTCGTTCACAAACTCATGGAGTGAAAGTAGGTGTTTTTAATGTCAAATAAGTTTGCTCACAGTCCATAGCAATCAGTCCTACTTCTTGGCCTCTTATTTGGATCATAGTCACTCTTATCATATGGTTCAACCCATTACCATTAATGTTTAGGAACTCGCGCTATTGGATGATAAGATCACTCTTACGAGTCTTTACCGGTGGTCTTCTGAGAGTCCAGGTAGGTAAACTTATGATTATTTACAGAAAGCTGACGCTTCTTAGTTTAGAGATTTCTGTAGGTGCATGTTTGTTTTCCGCATTCCTTTCTAACTGTTTAATAGTTCTTGGCGACGAACTCAACTCGTTAGCATACACCTTCTCAAACCTTCGCTTCTTAGGTTGCTGTTATAATGTCCGTTGGCAGGAAGATGACACGCGAACATTCTGCTCCAATCAGACTTCTTGGGCAACGCCAGTCCTACAATCTGTTCCGGCGGCGATTAGATTTAGCCAATGCCTGCGTAGATACTATGATTCGGAATATACTATGAAGATACACTTGGTTAACGCAGGCAAATATGTCAGTGTTATTGCTCAAAATTTTGCTTTCTACGGTTGGAGAGACAGAGGTGGTGGTCATTATGAGCATTATACATTTGCGATATGGATTGTATTTGCTCTGATTGCCTCTAGTTACACTGCTAGTTGGGATCTTCTCATGGATTGGTCCCTTCTCCAGAGGAAGTCCAAGAGAAAGTTTCTGAGAGACACACTAGCATTCGAAAATGCTTACGTGAGTACTTACAAACTTATAGCTTATTTTGTTAACTAAATTATTCAGCTTTATTATTTCGCAATCGTATGTCAAACAATGTGAAGCTATTTCACTCAGACTGACGTAACATCCAGATAACAAATACCATATTGCGTTTCATATGGCTCTTCCACCTACCTGATCATCATGCGCGTTTTGCTGTACGTAGTTTCATCTTCGCTGTTCTCGAAGTATGCAGACGTTGGCAGTGGAACTTCTGTGAGTTGCAGATATAATGAACGATAAACGTAATCTGACAGACGAATAGACCGTGTAGAAAACGAACACGTCGGTAATGTAGATCAGTACAAGGTCGTCAAGGACGTGAAGATGCCCTACGACGATAAGCGTAAGCCAATTGTGAATGAGGATGCTTTCAAAGTCGGTCAAGCGTTTGATCTCTCTATCGAGCCTGATCATAAGCCAAAATCGACAGAGAAAAGCGATAACACTACAGCCCGATTGGTTATGTGCGTGCCACAATCGCAGCCTCTCACAGAAGGTGGTGCAAGAGGTAGACCTGCCGCGAAAGACTATGAGAGGCGTCCGGCAGTCGTCAACAAACCATTCACTATGCACAGAGCCATGTCTGAGGATGAAGAATCCGGCAGTGGCAGTGGTAGTGGTAGTTGGTCAGGCAGTGGCTCGGGCTATGAAGATAGTGACTTTGAGAATACGCTTAACTTCTCAGATGATTCACATTCACAAAATTCGCACGATATAGCTGTCGCAGATTTCAACCAGAATGAATTTGTGACTGCAACGTCCGTTGTCTTCCCAGAGGGAGGCGCAGTAAATAACAATTCCAATACTTCATTCAAATAAACTTAATTTTAACCATATTATCCAGAAAGTATGCATGTCTTTATTTAAGTTTTTGCTAGCCGGGCGAGAACATTGATGAGCTATTATTGAGGCTCGGTAAACGTAATCGAGTCGACTACCTCATTGAACGATCAGTAACGGAGAATGTTTTTACCCTTGGCTCGAGCATTGACCGCTTTTCTGGAACACGGCTCAATCGAGGAGACGTTTCATTATCAAAATCCTGTGGTGGGGTACGTGCGCAAACTATATTTAAGAACAAAATATAATGTCAAGGGATGCGTGAACCTGTGTGAAGTTTTGCTTTCCTGAGTATAGGAATAGGGTACTAGGGTCGCGCGATGCAGGGGTATAGCGGATCAACGACGCCGTATAAAGGTTGGCCGACAGGACGGAAAATATTACAACGGGACGTGATTTGAAGACATTATTTAATGCCAGAGTATTTGTTTATCTTAGCCGCGTCTTTCCTTTATTTTGAGTTGTCTCATTGTTCGCCCTACCCCATCTAGGAACAGGGGTTGATTGAAACCCTCACCTTTTGAACTTCTTCTTGAAAAAGACAATCATGTTAAGCTCCGATTATCTACCAACTCAGGTTAGTCGATAGTTTCATTATCCAGGACATCATTCACAGACGGTAGATAGAACAGAGAGGTCAATATAGCAAGTCGTTAGAAGGAAGAACCTTATCGGTGAAAGAGGAAGACTCACCGACATATATCACACCGTCTGCTGCCCAATTCGACCTCATATATGACGACCTCCTTAATGTAAGTGCTAGATAGTTACAACTTTATCGGATCTAACGACATCGTAGGCATTGATGACAGGAGACCGTTTATTATCACCACCTGCAAAAAGAGACACTTTAGACGTACCTCGTTCCGCCATTACAAGGAAGTCAAATATATCCATTCCAGACTCTCTCAAACCTGGTCGTTCGCCAACTAACTCCCAATGGTCGCCAAATGCTTTTTCAAATACGTATGCACAACCCTCAACCAGATCGAAACCATTGCCAATTCCGGGGCGAAGATTGTCTCAGCGGAGGAAACAGCATATGGAAGATTACAGAGACTATCTCAAAGATGATTATATTTCTGCTGCTAAACGCGAGCACCCGAAGTCAGATAAACTGAGATACCTCCAATTATTGACAGAAGAGGCCGAATCTAGGTTGATGAAGCGAGCAACACATACTGAAATGGAAGCTGACGAAAGACACGTCCAATCACAAGCAACGGCGACATCTACACCTATTGTTAGAGTAATCGATCAAGACTCCCAGAGGAAGCTGTCGACGTCTACAGTCTCGACGGCTGTCTCTACACTCGCTACTCCTCAGACACCACCAAATACTGTCATGCAACTACCTCAACAACACGAGAAGCGTCCTGATGGAATGCGCAAATCAGTTCGTACGAGAATAGCCAAAGGATTACGCATCAACCCATCAATCACGCGTTAGCATTGCAATTAGTTCATTTAATACCGTTAAAATCAATCGGAAATCGCATATTAATTAATAGACACTCATTACACTCATTTAAGTCATCAATCATTACCCCTAATCAGATTACTGTACTTAATAAATGTTATTTTACAACATGTCTGGTATTATCTAAAATTGAAATGCAAGATGTCTAACTGTGCTATTTTGGAACTTTCGTTGTTTCATAGTTGATATCCGGGCTATCTAGGACTAAACCAAGACCAGCTGGTCGTTGGTTTGCCCTTCTGTGCTGATTGTAGTTCCTCCGCGTCGACATCTCATAATCATCCTGGCGATCTCCCCAGAGACCGCGGCGTAGCTCACGACGCATGGCTAGCTGCTCTGCACCGACGACGAGTACGACTACTCCGAGTGCATAGATACCATAACAGAAAAATCCTAATGGTGGACTCTGGACATGTGCGGTAGTGAATAGAAAATGCAATCCCGTCATTGTTACTGCGAAATCCAGTATCAGGGTAGGCTTACGCACGAGGTAGTATAGCGGAATAATACTGAATGTTGTCAATTTTAAGAACTTTCGTATTCTTTCTAAAATACTCACTCTATGAAACACGCTAAAACCCAACTGATAGCTAAAAGCCATCCCCTCCTCCGGTTGTGGTTGCCATCCCATTCGTAAATATCATCAGAATAGCCGCTTTGTTTCCCCTTTATCCAAAGTCCTTGCCAGACAGCCTCATGATGCTCCCAATTTGCCAGTTCTCGCCAGTCGAGTATTAATCCGACGCTTAACGGTGGGGAACCCCATTCGTATCGCAGTCCTTCTTCATTTGCAAATAAAGTGAGAAGTGTAGGTGTTATTATTGATAAAGCTAGGTAGTGTATTGATTGTACTGCAACTATTTGAAATATTAGCAATGCAGCATCAAATTTCTGCGCTTTTGCCATTCTCAACGATGACAGTAGAGTGTTAAGATGTTTGATAGTTTTCATATAGCATATTATGAAAACTTCATAACGCTGATTGTCATTATCTTGTAATTAATCGCAAATACAGCGTCATAACGTATTCTAGAAGTTGGTCGGTCAGCTCATCAATGAAACTTCGCCTTTTGCAACTGAAGTAAAAAGAAAAGAGGATCAATTACTCGTTGTAAGTGTTCCAAAATGAAAACTGCAAAAGTTAATTCGGATACCGGGAATCGAACCCGGAGCTTCGGTGGTTATTCAACTGAAAAACCGATAGGTTAGCCGCTACCCCATATCCGATTGATGATTATTTTATATTCAAACGCGTTAGTATATGTAAGCTTAATATTTCTAAAAAAATATATACATTTTGCGCGACAATTTTGGTTACCAGTACACTGCAGATTTTTTCGGTTTTCCATTGTTGTCATATCGAGGGTTTGATTATGATGTCATGTCCTCGGATCAGTTTGAATTTGTAGAAAACGGAGAATGAGTACTGTGTAAATTATATCTAACGAGTTTCGAGTTTCATGTTACTCCTTTTCACATTTTATCTCCTTGGACTAGAGTAGTTAGTATGAATATTGTAACCTGACAACCTAGTTTAATAAATACATGTTTACATATATGATTAGAAAACACTGAAAGTATTTGCAGAATCAAAGTATTTTCCCAATAGATTCACTCTGTCGCCGTATTTCAGAATCTCATAACAGAGCAGCCTGCCGATGGCAATCGAACGTCGACTGATAGGGTACGCAAGTCACAAAATGTTATGCGGAGATCGACAACATTAGTAAAATAATAACGACGATGTTAACATCCGAATGAGATAAAAGCCAAGACTGATGCGTGACGAGTGACGCACAGCATGCCATGCCAGACTATGTAAGGAAGATAGAAACGAATTGGAAGAGAAGGAGTGCTAAAGAGAGATATAATTCGCGTTGCGTTGCGTTATGTTCGTCAGTGAATAGATGAACGCGCAGCTCAGAACCGGATTTGGATTTGACCTAGGGGCTTAGATAGCAACGACGAAGAGCGCGTAGTGAGTAGACAACTGATGTAACTACAAACATTGATGGTCGATATAAAGAAATGTGTTTAGTATTGTAAGCAGGCTGTAGGACAGTTGAACACAGACTGACACCCAACAGTGGTTTCCCTAGTAGAGTCAAAGAGACAAAAGAACAAAACCCGAAAGGTAAAGGACAGTGTCCACGCTGCCACAATATTTCAGTCACGTATGGTAAGGAGAGGTACTGGTTTGAGTTCTTCTTCATTAGACTGATCCCACTCTGTGGTTCAAATATATGTAAGTGTAGCTTGTTAACAAAACCACAATATTAACAATCCCCTAGATTTCTGCCCAATTTGCAGCTGGCAAGGCAAGAGAAAGTGAAGACAGAAGACAGAAGACCCATAAGCAATAATAACCACATTCATTCTACAATTTCTATCACAATTATCAATATTTCTACTATCTTTTGTACTCTAATATTCTTACATACTATTCTTATCATACCACCACCATGAGTCGAGGAGGAAGAGGAGGTGGCAGATTTGGCGGCTCAAATATGCCGCCTATGGGATTAACCTTCCAGGATTTACAACTAATGAGGAAGGACGCTACAGAGCTCTACCCTACGACGAAGCTGAAGTACATGCAAGCCCCAACAGAGCAGGAGCTCAGTTATGCAAACGCAAGTAACGATTTCTATGAGAGGATTCGCCTCAGCGCGTATAACCTCCCCGAGGATGAAGAGAAGACTGGCGGTGGAACTGATATAGAGCGTTATTCAGATAAATACAAGATAAAACCATCGTTAGTGACAAATCAGGATCATTTATCATCTTTGAAAGCTATAATGAATCCTGAATTTTTCCCTAGACAGGTATTCGATGGCGTAAAGACTGTAAAGAAGACAACCAAAAGGGAGAGAAAGAAGATTGATTGGGATAATGCAGAGAACAACATCGAAGAAGACGATGACGAGGAAGTTGAAGAGGAAGAGGAAATTGACGATGGTGAAGATGACGCTGATTACGCTAATCAGTACTTCGATAACGGTGAAGGAGACGAGGATGATGGCGGCGACGATGGAGACGCCGGTGGTGACTACGAATAGAGCCTTTAATACTAATTTATTTGTATAACAGCATGAAATTTTAAAACAAACAATGAGGTATCCAAGATACATTGAACATAACATTTCATTAGATTGGAAATTGAAACTTAAAAGCTTAATAAAATAATAACTTTGCGTGTCTGTATATGCTACACTGATTTAAACAGCGAATTCCTTCATAATTGTAACTCTCCTAAAACTCTTTGGGCGACGGCTTTATAGCTCCAGCTATTTCCCGTTATTCGTCTGAATTGTATTCCATTTATACCGAGCAGAAGTGGTACCTATTGAGGTCAGCTGAGATTTTAAATATAACGCTAAACTTACTCTAACGATATTAATTTCAAATCTAACCTTCGATGAACTGGCATTAGGGTTGCCTGAATTGGCACCACCTTCATCTAATACGAGATTATCGTGATTTGAAGCCTTCTTTGAACTGTTAAATGACAACTTGGAAGATTTTTTCTTCACGTATTTGCCAAATTTCATGTGTTCACTTGAATCACTTTTCATATCTTTGACTGTGTAGTCTCCACTACCTTCTAGACGTTTTGAACCAACACCCCCAACAGAAATAGATGGTTGGTGAAGACATTCAAATCCGCTTCTAGTCAATCTATAGCTAACGCCCAACTTTGACAAAGTCGATCCAATTTCAGATCGCAAAGTATTTGATGATTTTGTGGACGTTGTCGCAACTGAAAACAAGCCCTTACCCCAGACGGCTTTTGGTTCTTCCACTGGGTCGAATTCTTCATTCAAATTCTGACTAATTTCTTGTACTGGTGAGTCACGGCTTGAAGTTGAGTTCTTGTCGTCTGTAGACTTTTTGCTGGCTTGTACCCATGGTCCTACACCTGAGTATCTACCAACTGTATGCACAGTCTTTGGCTCACCAGTCGAGTAGTTTCTATCGTGATTTATGTCCACTTTCGGCTCACGCTTTTTCTCAACAACCGTATGAGCTCTTCTATGGTTAGATGGCGAATTGTTACCTTCTAGTTTATTAACAGCGTCATTGTGAGCTTGAGCTTTAGTAGGATGAGATCCTTTGGACAACATACTAAGTCTGTTTGTCGCTTTGTACGAATTGGTAGAGTTAACTCTTTGTCTAGGATTATTGTTATCGCTTCCTTCATTAAGAGTGGTTTGTCTATGGAGGATACTGTTAAATCTTTTAGCAAGTCCCTTCGACTGTGTTGCTGATTCTGGTTCGTTAATCGTCGTCATTGGATTAGCAGCCGCTGTGGTTGGTGATGGTGGTGACATTTCAGGTTTTTGGCTCAAGGAATGTGATCTCTTATGTGCTGATGCTTGTGGCGGTGGTAATGGATAATCTTTATTATCCCTCATGGCTGGTGGGGGCTGAATCGGAGTTACTGTACCAACATCTAATGGATTGGCTCTTGATCTTTGTCTCGAGTTCATAGCAGGCGATGAAGGCGATCTTACTACAGTCTGACTATTCAGTTCGGGTCTTCTCTGACTTTGTGTTCTGGACATCTGTACTGTTGCAGAACCATTCTGGTTAAAGTCTGCCATCGTAAGCGGTCTTGATCTGCTGCTATTTACACGTTGTCTTGATACTGGCTGTTGCATCATACTGCCATTAGAAGTTGATCTACGTACTCCTGGGTATTCATTTTCAGGTTGTGGTAATGGGATAGGTTGTACCGGGGGTGGTGCTCTGCTGCGTTCATATTGCGCATAGAGGTTTTGATCCAAATTGGAGACAGGTTGTGAGGGTTGATTTGCCATAGTCGCCAAAGACATTTGAGATGACGCGAATAAGCCTGGTCCGAAGGCTTTGTCGCGTTGGATCTTTTCACTGACGAGGTAATAGATAGAGATACTGGACATGATTAGGCGATAAAAATTGGTGATAAAGATCACTTACAGTGGATGGAAACCCTGCGTTGGATCAAGGGAAATTTTGGTTGGTTCAAACTTCTGATCTCTCTCATTTATTTGTGGCTGATCGTTAATAGAAGTGAAAGCATTTGCGATTGATGATCCTGTTATCTTGCGTTTATAGAAGTCCAACCCAGAGAATCGCTTAGAAAGTCTGGATGATCTTTGATTGTTGGCATCATGTTGAGAGGAAAGAGCTTGAGAAGCACTTAAACTAGGTGGTAATTCCTTATCAACATCAGATTGTACCTTTGACGAAAACTGTTGAGAAAATCTACGATGGTGATGTGGAGTATGCTGAACTTGAGCGCTTAGATCGAAATGACCTGAATTGCTGCTATTCAAATCAGGTTCTGAACGATGATAAACGTTAAGATTCTTCCTATCCCATTCAGCCAACGCATTCCGATAAGCAGGTGAATTCAATAGATCGCGCAGCTTGCGTTCAATATCGTGGGAATTTCCAAATTCGAAACCTTTCATACCTTTTATAACATCAGTGTCGAATGTCATGTCAGGTCTGAGTGGTTCTCTCTTCGTAAGGTGAGTTTGAGGAGGACCTGAGTGACCCTTAACCATCCAAGGGTGACTAGACACTTCGCTTAAAGAAGCTCTAAGAAGTGGATTCGTTACAAGCATTCTTGAAAGTAATGATTTACATTCTAAATTGTTGTTAGAAAGTCAACAAACATGACGAAATCAAACGTACCTGTACTCAACCATGCAGGATAATCCACATGACCACGTTTAATTTTTGCGTGTAAAGCGGGCATAGATTGGTCATCAAAAGGCACCTTTCCAGCTACTAAAACGTAAAGAACAATACCAAAACTCCAAACATCAACTTCAGGGCCCGAATAAGCGCGGGCATTCAACAATTCTGGAGCTGCAAAATAAAGTGAACCACAAAAAGTGTTGAGATTTGAATGAGGAGACCAAAGATTACTCAAACCAAAATCAATAATTTTGATATTGCCGGTTTTTGAAATCAAAATATTCTCGATTTTCAGATCACGATGAACGATTGAATTAGCGTGGCAATAAGCGAGAGCTGAGGCGATCTGTCTGGCGAAAGATCTCGCTGATCTTTCTTTCAATCTACCATGAGCGATGATGTAGTCAAGCATCTGACCACCATTGACGAACTCGTGCAGCATGTAGTAATGCTGTGAGTAGACGGACATTTCACGCATACCGCAAATGAAAGGATGGAAGAGTAATAAACATATAGACGCCTCTCTGATTGTTCTAACTTCCTTTGAGATGTCCTTATTGTGTGCTTTCTTGATAAAAGATTGTGTAGGCTTAGGTTGATGTGGGGGGATAGCATTGAGTGCGTTTGTGGAGGTGTAGCGTGGAATGATCTTTATCGCGACCTTCTCGCCGGTTGTGACATGAACACCAATCTTGACTTTACCCATTGAACCGGCACCAAGAGTCTTCCCTAAGACGTAGTCACCGAGCATCCTAGCCTTGCTGGTTGAACGTTGTTGAGTTGTCTGGGGTTGCTGGTGCTGCTGGTGGTGCGGCTGGTGGACAGATTGGATTTGTGATGTTGTAGTTGTCATGAAATACAATATAAATTATATGAGTGTATAGCTAATTGATCACTGAGTGTGCCTATATAATTATCTCTTCGTATCTCCAAAACTAAATTTATTAATGATCGCCGTTCTCTATTAAGGTAAAGCAATCGGTCGTTCGAGACTTGAATACGTCAGATACGCTATTTTTGAAGAGAAGTTATATAAGGATATAAATATAAACTACAATAAATATATATAATAGCGCCTTTGAGATACTCCAAAGTGTGACTCTATTGAGACTTACACTCAAAAACGCCGTTTGACAGCTGAGAAGAAAAATGACAGTGAACTGAAAGTAAATTTTGTTTAATATTGTTTGTAGATTATTATATTATATAATATAGCGATATCACCTACTTTCTCAGTATCCATCATGAGTAGCAGTACTTCAAAAATCGCTGACTGGGCGTCAAAGAATAAGAATTTGATTATTGCAGCTACAGCTGTTACAGTAGTAGGTGGTGCAGCTGCTACTTACTACTATCAGTCTTCTACTGGCGTCTCTACAACTTCCGAGAAGAAGAAGAAGTCGAAATCAAAGAACAGAAAGAAGAAGTCAGCTAACAATGGCCCTAGTCCAGCTAATGAGCCACTCTTGGAAGAACTCAGCCTCGAAGACCGCAACAAGGTCGCACAAGACTACAAATCGAAGGGTAACAAACTCTATCAGCAGCACGAATGGATTGAAGCTGCGAACAGCTACAGCAAAGCTATAGAGAGTGCCACAAAGCCAGAAGCTGTTTTCTATTCCAACAGAGCCGCCTGCTATAACAACCTCGGTCGCTACGAAGAAACCGTTAACGACTGCAACGAGGCACTCAAACTCGACAGCGAGTACGTTAAAGCCCTTAACAGACGTGCACAAGCTCAGGAGCAACTCGGTAAGCTCACAGAAGCACTCAATGACTTCACAGCCGCCACAATCATTGATCAATTCCGCAACGAAAGTGCATCAAAGTCCGTAGAAAGAGTACTTAAGAAGGTCGCAGAAGCTAAGGCTAAGCTTATTTTACAGGTGGGTCGCAATCCTCTTTGAAGAATTTCAATTTAACAATCTGATTCAGTCACGTGGTGAAAAGCTCCCACAAATATCCTTCATTCAAGCTTACCTTAATGCATTCAGAGAACGCACTCCAACTGCCATCCCTGATGATTCACCTGCTGGTGACTTAGACTTGAAGGAGGCATTCAATGCTTCAGAAGCTAAGGATTTCAAACTTTCAAGAACAAAGGTTGAAGAATCTCTCAGCAAGGGTCTCAGCTCAACCCAACTTGAAGCTGAAGCTTTGAACTTACGCGGTACTTTCTACTTCTTGTTGAACAACCCAGTCAAAGCTATAGCAGATTTGGAGAAATCTGTAGAATTATGGCCAGAATTCTCCCAATCTTGGGTCAAAGCTGCTAGCGTATACATGGAATTAGCCAACCCACAAGCGGCATTCAAGGCATTCGATACCGCAATTGAGAAGAACCCAGTTGATGCTGATGCATTCTACCATAGAGGACAAGTTTACTTCATTTTATCTGATTTCAATAAAGCCATCGAAAACTATGAAAAGTCTGTTGAAATTGATGATAGTTTCCCATTAGCACAGATTCAATTGGCCGTTGCACAATATAAGAATGGTAATATCGCGAAGGCTATGGTTATCTTTAGATCATCGATCAAAAAATTCCCAGCCAAGTCTGACGTATACACCTATTATGGTGAATTGTTGATGGATCAAGGTAAATTTGAGGAGGCTGTTGAAAAGTTCGACAAGGCTATTGAACTTGATGGAGATAAGTATCCTGTAAATGTATTACCAAAGATCAACAAAGCTTTGGCAATCTTCCAATGGAAGCAAGACTTCGCGGGTGCAGAAAGTCTAGTTAGAGAAGCTGTTGCATCAGATCCAGAGAATGACGTTGCAATTGGTACATTAGCACAATTATGTCTCCAGCAAGGCAAAATTGATGAAGCTATCGAAGCATTCGAAAAATCAGCACAAGTTTCAAGAACTGAACCAGAGTTAGTTAATGCAATCACCTATGAGAACGCCACAAGAGCTCAAGCTCATTTTATCAAGAACCACCCAAGTGCAGCAGCAAAGTTAGGTCCATTAGCGCAATCAATGGGTGCATAAAATTTTTATCATTATGTCACAAAATAATATAAATCACCGCTTTTTCCTTTAAACCCCAAATAATGAAGAAGCTCTATTAGATTACATTTTTGATAAGAAAAGAAAGGTATTTGCCAATCTAAAAGTACTTTCCAAACATTGGAATCAATGTTTGAGCGAGTGTGTAAGAGAAAACTAATTTTGGACCGACGACGAGGATCTTTGGTGTCAAACCCTTGAAGAACGCTGATGGACCTTCATTCTTGATGATATCCTTGATGACAGTAACACCTGACGTGTTTGTCTCGAAGTTTGCTTGTTGAATACGTGTCTTGACAACGTCTAATGGGGCTGCGACAGTAATTGAGGAGACAGCACCACCGATGGACTAACAATTGTCAGAAAAAAGACGGTAAAACCACTTGAGACACTCACAGCAAAGAAGTTTTGGTAGAAAGTAGCCTTGCTGTAGTCTTCAAGACCGAAAATGTAGCCTTTAGTAAGAGCAGAACCACCAAAGAGCTAAAATGAATGTAAATAAATGTCCACATGAGAGAATGATCACGCACAGCAAATGAACCTGGTGCATTTCTAGCCATAGTCCATCCCCAACCTCTGTACAAACCGAAACCTTCATCTGCGACGATCTTGACGATACCTCTACCCTTGAATGATTCAGGGTTAGTTTGACGCTTGATTTTGAGTACGTCGAGTGGTAAGAGGACGACTTCACCGATACCAGTGAGTGAACCTGCAGAAGCGGACATAATAGCCTTGCCGTTCTTCTCGCCGAAGAAGGATTTGAAGTATGAACCATAGTTTGTGTTGAGGATGTCGTTAAAGTATGGCTGACCACCGAATTTGTAGACACGTTGTGCTACTTTATATCCAGCTGCGTATCCCAGACCTGGGAAGAGCGAAAGAGCCTTGGTGAGCGCAGGTGAGTTTGCGTGTTGCTTGAAAATGATATCTTTAAGATTGCCAGCGTTTGCGTGGCCGGAGTTTGTCATCAGACGCTTAGCAATTGTATCTGAGGGGATATTAGTGGGCAATTCTAACAAAGATCATAGACTAACCAATTGGGTGGAACACCTGGACTATTGGTTAGCATATCATACAGTCTACCCTTCGTTGCTCACCATAAGTTCAGCGATACCTGATAAGCTCCACCGTCAGCGAAGTTCGATATAAGCACATATTAACACCCACCTGATGTACCGGAGCCAAGTACTCTTGCGGTACCACTCTCTTTCTGCTTTCCTCCTGGCTGGATAGGTGACATTGTGAGCGTCGTCTGGGTAGAGAGCGAAAAGCTTCTTTCGGGATATTCGTCCTAAAAAAATAGCATAACCTATCATAGAAAGCAAAGTTCAAGGATTTAGACGATTTGTTCCATCCGACACAAGCTTCCTTCGTTGTGTTATGCGGTATGTCGCAGAAAATTTTATCATCTATCACTCATTTTATAATACAAATACATATACTAACAGCAATTCACTTTTTGAGTGGCATATTCCACTCATCTAGACCTGCGATATCTCTCTGCAGGTGTGTTTAGAATGGTGCATAAAGAAGAACAAGAATGCACTCACTCGTATCCGCTTGTTCTCCCAGTTGTCCAAATCACTTTCTTTACTTTGAAGCCTCTGTAATGTCGTCAGTCACGAAGAGAGAAGTCGGGTATGACTAACAAAGTATTCCTCCCGCAAATCGATAGGCTTCTTATTTTTCTGTATTTGTAAGGCTTCCTTCTTGTCTAGCTGTTGTCTTCTTAGCGCTCCTCAAATACCGGGCTATCTACCACTCACCTGCTTTACTTTACTATCCTGCCTGTCATACTTGGTCTGAGTAAACGTAGACAATCCAAAAGATGCTATAACCATTATGCTCAAAAATGGGAGTCCAAACGCCGCGAATGGATGATTCCGTAATGTTTTGTTGATAAACGACGTCGTTTTAGACTGATTGTATGGTTTTGATTGGACTGCACACACTTTAGAGTACTTCTACTGTCTTTGCTCTATCTTACAAGTCGGCATACTTTAACTATCACAGCTGATATCTTCAATGTACGATACAAACGAGTGATGCTATACAAATACAAAATGTCTATGTCCATAATCTCAAGGCGTCTAATCCTGGCTCTTGTGAGTGCTCCGCTGAGCAGTTCTTCACCGGGCAGCTAAAAACATACTTGGTTTTGCTCGTCTTGCGTTTCTTGGGGAGGATATTAGATTCAACAAGCTCCTTGTACGTTCTGCCGTCTATTAAATGGCCGCACCTTAATGCATATAATGCTCTATCGCCTTCTCCGTTGATAACCAACTGTCGGGATGACTTTCCACTATCTATCAATTTTCTGTGGCGTATATTAGGACCTGCGTTGCTGCTAAACCCAGGCCATTTCTTTGGATGTGATGCTTTCACGCTGTAATGCTTTTTTGGTTGTTGGACGAATTGGGGGTGAAACACCCCACCAAATCCTATAGTATGCAGCGGAATGTCGAGCTGCTGATATCGCTGTCGAATACGCGCATCTATACCCTCTAACCCACTCCTGGACGGCATCGAATCTGAAAGAAATCGTAGACCGTCAGCTATCGAAAATACACGAGTGGGAAGCTGTCGTGCGGGTGGCTGAATTGGCGGAGCTGGTGGTGGCTGTTGTAATCTGTTCACTAGTAGCCCATTCTCTATTCCTCGTATGCGCCTGCTTGATTGGAATTGCACTTCGTCGTCGTCATCTGAGTTTATCTCTATTCTTTGGGGTGCTTGTCGCGTTGATCTCGTTGGACGTGTGTGTGGCCTTCGCGAAGTTGTAGTCTCGTCGCCTTCTTGTCGCCGTCTGGCCCATCGACCGTCAGGATTCCTCGGCATCATGATTGTTAGGGTAGAGGGTATACTGTCAACGAAACGACTGTATCTGAGAAATTTAAAATGTGAACTACGTATAATGCTATATTTATTATGCTCAGGAGATTTTTGTATGCAATTTGTACATTAAGTGGTTATATACAGATGGGTGCCGGTACTCATATATGGAATCAAACAAAACATCGTCGATAAAGTTTATAAATTAAACAGAGCATAGCTAGGATGCTGTAATGATGGCCACATATATAATTTCTCTTCTAGATGCCCTACTGTACAACTGTGGCTGAACTGGTTGTCACAAACCAGAACAGCGAAAGAGGGGAAGAAGCGCTACAAACCACCCGCAGGCGGTCTATAAGCTTATCGAAGCTACCGCGATTACCAAACACGTAAACGGTAATCCTATTCACGAGAAAAGGTCCACACCATAAAGGAGAAGTGCTGCACTATAGCAGCATAGATGGAATAAAATATAATTCAAATTAATGCACATAGTTATCTCCCCTTTAATTGTGCTCTTATAAAGTTTTTCTAGGGTATAAATTAAGTCCCGACTAAATTTGCTTCTCTCTTCAAGACACTCATCATCTCAACGATAATACAAAGTGAGTGGTTAGCATACAATGGAGCAAGGCATTTATATGATGACTCTAACTTCTTATCCCCGTCTTACGCGACTATGCTGAGTCAATTAAGCCAACCTCCGTCGCTGGAGTGTTGGACAGCGGGTTGATTTATCAATCACGCACTTTAAAGGCTTGCCAGCCTGGTCACTTCTGATCCCGCTTCTGCTCCATTGAAGTTACTTTGAAACTTTTTACTAACAAATTTTCTAGGTGAGTTTCAGCTATCAGAAACCAGAGCAAGTATATTTGATGAAAACTTTCGTTTCCACGTCGCAGTTTCCACTTTAGAGCCGTCTGGGGTCGCACCCAGGCTAAGGTGGTTGAGTTCCTTTTCGGCCATTCCTTCGGTTCACAAGCCAGGGTTGAACCCAAAAGACCTTGGTAGAGCTGTAGGCGCTTGCTTGCAAGTGTAAAATCGTCGGGGAGTGAACTCCTATCAGGCTTGATGAGGGCCAAAATACTTCCTTGGATGTCTGACACTTGCTCTGCTCTGGCTTTTGTGGCTATAGACAAATTTATACTAACAATTCAATAGGGATTACTGTTCTTTGTATATCTTTTAATTTATATTTATTAGTTATTTCTTATTATTACGCGTTTTTTTGTGTTGCATTCTAATCTAGCAAGCTTTTATTACTAATAAAGCAAGCTATTTGTCATATTATCATATTAATCATATTAATCATATTCAAGTGCATTAATCTAAAAAGCATTCATAGGGTATTCATTACAAAATTGCCATGGCTGAGTATCTGAAAATTTGTAAGTAAAGGCGTCTAAGTAAACAGACAAAATCTAGACGAGTATAGGAACTTCAGCAATCGATATATTATCTTCAAAAAAGCATTCTGACGACTCTTCCTATGTAAATTCGATAGTTGTACATCCTTTGTCGGATACAGGTCTAGATTTTGACTGCTAGGGAGATATGACTTACAATATTAAGTGTAAATTGGCTGTATAGATAATGCATTATCTATACAGCCAATTAAATCAACTTTTGCCATTTTTCATCCTCAGCGTAGACTCAAAAGAGCGAATTGGCAGATCTCGATTTCGAACGACGATAGAATAAAAATATAAAATGGCAGTGAGTTTGATAAGAATAGCTTTATTTTAATAACACCCCATAGTCTGGATTTGGTTACACAGGAGGTGCGATAGTTCTCCGTATACCCCCAGTCAGCTAATCTCACTCCAGGTAGAACACGCTGCTTTGCGTACTGGCAAGATTTCCAAAAGGTGCGTACACTCTTGGTAGCGACACTCATAGCTCACTTTACAGTGCTACGCTCAAGCTGATGCAGTTGAGGATTGCATAGCACAGAAGGAGGACTACATGGAGTGCTTGCACCACGGCAAGGAAATCGCCCGCCAGAAGGAAATCAAGCTTAATTTACTCAAGCAGCAACAAAAGTCGATAGCTGAGGCACAGAAAAATGGTCAGCAAGTCGGTGTGGGTTTGATAGACGGTCAGGCTAGTAATTAGTAAGATGTTCTCTATGAATAAATAATATTTTAAAACTTTGTGGATTTCACATTTCGTGTGATACCAGTCTTCTCTCCTTCGTACTGGCCACCCTCTGGACCACCCTGGTAGACTGGCTTCATCGACTTGAGCTTCTTCTGGGCTTGGTCGTAGCGTACACGCTTCTTCAGACGTGGGTTCCTGTTCAGCTTCGAGTGCTTGAATGAACGTGCAGGTGTTACGGCCTTGTTGAGTGCAATTTCGCGTGGTAAGTGACGCGGACCATCGACACCAGTTTCGTCGACATAGTCCACTCTCGATTTCCATCTTGCGTCGTCGTATTCCTCCTTCTTTGCTTGCTTTGCGGCCTTCTTTGATTGTCTGACGAGCTCATAGTAGTCGTCACCGTCATCTCCAGTAGCTGTCTCGCCGAGATCGGCCTCGTTCATGATCTGGCGGCGGGTAGCTTCATCCTGGGCAGTCCAGTCACCACCATCGAGATCTTCACCTGGTGCACTTGTCGCTCCCTTCTCCAAACGTGCCTTCTTGCGTTCACGGTATGGAACATCATCGTCACCAGATTGACGCAGCTTGCTCGCTGCGCTACGGCGACTATCTGTTTGTGCGATCCTTGCGGTGTGGAATCTAAGTGTCTTCTTGTTGTTCTTCTTCGATTGAGCGTCCAACGCAGAAAGAGCGTCAGCTTCACCGAGGTAGTCATCGTCTGATACTCTCTGCTTTTGTTTCTGAGATTTCGCAGACGTAGATGGCTTGTATTCCAAAGCTGATTCATCGAGTTCATGTATCATCTCATTTCTCGAATCAACGTCAGCGCCCTTCTTGGATGACTTCTTGGACTTCTTCTTTGATTTAGCTGGTGGTGCATTCTCATCAGTCATGAGGCCCTCCAACTCACCATCTTCGAGAGTTTCATCCTTCCAGCTGTCATCCATGTCCTCAGTCTGCTCCTTGTTGGCTGCCCACTGTCTGATCATGTTGCGTATGTCCTCCTGTTCTTCGTCGTCCTCATCAGGGAGCTGCTGCTCATCACCTGGACCGAAGCCGAGGTCTTCCATCCGTGCGATACCCTCACGAAGGGTTACCATACGTTTGAGAACTGGATGTTGGAGGAGTTTACTGCGGTTGTTAACATACTCAGATGACGCTTTCAAGCAAATGAAATAAGTCAGGAGTGGAGCATAGGTGAGTAAAGTTTGGTGGTAAACGTAGAGAAGACCCAAGGCAGGGTGGTTCTCGTCCTCTTCTTTGCGCTTTTGGATAAAATCGTCAGTTTCTTTGATCTTACTGAGGATGTCTTCGTAATCTGTGAGCAAAGCGAGTGTTTCTGGGGATGTTTTCTGGAGGTATGCAATCTTCTCGGCACGTGAAAGACCAGACAAGTCAACTGCAGGCTCCTCTTCGACCTCCGGCTCATCGAGGTTCATAGTGTCTTCCTGTGTGTTCTCGTCGTCGTCTGCATCATCTAATCCAGTGACATCCTCCCAGTTCCAGTCCTGACGGGAGTTTTTCTGAAGTTTCAAGGCTTCCTCTTCTTCAAGCTTATGGTCATTGAGATCGTCCTCATCGTCTGAGCTGAGGTTCTCGTCCTGGCGGGCATAGTAAGCGCCTTGCTTCGAACCCCAAGACTTCAATTTTTGATCGTCAAGGTCATCCTCCTGATTTTCGTCGTCGTCATTCTCCTCTTCTGAGTATTCGACTGCGTCGTCTGGTACATCCTGGTAGTCGCCGATCTCTTCCTCGTCGTCGCTGTCTCCGACGTTGTTGAGAGCGTAAACTTCCTGCTCGTTATCGGAGTCATCATCTGATGGTTCTGCGGTGTCGCCTAGAGAGAGCATATCATTCTGGTGGTGGACTGGCGAGATGTCAGAGATAGGCGGAGATAGAGAGAGATACGCACATTCATCCTCTGAGTCCTTTTCGATGTCGTCTGCTGTCTCCCATCTGTCGAGTTTTGGGTTGTCGCTCGAGTGTTTTTTTGTCTTCTTCTGAGCGTGAGATCTCTTCCGCGCCATGTTATGGGTGTTAGTGAAGAAGGTGTGCAGGAGAGGAGATGGTAGTATTTTAATATAATATATAATTATATTTATCTCTAATAATCTCCTATCTCTGCTATCTCCTACGGCGCCAGAAACCGAGATTGTGAAAGCAGGCCTGTAGAAATAAATAATAGATAGATACGCTCGAGTACAATAAAAATAAGTTTAGTCGCTCTGCTCTCAAAATATTCATCCTCGCCGGATAGTTTCCAATTGAAGGATTCCCATTTGCTCTCTTCTAGCGCTACACTCACGACGAATTTGATAAAAGTAAATAAAAATGTTTTAAGTTGATTTTCTAACAAATAACGCAGTGTCTTTCGAAAGCTTAGGTAGTACAAACACCTTCCAATGGCTCGCAAACCTTGGAACCGAGCAGAACACTGAGAACAAGCACTTCCTTAGAAAGACATCTATCATTGCTACCATCGGTCCAAAGGTTAACAACGTAGAGTCACTCACTAGCTTGCGTGAAGCTGGTATGAACATCGTTAGAATGAACTTCTCTCACGGTTCATACGAATACCACCAATCTGTCATCGACAACGTTCGCACCACCGTCGCAGGTATGTCGCTCACCTCTCACCTCTTCCTTCTTCCTAACACCCCTCAGCAAACCCAGACCACAGACCACTCGCTATTGCTTTGGACACTAAGGGTCCAGAGATCCGTACCGGTTTGATGAAGGGCGGTGATGACATCAAGGTAGCCCAAGGTCACGAAATGTACGTCACCGTAGACCCTGCCTACGCAGAAGCCTGTGATGACCAATACATGTACGTCGACTACACAAACATCGTCAACGTCATCGAGCCTGGAAAGTTGATCTACGTCGACGACGGTATCCTCTCCCTTTTGGTCCTCGCCGTCGAGGGCAAGAACCTCAAGGTTAGATGTCTCAACAACGGTGTCCTCTCCTCACGCAAGGGTGTCAACCTTCCAAAGACCGACGTCGATCTTCCAGCTCTCTCAGAAAAGGACAGAAACGACCTCCAATTCGGTGTTAAGAACAACGTCGACATCGTCTTCGCTTCATTCATCAGAAGAGCCGATGATGTTAAAGAAATCCGTAAGGTCCTCGGTGAAGCCGGTAAGAACATCAAGATTATCGTCAAGATTGAAAACCAACAAGGTGTCAACAACTTCGACGAAATCTTGAGAGAAACTGACGGTGTTATGGTTGCTCGTGGTGATCTCGGTATTGAAATCCCAGCCAGCCAAGTTTTCATGGCACAAAAGATGATGATCTCAAAGTGCAACATTGTCGGTAAGCCTGTCATTTGCGCTACTCAAATGCTTGAATCTATGACCTTCAACCCACGTCCAACCCGTGCTGAAGTTTCAGATGTCGCAAACGCCGTCCTCGACGGTGCGGACTGTGTTATGTTGTCAGGTGAAACCGCAAAGGGTACATACCCAATCGAATCTGTCAAGCTCATGGGTGAAGTTTGTTTACTCGCCGAGCATGCACTTGCCAACGGAAAGATCTACCAAGAACTCCGCGCTCTCGCCCCAAGACCAATGGACACAACTGAAACAATCTCCTCAGTCGCTGTTTCAGCTGCTATCGACCAAGGTGCTTCAGCTATCCTCGTCATGTCCACTTCAGGCAACACTGCTAGATTACTCTCAAAGTACCGCCCACGTTGCCCAATCCTTTGCGTTACCCGTAACGAACAAACTTCACGTCAGCTCCACTTGAGCCGTGGTGTTTACCCAATCTTCTACAACGAATCCAGACCACAAGACGAATCAAACTGGCAAGTCGACGTCGACAACAGAATCCGTTATGGTTTGAAGAAGGCTCTCGACTTGGGTATCGTCGAAAAGGGCACCACCGTCCTCGCTGTTCAAGGATGGAAGGGTAACGCTGGTCACTCCAACACTCTCCGTATTCTCTCTGTCCCAGAAAATGACCATGAGTACGCACTTCACCCAATTGAATAAGTATCTATGCCCTTAAACTAGTGCATAACACAATTTTCTGTCTTTTGTTTCATTACCTGTCAAGGATGTACTTGCAATATAATTTTATATTAGATTACACTTGATATTATTGTCTGCCGGTCGTCCATAGACTATAAACCATTCCTATCGCGATATATGTAACACAATCGCGTTCTTATGGTTCATAGTTTCTAGTTATTTATGTACTATTTTCTTTGTTTCTCACTATCTGCTCTTTTATCTATACCACCAGTATGGAGGATGGGAACAATGAGCCCACACACGTCCTTTTACAGCGTTTAATAACAGAGGGGCACAGGGAATCACAGAGCGTTAGCCAAAATCAGGCAAAATCGCATTATCCGCGTATCGTCGCCGTACACAATCTACTATTCTCTGCATGCATAGATACGCTCCCAGGAGGGAAGGAATACGCACCAGATCAATCTGTCTACCCAGCTTTAGGCCTTCTCACTTCAGATATTTCGAGAACACCAGCTGTGCTCTCGTATGAACTCACAATGGAATCTGGACGTAGACTCACATTCGCAGAGATGTTGATAACAAGACTAATAGCAGCGTCTACCAGGCTCGGAAGTATCGAAATTGCCGATAGTAATCTCTCTCTTCCGAGATTCGCACTACGGGATAAGATAGTCGATGTTCTGGCCCTCATTGCGAAGTATCTCGCTAGCAGAAGCTCAGAAGAGGATACTGGTACATTTAATAGCATAAATTTCCTCCATGCGACTATTAAGAGACTCGTTAGCGTGACTAGTAACCTCAATCAGCCATTGTCCTTCCCTGTCTCAATTGAGATTTACGATTCTCAAAATTCAACTGCCGATATAGCGATAGTGAGTGGAATAATTTTCTTGTTGTTCCTCTAACGTCCATCTAAGTCTGACGGAAACATCATCCTCACTTCTACACTTTCATATCTTTCATTTGTAGACACAGCAAACAATATCCTCGCACGTATATTCAATCAGCCACAATCATCGTTCTTATTTATTGATCTTATACCCAAATTCATCACGCATTTAAAATCATTCTGCTCGCATACAATCTCATCAATCGAGCCAACGAATGAACTGATACACTTCCAATCCAACTTTATAAACATTTGCAGAATAATGCTCACCAAAGCCTCGGAACAGTCTTTGAATTGCATACTCATAGTCTTGTCAACTTTAATCAACCGCGATGACCTCAATAAGTACAAACCAACGTTAGATTCATTATATGAAGCATTTAACAATGTTTCAATTCTGAGATATTCATTTGGACCATCATCATGGAACATTGCTGTTAGAATAACGCAACATGTCGTCGATGTGCTTCTTAGATATCACAATAATGATGCTGGTCATGATGCTTTCAACGGATTTCTAGCTTTGCTCTTCGATACACTGCCAGTTAACGAAATACCTGCCGTAGTCTCGCTCGATAGTTTGACGGAGTTGCATACAGCACTTAATGACAAGAAGGCAACCTCAAATCTCTCCCTAGCACAATCAAAGCTGTTCCATATCCTGCGCGCTGTGACAGCTACGCGAAAACGTAAGAGGGATGTCTCAAACACGCTTCGACCAACTCAAAGTGTCTCGAATCTCAGCCGAACTGCAAGCAGGCACGACGTGGATTCACAGGGTGGTCAAAATGCACTCGTGTATGTTTTAACTCGTTGGTGGGGCATGAAACACTCCGATGCTGTTGACCTCGCCGCACTTGATATTCAAGAGGTATTTTGGGCAAAGTGTGTGGCACAATCAGCGGTTAATTCGCCATCTCACGAGATGTTAGCTGAAGGAATTGGCTTGCTACCTCCCGCTGTGGCTGGTACGTTAATGACGCAGAAAGATAACCCCAATAAACCTCCTCAATGTTCCTTCAGCGATGTAGCTTTCCCGGACTTACTATCAACCTCAGCCGTTTCTCATAACGTGACAATCGCACTCGCAGAGGAGTCATTGCAGGTTATAAAAAGGAATGAAAGAACAACTTATTTACTACTCGTCTCGCTACGCCGCATCCTCATACATTCTGGTCTGCAAGCTGCTAACGAAAATTGGAGCGATTCTTCTATTTGTCAGTTCATACTCGTTTCATTGAATGATAAATCACGTAAAGTTCGTCTGGCGGCTGGACGAGCTGCTCACGCTATTATTATTGCCCAGGAGGCCGCCTTGAGTAAGAAGCTCAAAGGTCTGACTCATTTCAAACAGAATATTCTGTTTGATAGATTCGATCAGCTTCTTCAAATGAAGGACCCTCAGGTTGCCGAGACAGTATTAGTTTCTGTCACTCTCATCGGTCGTTCTATCCCCATCGAACGTATTTACCGGTGTTTGATTTGCCTCTTTACAATGCTCGGTAATATGAACCCTCTATTGCGAAGTCTAGCATATATTCAGGTGGGTAGTGCCTTTCTAAAAATACATTATCACTAACGCAGCACCCAAGCTTAACACCCTCGCTGAACATAACTCAACGACTATGTACAAAGTCTGTAGTCCACATTTACCCCAACTGGCTGTGTTCCTTGTCATGAACATGCTTACAGCACCACACATGCTGACTGATGCTATGTCTCTCCTTGGATTCCCAGATCCAAAAGCATTCCTCCACCAAACTTTACGATACACACTCCCATCATTGATTGCCGAGAGCAAGAAGAACATTCTTCTTGCAATTGCGCGCACGCTCGGACAACCAGTTCAGCCACTTTGTTTGGAATACGTCGAGCACATCCTCGCTCATCTCTATCTACGTGAAGGACCGGAGCGCGACTTGGGGATACAGCTCTTCTTGGATGAATTTCAGGGCTCGAAGAAGAAAATTAACCTTTCGAGCGTCATTATCAGTTGCGGTCCTTCATTGCTCGCGTCCCTGGTTATGGCTCTCGGTGATCCAAATGAAGCTATCGCGAGAACTGCCCTTGACTCTATTGATAGCATCGAAGAGACAATCGCTGAGGCCGAGAATCGCAGGTCGAAAAGCAAAAGGCAGAAGCATCCCGATACTATAAATGGGAGTTTCCTCCGAAATCACATCCTCGGTATTATGTCTATCATCTCTGACAATCTTAATGATGTACAAGGTAGACGGTCACCTGAGGAGAAGGCCAAAATTATTACGAGTTTGGGCGTTTTGATACAGAAAATTGGCCCAGGTGTCGTGTCAGTCTCTCCACAAATTATGGCCCTTTTGCAAGGTTTCCTCGAGATCGACAACCTTCGTTCTGTGACATTGGACAGCTTGCGAGCCTTTATCACAACGCTGACATTCAAAGATCTCGGTCCATATATCGGCAGAACGGTAGCTAGTTTCGTCGGCAATTGGAGCGCCTACACTCCAGTAGAGGCTGAGAAAGCAAAGGAGATATTGGATTACATGATAGAAAACGCTAGAGATATGTCCGACAATGCTGCAGAAATGCTAGATATGAAACATATACCAGACCTCGTCGAACAGCAAAAGAAGTTGCATTCCTTGCGTTCTCATTGGACGTTTAAAGATTATTTGGAAAACATACTCCAGAGAGCAAGTAATGAGAACTCTCGTGTGCGTCTACACAGTTTGATAGAATTGAAAGAATTCATTAAGAACAACAAGCCAAGGTTTAAGGATCTGACAACTGGTGATGTCTTTGATCCAATTGTAGGTAATCTCCTTAGAGTTACACTCGCGGCAGCCGATAGGAGTGGCGATTTGCAGCATCAGATACAGAATGCAGCATTTGACTGTGTTGGTACCCTAGGGGCTGTCGATCCTGACAGAATTGAGCTACAACAAGAAGAGAAGACTATGATTATAGACAATAATTTCGAAAATTATGACGAGAATGTAAAATTCGTCATGTCTTTGATGACAAATGAACTGGTTGGAGCGTATAGATCAACAAGTGATAGTCGAGCACAACAAGATCTAGCATATGCCATACAGGAGTTGCTCAAATTCTGTGGCTTTAAACCAGAATTGCTCCAACGAGAAGATAACAGCTTACCTGCGAAGGTGAAACAACGTTGGGCATCGTTCCCTGGTCAGGTTCTCGAAACACTCTCAACATTGCTTACTGATGGGCGATATATTGCGCGTGAACCTAAGCGCAGACCATTGGAGTATCCTATATACACCAAATGTCAGTCTTATTCGGAATGGCTGAGGTTATGGACAACTGACCTTATTTGGAAGACACGAGGAAAACAGGCATCAGCAATCTTCAGTGTCTTCAAACCTGTAGTTCGCAACCAGGATGTCGGCGTGGCGAGGTATATCTTACCCTACCTCGTCCTTAATGTGCTCATTACTGGCGAAGATAGCGATAGGAAGGAGATGTCGCTAGAGATTACAGAGATACTTAGCGACCAGATTAAAGGCAAGGATGATTCGACATTCCAAGATAAACGCTTGCTTAGTGCTCAGGTGGGTCTACTCATAAATTTTAATCTATCTAACGAATATCAGACCATTTTCGACTTGATGGACCATCTCGGTAAATGGACGCGAAAGCAAAGGATAAACATGCAGCCATTTCAGAAGTTGGCTACGCGACAGCGTCCTCAACGGGGTGGCACGGCTACTCTGACGACCCATCAGCAATCCCAGCTAGACATGTATACGCACAACCTCAACCAGGTAAACCCACTTATCCAATCCATCGATGCGGACCTTCTCGCACATGCTGCCTTGAGGTGCAGGTCGTACGCCCGCGCTTTACTTACTTTCGAAAAACGCATTTTCGAAATAAGGCCGAAGGGAGATGAAGATAATCTACAACTGTATTATGAGCATCTACATGAAATTTATGCCAGTCTGGATGAGCCAGATGGTATGGAGGGTGTATCTACTCAAATTATTGCACCTTCACTCGAACACCAGATTAGAGAGCATGAGAGCACGGGTAGATGGACGGCTGCCCAAAGTTGTTGGGAGGTTGAGTTGCAGAAGCGACCAGATAATTTAGATCTTCATGCTGGTTTGCTTCGCTGTTTGAGAAATCTAGGACATTACGGTGGGTTTTTAGTTTATGAAATAATGGTAATACTGATCGTATAATAGACACGCTAGGAACTCATATCCGAGGCGTGCTTAGTAGTCATCCTGAATGGCGCGAAGCTCTTGGTAGTTTCCAGACCGAGGGTGCTTGGATAGTTGGTGACTGGCAGACTGTCCGGGAGAACGTCCGAAATGGTCTAGCGAAGTACTCGCCTGAATATGCGCTCGCGAAAGTGCTTCTAGCTATGCATGATAATGACCTCCAGCGCTTTCCAGCTATTCTTCACGACGCACGCCAGCACCTTGGTACCCCTATCATTGCAGCTGGTCGTGATGGTTATCGACGCGCATATGATTCTGCATTACACCTTCACATGGTGCACGAACTCGAGATGATTGCACAAACTATAACGCATTTCTCAAAACTGACAGTGTCAAATCAACCAGAAACTGCCCAAATGGTGGCCGCGAGATTGACTACTATGCTGGATGAGAGGCTGGGTGTCACAATGCCTACTTTCAAATCCCGTGAACCACTACTGAGTTTGCGCAGGAGTGCTATTGGTACGTCAGCACAATCGCAGGTGTGGGCAAAGAATGAAGTTGGTGCACTCTGGTTGAGCTCAGCAAAGACAGCTAGGAAGGCGAACCACTTCCAGACTGCATACAGTGCTAGTTTACAAGCAGATCAGCTTGGCACACCATTCTCATTCATCCAGGCGGCCAAATTGATTAGGGCTAATGGCGAACAAGATAAAGCACTCAGAGAACTAGATGCCGGTTTATCATACCAAGTTCCGAAATTGATGCTCAAAGAATCGCTCAAAGAATCTACGAATGATAGCAAATTCATCGATCTCACGAATGAAGATGATAATTCGACTACACAGTCTGATTTCAACGTCAAATATACTAATTTGAAAGCGAAAGTATGTTTTATAACTTCGCGTTTTTACCACTGAGCTGACACTAACAAGGGTCTTCTTCTCAAAGCTCGTTGGATTTCTGAAGGGGATAGGATGGACTTTAACGATGTCGTCAGTCACTTTACTGATGCAATCAAGGTGTCCAAAACGTGGGTACTACTCATAAACTGTTATTAACTGACTAACTGAAATAGCCGAGAGCAACCTTATTATGAACTTGGCCATTACTACGATAAAACAGCGAAAGAGGATGCATCTTCTGACCAAGTATATGCTACAGCAATAGGATTCACTATCAGACATTATTCACAAGCTTTATATTATGGTACAAAATACATCTACCAAACTATGCCTAGAATGCTAACATTATGGATGGATTTCGGTGAACGTCCTGATATTCTACTATCTGATGAAAGTCTAGCGAAACCAAGTAAAAATGATAAGAAACATAGTATTTGGACGATGTTTGTCCATATACATGGGCAAATGCAAAAGAATTTGGAAAGATTGCCTTCCTATGCTTGGTACATTGCATTCGCGCAGATAGTATCACGTATTGGTCATAAAAATAAAAGCGTTTTGAGTATCTTGGATAAAATAATGATGAAGGTCCTCAAAGAACACCCACAGCAAGCTCTTTGGGCTATAGTTGGTATGTATAATTCTACCAAAGCAAATCGATCAGAAAGATGCAAGAAGATTGTAGCAACGGTTCAGGTGAGTTTCGCTGAATTAATTGTTAATCCTCGCTAACTCAAAGAAGCACAATGAGACACCTGAGAACCGTAATATCATCAGGGAAGCTCTCACATTGGTTAATGAAATGTTGTCATTGTGCAACAAATCTGTTAATCAAGATGAATGGACTATACACTTGAACAAGAGTTTTCCGAAAATGGTTAATCTTGCTCCAATGAACTTCATATTACCACTGCAATCTTCAATGACAGTCACATTGCCAGCGACCAATAAGCATAGTAACTCTCACCAACCATTTCCAGACAAACCAGTTAGGATTTATAAATTTGTTGATGAAGTAGAGTTGATGCGCTCGTTGGTGAAGCCACGCAAAGTTACGATCATTGGTGATAATGGCATAGAATATAACTTCTTATGTAAACCTGACGATGATCTCCGTAAAGATGCAAGACTGATGGATTTCAATTCGATGATCAACAAATTCCTCAAGTCGAACTCTGAAGCGAGAAAGCGGTCACTTGGAATACGAACATATACTGTTATACCACTCAATGAAAGATGCGGCTTGATCGAATGGGTAAAGGATACGCGTACATTCAGGTCAATCTTGATTGAAAGATATGAATATAGGGGCATAAAATGGTATAGTCCTGACATTGGAAATATGCTTGAACGTGGTCGAACAAATGGACCTGAGCAGACTATTCACATGTTCGCACAAGTCCTCAAACGCTACCCTAAAGTTTTCCATGAATGGTTTATTGAAATGTTCCCTGAACCTTCTGAATGGCTCAAGGCTAGGATGACGTACAGTAGAACGTTAGCTGTAATGTCAATCACCGGATTCGTGTTGGGATTAGGTGATAGACACTGCGAGAATATTCTACTTGATAAGAACAATGGAGCTGTTCAACACGTTGATTTCAATTGTTTGTTCGAGAAGGGATCACAATTCGAAGTACCAGAAAGAGTACCATTTAGATTGACGCATAATCTGGTAGACGGTTTAGGAGTCACAGGAACCGAAGGTATATTCAGAAAGGCAGCTGAAGTCACGATGGAGATTCTTCGAGCTAATCGTGATTCATTGGGTAGTGTAGTCGAGTCTTTCCTCCATGATCCACTAGTAGATTGGGAAGACGAAAAGAGAAGAAACGATAGGTTAAGAGCAATGGAGAAATCTGGTAGAAGACCAGTAGGCACATCTAGAAAAGCGACTGGATTCGATCAAGACGTAGACGGACAAGCTTACATCAAACAGCTTGCGATGTCAGCACTCGGCCCTATCGAAAGAAAACTACAGGGTTTGCAAACAGAGCACGATAAGGCTAACAAAACTGTCATGTCTACTTCTGCTCAAGTTGAGAAGTTGATAAGAGAAGCAGCTTCACCATATAATTTAGGTGCAATGTATGTCGGTTGGGCACCGTGGTTGTAATATTTGTTGTTATATATATTTATTTATGTTTTTGATAAGACTATAATGGCTGCTTGAAGCGTGACGTCGATGATGGAAATCACTGCAGAGCAGGTCTTGAGGTATAGACGCTTACTTCACAAGAAGGACTACGATGGTGCATACCAAAATTCACATATAATATCTACATCCTGGACTGGTAAAGAAAAGGAAGCTTTCTTCAGATCGCTAGCGAGAAGGTCGAGGTTCAGAGTTGATTTGATTAGTTTAGACGTTAAAACTAAAACTCAACGGGAGTGTATGGATTATATAAATGTACTAGATTATGAAAGTCATATACGAAAGGAAAGAATACCGCTAGCAGATGCTGAATTATGTCATGAAATTTCTGATAAATTTGGTGAATTGGAGGACGTTTTCAGTAGCTTTTTGATAGACTTTCAGAACCAATCTAACACACGTTTGAAAAAGATCAATAACCTAAAACCCGTTGTACAAACAGATGAAAACTTTAGAAATTCTCAAAAAATGAGGAGGTATAGACTAAGAAAAAAGGGTCTAACGGAAGATCAGATTGATGAGAAGCTCAATACGCCTATAAATGTTAAGGATTCGAAGGAATTCTACATTGGTCAAACAATGAAGAAAATAATCGGTAATGATGCAATCAACGCTGAGATACTTAAATTGGTTGACTTCCACCTTCGAGAGTTCTTAACACCGCTCATAAGAGTACTTGTAGCGAACGTTGAGACGAGATCAATATTTTTGGACCGTAAGGAAGATAAGGAGGTTAGTTTTAAGGTTTTATGATGATGGGAAACTGACACAAACAGGAGGAAATGTTAGAAGTTGATACAGGCGACGTAGATATCGCTTTAGCCATGACTTACGGCACTAGCAGACCTCAGTCGCGAGATTATGAAAAACGTGATTACTGGTTAGAGACTGAAACTGTAGCACCACCTGTTTACAATATCAAAGAATGGATTAAAGATGCTAGAACCTATGATAAGAATCATGAAGCAACAGCCACGCTATTAGACTTATATCCATTCTCTTCATTTCAATCTGAACCAATTTTACCTCTAAATCTACCAATAATGAAAAAACCATATTCGTATCATAAGGTTTTTGAGAATCTACTGAAGGATTTAGACGAAGATGCTGATATAGAAGAGAATTTCGATAATCAAGATAAGGAATATGAAGAATACATGACGAATACAATATTAAATGGTCTTAAACGCAGTAGTAGCGAGAGTAGCGCGCTTACACTGCCCTCAAAAAGAGCGAGGTTTGATTCAAATGTGGATAGTGACATAGAGCAAGGTGTATATGAAGATGGCGAAAGCAACCAAGCTGATCTGGATCAAGATCAAGAATCAGATGAGAGGAAGCTGATGGTTGGAGAAGAAAAGGAAGATGTAGAAAGAGAAGAAGGCGATGGAAGTGAGGGAGAGGTGGAAGAGCAAGAGCTAGAACCACATCACACTTTGGAAATGTATGATGAAGAAGACCTCGTCGATTCTGATTTGGATTCAGTTGAGGGTCTCGATTACCTCGCGAAACCACCATCCCATCGAAATCAAGAAAATGAGATGCGTGAAGGAACACCCGTCTCAGAGAATGATGGAAATACCCAAGAAAGCACCGCTAAACTGCGTTTGCTGACAGGCTTTGCCAAAACCTGGATTGATTATAATGTATAACCTAATTTATATCTAATTATTTATAAACATAAACTTTTCTCCGTTATCCGCTATGCTTCTCACCGAATCCTTAGATAATCCCAATCCAAGTGGTGGTTGAGCTAATAATATTGCCAGTTCCTTCATCAAACCTGTACGGAAAGGCAATGGGTCATCGGTACATATTGTGACGTTGATGCCTTCTTCTAGTAATCTAGTTATATGATGTTCGCCTACACTGTTCGCAGTTTTGCACCTTCGAAAGAGGTTATGTTTTGGTATCTTCGGGTAAAATGAACTCACATTACGTTTGAAGACAAACAAAGTTCAATACAAATACCCTCTTTCTTTACAAATTCAAGGGCTCTACTTGAAAGGTATGTCGCGTGTCCTAACCGCAGCGGTTTGAGTTGTAGAAGTTGCCATTCTAGCTCTTCTTCTTCTTCATTACGTGGTTCAGTCTATCTCATAAGTTAAAATGATACCAAAACGTTGACAAGTACCAACCTCATACAAATGCATTGTTAGACCTTTACCGAGTTCCTTTCCACGCAATAAAGGCCCAATGAGAGCTTTCAAATCACGAGCTTTGAACATATCACCGCAGAGGTCGATACCAACAACTCTATCGAACTGGGATGCTAATGTAACAACTTCATTTGCGTCCTCGGCTGACATTCTCCTGTCCACACTGACGATCAAGCCGATTCTATTTTCACCGAGTGTCTTCTCGACTATTTCAATACCATCGACAACTGCCTGGATGTATTGATACCTCGTCATATGAGGAGTTGCACGTGGTGTAGAACGCAATTCTATCTTAGTTGCGTTTTGATCATGTAAGAATGATCTTAGTACGTCAACTGTGACTTTGCTAAATATTAAAATGAGAGATAGCCTTGTATCAATAATGAAGTCTTACGTGACAGCTTCCCTCGTTGATGTTAGACTGTAAATCGCAGGGAACAAGTCAAAGAAGCTGATTGATATCAGGGAAGCCTAGGATAGCTATAAAGAAGCTCACTCTGCTATTTCGTCCAACGATATTCCGTTCTTAAATACCTCTATACCCTCAGAAGACTCTTTAGAGCTTTGAGCAAGTGATTCAAGCGTTTCCATCGGTATTGATCCATTCAAATGAGCGTGTAATTCAACTCTATTAGGTAGACTGTATAAAAAGTTTTTTTCCTGCTCAGTTAAACTCTCATAAGCAGCCTTTGACGGTGGTTCTATCATTTAGTTGCTGGTTCTATTGAAAATGTCACGTCAAATCCACGGTGAGCAGAAAATGTTTGGTTTTATTCGTCGAGACTAAAGTCTTCTCAGTTGATGTATTACTCAAAGGCGAATCAGACCTAGATTACAGTACATCAAATGAAGTCGTCAAAGCAGTACTCAATGATATGAGACCGATTGGGACAGATACCATTTTCCTCTCAGATATTAAGATGTCGGACGTTTGGAACTCTATAAGTTCAACAGATGTAGCTTTGGATATTAGGACAATTAAATTAGCAGCTGGTAAGTAGAGAAGACGTGTTTTATATAAACTCAACGTCGCGTCAGATGATAACACAGAAATTACATCCAACAGTAGCTTCGTAGTACACAGTTATCAACTTTTTGATAACGTAGAATCCGATCTGGTAGATCTTCTTGAAGACGAAGATGATGATGACGGCATCAACAAGGAGAAGTCAGCTAGTGTTTTAGAACTGCCTAATGGACAGCTCGAAGGACTTTGGGATACGTTACATTTCGATTACAACATTAAAGACAAACTCTTGAACTACATCAATACTACGATAAAATTTTCGACTAGAAACATAGACCAAAAATTAATAAGCTGGAACCAAATAATTTTACTCCATGGCCCTCCTGGTACCGGTAAAACCAGTTTAGCGAAAGCCTTAGCGCACAATTTGAGTATACGTTTGAATGAAACCTATGCTCAAGGTAGATTGGTAGAGATAAACGCTCATAGTTTATTCTCCAAATGGTTTTCCGAATCTGGTAAACTTGTACAAGCGATGTTTGACTCTATAAACAAATTGGCAGAAGATGATTCAGTATTTGTTACTCTCCTTATTGACGAAGTCGAGTCACTCACTGCTGCAAGACAAGCATCACTTAGCGGAAACGAGCCTTCTGATGCTCTCAGAGTTGTTAACGCGCTTTTGACCCAAATTGATAAATTGAAACAACGGAAAAATGTGCTTATCATCGCTACGTCCAATTTGACTAATGCTATTGATGATGCTTTTATGGACAGGGCTGACATTAAGCAGTACATTGGTAATCCATCCACGAAGGCGATCGAGAAGGTCCTGAACGGCTGTTTGAATGAGCTGGTCATAAAAGGGCTAATATCGAATGACGAGAGTCCAGTAGATATTATTGCGGCTGTAGCAAAAACGCATGAAGCTAGTGGTAGATTCTTAAGGAAGCTTCCCTTGCTCGCGTACACACATACACAAGAAGATCTGCCGACGAGAAGGGGAATAATTGACTCGATGAAAGTATGTATTGAAGAAAATAAATAGAATGTCTTTTCGTTAAAGTTCATGAATTGCTAAATAAAGGTGAAGTAGTACACTAATAGTGGTTCACAGCTGTGGTAAGGTCAGTTGAGTTACCTAAATATAGAAAGTAATGCTCCCACTTCGTGTGAAGAATCAGTGATACTTCTTATCATTGTTGGAGCCATCTACCTTGTTGTCATTGTAATCTCCTTTATGATTATTGTAGTTTCCTTGCTTGTAGTGATCATAGCCGCCATCTTTCTTGTAATCATTCTCATACTTCTTGTCACCAGAGCCTTGATCACCTTTCATATAGTTGTTGTACTGGCCACCTTTCTTGTGATCATCATTGTACTTGTTATCACCATTATACTTGTTTCCATCTTTCTTGTAATCATTCTCATACTTCTTGTCGCCAGAGCCTTGATCACCTTTCATATAGTTGTTGTACTGGCCACCTTTCTTGTGATCATCATTATACTTCTTTTTATCATCATCATATTTCTTGTGATCATCATTGTCTTGTTTTGGTTTTGGGTTATTGTCATATTTCTTCGCGTCGTAATTATAGTGATTACCGTACTTATTATTGTCATTGTTATTATCTTTCTTGGGATCATAATCTGTGAGTGATTAGTTGTTATACATATTAGTAGATATAACTACCTACGAGCGTTATCATTATGACGTCCTACTAAACTATGATTTTGAACAGTATTCCCAACTCTAGCATCGCCTGCCTGAGCGATAGGTTGTGCGACTGCACCAAGGATGAGGAGTGTAGTTACTGCGTAAGATGTGCCAATGTACTTCATTCAGGTATGACTGAAAGTTAGATTGTGAATGTCCTGATTAAGAGCCTTTTTATACCTTCTGTAAAGGTTCCAGCCGTCTTGGCAATATGTGGCACTGCACGTATGGCTAGACAAACTGTGTGAATAATTTGTAAAATTTTCACAAGGTATATATCCATGGAATGATAGTTACAACGACAAAGCGAGTAAAAATGACAAATGGTATATTTATTGGACGAATGATCCGTTTAACTATAGACACAGCATTAAAATTTTATTAGAGGTCAGAAGATAACTTACGTTAGCCCTTTGGAGACCAAGCCAGGATTGTTTGTCAGATGGTTTATCAGAGTACGTATCGATGTTATTTGATACTTTCTGCTGGTTGAGGAACATCTCTTGCCTTCTCTTAAGGTGCCTCTTTTTCATGTCTTCCATAGCCAATGTGAGTGCATGAACTTGAGATTCAGCTTTGTTGGCTCTTTCTAGAAGCTCGCTCTCTCTGTTATTTGGTTTTTGTATTTCACCCATCAGTTGCGACATGTAGTTTTTGTCGCTGTCTGTCATGCCCCTAGTCGCACTTGGCGTTTCTATTAGTATAACCATGTAAATGTATAAGAGACTCACTCAGACGGATGCTGTACTCTTTCCATAAGTAAACCGTTGATTTTTTCGAGCGTCTCCTTCTCGTGTAACTCCATTTTCTTGACTTTGTCTTTCAGTTCGTGGTTTTCTTTATCTATCTCTGACTTTTCGGCATCTACGCTCTGTCTTAATGAGTTCAGTATGTCTATCTGGTCTTTTGATACTAGTGTAACTTAACGCTGATGTTAGCACAATAAGGAAGAAGTATAGAGTACCCACGATCAGACTTAGCTCTCGTAAGTTCATCAGCTATGCCATTATGGAGAGACTGAAGCTCAGCAAAGTCCTTCTTGATCTTGTCAAGTTCGTCAGTAGAATCATTCAGTCGTTGTCTCAATGCAATAACGACTTCTGGTCTTTTAGAAGAGTGTCAGTAAAACCACATAGTGATTCAATCACATACCCCTCATTTGTGCCTTCGTCCATTCCTCTCTTTATTTCATCCATCTTTCTCTGCAAATCTAACTTCTCCGTCAGCTCATTCATCCAATCTGACTCGTAGCGTTCTTTCATTCTCTGCGTATCAGCTAGGACGTTCTCAAGGACAACGACTCTATTTGGATCGCCGCCTTTGTCATTCTTGATTGACTCCAATTCCCTAACCAATCTCCTGACTTGAAGTTTAAGGTCGGTCGTAGAGGTGGAGCTCAGTGCAAGCTCAAGGTCTTCATCTTTATCTTGTGTCTCTTTCGATAGTGTTTTTTCAGGTTCGGCATGTGTTCTGTCAGCTTCCATTTCTCGGACTTTTTCTTCGAGAAGGTCGATATGCTCGGACGCCTTAGCTTTCTCCTCTTCAAGTGCATTATGGGATACTCTCAGTTGAGACAGTTCGTAGTTAAGTTCTTGTTGCTCTTTGTTACGCTGAGCATGTCTTGATTCCAACTCCATCAGCTGAGTCTTATAGCTATCAGCTAAGCTCTTGTTGGCATTCATTTGCTTTGCGTTAGCCTCTAAAGATGCATTCAAATCGACAAGTTTCGCGTTCTGATCTTCTAATGATTTATATTGTCGACGAAGGTTAGCTGAATCTTCCAATTTTTGCTTATACTTTTCAATTACATTTTCAGTTTTCTGTAATTTAGCAACAGCATGTTTATTCTCCTCTAATTGATCCTTCAATTTACTCGTTTCGGCTGCTCTGTGCGATAAATCGTCAATCTTCCTTTGGAGGTCTTTAATAGCGTTAGTATGTCGCTCATTGATAGCTTCAGATTCGGCAAGGTTATCTTCAGATTTTTGTAGCTCATCCCGTACTTTCGTGAGTTCAATGCGAAGTGATTCCTCAGCTCTTTCTGTAATGTCGGCCCTCGTTGCAGATGATTGTTGAATCGTAGTCTCGTCTCTAAGGCTAGCTAGTTCAGTTATCGTATCGTCATGCTCTTCTCTCAACGTGCGCATATCATCGAGTAATTGCTGATAAGCCGTTTCGACTGTCTTCTTCTCCTGCGTAAGGGCAGTATGAGTTGCTAAAAGTGCATAATAATCCTCGTCGCTAAGTACTTAAATCAGATACTGTGAGATGAGTTAGAAAGACAACACTCACGATGAACGCTCAGCAAAGGAATTCTCCACCATTGATTCATTCGCAGGCTCTTCGTTAACTTTGTCTATCTTATCCATCACTGGTGTTATCGCTAGCATTAATCCTGCACCAACGTCCTCCCCGAGTTGACCTATACCCTGTACTACAGAGGGTCCACCCGCACCCTTGACAGCGGCGATAAGCGCATGCTTTACGAGTTGTATAACTTCATCCTCTGCTCCTGTAGCATTTGAAGGTTTAGCTGAGGCTAGCAAACTAAGATTAAGCGCTGGTAAGTTTGGTAGGAGAGAAGTCAGGCTAGCTTGTAATCTCGTCAGTGATTGTAACCTAGTAGTGAATGAAGTATCCTCGTTTGGTTTCTGTATAGCTGGGAATGCCTCTGGATCACTTAAATACGCGTTAATTTGGCGGTTTATATTGTCACACTAGTTGAACTCACACTTTGGTAAGAATGCCAGAGAGAAGTATACCATCTGCCAACTCAGATATATCATTAACAGCTATTCCATCATTAAATTCATTCAAGACATCCTTATAGCTGTTTATCCAGGCTAACAAAGATGTCGTCTCGCGTGATGAGCTCATGACAGTAGAATCGTAAAAAGATATAAATTATCCATGCAAAGAAAACGTAAGAAAAAGAATTTTAAAGTTCATCGTGGTGATGGTCGGTATGTCCGCCTTCCTCGTATAACTTTTGGGTGATTGATGAAACAAATGCTTGGACTTCTGACAATTTGTCTTCAATTTCTTGTGGTTCCAAGTATTGACCTTGTTCTTGGATCCAGTCTTCAGCATCCTTCAATTCTGATTGCAAAGCTTGCTTGTCTTCCTTTGATAATTTTCCACCCAAGCCTTCAGAGTCAGCTAATTGACCTTTAACAGTGCCAATGAAACCGTCAAAGTTGTTGCGCAATTCAACCTTTGATCTTTGTGCTTCATCATCAGCAGCGAATTCTTCAGCTTCCTGGATCATTCTTTCAATGTCTTCTGGGGATAATCTACCCTTTTCGTTCTTGATTTGGATAGATTCTGATCTACCAGATCCCTTATCAGCTGCGGTAGTCTTCAAGATACCGTTGGCATCTAATTCGAAGGTGACTTCAATTTGTGGTACACCACGTGGTGCTGGAGGAATACCAGTCAATTCGAATTTACCGAGCAAGTTGTTATCTTTTGTCATTGATCTTTCACCTTCGTAAACTTGAATCAAGACGGTTGGTTGGTTGTCAGCAGCTGTTGAGAAGATCTGTGACTTCTTGGTTGGTAATTGAGTGTTACGTGGGATGAGCTTTGTCATGACACCACCAGTAGTTTCAATACCGAGGGTGAGTGGGCAAACATCAATAAGCAAGATGTCATCAGCTGAGGATTCACCTGAGAGAACACCACCTTGGACAGCAGCACCGTATGCAACAGCCTCATCAGGGTTGATACCCTTTGAAAGTGGCTTACCATCGAAGAATTCTTGGAGAAGTTGTTGAACCTTTGGAATACGAGTTGAACCACCAACGAGGACAATGTCGTCAACTTCATCCTTGCCGACCTTTGCGTCCTTGAGAACTTGTTGGACAGGCTTCAAAGTCTTACGGAAGAGGTCATTGTTGATTTCCTCAAACTTGGCACGGGTGAGAGTCTCAACCATATCTTCACCTTGGTAGAAGGCTTCGATTTCAACCTTTGTTGATGCTTGTGAAGAGAGTTGACGCTTTGCTTGTTCAACAGCACGCTTGAGTTTACCCATTGAACGTTGGTTCTTTGATGGGTCTTGTCCAGTCTTGTTCTTGTATTGCTTGACGAGGTATTCTTGAACGCGGTTGTCAAAGTCTTCACCACCAAGGTGAGTGTCACCAGCGGTAGACAAGACCTCGAAGACACCGTCATCGATGGACAAAAGTGAGACATCGAAAGTACCACCACCAAGATCGAAGACCAAGATACGTGATTCCTTATCGTCCTTCTTGTCGAGACCATAAGCGATAGCAGCAGCAGTTGGTTCGTTGATGATACGGAGAACATTCAAACCAGCGATGGTACCTGCGTCCTTTGTAGCTTGACGTTGTGCATCATTGAAGTAAGCTGGGACGGTGACGACTGCGTGTGTAACGGTAGTACCGAGGTATTGTTCGGCAGTTTCCTTCATTTTACCGAGAACCATGGCTGAGATTTCTTCTGGTTGGAATTGCTTGTCTTCACCCTTCCATTCAACACCAATAGTTGGCTTGCCAGCCTTGGACTTGAGTTCAAATGGCATGTGCTTAGCGTCACGCTTCATGTCTGGGTCATCCATTTTACGACCGATGAAACGCTTAGCGTCGAATACAGTGTTTGAAGGGTTCTGAGCGTATTGGTTCTTAGCGGATTCACCGACTAATCTACCTTCATCAGTGAATGCCACCCAGGATGGAGTGATACGGTTTCCTTGTTCGTTTGCGATGATTTCTACGCGACCACCACGGAGCACACCGACAGCAGAGTAAGTAGTACCAAGATCAATACCAATAACAGTTCCTATGAGCTGTTAAGTTGAGTCAAGCGATAGAAACAACACTTACCATAATCGTTCTCTTGCGCTTGTACAGCTGATAAGCATCCTAGTATAGCTAGGAATCCAATTAATAAGAGGCTAAAAGTATGCCTATAATTGAACATCATTGTCGTTTGAGTTTAAGATGCCAACGCGAGCATTCTCGCTACGTTTCATAATTGACACGTCACGAAGGACAGCACAAAATATTTAAAAAATTGTCGAAGAAGTGCCTATTTGGGTTGTTTGGGGGCTTTATATATGTACCTATTAGATGTATTTTATTATATAGCTATATATGCATGTAAATGGAAAATTTTCAGACAACGCAGCAAAATGTTGTTCTAAAGCATTCTATGAAATTCTAGTGTGTTTAAGTATTAATTACAGACCCGATAAACACGATTAATAGTCATTTTACACTATTATGAAATAAAAATGAGATCGCCCTCAATCGCAGATTTTTGAAGTGTCTTCTCTTCAGTGTGTACTACCACCAGGGATAATAGCAGCAATGGCCAGCAAGATTCAACGCTCCGGTGAGCTTCTAGTTTATTAATAAGAGCTCTCTCTAACAGCTCACCAGCAAACGCAGCCCGCGTACAACCAGACGAAATTGAATTGGCTGTCGGCCAAGCTCTTGTTGACTTGGGCAACAACGTCCCAGACCTCAAGGCTGAGCTTGCTCCACTCACCATCTCATCTGCCCGTGAGGTTGATGTCAAGGGTGGTAAGAAGGCCATCGTCGTCTTCGTCCCTGTCCCACAACTCAAGGCTTTCCACAAGGTCCAACAACGTTTGACCCGTGAGTTAGAGAAGAAGTTCTCTGACAGACACGTCGTCTTCGTTGCTCAACGTCGTATCCTTCCAAAGCCAACCCGTAACACCAAGCAAACTCAACAAAGACCACGCTCACGTACTCTTACTGCTGTCCACTCAGCTATCCTCGACGATATCGTCTTCCCATCTGAAATCGTTGGTAAGCGTCTTCGTCAATCTGCTGACGGTAGCAAGTTGATCAAGTGGTGAGTAAATTTTTCATCGATCGTGGTTTCCGCTGGAGCGCGCTCGAGATAAAATCTCTTGCAGAGCTCGCGTGCTAACAAATCGTCTAGTTACCTTGATCCAAAGGACTCACACATCCTCGAGCACAAGCTCACCTCATTCGAGTCTATCTACAAGCGTCTCGCAGGCAAGGATGTCGTCTTTGAGTTCCCAGCACACGCTGACGTCTAAATTTATTGACGTTGTATGTTCTATGCATGTGGAAATCACTTGAAATTTTTCTCTTTTGTGTATTTTTATCATCAATATATATATATATATATATTATACTATATTATATTATATATGAAAATATCTCTTATTTGTAATACAACTTAACATTACCATCTCCACCTGCACTTGCAAAGAGGTCACCATCGAGTGTAAATGCGATTTGGTTGACACCTTCACTGAAAACTTTCTTATGTCCACCACATTCTTGCACGCAAGCTGCGTGTGCAACACCTGGACTGTGTATTTGACTGAATTTGTCTGTTGTCCAAAAGCGTATTGAGCAATCATGACTTGCGCTAGCCATTATTCTAGTATTTGGTTGAAAAGCAATCGCAGTGCAACTGTCGAGATGCGCGATGAGTGTCTCCAATCGTTGACCTCCCGGTAATAACCATAATCTAATCTTACCATCTTCATGAGCACTATACATTCTATCACCATCTATAACCAGATCATTGAATTGTACAGATGTGTCATTATCAGTTTGGGCATCATCTACTAGAAATTCTGTATAATTTTCATCAGATTTATTCAAATCAATCATTATCGCTCTTTTATCAGTTAATCCTACTACTAATTTCATTTCATCATTCTCCTCATAGAGGTCGACAGATGAACAAGGTCTTTCGACATTAATACTCCTTTCTAATTCACCGGTTTTCTCATTCCATATTTTGATGGTAGAGTCACTTGCTGCACTGATCAACTTTCCAGTAGACGTGCATGCCAATCCCCAGATAGCGTTCGTATGACCTTCGTACACTTTTCCAATGAGCTTGTCTAAATCGAGTAAATCACCATCTTGATCTGTTATCTCCCATTCACGGATAGTTGTGTCTATGCTTGATGTATATACGACATTCTTCGTTTTGGACACAGCTATAGACGTAATTGGTGCAGTATGACCTCTCAAATTGACGATTGGTTGGATTTCCTCAATTGAGTTAGTGTCTTTCGGTATTTTCCAATATTTGAGAACTGTATCATCACCGGCTGTCATCATCAATGCTTGTTCAGGGTTTATATCTTTGAAAACGACAGCTCTAACTGGATCAATGTGACTATATGGATGTTAGTTTGAGGTAGATAGACTCATGAATCTAACCTACCTCTTCAAGGTCTTCCAGGACTTCCAAAGACCTTGTGACGAAGACATTGAAGACGTTGCTGATCGTATACTTTCATTATCATTATCATCGTCAACTATATTAAATCTCATTAAAATGCACAAGTTCAAACAAGATGACTCACCAGTGGTAGTCAAATGGATAGCAGATTGTGATGGTTTCTAAAGATTAACTGTCAGTCATTGTTTCAAAATGTAAAAAGCGACAATGCATGTCAAGTAGATTGAAACGACTGGCTTGTAAAATAGGATGAAGGGAAATTGTAGAAATCGGTTTATTAGGACGTTTTACTTACATCTTCTTCTGGTTTAACTTGCTCTTCAGGTAGTTGAGCATTTAAGGGATTTTCAGGTGGTACTAAATTGTCGGTTTGTTCTTTCAACTCAATAGATTGATTGGTATCCTTTTCTTCATTAGTCTGTGTAAAAGTCGTTTCAGACTCATTTTCGGGGTCGTGATCGTCAGAATCGTCAATAACTGTTTGGTCATCTTGATCATCTTCCGGTCCTTGTTCATTTTCATTTTCTGGAATTCTTTGTTCCAGCTCTCGATCGTTTTTGTCATTTTGAACGGTTTGCTCAGGTTGCTGCTCGACATTTTGATCAACTTGTTCAGTTTGCTCTTCAACATTTTCATCCTTCCTTATTAAATCATTGGTAGTCACTGCAGGTGGTGACGATGGCCCAGTTGGTGGCGCAAGTGTAGCCTGTACAGATTCTTGAGTTTCAATGATTGGTTGTGAAACGATAGGACCTGCAGGGCTTTCCTTAATAGAAACAGAATCTGATAGAGAATTTGAAAGTTGTTCATCTAATTTCTCCATGGGTTGGTTATTACTATTATCATTGTTATTGTCGTTGCTATTACTAGGTGAAGAGGATTCCATTGGAACTGACTGTGGGAGTTTCTCAACTTGAAAACCATCAGCATCCTTGTGTGGTCTTGCAGTCAATGGATTGAGAGTTGTAGGATGGGTAAGGTAAGTGATTTCTTCAAGGCATTGTTGTAAATACTGCCGACTTTTAGCGCGTGTCTTGGTGTCTTTTGATGGATTAGTAGAGCGTAACCATTGTGGTAAATTAGAGTTATGGTTGTTGAGAAGTGTATTGCTGCTAGCTAGCGTTTGACTGTCGTCTGACTTCTGGCTGTCAGAACCATCATTGTCCTTCAAAGAGGCTTTTTTGGATGGGTGTATAGCAGACACGCCTGGCTTTTCATTAATAGATTCGCCAGAGTTGGCTGATTTTGGAGAAGTAGAGCGTGGTTGTGAGAGTGCGATGTATTTTGCTCTCTCTTGCCTGAGAGCGTACTCTAGCATTCTTACGCGTCTGAGGAGATCAGATTTGACGTTATCGGAGGCTCTCTTCTCGCCCTCAAGAAGTGCCAACCTGGCTCTCATTTCGGCTCTCTCTATTTCCCATTCGTTCCGATCACGGTCGTATCTGAGCGGGATATTAGAGATGGTAAACGATGCATCGGGTGGCTTACCTCCTCCATTCTGATTGTAAATAATGTAGAATGTTTGCGAGATTGAGGTCAGATTGCTGTTCTTGCTGCTGCTGCTGCTGGTTAGCCCGTGGTATAAGCTGCTGTGGTGGAATATTATTGTCGCTCTTGTTCTGCTTTAGATTGTAGCTGTTTTGTCTGCGCCAGACCACAGGGTTCTCAGCTTCTGAGTTCATGATGATGGCTGTGACGAAGAGAGATGGAATGTCGGGGGAGATGCCTAAGTGTGATACAAGCTACTGCTGCTAATTAATAGCCTCTATCTCTACTAGCGAGATCCTAGATCGAGAAATAGCTGCTGCCAACTCAAGTCTGCTCTACTAAAACTAGCAAACGGAGGGAATGGGAGATAATAAATGAAATATATAAAATAAAGCTATTGTAGGCTTAAATTTACAATAAATTCAGTTTTTACAAATTTTACTCGCACCAAACTCTGAAATCTTCTCTTGACCCATCTCAGCTCAAGGCCAATTCTGAGTGGGTAAAAAATAATTTCTCTAGCAAATCTAAATAACACAGACAGAGATGAGTAAGGTGCAGAACCAAGGTAACAAGTTCCGTATGACCCGTGGGTACTCTCTACAGTCTATCGTCTCCCGCTAAGAACTTACAGTCGGTCTTCCAACTGGCGCTGTTCTTAACTGCGCTGACAACTCAGGTGCTAAGAACTTATACGTCGTCTCTGTCATCGGCACCGGTGCTCGTCTCAACCGTCTCCCAGCTGCCAGTGCTGGTGACATGGTCATGGCCACCGTCAAGAAGGGTAAGCCAGAACTCCGTAAGAAGGTCATGCCAGCCGTCGTCGTTCGCCAACGTAAGCCATGGAGAAGACGTGATGGTGTCTTCCTCTACTTCGAAGACAACGCTGGTGTCATCACCAACCCTAAGGGTGAAATGAAGGGTTCAGCTATCACCGGTCGTACGTCTTTTTTCTTCACACTTTTCTCTCTAACGTTTCGCAGCTGTTGCAAAGGAATGCGCTGACTTATGGCCACGTATCGCCTCAAACGCAGGTACTGTCGTCTAATCTGTCTTCTTTGTCTCACTCAAATGCACCAAATATAAAGAATTATCACGTGAGGTTCTACAATCAAAACTTAAACTTCTCCTTATTGCTCGTCTCTTTGTCTGCCCTTCGACGTTCCTCCCGTTTCTGCCTCTTGCCTTGCTCTTCTTGGAGTATATCTGTGAAGTCTTCTGCGCGATCTGCACCTGGTACGTGTACCCTATTCGTTGAACTCCGTCTTTGCTCTTCATACGCTTGCTTGATCTCCTCACTTGTCATGTTCGCAAGTTCTTCTGGGTCAATAGCGAGCTCTACATCACCCGTCTTGCGTTTCCTTGTATTATTGCTCTCTTCTCCGAGCGTCTGGAAGTCATATCCTCTTTCTGAGCCCATCAATCCATCAACAGATGTCTGCTTTTCTGGTATGACTTGATACAACTCCCTTGGTTTGCTATCAACGACCGACTCTGCACCTGATCTACCGCCCTTTCTGATGTCTGTGAACGCTGGTGTCTCTAATCCACCACCAGGTACACTCGTTGCTACACTCGCCATTCCAGACGGCGTTTCCATACCATCCATCGCCTCTTCATCCATTTCTTCAACTCCTTCATCTGCACCCTCTTCTTCCTCTTCTTCACTTTCACTTTCCTCTTCTGATGAATCTTCTTGCTCTTCATCTGATAGTATTTCTCCCCAGAGTGATTTATCAATCTCTTCAGCTGCATCTGGGTTGTACTTTGGAATAACACCAAAGACATCACCATAAAGTGGTCTGTTATATTCATCTGTAGGTGGCTTTCCCCATCCACCTGGATGGAAACCCCATTGTGCACCTTCTGGAATTGGGTAATTCAATCCAGGAATCTTCAAATTTGGATAACTTGGCGGTGGGCCATACCTTTGCATCGCAATCAACCATGGCGGTGGTGCCAATGGAGGGATAGAGAGCGCTTCTTTTAGCTCTGTAGATATCTCACCAGGCTTCCTCTCCTTTACGTATGTTTCAAACTCTTTTCCTTCATAGTAGGTCTCTCCGTAGTCGGACATTGGTGGTTTAGTCTGGAATTTGAAGAATGCGTCGTGCAGTTTTTGATAATCAATGTCCATTTTACCCATACGTGGTTGTACTCTCTGTCTGGTCTTCTGCTTCAATGACATTTCAGCTTCGCGCTCTTTAACGGCATCTTGTTGTACGCCTATACCTGTATCTGCGATGTATGATGGCAGCTGGAATGATGGCTTTTCTATACCCTTCTTGCCTTCTAAAAAGCCTCTCTTCTGAGACCAATGTGACGGTACCGGGATAGTGTTTTTGTATGACTTCAAATGGACTAGTAGACGTGGGTCACGGGATGTTGTATCGACTGCCTCTACTATTTCCGGTTTGGCTACTAGTGACTTCAACTCTGCAACGCTCAGCCTATTTATCCTACGTAGCTTCTTCTTTGATAGCTGCTCCTCCTCCTTAGCGGCGTTGTCTTCATCCTCATCATCGTCGCTGTATAGCCACTCATTCTTCATAGCATCTTCCTGCTATCTGTTAGTAGTGATATATAGAGAGCGTATTAACTAACAGTTTTCTCTTCCTCTACAGGCTGGAACTTCTCGAATATCTTCTTGAACTCTTCTGGGAGTTCTTCGACGTTGATTTCCTCCTCCTTGTGATCTACTTCTGTTGCAAGGTCTCTCTCGTCATTCTGTGCATCGTGAGGCAATGGAGGTGGCGATATACTCTTCTTCTCTACTGGCTTATTCTTCTTTTTTAATCGTTTGAGTTGATTTTTGCTCAGCTGTGACTTCTTCTTGCTCTCAGACGGGGTAGACATGATGGAAGTACAAAAGATAGCCTCTTAATATTTATTATATTTACTTTATCGTTTATTCCTATGTTCAGAATTCTAGATCCCTCTAAACAGCCCATTTAGTCGCACATATTCTAGTGTATTCATACCAATGTCCAAACAAATATGATATTCACCTACTGTTGAATTAGAACTATAATGTTGAAATTACTAACTCTCTCTAGCGTTTTGGCTGCCGCCACCGCTCATGGTATTGTCAAGCGTGGGTTTATATTCGCGTTTGTCTCATAAACCCTAACGAGCGATCTCCAGAAGTTATATTTGATGGCGTTACATACGATGGCCCATACCCAAATTATGGTGAAGAACAAGAATTTAAAGCTCAAGGTCCTATCAGACAAGTTAAAAACCTTGATCCAATCACAGACATCTATTCACCAGATCTTGCGGTCAGTCAACGTCTGTGCTATATTCATCTTGTTGATAGTTCTATCAGTGTGGCAGAGAGTCTCTGCCTTCAGAATACTCAGCCGAAGTCGGGGCAGGAGCTGAGATTGAATTCGTCTGGAATGGTGGCGACGATGGCTACCCATGGCCACATCAGGTTGGTCCGCTGTTAACGTGGGTAATATTTTATAATTATTTACATTTAAATTGATTGCTTTACAGATATATGGGAAATGTGAGAAAATTTTCACAATTATTAATCACATCTAACAGACATATTAGTGTTATGATGACTGTAACAACGTAGACCCAACAACAGTCGACTTTTTCAAAATCTCAGAGCAGGATATGAGAGAAGATGGCCAATGGGAGCAGGCTTCCTTAGTTGACTTTGCAACTGCCAAGTCCAAGATACCTGGAAACATACAACCCGGAAACTACATCATCAGACATGAGATAATAGCACTTCACAACGCCAATGAGGTTGGTGGATGCGAATTTTACCCAAGCTGTACGAATGTCTATGTGAACAGTGATGGAGACAGTGTTCCCGGAGATACGGTGAGATTTCCAGGCGGATATGACCCAGAAGAGGCGGGCATATACACCCCAGAACTCTACAATCAACAAGAAGGGGTAAGAGTACTCCTGAAAGAAGAAAGCAATGCTGACGATGCATAGATAACTGGATACCAGCAACCAGGCCCTGGTATCTACAATACATAGTAATTACTTCCTGGACACCGTAATGAACAAAAGACTTGTAAAATAGACGAACTTACTTTTTTCCGCCCACTGTTTGAAAATAAGATGTTAGCTGCGAAGTCCTAGTAGTTACTTACACTTTTTGATAGCTTCTGCTTTCGCCTGTCTTATTGTAAGCGATTATTTACCATCAAACGCGACACAAACCTTCTCTTCTGCCTTTTGCTTCGCTTTAAAGGCGATGTCCTCATCATCGAAGTCCTTCTTATCCTTCTTTGGTGCCTTGAGTGGCTTAGCTTTTCCAGCTTGTCTTCCTGACATTATCGTAGATTACCAAGAAACATCCTGCTCTCATACGTTCAAGACGATAAAAAAATGCAGTCAATACTTAATAGATTCACGAACAATAGTAAAATAAACTTCAGACTATCTGATAGCGGGATTAATAGACTCAAACTCGAGTTGGTTCAGCTCGACGATACCGATTACTGGAGTAGATACTGGACAGAGAGCTTGGATGATCTTATTACAAAGGCTGATTTGTTAGCTGCAATACCCCAAAATATTCACTCTTTGCTCTACAGATTGACCGATAAACTCAATAGCATGTTGTACGCACCTACGAGCAAATTAGTAGAGCCAGCCGAGTGTTTAAACATCTACAAGTTATTGGTTAAGATCCTCACAGTTTATTATGAGTCTGACCGCTTTGATGGTGTCTCAAAGCTCTCCTATAACGATCAACCACTCTTACAGTCCTTGTTATGGGCACTGGTCGATAGTCTTTATGCTATAGGGCTTACGGTACCTGATGAGTATATCCTCCCACCGGGGCAAGCTCCCACAGCTATCAACCACCTCATTTGGGCTAAAGGTGTTGGTTCGTCGACCAGTATCACCAGCAATTCTTCATTAGATACAAACAAAGCTATAATCCTGTCGACTATACTGGCTGTTTTGGGTCCAGGATTGTTTTCAAGCCACCAAGATCTCTTGCAAGTGCAGTCTAGCATTGCAAAACCGTTATCCAGTTTGAATAGGAAGACCACTTTGACTCTTTTGGCGTCACTCATTAACCAGTCATTTGCTGAATACTCTTTCCGCTTTACTCAAGTCACCGTAGAGGAATCCAACTTATCATTACTCTCATTAGACCTTCTCTTACTGCTTTTGAACGACGATGGGTCTACTTTTAGCAAATCACTGTCAAAACTACATAGACAACAGGATTTCGATTTCATTTTAACTCGTTCATTAGAGATAATCGACCAGAATAATGCAAATGACAACTCAAGTGCGATCAAATATGGTTTCCAAACTGTTGCTCAATCGACTGGTAAGAGAAGCATGAAATCACCAAGCAACGTACAGTTGTGGCTCTTTCTCTGGAGATGCTATCATCTTAATACCAAATTCGCGATTTATCTCAGTCAACATGGACATTATCATCCAATCGCGACACGCTTATTGAACACATTAAATTATGTAAAAGATAAGAAGCAGGACTCTACATTGGTTACTCTTCTCGTTTCTTTCCTTCAAACTTTGAGTGTAAATCAAGATTTCGGAAAAGCACTCGATAGTCCAATATCATTCACCGATGGTTCGTCCACTTTGTCGGATCTATTGGTAAATACCACATATAGCGTACTCACTGCAAACGTACACCCGGCATCTTACTCACCGATTATGGCTTCTTTGTCTAATCTAAGCATATACCTAAAACACCTTTCGCAATTATCCGCTGTGAGGTTATTAGCCATATATAGAGCTCTAGCATCACCTCATTTCCTTTTCGCTGATAAGGGTAATCCACGCTATTTGTTCTACATGCTTGATATTTTTAATGGGATCATATATGAGCAACTGAACAATAACCCGAATGTAATCTACGCAATTTTACTCAACAGTGAATCCCTGCAAGCGTTAGCTACGTTAACGTTGCAAAAAGGTCTGAGTATGATCGAGGGTAGTAGAATTTCCAGTCTGGATTATGGAAATGCGACGACGTCCGGTAACAACAAGCTCTCATACCCACCTCAAAGGTCTATAAGCACGCCATTGACCAATTATCAAATGTCTGAAAAGGCAAAGGGCAAACAAGCTGAGCATTTGCGCACAGCCAGTCAGATGTCAGACCCTGGTAATGACAAAAAGATAAACTTTATTGGTGATGTTCCTGGAACCATCTGCGGATACAAAACAATGATCAAGAATGATACCCCATTCGTTGCAACCGAGGATTGGGTGATGAGTTGGGTGGCTACCCTCCCATTAGATGCTATCTTGTTGGCTGTAACAGAGGTGGGTTATCCTCCAAGTAATAAATTTACTAATGTCACTCAGTTATTGCCAATTATAAAGAAAGAAATGAGCAATTCATCCGCGTTAGCTGAACTCAGAAATGCGAATATTTCACAAGAGTTGGGTAATCACAATAAAACGCTCGACAATTTCAAATGGACAGAAGCATGGATGATATGGCGCACTATAGCGATTTGGAGCAGTGCCTACATAAATGCCATACAAAATTGGTCGTCAACTAGCGTAAAATTATTTGGCGTCACTGTGAGGTCATCCTTTGTGATAATATAAAGATTTGCTAATTTTCTCGTCTTCTTTGCAGCATCAGGAAGGTATCAGACAACAAATAAACAAACAAGTTGGAATAGTTGCTAACAATGTTGGAATTTCTCGTTTCCTGAGTGTCGGTAATGGTCGACCAAGCCAGAATAGAAGCACGACTGGATACGATTGATGGTATTATAATAACATACCAGTGACAATTTAATGTAGAATATAATACGATGAATTTTTTCTCTCGACTTCTTTCGTTCTTGCGGTTTATCTTCTACTACCGTACACACGGTTTCAGTGTATTAACTAGAAATGAGCCGGGTATTAGAGTTGGATGATAACATACTCTTTGAAATATTGAATAGACTCAGAACTGTGGACCTTGTGAGGTTGTCGATGACTTGCAGATCATTCAACAATATAGCCAAGCGACATCTGAGCTTTGTCGGTAAGAGTATACACTAGAGCATACAGACAGGTGTCTAATATGATATATAGGCGCACATTGGGATCAATTTGATGTACAACGAGCACCTGGTTTCCCATCACCAAGTAAATTACAACCTACGATAAACTTTCACAAGGATGAGGATCTCACTACAGACGTCGAAGAGCATATCCCTGAGATATTCCCGCCTGCTTTTGGCCACCAAGTGAGTGTTCCAGTTCGGTATATGATCACACTTATCGTCATAGTCTGCCGTACAAATACGTAGTTACCTTTATTTACCTTATTTGTGAGCGATATCTGCTTTCATTCTGCGTTATCTGACAACCTCTTAGATCCGTAAACCCATCGGTATATGTTCTTAACCTCAAGACAAGACTCTGGGACAGACATTTTCTTAAGGTCCAAGCACCAAAGTATGCCCCAAATCAGAGCTACCAATGGCAGCCCCTTATGGCTCCAATTACAGCTTATAATGATGAGCTCTACTTGTTCGGTGGTACACGCCATCCGAAAGTGAAGTCAGATCATCCGACACAGGCAACAACAATCGACGAAAGAAGCACAGGCGTTTTGTCAGATAGTATATATAAGATTAATATTGAGGATTGGACAATACAAGAGCTAGGAAATAGTAGACATCCAGAAGCTTATCTTAACAATTTCAGCAAACGACCTCGGAAGAGACCCTCTAACAGTAGTGGCAGCCATGAGGAGTCTATTTGGCCACCAGCTAGAAGAGGTCATTCTATTGCAACTATGCGTGATTCGCTTATCGTATTTGGTGGCATTTGTGAAAATTCCATAGGGGATAATGACGTATTTGTTTACGATTTTAAACAAGAAACTTGGAAGCTACCTGATATAAAAGGGTCGGCACCTGATGTTAGGTTCGGTCATGCTCAGACTGTCGTCGGTGATGAAATTTTTTACTTCGGTGGCGCACAGGTTGATGAACCGGTTAACGTCATTTTTGATAATCTTCATAAATTATCATACAACGTCATTGAAGATAGTTTCACATGGTATAATTATCGCTCGCCAGAAGCTTATTCTCAAGCTAGATTCGAAAAATTGAAAGTCAAGAGACAATTCCAACAGCATCAAAGAGATGAAAATATGCAAATAGATACAGGCATTCAGCGCAGGTATACCGGAACTGAATCTGATGATTCATTGGAAGATCTCATCACCACTACTGGTCAGCCACCGCGAGAGAGATTGGAATCAACTATGATTCTCGTTGGTAGTCATAAATTAGCTATATTTGCGGGTGTTACTATTGTCCCTGCTTCACATGATTATGAGAATTATGATGAATATTGCGTTAGTGAACAATGAATTATTAAAATCATATTAAATTCCCCCTATAGGCTTATAACACTACAGCCATTGATGTTTTCGATTTCCGTCATAATCATTGGACTAGACTTGGTGTTTCTGGAAGTGGATCAGCTATTAATACATTCATTGTTGAAAGTTGTTGCGCTTTTATCGCACCACCAGGGTATTATGACCACGATGCTTATAAACCTCACGATTCAGAACCCGAAGCATGGCAATTTATTGTCGTCGGACATAGACTTCATTGGGTTGATTTTCAAATTAATAAGTGTAGCACAGATGCTAGAACAGAGGTTTTGATTGAAGGTGAAGATGAAAAATTATTGAAATTCAAAGCAGAGACTGAAAAAGCCACACCGATAGACCCGAAGAAAGGATTAAATGTTAGTAAACTAACTAGTCGGGCACCAAGTGAGATAGTTTTGGATATTGGTAAAATGATAGGGTCTGGGGAAATTGCGCCAACTTTAGCAGATCAGAATGCAGCGATACATGGGGAAGGCCCACGATTACCATCGAATGGACAAACACGTCGACCAAGTCAGGAAGCTAGTTATATCTATGGACCTACAGCTGGACACGTAAAACCAGCGGCAGTGGGTACGGTACCAAAAGTGCCTGACGAGGTGACGAATGGAGGCTCAACGGTAAAAAAGTCCAAAGGGGATAAAATGGGATCCTGGATGACATTTTATAGTCGTGATAATACTGTAATTTTAGCATCTACGACGGCAAGGAAGAAAAGGATTGGAGAGTCACCAAACGACAGTCCATCGACAGATTCCAGCGATAGTATGATAATGATAGATAACCCACAGGATAAAAGTTCAACGGCTGGCGAGGTTGATGAGCCTGATGATGTTGCCAACTCATTTGGACCCTCACACCTCCGGGAGACAGGCTACAATACGAAGAAAGGAGAGGATGCATTTTCTTTATCTACAGTAGGATTTGTAAAGAGTTTAGCATTTAAAAGATAAATAAATTTTTTCCGTTATCGCTCTTGGTTGTTATCTCTGATGGGTAAAGCTAATAATAAGGCTATTCTGAGCGTCGATAGAGAGGCGATAGCGAGAAAGAGGAGGGAGAAGTCTAAGCAGGTGGATGAGCTAGTCTTTGACGAGGAAAAGCGGAGGGACTACCTCACTGGCTTCCGCAAGAGAAAGCAGAAGAGGATAGCAGACAGGAGAGAGAAGGCAGTAGCGAGGGACAAGGAGGCGAAGAAGCAGGAAACGAAGGAGGTGGGTGTCTAATGTACATTACTAGCCAGCTAACAGCACTAGCTGCGTGAGCATCGGAAGAAAGAGGCACAATCAAACTACGAGCTCTACGAATCCCAGTGGCAGAAAGAAGACGCACCAGAGGAAGGAGAAGCTAAAGAGGAAGACAAAGAATACGAAGACGATAAAACATACGCCCAAGTTTCTATAGTAGAAGATTTTAAATTTGATTGATTCTTCTCTTCTTGCTCGACAACGAGGAAGCACGATTAAGGAAAAATAATTTATAGTGTACATGATATACAATGACTATGATAAATATTAGAAGGGATGTTGAAGATAAATTCTATAGATACAAAATGCCCCAATTGACTATCAAGATCGAGGGTAAAGGCAACGGTATAAAGACAGTCTTACCAAATATCTCAGATATTTCAAAGGCGCTCTCTAGACCTCCAAATTACCCTACAAAATTCTTCGGTTTCGAGTTGGGTGCTCAAACCACCCTCGACGAGAAGAATGACAGGTACATCCTCAACGGTGCCCATCAAGTGGAAAGGTTGAGGGAAATCCTCGACAGCTTCATCGCCAAGTTCGTCCTCTGTGGCTCTTGCAAGAATCCAGAGACCGACTTGCAAATGTCTAAAAACGACGATATTATTAAGGATTGTAAAGCCTGCGGAAAACGTTCAAGCGTTGATATGCGTCACAGATTGACAACTTACATCCAAAAGAATCCTCCACCAAAGAAGAAAAAGGGTCAGGGTGCACACGCTGAAGCCGCAAACAAAGCAACTGAGGAAGTCGAACAGATGGAGAATGATACTCAAGCACAAGATGAGTTGACCGCTAGAATCAACGCTGAAATCAAGGACATCCCTGTAGCCGATCAAAGAGCCGACAACGAATGGAGTGTCGACACCTCAGAAGCCGCCGTCCAAGCAAGAGTTAACCAATTGGCTGAAGGTGTCACCACCATTCTCGGTCAAGATGGTCCTGGCTCTGATGATGATGGTAACGATGCCCCTGAGTCACAATTAGCACTTTGGATCGAAGAGAAGCACGCGGATGACGAAAACATCAAGCCAATCGATATTTACAATAAGGCGAAAGACTTGGGTATTGAGAACAAACATAAAGCTCTTCAAGTCGTCGTTCAATCTGCTTTCACAGAGAACGCTTTCAAGGAGTTAGACGCTATGATTCCAGTTTTGTCTAAAATGTCTCAAAACGGTCAAGAGAAGCACCAAAAGAGTTTGCTTGGTGGTTTAGAAAGACTCGTCGGTCTTAACTACCCTGAACTCCTTCCACAGCTTCCTAAGATCCTCATGAAAATTTACCAAGCTGATCTCTTGGAGGAAGCCGTTATTCAACATTGGGGTACTCACGTTTCAAAGAAGTATGTTGACAAGGATGTATCGAAGAAAGTTAGAGTTTCTGCTAAACCATTCTTGAAGGTTTGTCTTTTTAGTTTATTTTGACCGTACCTTTACTCACAATTCACAGTGGCTCGAAGAGGCTGAATCTGAAGACGAAAGTGACTAAGTATTTATAGTGTAGACATGTTGTTTCTTTATCATTTATCTCTCGTATTATGACTTCTAAGATTTGTTAACATTCTGTCTGATTGGCTTTAGTAAAAAAATAATTTTAGTTAACGAGTGACTGTATGGTTGTATTTGAAATTACAGTCAAGCACGTTAATTGTTGTTGTTATACTGTGATCTAACTACTTAGTGAGATATTGACAAATAAATGCATAAATGTTATCTGCGGACATGTAATTATCTTTTATTATCATTCTATATGTGATACTCAGAGCAGGTAGAAAGAAAAACATAACACATTTAGGAAAGATACCAGATTATCTTCAACGCTTCTACATATTGATGTTATCCTTTACTGGTCGTAAATCTTATCAGCATCATTAATGTATGAAATCTAAGATCGCATCTGTATATCCTGTTAAGGGTAACATGTTAGGTTGGACAGGTATTAATACGACAAACAACTTCCAAATAAGGAGGTTGGACGAGTTTGTATGAAAGATTTATTTCACTATCTTTTGTAATAATGTCGCTAAGACAGATCCATTGAAGTTGGGTTTTTAAAGGATTATCTCCCGATAGGGATCAACATGTCTCAAACAACTGAAGTCTCATCCAGGGGTTAGGCTTTGATGTTATGAAATCCCAAACACATCAATATGATAGCCAGAGAAATAGGAGAAGTGTTGACAAACAACTCACGACTTACGTATTTCAAACAATCATTCTGAAGTTAAATGCCGGTTGATTAGACAATGCGTGCAAACTTACGACATCTTCTGCTAGAGGATTGTCAACTATGGTAACTGAGGTTGTTTAGATTGTAGTTTGAATGTTATATATAATTAGAAAATGTATCCTTATTCCAGCAATCGAGCTCACATTGGTAAGATGGTCAGATTATCTCCTAAGCAGTCGTTTCGCAGCAATGGTACGTGAATTGATTCATGAAATATTTCATTCATATTTTCCAGATTGAATTTATTGAATCAAGGTCTTACATCTATGTAAATGGGGTGTGTCTCTCAATTGCCCTGAAGGATGTACCTACTGCGCTTCCGGTGGCCGGTTGCACAAGGTTCGTTTCAAGAATTGCTGTAATGAGTGCTTACCACACCCTACTTAATAATTTCAGTAAATACATATATATTTGCTTTGCTCAAGCGGACATCAGTTTGAAACAATAGACTAGTGGATCTTCAGATATATAACCGATTTTACCGTTACTTTTAAGATTTTAACTTATATCTTACTGAGGTATGGTTGAAGTCGTTGTATCTATTAATAGTTTTTATCACAACTATTTAGGCTCTTCAACATTTTACCCGGTTCGGAGAGTAAATATGTCTCGAGGATGATTTCCTGACTTATAAGATGACCAAATCATAATTTCTTGTTATATTAGGTAGTCACTTTTGATAATAAAGGTATTATATCGATACATTCTCTCACTGCGACTAGATATTAAGTACTTGGCCCAGCTTAGACTTCGTTTCTTGATATTCTTAATAGTGGATAGGATTATGCTTACATATTCGGCTTTTTCGTCCTGGGCAAACAGATATCATCCATCATAGTAAGATGACATTCATCAAGCGCGTTTAATCTAGAAAACACGTGATATATCTTTCTAAGTTAACTCAAACGATATGTTGCATATTTAATTACAAGAAAAAACGCGCTTTACCGACTGATAGAGTGCATTTCTATGATCTTGAATGATTGCTAGTATATGAGACGCGCTATAGGTTAATTTAAATGGTATACTTTTAATCTTTTTGTGATAGTTTTTCCTTCTCATCCTGTACTCCAATTTGTTTCATTACTCCTCTCTTATCGCACACCACCGCAAAAACAGAAAGGATAATATGCCAATCCTAAACTTTGGCGACGATGATGATGCAGCATTAAAAGAAAAATATTATACCTATGAAACTCTGAACCACACTGAGGGAGAGGATAAGGCATATGAGGCCGCGTTCCAAGAAGGGATAAATGTACCATCAGACAAATGGCTGCCAATTGGTTAGTAAAATATAGAACATCTAAATATTTACTGAAGAGTTATTAGACAATTTCCTTAATCGCACTTTCTACATTAATAAAACACAAGGTATACCTGCTTTTCCATATAAACAAGAAATAAGCCGGAGAGAGGGACCTGCAGTATTGGGGAAGCTTATAAAATTCCCTGAGGTCGAGGCTTCATTAAATCAATTCTTGCAAACGCGTCATTATGCTCCAAAAGAACTGGTAACGGTCAATATCGACTCGATAATGTACCATGGTCTACCGGGATGTATAGCCTTTCATATAGAATGTCCACCTATAGGCAGACCAGATGGTTACGAAGATGACCTTATCACTGAAATTGATCTCGGTGACGAAAACGAGAAGAATGCTTACAATAGGAAAGTACAAGAAATGAATGCTACATATCGGAGGATAAGGAATTTGTACATTCTACTACCTCGCGAGAATCCTTACGCGGACGACTTAGATAAAAGAAAACCGAAATGGCCAGTCATGTTGGAGAAGACATCAGATCCTTTATTCACAGATTTTTTCAAAGAATGGCTAAATGGTGCTTTAGGTATGACATTCAAGAGTGAGAGAATTAATCTAGGAGACAACATTTTAGATACTCTCATTGAAGAAGCGTGGTATTATGCAGAAAAACACGACAAGCATTCAAGGAATGCAGAATATTTACAAATAAATTGGGAGAATACTAGTACAGAGAAGAATGAAAACCTCGATGGCATTAATTTTTCTGTCAAACTGGCTGATGTTTCAAAATTAGTGAAAAGTGGAAGAAAAAACAGTAGTAATATACCGTTACTACTGCCACGTCTGAAAGAAGTTGTTGAGGCCAATACAGGTCTACGTATAAACTCTCTGATGCCAACTAGAGTTGGTGTAAGTGGCTACCTAATCGATGTTACAGGTAAACCCAAGGTAAAGGTTCTGTCATACATGTTAACTGGAGAGGAATTCACGCACGAGAAGGAGTTAGTTGAAGAATTCAGATTTGCTAATTTTTGCAAATGGCTAGTGAACGCTACAAACATCGTCAACGTCAGTTTCGACAAAGAAGGTAACAAGAGAACACCTCTAGACACCATACTGGACCCCATACCATTATGATAGCTTATTTATAATGTACAACAATGTATTTATATTTTGATATACAACTCGTCTGTTCTTTAAACTCTACCATCAAGATAGCAGTTAGGATGGAAGCTGCTATCGCGAGAATTGAAGAAGCCTGCAGACGTTTCACTCATCCAGCAACTAGACAGCAAGGTGAAAGTGAACTTTTAGCTATCAATGAAGCTTTATCACCGGCTGATATACCTGCCGTGACGATTGCAGTACTTGGTGAGCTATATAACGTATGATGGTCCATTTATTTATCACATCTAGAACAATCGACTGAATTTTACGCTCATTTTCATCTACTTACGCTCTTGATATCTACTATTAGTACACACTCAAATCCTGAACTAAGCCAGCACTTGCTTAACTACATCCTTAATAGCAAGAAATTACCGGTATACTTGTCAGTGAAAGCCCATTTAGCTTTGGTTAAAGCAACCAGCTTGGAGAACCTCGTCGTTATCCTTAACGGTATCAGTACTTCTTCACCAGCAGCAGCCGTTGGTATATCACGTGCAATACTTGAAGAACAACAAATTAATGCTGATGAGGATGATCAGCTTCAAATTTCAACCTTTGAGGTATGTTTTGAATGAACTGTCAATCAATCTGACGTAAACACTAGAATAACGTGTTACCCATACTCTCAAACATAATTTTACAAAGCCTTACTCTTAGTCAAGAAAGTGATGTTATGAAGTACACAGTACCAGCATTGGAAGCCCTCTTGACTTACAGGAACGATCAAAATGATTTGATTTTCAATACTGCAACAGAATCGATGCATGCTAGTGTACTCCATCAGTTCGCGAGACCGGAAGTTTTGCAGTTAATTATGTCAGTCAATACTTACGACAATGAAACCCTAGGGTTTGTTGTTAGGAAAGTCCTCAATGCAGTATTCAGTAGCACTCACCCGCAAGACAAGAACGGTTGGACGTTGACTCTCATCAAATATCTCGAAACTGCTAGCAGTATGGATATTGGTACACGCTTGTCATGTCACAAGTCACTACTACAGTCTCACAACCTTGATGTCATTCTCTCAAACGATGGTCCAACTTACATCCAGAATTTATTTCAATTGGGGGGTGCTTCATTATCACAACAAGGAGATATTTTTGCAGACTTTCTGGCTTGCTGGTTGTCAATCTTACGCAGTATTGAAACTGACACTGGTATGATTCCTACAGATTTATGCACTGAAATTGTCAGAGGTTGGTTAAACACTAAAGTTACCCTTTTAGATAATTCACAAGAAGATGACGATGACGATGACAATGATTTGGATGATGTTGAAACTGAACTGAAAGTCATTCTAGATCCTCTAGCTCAATTGGGTAGAATGAACCCAATACCTATACTGGAAATTGTTATCGAGAAAGTCAATTCGTTTAACGTCTTGATTGAATCGTCTGGTTACCTCTCTGACAGTAATTATGATAGATTACAAACATTGGTATTGTTCACTGGATCTTTAATAGCAGACGAAGGCGTTGGAGAAACCCCATCAATTCCAAACAAATTAGTAGATACTGAACATTCAGCTTATGGTCTGTCAACACTCATAGGAAGTCTAGCCAAATTGACCACTCTGTTCACAAGCGAGAGGGACTTATCACCAAATGTAGCAGGAATAATCTGGAAATCGTTTTGGGCTCGCTTCTTACGTACTTACGGATTGAATGATAATCTAGCACTTCCAGCTATGAAAGATATCAACAATGTAGGATTTTATAGTGAATTTCAAAACGTTATTCAACATTCTCTACAAAAGTGGAAAGCAGAAGAGGATGTCATCGATGGTTTAGCAGAAACCATCCAAAGTTTACCAATGTCTTCATCATTGATCAATTTTGGTAATATAATTGATATAATATTATCAAATATGCCTGATTGGCCTTACAAGTTGGACAAAAAGTTGGTCAGTAGTTGTGGTATTTACATAAGTAGAATGGATAGGAACTCTGAAGAAAGACAGAGATATAAAATCAGTATCTTCTACTTCATATCAAATATGTTCACCGTAATTGATGATGAGGGATTTAAGACGAACTCACAAAAGCATCCATATATTACACATATCAAAATGGGATTAAATGCTTTAGTTGGACTAAGCGAAACTTTAGATCCTTACACATACTTAGATACAGTTGAGTTTATAAAGCAAGTACTGTCCAAATTATTAGGCGTTGTTCAAACACATTATCTAAGTCGTATAGATATACAATTAGACATACTATGTATCTTCAACTCAGTTATACAAAATTTGGACTTGGGGATGGATTTCGATGAAGCTGGATTAAGGACCTTGCCAGAACATTACGTTGCACCAGTAATGAATATGTGGTTCGAGTATTACCTCTCAATAAAGTATGAAAGAGGCGTAGATGATAGTGATGAATTTAGTGAAGGTGTCGAGATTATATTCAATATCTTGCGTAATCTTGCCTCTACTGATGGAAATTACAGTGATATCAATAATGATAAAACGTTTGCTGCCTTCGTTTTCAGCTATTTGGATCCTCTATTCAACATTTCACAGTCAATTTTGGAAAGTAACTTGAAATTACAAGCTATATCAGTTGATTTAGTCTGTAATATATTGAGGAGTTATCCACGTTCAATCAATATGCAGATGGTCTCCACCGGTGTAACTTTTTCAAATGCCACTTTACTCAATTTCCTTAACCAAGTTATTACATCACAATGGTCATCATCGCATACACTCATAGATGGTGTAGAGAGTTACATGAAATACGGATCTGAGAGTGAGTTGAATACAATACATACGCATATTTAACTAACTCAAACTTAAGAAAATGGGAATGGTGGGAAGACATTATCTCAAGTAATAGCTATACCCCTCAACGCAATACTATTGAGAACTGTCATATCCAGAAATCTTCGTCAACGTCTGGTCATATTCATCTTATCCGTATTAAATACAACAGATGTACATGCTTGGTTGGACAGAAAAACAGTATTATTGACGATCACCAACAATTTGAAATGTCCTGAATCAAGTAAGGACGCTATACAAGCGTCATTACAATCTGCATTGATGTCCGGCATCGATTTAACAACGTATAAAAGCATATTAAACGAATTATCATCACAGGTAGCAAATATAATGAGAGGTGTCCATAATTAGACTATAGAGATTGTACCATAATGCATTTAGTTACTTAATTTTTACAAAGATGATAGGGATACAAGAGTTGGTGCTTTGCTTTTATCCGCCGTTAAAGTAATTGACTTAGAGTTTAGCTGTAGCTTTGTCTTGTTTTGCAGCTAGAGTACGTAATTCACGTCTGAGAATCTTTCCAGAAGCTGATTTAGGTATTATATCTATAGTAATAACGCCACCACGTAATTTCGAATGATTAGCGACTCTGGTAGATACCCACGTTTGAACATCAGCGCACCATTTGGTATCATTCATATTAGCTTCATTTTTTGGGACAATATATGCTCGTGGTAATTCTGTGGATTGCTTATCATCGTATACACCTATAACCGCCACATCTTTTACCTCTGGATGTGATAAAAGTAAGCCTTCGAGTGAGGCAGGAGGAACTTGGAACCCTTTATATTTAATCAATTCCTTATTGCTTTAGTTAGTTATTACATATCGACATAGAAATATATCACACCTTGAGTCTATCAACTATCTTGAATAGGTTGAGTTTATTATCCCATATGGCAACATCACCAGTCTTGAAAAATCCATCAGGTGTCATACACTCTGCTGTCGCGTCTGGTCTGTTTAAGTACCCTTTCATTACTTGTGGTCCTTTTATCCATAACCTAGAACTACGTTAGAGACGTAAACGAAAATTTTTATGAAAACAACTCACTCTCCGCTGCTTTTGTTGTCACCTGGTACATCCCTTCCATTTTCATCAACAACTCTTGCTATCGTGTTTGGTAAAAGTCGACCAATGTATCCACTATGGGATTTGGCATATTCCAATGACATTTTGTGTGTTACCGGAGTAGTTTCCGTCAGACCTTAAATAGTTGTTTAGATAATTTTAAGATAGCTAGGTTATAATCTTACCATATCCTTGAGCTATAGTGATAACATCGTTGAATTTGTGTGCAATTTTTTTAGTAACTTCCTCTCCGAGTGGAGCAGCACCAACTTGCAGTAATCTAAGACTTGAGAAATTATACTTTTTATCAATATCTGTATTTGCTAATAATACGATGATAGGAGGGACAAGTGAAGTAACTGTAACCTTGTACTTTTCAATAGCAGCGCCAAAAGCATTTATCTCGAATTTTGGAAGAATCACACTACGTCCTCGTTGGAAGAGATAAAAGAGCATTGTGACTGTCATTCCAACTAAAGATTTTGTTAGAAGACACTTAGTTAGACAATTTGTGATATATCATACATATGTGGTAAAATGGCTGTGTTGGACATTAGATTATTATGAAACAAATTATTAGAGACGCACCAATACAGACATCAAAGTGTCGCCTTTTTGGATAGTATATCCACGTGACCATGCTAGTTGAGTTATGTTTGCAACGAGATTGTAATGGCTTGTCATCACACCTTTGCTCAAGCCAGTCTGTAATAGCTTAGATTAAACTACGCATTGTTTATTAGTATAGTAACTCACAGTACCGCTACTGTAACACATAAGAGCAACGTCATGTACGTCTTCACCAGTAAAGGCGACTGGAATACCAAACTGACGTTGAACAGTCAATAATTGAGTATAAGATTTATGGCCATTGAAACCTTTATCTGTCGCGGTAACTAATCTATCTGAAATTTTATTGTCAGACCAACCAATTTCTTTCAAAATTTGCTTGGTGAGATTGATATTATCAGGATGAGCGAATATAAATGAAGCCTTGCAATCTTTAATTTGATGTGAAAGTTCTAAATGCGTATATGCGGGATTTGCGACAGAAACTTTTGCTCCGGTAGCGCTTGTACCTAAGAAGATGATAGGATAAACGAGCGAATTTGGACTAATGACAAGCACAGTGTCATTCTTAGTTATAGCTTTGAACTTCCTTAAACCATATGCTAGTTTTAATGCATTTGTCCTTAATTGTGAATATGTCAACTGAATTCCAGTTGTAGCGTCAATAAATGCCGTATTGTGATTGCTATCTAATTCAGGTGGTAATACAAAGTCAAATAAACCAACTTTGGGGATATCTGCGTCGCTGTAGATTGATTTGATTTCAGTCATGAGTATTGTTATACAAGCGTTCTCATAATAAGCGGTAGAAAGAAAAATAACCGGTTATTAGGGTATCAGATGATCAGGTATTGTAAAACGGACACCTGCTAATAATAGAATTTCATTGGATATTAATAATAACTCGATCATTCGCTTTCATCATGCTGAGTTCCAAAATGACGTAGTTTTGCCAGGGTAACTGACTGTCAAGTAGGGATTTATGAAACATTAGGTGAAATACTATGAGAAGATAGTAGTAAAAGAATAAAATATAAAGCTATACTTAATGTCTCAATATCTTAGCTTTATCTTATAGAAGTCAATATGAATTGCCCTGACTGCGGCATAGATTCGAGCTGCGTATAACGTATAAAACCCTTGTGTTAGAACAATCAACTAGAACCAACGGATACAAAGAAATGTCAAGACTATCTTATTCACAGCTGGAATACGAGCTTAATCAAGGTAGAAGTGATGACCAACTCAAGCGCATACAGTCCAAGTATGGCATAGCAGCTAAACGACAATTGATGAATAGAGTTAGTCTTACACTTAACATTCTATGCCAACATATTAACATTTTTACTCCAGGTTGCAAAACTTAATACTGCACAAGAATCAGGTAAATCAGGCGCTGAATTGGACGCTAGAAGAACTGTTTTCAAGCTTTCACATGATCAACTCGCCCAGAGAATAAAAGAAGGTGCCAAGTGGGCAGATATTGGTAAAGAAGCGGGCGTTAGATCAACCTATGCTCAAGCAGTTTGGGCTAGCATCCAGAATAGATATCCAGGTATAAAATACGCCCATGGTAAAGGTCGTGGTAGAAATGGCCATTCTGTCACGGACGAAGACAAGTATACGGTTTATATGTTCCGTACTGGTGAGATATCAAGAGCTCAAGCTTATGAAAGATTGACGGCCTGCGGCCGAACACGTGGCGGAGCTAAACAAATACTTAACAAGCACTCACATACCGATATCAACAACTTAACAGAAGTAACGGCATCTTCGAGGCCCCGCGCTTTATCTAACACTAGTATCGCTAGTACATCCAGCTCAGTAGGTACTAGGTACGAGCCACAACAACATCAACAGCCTTTAATGATGACACCACCACCTTCAAGTTACGGATCAAGTAGATCAAGCTCAGTGGAAGCTGAGCCGACTACACCAGTTTCTTTACCAATTTCATCATTACTTCAACCCTCAGGTGCTGGTGTTGATGAAGAGCCACCAAAACTGCGTAAGACAATATCACAAAGTGTCCCAATGGGATATTGGCAAGGACCAACGTCACAACCACTACCAATGCTAGTACCAATACAATCTAGAGCCTACGATGAAAGTTATAGTTACAGATTACCACCAATTTCATTGGAAAGAGCGCAAAGAGATTGATAATGATGATTAAAATTTTCTACCTTGTTGTAATAATAAATATGGATTGCATATATGAACAAAATGATATTAACGATTACGAAGACGTTCATGAGCTATAGAGTTGGAAACATTAGCTGTATCCCAGTGAATGCGATAAACCTTACAGTTATAATTCAGCAACTTCTCAATTAAGTCGACATGAGTGAGAATCATTCTACGACAGCAATATCTTCTCAATCCAAGCTTATCCATAGCATCACCTTCTGTGATATCTGCTTGCAAGAGATCCAAGTAAGCTTCCCATTTATCACCGACGACTTTTCCACAACTGAAGCATCTGACCGGTCTGAAGAGTACGGCAATAAGAATATAACTCTACTATCAAAACTAAACCCACATAATCATATTTTTATTTTTTAATTGTTGGTCGTTCAGTCGAGAGATGTGTGCACTCTCTAACCCCTACAGTCGAGATATAGATCAAAATGTTAGTATAAAAAGATAAAAAGATAGAGTATATTAATAAAATTATTTTAGGTCAGCTGCTGCTTGGAGATCTCACTTGTTCGTCGTTATATCGTCGGTTTATTAGCACTTTACTCACAATACACTGCAGTTCATACAACAGATTCGTTACCGTCGCTGGACGTGCACTCCGTAACTCACTCAACGAAAAGGAGAGAGCAGTTGCCGCACGTCGTGGTGACAGCGCTCTCAAGTACACAACCTACGAAAACGGTGTCCCAGTAGGATTCAAAGCTATCAATGAGGAGTCAAAGTAAACTAAATCTAATTAAATGTCGATTAACAACAGCTTGATATATTCTTGCTATTCTCTATTTTGAGTACAGCCTCGGACGTCTTATTGGCTTTCGGTTGAAATGCCCCCTTATTAAGCTTTTCTAAGATAATCCTAGCGCTTCTATCGAATGCTTCGTCTACTCTATCACCAGTTTTAGCGCTAACTTTTATAAAATCTAATTCCCGCTCTCGTGCCCAGTTTTCGCCTTCTTCTATGCTAACTTCTCTATCCGAATAGGGAATATCAGCTTTATTAGCGACTAATAAAACTGTTAAATTATCGTCTGCGTATTTTCTGATATCATTCAACCAGCTTTCGAGATTATTAAAACTATCCCGTGACGATAGACTGTAGACTAATAAACATCCAGCTGCCCCACGAAAATAAGAGCGTGTAATCGATTTAAACCTCTCTGAGCCCGCTGTATCCCAGCATTGTACTTTTACTTTCTCCTTATTGTTTAATGTGATTATCCTACTGCCAAACTGGGTAATCGTTAGACTATCTTATAATCTATATATGTTATAGAAGATTACGCATATGAGAGTATATACTGAAATCATCTATATATTGACATTAGACTTACTTCTACACCCAAAGTTGCAGTCGTAGTATTATAGAAGTTATTATCGGTAAATCTAACTAAAATACATGATTTACCAACACCTGAATCTCCAATGATACAATATTTGAGTATATATTTCCATCCAATATCTTCGTCCATTTCAATTGTCGATAGTCTTCGAAAACGATGACATTATGAAAAATATCTAATTTATATAATATTTTACGTTCTATTTAGGGCTTGGTTGATCCTAATTAGTTGTTAGATTTGTATAGAGACTAAAATCTACGTACTCTCAACATTAGCGATAACCTCTGATCTCTACAATTACCTTGTAGAATTGAATGCTTGTATTCATATCTCAGCTTACTTTTTTGTATATAAACGCTTCCGCTTGGTAATCTAACCAAGAAACTACCTTTGCTCTCGTTATTAAACTCGACTAAACGCTCTTCACCAAGACTGAGACCCATTATTGTAGAACCCATTGCTTCCTGGTTATCTACATGTGCTTGTATAGTACCATCTGGTGATAAGTGTAGTATATGTGATTGTATCCATTTTGGTACACTTAAGTCGTCATCCTCTAATCTTTCATCTTTCATATCATTCGCTTGAAGCTTTGTCAATTCGGTAGAGTTGTCATATAAGCATCCATATAGTCGCTTCAATATACCCAAAATACCCTCCTCTGATACGACATTTGGTACCGTCATAGAGCGCACATTTGCCTCTCTGTATCCAGTTATAACATTGTCAAAGTGACTAGTTTGCCACCTGTACATATCTTTATGACAGAATGCACGCTGAAGGTTACCCTCTTCGTATTGTTCCTCGTGTTGACGTTGTAAATTAGTGTTTCTTCTTGGTTTACCACAGACTCTATCTAATTTTTTAAGTAGTTGCTTTAATAGTACTTTCTGTTCTTCTATATTCAGATAATTTGGATATATAACAAAGTCTTCTTTGTCGAGTTCACTAAGAGCGTCGCTTTTTAAGTTACTAAAGTTGAATAATCTATTATTAGATGCATTGCTGAGATTTATTCTCTCTATCTTGTTCAATCTCACTAGCGTTCTCTTCAACATTATGATAGTATCGATCAAGAAATAACAAATGCATAATTTACAATAAAAATTAATCAATTCTTCTATTTTCTTTATGGCTAGGTTGATAATAGTCTCTGGCACTACCTTTGGTACCGCTTGAGAATAAATGTAGACTATCGTCATCAGGCTTATTGTCGATCGTGAGAGTGTAGAGCAATATACCGACTGCCAAAAGAAGCAAGACGGATATTATGAACATCCTGAGTGGATGATCAATGAATGTTTGCTAACCCTATTGTCAGCACAAGAAATCCATCGAGGATAACAACCAACTTACCTTATATGATAATATTCTTTTATGTATAGCTTGAACGGTATACTCAAAAGCGTTTTGTGATGATTTTGGTTGGAGTTGTCCTTGATAAATACCTTCCAGGGCACTAAATATAGAGTGACCATCTAATATAGTAGCTTGACCATCTAAATTAACATCATAATACTCTAGCCTATTAGGATCAGCTATTATAATTTGCTTTTGTCTATTTTCGCCATGCTTGAGAGGTTTGTTGATGTATCCATACATGTTCCTTAACCATCTGCTATACTTATTGGCGTCAACCCAAGCGAATATTGTTGATGAACCTGGTCCACCTTTTAAGAAACCATCTGTAAGCATATTTCTACCACCTGTGCGCCAAACTCTAGCTATATCGGCTAATTTCTCTTTTGCAATCAATTGATCATCATGTGATATATCCAAAGGTAAAATTACGAGGTATTGTTGTATTTCAGAGTCCAATAACTCATTAAATACTGTTGCTGCATCTACTATGGTTGGGAAAGCATTGTATTTGAGCCAATTTGTTAATTCTTTCACGCGTGTGTCAACTAATGTATCGTCTAGTTCATCCTTTAGTGTTCCTAGGTCACCTAATCTTACTTCTGATGCTGGTTTTCTCCAATCATTGTCTTTGAATGCAAGTAAAACACTGCCTTCATTTGGACTGACGTTATATTTGTCAAATAACCTGTCATCTCTTGATTTAAAGACTGTTGGTCCTCCTATAAGTCCCTTTAATGCTTTATTGAGAAGATCCTATATATGTTATTTAGTCTCGTAACATGGATTTTGCCATTTTTACTCACAAGATCATTGTTGTTTGAACTAAGACGGGAATGTAAGAAAAGATAGAATACTTCATGATTAGCTGTTGCCTTTTCGAATTCGTCGATTGTTATATCCCGCAATCCACTTGGGCTGCATTTTCAGTGTTATAAAGACATATAAAACAAGACCCACGGTTCAAGCACCTTCTTAGCGAATTTTGACATCTTTTCTAGACTTCTTCCATCTTTATATACCTTTTTGTGGGTATTTGAGTATCTAAATAGGAAGTTAAGCTCAACTTGGGCGAGTAGCAAATACAAAAACCCACAGTGATAATGTAGGATAGCTTTTGACTTTTTCTTTTTGACAGAGTGCGTGATGCTTATCACAATCAACTGACGCAATAGTAAGTTTGCCTTTAAATCTGACCGCCAATTCTTCCCAGACTGGTGCAAGATGTTGCTAAAAGTAATTATTAGAGTGTCTTTTAGATAGCAAATGGACATACACAATGAGGACACCTGAGATTTCCATATGAACAAAAATCGAGATATTAATCTCATACTTACCATGGTGCGAAGTACTTCACCCACACAAGCTTATCATCGCCTTCTTTACCGATGTAAGACTTGAAATTGTTCTCTGAAAGCTCGACGACTTCACCGAATGGATTAGGTTCAGTGGATTGTGAAAAGCTAGGAGTTGCTATCAAGTGCGATTGAAGGTAAGTTGCTAAATCTTTATAAGCATTGCTTCCAGCGTACTTCTCGGCTATTGTGCCGTCCGTAAAACTTCATCAAATGGTCAACGTATAACCCTAGATAAGATATACATCACTCACAGTACGAGTGACGGTGTACCGGTAACTGAATTAGCTGAGCAAAGGTCTAAAAATGATTAGATAAGTTGAATTACGTCTAATAGACTCCACCTTTTGATGCATTACAGTCTATCTGACCGAAATTTATATACTGATCGAACTCATCGGCCAACTTTGACCAAGTTGGCTCAAATGCGATACAATGTGAGCATGTAGGTGAATAATGTTCAATGAACCTATATACATATATATCAGAGATATCTGTATACCAGAGAGTATACTAACCAAGTACCAGTAGATACAGCTTGTTTAAAATTCTGTGCGTTTAATTGGCGTGATGTAGCTGCTAATACCGAAGTGAATGCTGATAAAATTACTGCGTATGCTATCAACATCGTGGTATGAGAACAAGAAGTTTCTTACAAAACTACGTCCAAGAAGCTGCGAATAAGGAGATATGGACGATTTGCTTAAATCATTAAATGCACTAGGTGTTAATCCACCTAGTGATTCTCAGATTCCAGAACTCCTCAACCCAGAAGAGCATTCTACACTCGCAAAAGTGTTAGCAGGCTCAGCTGATGATTTAATAGAAGGCGCTGTTTTATCTTTATTAGAGAACTACCTGAGATCTCTTAAGAAAGTAGAGGATGATCACAATGTGGGTATATATCAAATTGAGAAGACTGTATCTCAAACTTTATAGCGTTCTCTTAATGCACCAGTGAAAAAGGTAAAGATTATACCACGCAATGCGCTCCTAATACGTGGTGCAAAAGAGCGTGAAAGGTTATGCAAGGATAGACAAGCTGGTGTCGGTTTGATTAGACAGAATCAAGTCTTTGACAACGATATAATACCTGCTTCTACAACCCCAATAAAAGATTTAGAGTACATTCCAATCAAAGAACTCGAATTTCCACGTAGACATCAAGGTAAATACACAATCGTTAGAGTGATCACCAATCCAAACACGCTCTTCGATTTACACTGCATCGTAGACGATAAGGATGGCAGCGGTATTCCACTCACTCTGTCCCATTTCGCTCCATCACCTACCGCACCTTCTGATGCGATCTTACCATATGGTTCTATCATACTCATTCGTGAACCATATGTCACAAAGAATGGTATTTACGTACCTGCAAAATCCGATACAAGGATATTGAACAAAGACAGTGACCTAGTAAAAGATGTCCAATGGGCTTTCCCACTTGAACAGCCATCCGATGGCAAAGACATCGATCAGCTTATGTTGGAAGCTAACAATGACAATGAAAGCTTCTGGGACATCATACATAAATTACACTTAGTGTTGGATTCTAATCCAGTATCCTATGAAGCTACTATTCGTCTCAGTGACGTCTATTTTGGTGTACAAAGGTTTGGCTCTGCTTACAGAACAGCAGCAAAGGCCGTAAAACTTTCACGTGACGAGCAACAAACCAGTCGAGCCCTCCTCAATCAAGCCAGAGCAGCGTACGATTTGAGATTGTTCAAGAAGGCCGAAGTTCTGCTCAAAGGTATTCAAGACCCAGAATTACAAGGTGAAGTAAAGCGATTGATCTTCTTGATAGGAAAGAGAAGAGCAGAAAGAGAGGAAGGAATATTTGATGTTGCTGAACTTTTCCAAGAAAAGCAACGTTCCAGTGTTCCTAGATTAGACATAGCAGACTACATTGGACCAATTGAAGTTAAAGACATCGAGGGTAGAGGTAGAGGTGTATTAGCCACCGAGGATGTGGAACCTGGCACCCTCATGCTCGTCGGAAAAGCGGTTGGTACAGCCTACCCATCTGACGCTGATGAAAGAAACGCAAAAGACCATACAACAGTAATGGAGCTTAACTTTTCTAATAAGACTCTTCATGGAACTGCACAAGTTCTTGCACGTTCGCGCATCAGTCACGCGATTGAAGATGCGCCATTTATCGCCAAGCGCGTTTTGGCACTCTGTGGATCACCTACTGAGCCTCTTTTGACTGAATACATCAAGGATGGCTTCCCGTTAACAGTTGAAGAGGATGAAGCCGTAGCTATGCTCGATAGCGAATCTGAACTCCCAATTGTTGATGTCGATCCACGACGTGTGGGAAGTGTACTCAAGTACAACGCCTTCGGGCATGCTAGTATCGCCGGTGCAGAAACACCATGTATGCTTCACTCCCTTCCGGCAATTATTAATCACTCATGCGTACCAAACGTGGCATCAATTCACCTTGGCGACGTCATCATGTCAAGAGCACTCGTTCCACTCAAGAAAGGACAAGAGTTGTTGCATTCTTATGTTCCTGGTACTGGTGGTGGTAGTGTTATGCCGCCATCACAACAGGAAAGAAGAGGAGAGTTAAGCAAACATGGCTTTATCTGCGCATGTGAATTATGCTCCCTTGATGAACTCGATGGAGAGGCAAAACTCAAGGAGAGAGGCTTAATGCTGGCGGATATTTGGCCTCGTTTGGCTGATAGAGCTAGGGTTCTTCATAGAGCCCAAGTCGAGGATAACAAGTTCAAAACAGAATTGGACCAGCTTTTGGAGGAACTCGAGGAGTTTGTCGTCAGTGTTGAAAACACTTTCTCAGACAAGCGTCCATTTGAACTCAAACCGGAATTAGCATTGATTAGACGTACACTTGCACAACTTATAGCTAGACGTGATGCTGAAAAGGCTATCCAGGTAGGTCAAAAGCATTTCTGCTATACAGATTCTAATCATATATAGAACGAACTTCTCTCGCTTTCAGCTTTGGGAGCGATCCTTGCTGAGACACACAACGATGCTAGCAATACTCGCAAATTTAAACAATTACCTCGCTTACAACCTGACTCAGCAATACTCTCAATGCTGCATATTGTTGAGCTCCTCAATAAGACTGATGAGAAGGCGTCTAAGAGTTGGTTCGAAACAACGAAATGGGCACACGATGTTCTTGTTGGTGGAGGAGAAGCAGGATTCTTCGCTCGTATCAATCAATGAAACGGAAAATATATTATTAATACATAGATTTAATTTATAAGCCCAACTTCTGCTTTCGGAGACGAGCCCAGAGAGAGAGGACTATAAGGAGTGCTGGAAGGTCGACAAATAAGACTCTTATTGTCAAAGATGCTTGTGTGGTTGCCCATGTGGAATGCCCACCGCCTAGTGCCACAGTGAGTAGAAGAAGAGGCAAAAGTATAAAGTATCCTGATAATCTATGGTACTTGTAGAGTGTCTTAGGCAGCAGTGGCTTCTCTTTTGAAGGCATTGTGAAACCCAAGCCGACGAGTGATTGAATCGTGAGGAGCACGCCGACTGATAAACCAGCGGTCGAATGCCAGGTGGTGAAGTGTAAAGCACCGTGTAAATGTTTGTTGTAAAACATGGCGGATGATCCAACTAGAAAAGCAGGTAAAGCTAGGTAGCCAATGAGTTTCCTGTGTCTCTCGAAACTTCTAACTTTGCGTGTACCAGCTGTCGCGGGCTGTAAAGTCAAAACTGCAATAACAAGAACGGTTAATCCAAACGTTTGAAAGAGTGGATGAAACACGAACGGACCAAGGTTGCCGTAACCGCCTGAATTTAATATAAATATAGCTGGAGTTGCTACTAAAGAGAGTGCAGAGAGAAGGGCTACGATTAGGGCTACGTTATCAATTGAGACACTGTTGGGTGATTCTGCAGTACTTTCTCTGCTATTAAGCAAGGGTGCGTTAGCGTCTGACATTTTGTTAACACTTTCGCGCCGCTGTTGACGAATAGAAGGTGTTTGATTACGAAAGCGAACTAATAAGCGTAGGAATGATGTGATTAAACATAATAATAAAATAAACTATTCAATTATTATAACATTCCTAGTTGAGAAAAATATTGTGTCAACCATTTTGATCTCGTACTATGAAGTTACTACAACCAGCGCTTATCTTTGGCTTTGCAGCGACGGTGACGGCGTTGTTGATCCCCTCAGAATTTCAAATTAGTCGTATAATGGATAATTTATTCACTGGATACTCTCAGAAAGCAGATAGCTATAACCGTGCATCACAGCTCCCAACTATCAGTGACTTGTTGACTCTGCAGCGTGGATCTCTATTTTATGACTACGTTAGAGAAGTTAGCCAAGTCGTACGTAATATCTAGTGGCGTTGCTTTTCATCTCACAGTCTACATAGGAGAGATTACTCGATAACCATGCTACAAAACTCACGGTATTCGCACCTACAAACAAAGCTATCGTCAATTTACATAGACGCCCTCACCAAGTTGAGCACAGCGGTGTTGAGAGTATGAGGATATGGGAGAATGCCATGACCTCGAGTGTGAGGAATTGGGTGGAATCACATATAGTTAGAGTGAGTTGTTCTTCAACTTGTCATTTCTCTAATAAAATACCTAGTCCTCTGACTTGGAGATAAACAAAACTTATGACGCACTTAGCCAAACAAAGATCACGTTGACGGAACGTGATGGAATCAAGTTAGTCAATGGAATTAAAGTACTCGATATCAAAACAGCAGATAATGGAGAACTCTACGTTATAGAAGACGTTCTAAGAGATTAGTTAGATGACGATCATGATTTACGGCCTGTTGTATTGATATATTTACTTTCTAAGATCATCTAGACGTTGCTTGAGTACCTCATCTGAGTTGTATGCGCTAAGGTCCTCAGATCCAAACTTCTCTTTGTCGTGTGATAAGAATTCATCTTTTATACTGTTTCTACGACTCTTGAGGTTGCTCTTTGGGGATGATTTACGTATTGGCGGTGGTGGTAGCTCATCTTCTATATCTCCACCTGTAGGAATATCTTTCTTTGGCGTGTCTGGAAGTTGCATCTTTATTTATTACGTCGATGTCGAAGGCAAACAAGCTGGTTTGTAAGTAAGCTTTGTTAAAAATAACGCTTTGTTAACAGATATAGATTCCAGTAAGCGCGTTTTATTTAGTAAATACCCAATACTGACGCGACTTAGGTGCAAGTATTTGTGAAGGGATCAACTTCGACCAGGATCTACTGAGTTCACCATCCCCGACACTTAAGAGGGCTCTGTCTAGAGTGGAAGAAACTCCCCCATCAGATCATACAGTCGATTTCGATCCTGATGCAGTTATCCCAGATACGCCACCACTATCACCAACACCAATTCCTCAAACATCTCACTTTGTTGGATTCACGACCGGTAACGGGAAGTCCATAGCTGCGCCATCTGAGAACGGTTTTAAAAAGGCTGCAATGTTGTTTAATGATGCTCCTGCTGACTTATCAATTACTCACAATACACGCGTAGAAGCACTTGATAATCTGACAAGAAATTATAAATATGAAGACAATTCACCCTCTAGTCCAGAAAGTGTTGATAAAGAAGGTATGGTCAATCACTCAATGCAGTCTAATCAATCTAGTCTTCCTTCAGATTTGGGCAACCATCCTCCACCCGCTCAACTTGAATTTGTGGGTTTTACGACAGCTGCAGGCGCACCTGTACCTATGCCCTCTCAACAGTCGCTCGATAAAGCTAGAGAGAAGTTTGTTGATACCACCAATGATCAGAGCTATCAAGTTAATCAAAATAGCAACGTACAAAATCAACAAACACAACAGCAAATAGCAAACACACAGCAACCAATACCAAAAACTACAATACCCTCTACATTACAGAACAAGCAAATTAATTCACCACTTCCATTCAATAAACCACTATTGAAAACTCAGACAACGCCATTTAAATCACCCTTGCTTAACTCTAATCGAAAGTTGGATACTGTTGCTACGCCTAAGCCATTTAGACCTAGATTAAGCTTTGGTGCAACATCGAATAAACCAAATAAGAGACAAAGGTTTGTTACACCATTCAAAGAAGGTGTCGTTCCTTCATCTGAACCGGGAGAAACATCTGCTGCATCTATTAAGAGCTCAACTACGTCAAATACATTAAAATCAACTAATCGTGTCTTTGATTTGAAGTATCCAGGTGAACGAAAGAAGTTTGCTGACTATGGGGTACGGCCATCCGCGTATACAGTGGCATATTTGAAAGCTGTAAATATGTGAGTATGATTGTCTCATATCATCTCATATTGATATCCAATTAGTCCACAGAGTATAATACAAATGAATCCTCAACTGGCTCAAGGATGCGTATTTGAAAACGGATTTAATGCAGCGTTAGCCTATGAAGAGATGAAAAAGCGCGGCTGTACGTATATAACAATGCGTTGGGTCAAGAATCATTGGAGGTTCATTATTTGGAAGTTATCAGCGATAATAAGGAGTTGCCCAACAGAATTGACAAGATGGACATCCGAAGAAGTTGTTCGTCAGTTACTTTATAGGTAAGCTAATGTCTATAAGTTTGAAGAACACTTTAATGTCGTATTTTATGCAGATATGAACGTGAGCACAACTTAGCCGAGCGTTCTTGTATAAAACGTATTCAAGAGCATGATTCATCATCTACAAGACCAATGGTGTTATGTGTTTCGGGAATTATATCCAATAATATAATTGAATTAACGGATGGTTGGTATCCCATTCATGCACAGATTGATGAATGCTTGTCAAGAGCTTTATCTAGGAGAAGGATAAAATTGGGTTGTAAAATATCTATTATCGGTGCGAGAGTGAGTAGATTTATATCACTTATAGTAGACTCACAAACGATGATAGCTATTGAGTGGTTATGAAGGCACAGATGTACTGGACGCCGTTGGTACTTGTAATCTCAGTATTACTGCTAATTCAACATCATTAACTCGATGGGATGAAAAACTTGGATTTCAACCACCACTTACTGGTTTTGTGTCAACTATTGGTAGCCTTTCATTTGATGGTGGACTGATATCTCTTCTTGACGTCGTTATTACAAAGATCTTTCCGTTGGCTTACATTGACAGTGAGCAAAGGGCTAACGATCATGCTTGGGATGAAGTAGAGGAAATGAAACGTCTACAAGAGGAGCAAGTAAGTATACAGTCAAGAATTATTCCATAATTAATATACTGTTAGAATCGTATTAACCTTGAATCTGAATCCGATTCACATAAACGAATGAAAGAGATCAAATATATTGAGGATATATTAATGAGACTCGATGATGCTACATCTAATATAGCTATGTCCAGAAATAATCCCGACGAAAGTGGGTTTGATTTTAGTTATATTGAGCTTTTACTAAACAAGTTAAAGTTGACGCAGATGATGAACTTGATACTATTATCGCCATAACAGATTCAAAAGAGAGAAATAAAAGAATAAGATCGTTAAATGGATCTATTGCAGTCAATATAGCTATTAGCGCACGTGAAAGAATGATGAAGATTGCGAAGCAACCGAATGAAAACAAAGCAGAACGTCGAAAGGTTAGAAACTTTCGAGTGATTAGAATTGAAGACTATAGTAATGGAATAAAGGCAAAAAAATCGGCACAATTACACATTTGGGACGCGGTAACGCTCAATACACAGTTGACGGAAGGTCAAAGGTTCAAGATTACGAATTGCAATCCAACGAGACAAAAATCATGGCCATCTAAAGGGCAAAGCGGAGAAGTATACCTCTCAACTAGAAGAAACACTAGATTTTATAACGTGAATAATGCATGAAAAGGAGTCTTTAATTAGGATTGCCAGTTAATTTGACCAACTCTAAGTCTTGTGTATGGTTGTTTTGAAGGGATAGCACGTCTGTAACCTTTGCGCTTCTTGAACTTAATCTTGTGCTCTAATTTACCTCTTGTATGTTCAACGACGGTAAGTGGAATGGAAAGATTGCTGACGAAAGGTTTGCCATTTATAGTGAAGTCCCTACTACCAACTTGAGATATTTGTGACAAATTCAAGACGCTTCCTAAAGGCTGCTGTATTCTTGGTAAAGTGACTAGATCGCCGGGTGTGAGAAGATAGCTTCTATCGTATATTTTTCCCATAATGAAATGCTTTGATTGTGATTGAAGTAAATTGAGTGCATCCTTCGTTGATAGTTGTTTCTCTTGGGTTGTATTAGGATCCAAAGGTTGTGATGTTTGTATAGAGCGGAAAGGAGTACCCACTGTTAAGAAATTTAGCTGGGTATATAGCAACTAAATAAATACTCACAATTCCTAAGTGCGACTGAAATCCTTCTACTCAGCATCTTGAAAGTACTTCTTGAAAAGTCTCAACGATGAGTGAGTCTGAGATAAACGAGAAAATGTTATTCTAAGAAAATAAAGTCGACGATCTCACAACTGGCTCAGAGGACAGCTTCTCTAATAGCTGGATTTCTTGGTTCTTATCAACAAAAGTCTGTTTTCGTTTTATGGCTACATCCTCTAACGTTATTCTAGGGAAATGAATACTTTTGTGAAGTCGACGAGGAGTACATATTGGATAGGTTCAACCTCACTGGCTTAAACAACGACGTACAAAACTACTCTCAAGCACTTGAACTCATCACTGATTCACTCGATGACGAGGACCTCGACGACGAGCAAAGGGACGCCATAGAGAATAGTGCTAGATATTTATACGGATTAATACACGCTAGATACATTATCACCTCTCGTGGATTGGCGAAAATGGTGAGCTTTCACCTTTTCAGTCTTATCCCTTTTTTAACCTCTCTCTAGCTTGACAAATACAGGAAGACGGATTTCGGTAGATGTCCACGCGTTTTTTGCGCGTCACAGCCACTTCTTCCCGTTGGTTTGAGCGATGTTCCATACACGAAAGCTGTCAAACTTTATTGTCCAAGATGTGAAGACCTCTACTCACCAAAATCTAGCCGTCATGGCTCCATAGATGGTGCATACTTTGGTACATCATTCCCTCATATGTTGTTCTTGGTATATCCTCAACATTTACCATCAAAAACGACGAATTCACGTAGGTTGAAATTTTTATCATTTCCTTCTTTTACTCATTAAATTAGTTCCATCTACTTCAACACCTACAACATCTGCTCATGCAGCTATAGGTGTTGATAGATACCTACCAAAGATATTTGGCTTCCCTGTCCATGAAATGGCAAAACACGCTAGATGGCAGGAAGCTCAAAGAGATCTGTGAGTTTCTTATCATTCTTTGGTTGTAGATTTTAATGCAATACTAGGCAGATATCTAGATTAGAGGAGTCATCTCGTGACCCATCCTACGTCTAGAAAGTTACTTTTTTCATTTCAGCATATGTATTATATTATTAATAGTTACGGCGAATAGACTTTCTGAAGTAGTCAGGACAACAAAGTATGATCGGCATCCCCAGACAATTTTCACTTTGGCATTCATTCTCTCCTATTTATCTTAAATGAACAATCAATGCTAGTTTTTTGAAGTGTGAAATCACACTAAATCCGTATCTAGTAGCAATTGAAAGATAGTAATCAAGAATATCCTTTCGGAAATGACCATACGTCTTCCGTAGAGTCATATCAAAGAGTAACTACGATGTAAGTGAGTTTTGATGGTTATTTAAATAGCGCACCTTATTAGTTATAACTAAATGACATTTGTCGCGACAAAACTCAATACCTGAATTCAATTTTCGGGTATATCTTATCAGTTAGGGTACAAACATCACAACTATAGCTAATACACACTTGATTTGTCTTCTGTTCCAATCCTTGATGTAATAGTGCTGCTACTCTGTAAGTATTACTCAATATGACGCGTCTTAATTTACGGCAGGTGAAACGGCAGAATCCCGTAATGTAGGCATGTAAGATGGCTAAAGGAGGAAAATAAAATAAACGCGTAAAAATGTTGCTTATCAAGGATTAATAAGGAATTTAGTATAATTTATTATTATAAACAATTAAGATGATAGTTATTGGGTAACTTTTGATGTTTTGACTTAAGCCTCATCGGTCATAATAGAGAAGAACTCCTGTTGGTTAATAGCGCCATCTTGATCTAAATCAAATTCATCAATCATTGCTTGTAACTCTTCCTCATCTAGTGGTTCTCCGAGTTCTTTGGCGACGCGTCTCAAACTAGTTAAAGTTATTTTACCAGTACCGTGCTCATCAAAGAGACTGAAAGCTTTACGAATTTCTTCACTAGGATCTCGTGAGAGTATCTTGTCGGTCACTTTTCATAAACGCGTTAGATTGATTATAAAAGTAGAATATTAACCTACTAATCTTGTAAAAGTCATCAAACTCCATTAAACCTTCCCCTCTTCTGTCGTGCTCTCTAAGAAGTTTCAATACTTCAGGCTTTTTAAGGTCAAAACCGAGAGCTCGCATTGAAACTTTAAGCTCATGATAATCAATAGCACCATCTTTATCAGTATCAAACAAATCAAACGCTTCTCTGATCTCTTGACGCTGCTCATCACTTAAATTGACACCATTAATGTTTGTCGATTGATGGAGGTTGTTAGAAGGCGTTAATATAGAAGACGCGCCCGTGTTTGTTGATTTTCTCCTTGATTTACTTGAGGCATATAACGACATTTTTTATTTACGCGTTGGATGTACGAGCTTGAGAGTTTATGACGTATTGCTTGACTGTCACATGTGGAATATACTTAACATTATAAGACTCATTTATCAATAACATTTGAAGCTGTTATTTCTAACCCTGTTTGATCAACTATTTGTATTTGAAAATTTTCATTTACTAATTAATGCATATATAGATATTAATTTATTTGTACAATATCTTAATTATAATGTCAGAAGATAGCTAATAACACCTTATTCATCACTATTAAATCATATGAAACTATGATCATTATAACACCGGAAATCACTCTTTAACCACAACCTTCATGATCAACAATAAAATATTATTAACAGCGGCACTTGCAGGTACAGCTATTGGCTTACCTTCAAAGAGCAATGGATACGCGTCATCTCTCGATTACGTCGATAGTGGACTCTCACAGTTCCAATCTACTGTAGAGTCCATAGTACAATCCATTGGTTTGAAATGGTTTGATAACAACGCTCACAATAGCCCAATCAGTGCTGATGAGCTCGTTATTGATGATATCAAGTACAAGGTTTTAAAACACGATCAGTTCCCAGATCATCGTATCAGACTTTCAGAGCCAAAGCTTTGCGATGCAGGCGTCCAGCAATACTCAGGATATGTTGATATCTCGGATTCCAGAAGCTTGTTCTTTTGGTTCTTTGAATCACGCTCAGATCCAAAGAGTGACCCATTCGTTATGTGGTTAAATGGTTAGTCAGAACTTCTTTATAACTTCATTTTATAACTTTATAGGTGGACCTGGATGTTCATCATCTACCGGTTTGTTGACCGAGCTTGGTCCATGTTCTGTCGCTCATGGAGGAAAGGATACAGAATATAATAAGCACTCTTGGAATAATAACGCCAATTTGCTGTTCCTTGATCAACCTATAAACGTTGGCTATTCTTATTCAGATAGTGACTCGGTCAACACAACACCAGTCGCAGCTGATGATGTTTACGCCTTCCTCCAGATTTTCTTCAAACATTATGATGACTACGCCAAGCTTCCTTTCTCTATCGCAGCTGAATCTTATGGTGGTCGTTATGCTCCCCTTATCGCTGACGTTATCAACAATCACAATCAAATTGATAAAAGTGTCTACATGAAGCAAGGCGCAGAAGATAACTTCTTACACATTAATTTAGAATCAATTTTATTAGGAAATGGTTTAACAGACCCAAAAATTCAATTCCCAGCAGTTTACGATTACGCTTGCCATGGTCCATATAAAATCTTTGATCCAGAAGGTGGTGAATGTGCCAATTTGAAATCTAAAGCAAACACATGTGAAAGACTCATTGACACTTGCTACAAGACTGACAGTCGTTTCACTTGTTTACCTGCCGCACTTTACTGCTGTAAGTTTTACTATTACCTTGATATTTAAATTAATAATCATTCTAGGGTCAGGAATGTACGGTGGTTTCCAACAACTTGGTTTAAACCCATACGATGTTCGTAAAACCTGCGATCGTAAAAAGGATGGTGATCTTTGTTATAAAGTAAGTAATGATTTTGATTTTTAGTAGTTCAACGATTTAACATCGTTTCTTAGCAAATGGGTTGGATCGAAACTTATCTTAATCAACCAGAAGTTAAGAAGGAACTTGGTGTACCAAAATTCGTTGAGTTCGAATCATGCAACTTTGATGTGAACAGATCATTCATGGGTCAAGGTGATTCAATGCATAACTCAGCCGACCCAACTATACCTAACTTACTTGACTCTGGTGTTCGCGTTCTCGTTTATGCAGGTAAAGCTGACTTCATGTGCAACTACATCGGTAATAAGAAATGGGTTGAGCAATTACCACATGAGCTTGGTCAAGAAATTGCTGCATCAAATGATGAGACATGGATTGTCGACGGAAATAAAGCAGGTGCATTCAAGATCGCTCAAAATGATAAAGCTGTATTACAATTCGTTGAGATCGAAGGTGCTGGACACATGGTACCACTTGACCGTGGTCATGAAGCACTCGCATTATTCAATGGTTGGGTACACGGAAACGGACTTAACAGCACAGTTATTTGAGCATGTATGAAATCATAAATGTAGTTGAACAATTTATACTATAATGAAATGTATGCTTCCTGATTACGTCTATAATGTAATGACATTATAAACTTTGCCCAGTCGGCTTAGATTATTATAGCCTTTCGATTAAAGGAATCCTACATCTACTCAACTGAGAGAGCAGAGGCAGCTGTCAAAGGCATGAATAACTAAACAAGTAATAAGTTCTACTCCATGTAAGTATAACATAAAGTTGAATTTAATCTTGTTTAAGTCATCGAAGTTCGAGTTTGAAAGAGAAGACGAATATTTGAAGAATATTTATATTGTAAAATAAAAAATGAATAAATAATAAATTTATAATGATGTTTCATAATTGAGTATTTATGTTTCTACGAACTCTTTCAATGTAGATATCATCAAGTTATGATAACGAGAAAGCCAAAAATAAAAGTTAAACAATGCCACTATTGCTTAGAGTACCTTGAAGTTTTAAATAATAACTTCAAGTGTACAAATTGTGATCAATTCAATAATTATGACGATAAAGGTCAACTTATAGACAATTACGCACCTTTAGTTAATAAAGAAGCTTTAAAGTATAAAGCTAAACCTTTAACAATCACACAAGATACGATAAATCCATTCTGTAATAGCTGTTCCACTAATCAAACGCTTATATACTCTCTATTGAGTAATTATGATAACGATAATGATGATGATTTAACTGGCTATAATAATTATAAGAACTCAATTGAGTCTAGATATCCACCAATTTGTTCAAATTGTCAAATTATCGTCAATCAAACGATAAATAAACGTAATTATAAAGCTAAAACTAAAGCACTTGGACAGTGGTTAGAAAAATCAGCATCTTTGAATGATGGTAGTAGTAATACTATCAGAAATACTACATTCAATGGACCTTTAGGTAGATACTCTAAATTAGCTTGGTTTATTAAGAGTATTCTATGGTTAACCAACAATATTTTATACCTTTCACTTCATTTTAGCACTTTCTATTATAGTAAGCGGTATTCGTTTAATAACTACACCTTAATAGCTATTCCATTGTCAATACTTTACTCATTTTGGGATCCAACTTGGTTAAAAGTGCATAAAATAAGGTCAAAGGGTCAATCTTTGGTTCTTACGGGAAAAAGATTTTGGATTGTAAGGTCTCTTTATTTAGTTCTTGTTAAATTTTGACAAATAACATTCAGCAATCACAATTTATCATTTGGCTTGAACGATCTTTGCTTTTAGGCTCATTAGCTTTTCAATCCTCCTTGGAGAAATACTATACATCAAATTTAGCTTTATCTTTGTTATTATTAGAAATCACGGTAGGTAAATATCCTTGGGCGGATTTGACGATTAACAATCTCCAAGATACAACTAATTGCATATAGTCATTTGAATATTTTGCTATCTAAACAAATCAATTTAACAAAGTCAAAACAACCTACAATATCGAAAAATGATGAAACACAAGCAAAATCATATACAAATACTCCAGATTTTACGGCTGATAATCTTTCTTCAGCATTATCCTTATCGGTGGATAGTAAAGTAAAGAAATTACCTATCTTTGTGAGTGATTCCATTTTATAAGGTGGTAGTTAATGGTATATTTCGATAGGGTGAAACATCATTACAACCTTCTGAAGAAGCGCAACGTCGGACAGCCAATGCAATTAACGATACAGATGAAATGGAATGGACACCAGAGCAAAATCTGTCAAATCCAAAGAGCCATTCAACATGGGCTGGTCTTAAACCTCAACTTTTCTTCGCACCACAAGATAATCAAAAAACAGGATTAGAAGAACCACTAAGTTCTGTTAGCTTAAGTATAAGTGACAGTAATGTCTACAAAAGAGAGTCTAATCAAGATAATAAGAAGATGGTGATATGTCTGACAATACTAATAGTCTTACCTTTAGTAGCTTTATTTAAGTATCAAGAAAGTGTAATTGAAGTCATGAGATTTATGAAAAATAGATAAATATAGCAGTTTCTGCCAATTTATAATATTGAGTTAATTTTTTCTTTCAAAAGTGCACTATAAAAATTCGCGGTTGAGTAAGTTAACAACTTGATCAAAAACCATCGATGGACACTTTGCCACGATTGTTAGAATCATAGTATTCTTTATAATTGCCACGTCCAGTCGTAGATAAAAATTACCATTTAAAAGAATCGTACTCGTTGGTCGTCCTTTGGCGAATATAGCAGTGCGGGCCGAAGAATGGTTACATTTATTATCACAAAGTAGTATTATATTAAAATATATGTGAGTTATACTTGAAAGCTATGATCTTTAGAGCATCTGAATATGAGAGACGATTTGATTTGGTAAATGGAAGCTTAAGCATCTAAGCAAGCTTTCAAGGATGTTACAAACAAAATAAAACTGATTTAATGAATGCGATTTTTTAAATGAGCGCACTTTTATTCACGTCTGAATATATACCAACTCTTAGCGTCTTCTCTATTCTGGTGTCGAGACATAGCAGTATGTTAAGTAGACTTTACTAACTGTATTATTTAGGTTATAAAGAATATATTTTAATAATTGTAATTGTAATTCTATTCGATATTTATAATATTTTATTTAACTAAAGACTGAATTCGTTGATTCCGCCTTTTATTTATTTTGATCAACATCAATCGATAAATAAAATATAAAATACTAGTTATTAGACTGTCTAGTAATTCATTTTTATAGAATGTCTTCAGACGCTCAACCTTCGACTTCATACCAATCAACTACAGTCACAAATATCAAGGAAGAACCAGAGGATGTAAAGCCAAACATTATAAGGTCACCCACACCTTCAATTATAGATGATTTTATACCACGATACAGTGGCACCGATTATGAAAAGTGGCCACAACTTACTACACAATCAACAAAAGATGAAATAACTAGAAACTTAAAGATTAAACTACGCAATCAGGGTAAGATCATTTTAAAGACCTTAAAACGTAGTGATGGCGTTGCCATTGATTGGAGATTGCAATTTCAGCCTCATGAAGTCATAAATATTGATCAACAAAATTCTCAAGATGATTCTATAATAGACAACTCTTTAACTGAAACTCAAATTAATCACATAACAAATGCTATTCAATTAACACAACCAACGGTTGAGCCTACATCTGAACCAATAACTGAACATATCAATCAATCCGAATCATCGAAACAATTATATCAGCAACCTTCACATACTGGACCATCTACACCATCAACTATAAGTCTTCCTAAAAGACCTGAATTACCTCTTCATACGAAGCGAGCAGCAAAACCCATCAAAGTACCTACAAATCCTACACCTAGAGCATCTGTAAGACAAGTAGAAGAGATACGTTCTAGTGAAAAGGCTAGTCAATATGACCGAGAAAAGGAAAGGAGAGTACAGCTAAGAACTGAAAATGAACAAAATCGTAAACTTGAAGAAAGATCTCAAAGAAGTCATGATGAGAGTTTGCGTATTAATAGACAAAATAGGCCTCATCATGGTCTTCAAAATGATCATGATACTACGCCTAAATCATTTGATAATAATCGCAAAGAGGTGTATAAAATGAAACAGAATGATCTTGAGGCTCAACAAAGAGAAGCTGAACAGAAAAGGCAGGATGAAAAACATCAGAAAGAAATTATGGAGAGAAGGAATCGAGAGATTCAACAAAAGAAAGAACTTGAACGTAAAGAGTTTGAAAAAAAGGAAAGAGAGGATAGAGAACGTGAAGCGTTAGATTTTGTTAAAAATGATGTGAACAATAATGCAAATAGAAATTCAAAATCTAAAAATGATTATAGATCACAAAAGCTTAAACGTACTGGTGATAACATAGGTTTCAGCGGTTCTGAAGATCATGATCAGCCTTATCAAGAAGTTGCATATGGAATCAATTTAACAGAATTGGCTCGAATCCCGAAAGATAGTTTTTCTATGGTAGATAAATTAAGTGACATTTACGTAAGTGAATTTATAGCTCATCTGAAAGCGTAATTGAGATTTTCTTCAAGGGTCATATATATGAACTTTCTAATAGTGGTTTAGAGCCCACATCACAGTATTTTGAAACAATTTCAAAACTTGGTGTTATAAAAAAGCAAACAAAGAATGCACTATCTCAATTACTTTCAAACAATAACACTAATGGTAGTACAACTCAATCCATAGATCACAATGAAGAATCAAATACGGAGAATTCTTCAAAGCATAAGAAGAAAACGGATGAGAATAAGGAAAAGAATGAAAAAGTTTCAACGTCAGCGTTGTCTTCTGCGCCAAAGCAAAAAAAGCGTAAGCATAACAAAGAAGATCAGTCGATTTCAAAGAAGGTTGCAAATGATGCACCAGAACATTTAGATATAAATGCTCTCAATAGGGGTGTAAATGGTACCGCTCAGGGTTACAATGAAGATAATCTTGAAGATTGTTTGCGACCTGTCGTTGATAGAAGGCGTAAGAAGAACGATAATTAGCATGTTTAAGTTATTTGTTATAAATTATTATCATGGAACTATAAATAATAGCATTTATTAGAAATATATTAGAAATATATTATTAATTTTTAATTCTAGAATATAAATATTCTTCAAATATTCGTCTTCTCTTTCAAACTCGAACTTCGATGACTTAAACAAGATTAAATTCAACTTTATGTTATACTTACATGGAGTAGAACTTATTACTTGTTTAGTTATTCATGCCTTTGACAGCTGCCTCTGCTCTCTCAGTTGAGTAGATGTAGGATTCCTTTAATCGAAAGGCTATAATAATCTAAGCCGACTGGGCAAAGTTTATAATGTCATTACATTATAGACGTAATCAGGAAGCATACATTTCATTATAATTTAAAATATGTATCTTTTCATTAAACAACATTAATTATTTAAACGTGAGAATAAGAATAGGTTGTTTGTTGCACCAATTGCTATTGTATCTTCATTAGGATGCCATGAAGCATGTAAGATCTTCTTGTTGAAATCTATGTTGTCTAGATTCATCTCGTCTTTGTTATTTAAACCAGCTAAACCTTTTCCACCGATCTTCTTCGCTTTGAATGCTGACTTATCTGCTTGTAAAACTACGTCATCTGAAGAATCCGGGTTTGAATTATATATTTGTAAATAATTATCGTAAGAACCTGTCATTAATTGTTTACCATCACCTGAAAATGTGCATTCGAATTTATCGAAAATGCAATCATTTTCATATAATTCGCATAGTTTTGTACGTAGATGATCATGAATGTTTATTGTTTTTAGTGGCTTATTATCCATATTCAAGTCCCAAATCTTTAAAGTTAAATAATCCCTAGATAAAATATATCTACCGTCTTTAGAGAATTTTACGTCTGATATTGAGGAGATGATCTCACTAAAGAAAGATTTATTTGAAGGATCTTCCTCTTCCTCGTATAATTTAGCATGTCTATCACATAAAGCTTGATCTCTCATATCAGCGAGCTTTATTGTACCTTTTGAACTTGAATACATGAATAAGTTGCAATGAATTGGATGGAAATCGGCCGCGGTGATAACTTCAGTTAAATCTTCCATTGAATTTGGTTTTATATCAACAATATTGAAACTTTGATCTGAAATACCTAAATTCCATAAATTTATTCTTAAATCATCTGCTGATAAGTAGGTTTCGCCATCACTATTGATAGCTATAGAGTTAATATGATAAGCGTGGGCATTAGCGTAAACTTTTCTGGGAACGGCCGCAACTATAGTATCATGATGAGACATTCTAGGTAATCTTAGTTGTTTGGTAATTGAAGGATGTGGAGCTGAAGTAATTTGTGGTAATGTTAAACTTGTAGGTGGTGAAGGATGTGAAGCACTTAGGTTATTCTCACTAACTACTTTCAAAGACTTATCGAAAACCTTCCATAATTTGATTGTTTTGTCATTAGTTGATAATAAGAAGTGACTGTTATTTGAGCTTTTACACCACTTTATCCTATTGATCTTTTCCTCGATTTCCAATGATTTCAGGTAGTCGAACTCTGGCTCGTGTGATTGGAATTCAGTATGAAACTTATATTCACATCCTTTTTTCTAAGCTGAAGTATAAGCTGGGTAGTTCAGTCTGAGTACATAAAACCCACTGTTTGATTCCTCTCGAATAATACAACTCTACCACCTTTGTCACCTGTTGCAAGATAGTCACCTGTTTGATCAAATTCTACGGTTGAGATTATATCGGCTAGATTTAGTCTGAGTATGTCATCTACTAGTCTAGAAGTGACAAACCTTCTGTGACTTCTTCAACGTCACCCTATTAAATATAAATTTAAATATACGTTGCTATATTTATTACCCACTTTATCACCAAAGCACTGTGCGAATCTCCAATTATCCATAGTTTTGTGATGATGACAGTCGAAATTAGAGTCAATAAAAGGAATCTAAAAAATAAAAATAAAAATATTAAAACAACAGAAAATAGCATTTTATCAATTTTAATTTTCTTTTCGCTTGAGGCTCCTACGTTCTGTGCTTCCATCTTGTAAACTTTAACACTCTTAATTGAGAAATATGCGTCATTATAATTTTCTGGGTCTTTAACTAAATCTGTGCACATTCTTGTATCATTCTCCTTGTTGTATTCTTCACCTGCCCACAGTCCGCATAATGTTATATTGATAACGAGCTTTTGTGTTTTGAAATACTCAGTCATGTTACATCCTTCACTTGAGTAGTAGCCAAGAGGCTCTCCAAAATCTCTAGTTGGATCTGCTTGTCCTTCTGTAATACTATCTGGTACTTGGTCTCTACCGAAGAACCAAAATTGGATTCCATCATGATTCCATAACATAGCAAATACACCGCCACCATTATCACTGAATTTTTCGCCATAGCTGTTCTCATCTTTTGATTGTATACTACAACCTTGATTTCCATTTGCCTTATAATCACAGTTCGTTGAAATTACTTGTCCTGTAAATGGATTATCAGTGGAATTCGCTTGTGTACATCCTTCTCTTGTGTGCAAGGCAACCCTATTGGTTAATTGGCTGTTAACACCTTCAAATATGTCTATCTCGCCTTCATCGTCTTGCTTTGTTTCATCATTTAAACTCCAAAACGCACCCCAGACACTGTCACCATAGGGTAAATGATCAGCGTCAAATACAACTAAACTTCCAATATCGTAACTATCTTTACTAACTAACTTGACGCTGTTACGTCCGAAATCTGGATCTTCGCTACCATCAGTGAAATTATCTACCCTAATGATAGCATTCCCATCCTCATTTATAAATGTTAAGTTCTGTAATTCAGCGTTTGGTTTATCCAAATAGTGTACATTCCCTTGTGTACTAAAAATTTTCAGCATTTTCATTATTTTAGACTCAATATACCCACGTATTATCAGTGGCTGAATAATTGTATACCCAGCCATCAAAGAAATTATTTCCTTCGTAGGCGAACGCTAAACTCATTGTTGTTCTAATACTGAGTTATGAAGAAAGAAATTTAGATTCATTTTAGTAATGATTTTTAGTTTGTATGAACAAAAAATTAGTGAATATATTTATTCAAAGATTAAATCATCGATTTCACTTCAAACATATAATGCTGTTATTGAAACATTCGCTTAGGCAAATGATTGCTACCAAAGAACAGTGTTAGCTTTGTAGTAGCGAGATTTGATACCATGATACATGCCTAGTTCGGAGCTATTATAATTTTTAATCTAACTAATACATAAATTTGGTGTTAGCATGGAATATCAATACACGATGTGTCATTAGTAAAAAAAAAGCTTGATTTGTCACCTAAGTCAATAGCTTATCTGGAACAGGCTAGACACGACTTTTATACTATTTGTGCACTACCATCAAACAGTTAGGTGATGTATTGTGCTGTGTGTAGTGATGTCACTTTCTTGAGATCTACTGAGTAACTGAAACGTAAGGTAGGTACATCATCCTGTCAAGAGACTATACTGTGTCTTTGATAACTTATTTATCTTTGCTCAATCGTTAAAATACTACCATTAGGTATGTCAGTTCAAATTTTCTATCTAAAATCGTATCAACAGAGAGATTCATCAGAAGGGTAAGGACATGGGCTGAGTTGGTGTAATGGTTTCGTAGTTAATATCAACAATGGCCTTTGATCTTCGATTGTATGCAAAAATCAAGTGTTCTCCCTCATAGCTTCATTCAGAATAGAGATTTCCTTGAGCTAAACGAAGGTATGATCAAAACATCTACGAAGATATAATCTTGTGGACATTATGACAAATAGTACAAATATAGTCCGATAATCTAGTTACCCTCATTGAGTACGTGAGCCTCTATCAGTGTGTAATCTGTTCTTCCAATACGGTTTATAGCATGAGACACTGTATCAGATGTATAACCTTCAACTCTTCACATTGAAAATGTCAAATGTATAAAGCAATGATAATTATATGCGGTTCTAATTGTACATACGGAATAACCCAAATACTATTTTATTGATAGTTTGGGCAATCTAGCTCCTTTATATCGATCAATTATTCGACGGATCCTTTGTTAATCTGAGGTAGGGCTTCAAATGCTCGACTTCAGTACCGAAAGTTTTCTCTAAGTCATCATTCTTGACTGACGGGTGTACGATAACCCTATCACCTTGTTGCCAATTCGCTGGTGTCGTCACTTTGTACTTATCACCCAATTGAAGACTATCAATAACTCTGAGGAGCTCGCCGAAGTGTCTACCGGTGCTGGCTGGATAACTCATCATCAAACGTATCGTTTTCGAAGGATCAATAATAAAAACTGTCCGGACAGTGAGCGGAATACCCAAATGGTCGACATTCGTAGGATCCAAAGCGTCCAGCATATCGTACAATCTCGCAACTTCCCTATTCTTATCTGCAATTATTGGAAATCTCAACTTTGTATTGTGCAATTCATCAATATCCTTTATCCACCCATAGTGGGAATTTAAGTCATTGGCTGACAATCCAATAAGTTTGACGCCCCTCTCGTAAAACTTATCCTCAACTTTTGCCAATTCTCCAAGTTCTGTTGTACAAACTGGAGTGTAATCATCTGGATGTGAGAACAGCATAGTCCAGCTATCTTTTATAAAATCATGGAATTCTAAACTACCATGGGTAGTATTCGCTGCAAAATTTGGCGCCTGGCTTCCCAATCGTAGCGTCATCTCCTGATCGCGACTTTCAAAGCGTCATAAATGATTTCTGCGAAGAGATGCACAAACTTGAGCAGAAAAAATGTTTCAACCATTCAAACAAGGAGTTTATTCGGTGGATTTGGTTTGCCTGATTTTAGTACTGGGAATGAAAATGAGTTTTATAAAGAAAGCAAAGTTTTGCCATATGCGCAGAGAGATCTCTACAATTTAGTAGCAAATGTTAATGAATATAAACATTTCGTGCCGTATTGCACACATTCTCGCATTCTTACAAAAGGTCCGATCGATCTACAGAAGTCAGGCGCAGTGGAAGCGGAATTGGGCGTCGGTTTTCAAGGTTTTGAAGAGCGCTATAATAGTATAGTGACGTTAGATCCTTACAAATCTGTGACTGTATGTTTTCACATCCTTTTTCACGTGTTTTAAAATTAACAATCACAGGCAAGGGCTAATTCAAAGACACCACTTTTCAAAACCCTCCAAACAAAATATACGTTTACACCTAAAGCACAACACACTGAACTCGCGATTGAATTGGAGTATGCCTTCGCTAATCCGCTCTATGCTACCTTATCATCGACCTTCTTCAGCGGTGTGAGCGCCCAGATGGTCAAAGCATTCGAAGAGAGAGCTAAGATCATTTGTAATAGATAAAAATAGACTAGATGCATAATAATATCCTTTTAAATTCCTCTAAATAGGCATCCACACTCTCGTCCGGCCATAGCACTCGATCATAACCGAGACTGATTGTTAGTTGCCCATTTAAAGTGAAAGTTTCGAGAAGCACTTCCTGTGTTCTGCAGCGTACTCCGATGTACGCCTGACGTTGATTGTCAAGAGACAATGTATAAGTTTTAGCAGTGTATGAAGGTTTCAGTATCTTGTCCATCGAACCAAGCATTGAGCCATTCTATAAATGTTATCAGTTTTTATCAAGAAGATCTACTAGTAACTTACTATTGCTGTTCCCTTGCCTCTCAATTGACTATTCGATTCTGTCTGTTTGACTATTTTCCATCCATCGTGCCCCTCACTGAATGTCCTAGCTCGAGCCATGGCCATGCAATGTCCATCATGTAATAACGTAGCCGATGACAAAAGGTTTCTAAATTGAGATTGTGCTGACTGTGCTCTAGATTTGAAACGAATTTTGAATGTCTCTGAGTCAACCAAGCAGGGTGTAGATGGTAACTGGATACCGCCGAACCCTAGTTGAACTGATAGTGGACTAATTTCCATAATGGAAGGAACATCGAGCGGTGTTGAACGCGCTTTATTTGGGGTCTGATCCAAATATGGTCGAATTGAGAACGGAAATCCAATCAAGCAGGTGTCACCATTATCAATCTGCTTGATATGATTGAGGTTTGAAATTACTATTGAAGATGTAGCAAACAATAGCGATCCTGTTACATTTTAAGAGGTAATCAATGCGGTATGAGAGAAAACCTACCAATTTTTACATTGCATTCCTTGGCATATCGCATAACGCCATTTGTTTGATCAGGTGATAGGGTGAAATGCTTCCAATTTGTGATGGCACCCCAGCTAGGTTCAAGTTCTTTCTGTTCAGATGGCGATCTCTCACCGACAAAGTCTACTGTTGACAATCGGTTGAGAATGTTGCCTCTTACCTGCGCTATAACCCTCCTGATTGCCCAGTACCACCTCAAGCGGGGCAATGTTGGCGGTCTAGTCGTTAATGGCATAGGTGGGTATGCTGATTCCATGGCCAAAGGCAAGGCTGACACAATATCTTCTTTAGTAAGATTGAGGAAGTTTGTAACACTGTTCAAAGAGCCTTCATTGACTAGCTGTGGTTTGAATTCCCGATAATCGCTTAATGTAGGTATTTTCACTGTGCTTCCATTCACACCATCAAGTTCATTGCCGGTAAGGATTTCCAGAAACTCATTTGCGAGAGCCGCGACAGATGTACCGTCCGAAATGCAGTGTGCAACAGCCATGATTATATCTACCTCGCCAGTTGTGCTATTGTGAAGGACGATAAGTCTACCCAAATTAGAACTTTGATTTAAGAATTGTCTGTCGCCATTCCATATTTGTTCGCGCATCCATTCGACGACATCATCTTTAAAATTACGTTCTACGATGATTGTTTGACTGCAATTTCTCACCACGTGAGCAGGTTCACCGCTGAGATCTGTAGGATCAAATGAAAACATAGGTTCGTCACTACCATCTTCGATAACAGCGTAGCTTAATGATGGGTGTAGCTGATTGAGCCTTGCCCATGCGATAGGGAGCTTATCAAACCAACTATCGTCACCTTCTATGCGCATGGGCAAACGAAAGAAAATATCAGTCCTCCCTTGATGCATTAGAGCCATTTTGTGGAAAAACATCTGTGTATTCTCAGTTGGTGTGTTAATGAGTCATGTATATCGAACGCACCTCAACTAACCCCAATGGACGGGTTAGTACGCCATTATGGTCAGTCCATTGTAAGTGTGACGGTGCGAGGTGCGCCAAACTTGATATTACTCTATCGTCCATGAAACTCTCGATGATGGAGGTTGAGGGGAAAAGTTGCGGGGAAGAGTTAGTCAAAGGTTGAGTCATAGGTTGAATGAAAATCTAGTCAGACATTTTGTCAAAAAGTATACAATCGTATGGTTGTCTTATGGATCGGACTATCCATCAAGGAGATAGCTGAAGCAGATAGGTACAAAACGAGATAGTAATTATTCTTTTTGTCAATAAAATGTATGATTCACTTACTATTCGCTGCTATCTCTTTTCTTCATCTAATGTCATCATCGAGAGCAGCAAAAAATAGAGTGAACGAGGAGGAGGACCTCCGCAGGCAACAAAACAGACAAGCTCAGCGGGAATTTAGACTGAGGAAACAGAGAGAGAAGGAGGAGCTCAAAGCGAGGATAGAATTCCTGGAGAGGGATCCCGATCAACAGTCCCAGCTAATGACGAAAGTAGCCCGGGAATTGTACGCCGAGAATAACCGTCTGAGGGCTCTTGTTCAGTCGCTGAGGTATGTTAGCCTGCTTTAGGGGTCTTGCACTAAGAAGGCGTTTGTAGCACTTTTATAGGAAAAGGCGCAGGATCCAGTTTGAGTGGTTTAGGATTAAGCCAGTCACAAATAGACAACTTGAACAGCTATTCACAAGTCGACCAAGAAGTCGATCTTGGCTTTGAAATGTACATGCAGAACAGAACAAAAGAGAACGAGGCTTCAATCGGTAGTAAAAGACCGCGCTACAGTCTTTCAAACCACTCACAATCCAGCGCGAGTCCTAGTAATCATCCCCACCCGGGTTTGAACATTCCGAATGGGAATAACGAACTGGCTTTTAATCTGCAAAACCTATTAAACGAGAACCTAAGTTCATCGACAAAACCACCCTCAGTTAATGCTTTACCGACTGGTACTGACACACCGCCAGCCGATTTCCAGAGTGAGTGTTTGTCACTGGTGAACAACCAGGGTTCGAAGTTTAACAAAGTTCCTGGCGAGGAGAGTACAATTTTTAGCTTTGCTAATAGCCTCAAGCATTATAGTTCATCGAAAATGGTTCAAGCTGCTCAGCTCATTGAATACAATCTGAATAATTTCAGAGCAGATCAGAGTTACCATCTTCCGCCATCACTCAAGCCTACTATCACTCAGAGAACTGTACCACATGACAACTTAATTGACGGCATTATATTTTCTAATCTTCGCGATAAACTAATACTACAAGAATCCAAAGTCGATTTGAGGAGGTTTATGCGAATATTGCTAACAAACACTATTATACATGGGGAGGATGTACTTAATTGGGAAAATTGGGAACTAGGTGAGGAATTTTGTCAGAATTACTGGTATGTTTTGTGACTTCCTGAGTTTGAACTAACAAATATTTAGGTTCCTGATGGATGCCCAGATGCTAAATGTAACGAATAAATGGCGCAACGAACGCGGTGAATCGTTACTTCAACGACCTGCAGATTTTGTCGAAGAAGTAAACGATTTGTCTCCCCTATAAAGCATACCAGTACCTTGGCTAATTTATTTATATCTTGTACATTTCTTTTACACACATGGATTATTAGGAATGCGAATAAGATTGGTAATAGTTTATACAATGTTACAGAGATGTTGCCGCTAAAGCGTGCTAGGATGGTATTACTCGTCATCACGACGGGTTTTGAATATCTTTTTGATCGCGTTGTCTTCATATTTGTAACCGTTCGTGAGGAACAACTTGGACGAGAGGAAGGGTTGAATATCATAGACTTCAACGTCATTTGCCTATTGTAAGTGTTAGTTTTATATTATCTTCTCAAACTATCCACCTACTCGATTCTCAAGCTCATTTATTGGAATCTGCACGGTCTCTGGGTCATCGAAATGCATTGCACGATGTCTGCGTACACGCTCTTTGACGATCTGACCAAGAATGAAGGCGAGCAATTCCTCTGAATCTTTAGCTTGGTGAACATATTTCCGTAGGCCCTATTGAATTAATTAAGATGTGCTCTTTTCTAATAGAAGTATCACTCACTCTCTCGAGGGTCTTCTTGATAGACGTCTTTTGAGCATTGACGAAGCTTCCAACCGTGACTTGAATAGCAAGATCAATATCATCACCACGAACATACTCACGTAAGGACATCTTAGCTGCCGCTTCAGACATTCTAATCATAGATTCAAGATGACGGACTGTAATCGGGAAAGAACCAGTTGCTAAACTTTCCCTGCGTAAATCGGCATATAACCTCGAGAGCTTATCTTGATCTAATTGATGTAATTTTGGCTTACAACGTTCTCTTGCGAACATGATATACTTCTTGAGCAAATCTTGTTGAATAATTTCAGCATCAACCGCTGTACCGACATCGTTCTCGTCTACTTCAGAATCGAAATCTGGATGGGATCTTAAATGAGATCCAACGACGAATTTAGCTAACATTTCATCGATGATTGGGTCAACTGTGTCTTTTACAACGCACAATACGTCAAATCTTGATAAAATTGGTTCAGTTAACTCAACATTAGCAGCGAAGGGTATTGTTGGATTATATCTTCCTCTGATTGGATTGGCTGCTGCAATTATAGCGCATCTAGCTTGTAATGTAGTAACAATACCTGCTTTAGAGATAGAAATTGACTGTTGTTCCATCGCTTCGTGGATAGACGTTCTATCTGCATCGTTCATTTTGTCAAATTCATCAATTAAGCATGTTCCTTTATCAGCAAGTACTAAAGCACCACCTTCCAATGTCCATTCACGGGTGATTGGATCTTTACGAACACTTGCAGTTAAACCGACAGCAGAAGCACCTTGACCAGTAGTGAAAACAGCTCTGTGGGCTGTCTTTTCGACATATTTAAGGAATTGCGACTTGGCAGTACCTGGATCACCCAGTAACAATACGTTGATATCACCTCTAATACGGTGCTTGCGGTTGATATCTTTGGAAACACCACCGAATAAACTCAAGGCCACTGCGGTCTTGATATCATCATGTCCGTAAATAGATGGTGCTATTGACTTGATAATACGCTTGCGAATTCTATCATCACGTGAAAGCTTTCTAATCTCACGTTCATCTTCCTCTGTTAATCTGAAAGCTGCAAATTCATCTTCCTTTTTATTGATGTAGTTGGCTTCAATTATAGTTGAGAATACTGGGAAACCATTCTTAGTATTCAATGAAGCGTCGAAATTGTTTCTGTAAACACCTGTGACTTCAACTTCTTCACCTGGTTTGGCGTTGTCAATTAAATCCCAGAGTAAGATAACCTCTCTATGTCTTGGTAATCTACCAGCTGGAACAGATCCAGGAGACTCTTGTAATGTCATCTTTTGGTAATTACGGTAAACAGTCTGTTCACTATTAACCTCGAATGGTCCTTTAGATTGACAATTTGAACAGAATGAGATTTTAATCTCCTTTGATCCATCTTGATAGAACGGACCAAGGGTGGTGCTACATTTCTGACAGTTGAAACGGACGTATTTGAGTTGTGGGAAAACACCTGATCTTCTTGTAACGACACCCGATACACGAACCAATTGGTTAAGGTCACCTTGACGTAAATCACGTAAGGTCTTTGCAGTTGGAAGGTCTGTAACTCTCACGTGAATTTCTGAGTGTATACGTTCGTAATCTGGATAATAGAGAAGGATAGCGTCTAAGGCGACATCATCTAAGATTTTGAGTGTCTCATGTGGAGCGTTCACCAAAAATGATGCTAAGATTGGTTTATTTTCGAGTAAATGAAGGTATGAGATTTCGAGGGATTCAGAGTTCTGTTCACCGAGTGTTTTAATACGTTGACCGTAAACAGAAGAACCCTGTTCATCTGTGAATGTCATAATAAAGTTTTTGAAGTACTTTGCTACACTTCTTCTAACGTTATCAGCGTTTAACCATTCGTTAAGTGAAGCAGCCTTGATATCGCCCAAGTTTTCTAGTGGAATTTCGTCTTCGTCGCCATCGAGATCGTCAACGTCTGGCCTTTCATCGTAATGTCTGCGTCTTCTTCTTTGTATGAGTAATCTGTTATCAGGGTCATCTTCATCGTCTGATTGCATAAAGGCAGGCATTCTAGATCTTCTACTACCATCCTTGCCAGATAAACCAGCTTCCTTTCTGTCACGTCTAGCGAGTTTCGCTTCGACTGCTCTACGCGAAGCTGGATCTAAGTCGTCAAAGTCCTGATCATCGATTTGGTCTTCGTCGTAGTAATCCAAGTTGTTATTTTCATTATAATCACTGAGACATAGAGTTAAACGCGTGAGACACGCTAATAAGATCAAGACTCACGCGGTTAAGTTATCACCAAAGAGATCTTCACCGTCGTCTGGCTCGCCGAGGAGGTCGTCAACGTCTTCATCGTCAACGTCACTAAAAGGATCGCCAGGTGGTGAGGAAGGGGGTAAACTGGATGGAATTGGGGATGATCTTGCAGACTGGAAACCAGTGTTGTTCATTTCCACGTCAGACTCATCTGATCTTCTACGCTTATGTCCCAGATGATTAGACTGGAGAGTAATTTATTAGTTATTTACTTGAGTTAGCTGTCTATTCACCATTTTTAATCGAACGCGTAAAGTTAGTGAACAAGATAGCAGGAGACGCGAAGGAAGAGTTATGAAGAATATTTTATATAATATTTAAAATGTTTTAATATATAAATCTAAATGCCTCTATTAAGGCTATCTTTGTTACTCAGACAGACAGCATCTTTGGTATCACAGAAGAGACTAGTTGGTAGATGCACTATTTTAGAGACTATTACTATTCTAATGCAGAATAAATAATATATTTTATTTATTTATTTCTTCATCCTCCCTCTTTTCTCCTCTCAAATAATTTCTCACTCTTGATCTCGCTTGATCAATTTTGACAGTAGCTTCTCTTAATGCCACCAAGTCACATTTTATTCGAGTCCTCAGCGGGATATCTCTTGCTGAAATGCAATAACGTTGAAGAAATTGCTAGCAAAACTAAAGCGTATGTTTTCATTCCTTTACTCTTACACCTTCCCTTATACAACGAATAGAGTACAAGAGCAAATTAACGACTACCACCATTTCTCTAAGATTGTAAACATCGTTTCCATCTACCCATTCGCAGATGCCGCAGAAGCTCTTCAAAATGCGAACTCCGTCTCTGAGGGTGAGAAATCTTCTCTTCTCAACTTACACAACTAACAAATCTCAGGTGAACTCACTGATCAATTGAAATCTCTCCTCGAGCAAAACCTTCCAAAGGGTTCGAAGTCTGGTGTCGTTCTTGGTGTATCAGATAAAGCTTTAGCAACTTCAATCAAATCTGAACTCAAAATTGAAGGTGACGTCTCAGATTTATCATTAGAGTTGATTCGTGGTGTACGTATCCACGCTGAGAAGCTCATTGAAGGTTTATCACAAGGTGACCTCTTGAGAGCTCAACTCGGTCTCGGTCACTCTTACTCAAGAGCCAAGGTTAAGTTCAACGTTAACAGATCAGACAACATGATCATACAAGCTATCGCACTCGTTGATCAACTCGACAAGGATGTTAACACTTTCTCAATGAGAGCACGTGAATGGTACGGTTGGCACTTCCCAGAATTAGTCAAGATTGTTCCAGACAACCATCAATATGCTCTCTGTGCAAGATTGATTGGTGACAAGTCAACTCTCACCGAAGAAAAAATTCCTCAATTGATGGAAATTATCGATGATGATGAAACACGCGCTAGAAACGTTATTGACGCTTCAAGATCTTCAATGGGTACAGATATCTCACCAGTCGATTTAATCAACATCAAGAACTTTGCTGACAGAGTCGTTGGTTTATCTCAATACAGAAAGAACTTACACGCTTACTTATTGGAAAAGATGAACCTCGTAGCACCAAACTTATCAGCATTGATTGGTGAATTTGTCGGTGCGAGATTAATCTCACATGCTGGTTCTTTGACAAACTTATCAAAATATCCTGCATCAACCGTTCAAATTTTAGGTGCTGAAAAGGCTTTATTCAGAGCTCTCAAAACTAAAGGTAACACACCAAAGTACGGTCTCTTGTACCACGCTTCAGCTATCGGTAGAGCTGCACCAAAGAACAAGGGTAGAATTTCAAGATTTTTAGCAAACAAAGTTACAATTGCCTCAAGAATTGATTGCTTTAGTGATGCTCCAACAACTAAATTTGGTGAAGCTCTCAAGAACCAAGTTGAAGAAAGATTACAATTCTACGAAACTGGTCAAGCTCCATCAAAGAACGTTGATGTTATGAGAAAGGCATTAGATGCTATTGCAGCAGACATGGATCTCGAAGATGAAGATGCAAGCGATGATGAAAAGATGGACGAGGATAAGCCAAAACTTTCAGAAGAGGAAAAGAAAGCTGCTGAAAAGGCCGCAAAGAAGGCTGCCAAGGCCGCTAAGAAGGAAAAGAAGGAGGAACCTGAAGAAAAGGAAGAAAAGAAGAAAGACAAGAAAGACAAAAAGAAGAGAAAATCAGAAGTAGCTGAGGAATCTGCAGAAACTCCTGCTGAATCTCCAGAGAAGAAGGACAAAAAGAAGCGTAAGAGTGAAGGTGGTGAAACAAAGGAAGAAAAGAAAGCTCGTAAACGAGCTAGCAAAGGAGGTGCTGAGTAAAAAAAACTTATTAGAGTACATGTATTTTTATTATATTCATTTCATTCTTATTTAATTAAACTTTATCCAATGCTAAAATTCATTTTTGAAAAATGGTACAAGAAAGAGAAAACATGGCTATATAATAAATTGAGTTAGGGAGACGAGTGAGATATATAGATTCATATTAGGTTGAAATAATGCTCATAACCGTTAAACGCGTTACCGTTAATAATGATAATTACTTTATTCTTGTGCAACTGTAGCAGCTCTACCGAAAGACTTTTCAACGCTGTCAAATATCGTAGCAAATTCTGGTGCTAAATTAGAGAATTTGTTTTGATACCTCTTAAATTCTGGATTTAAGAACACGTTGAAGAATGTCAATAATAATCCCCATGGATGTGGTTTTGTAACTAATAAACGTTCGAGTAAAACTCTTGTGAGAATTTCAACAACATTTTCATTAGTTGATGACGATTCCTCCAAAATCTTTAAGCACATTCTATTGAACCAGTATGTGTGTGATGATGGGAATCGTAATTGATTTGCAATAGCGCTGAGCACCAAATAACGACCTTTATAAGTTTGTTAGAATCATAGAAATGGTGAACAGATCAATCTCACCTTCTGCATCAAGCCTATTGATTAAAGACATAATTAATTTTGTATTTGTTGATCCACCATCAAACTTGACACTTTCAGTATCCGTTTGTGAGTGAGTAATTGCCTCAACACCAATGAACAAGACAACTGAATTAATTGCTGGGACGTTGTACTTCCAATCATCATTGTCGTAATCAACTGCTGCAGACGTATCTGTGATCTTTCGAATAATTTCATCAACGATTTCTTCTTTAGCTTCACCACTTGTGTATTGCTCAACTAAATCCTTAATACCATTATTAATAATGATAGTCATATAATCTGATGAAATAGTTGGATTGAATTGTGATTGTGGCATTGATTCAATATCAATTGAAGGTAAGAATGGATCCGGAAGTGAATTTGTTTGGGCATTTCTTGGATATGCGCTCAAAACTAAGTTACGAAGTTGTGTGCAAGATGATGGTATTACATCAATAAGACCACTATAATATTCGGATAAGTATTCACTAAAGTCATGTAAAAGCAACAAGAGTATACGTTGTGTTGCTCTGTAAAGTTGTTTTGATGATGTTTGGAATTGAGGTTTTGATGTGAATGTCTTCACGAATCTCAACAACGCTGTCATTAATCTATGGAAATCTATCCAATTCTGAGAACTATGTTAGTATTAGCATTCCGGAAATTACCACACTCACCTCGTGGTTCTCAAGAGCAAGAATAATTGGCAGGAAGTTCCTGTGTGATATTAAGCTAACCCATCCATGAGCAAATCTAGGGAAGTATGCAGGTTGAAGATTGGCAAGTGAGTTACTGATAGTAACAAGAATACCCTTGTATGCATTAACACCCAAATGTTGTCTAATACTCCACAACTCAATTAAGAGACTAGAGTAAAGTCTATAAAATGGCTTCTGCTCAAAATTCTCTTGTAAATCTTCATGTGATTGTGCAATTACGAGGCTTGTGATTGAAATAATCTTGTTCAAGTAGACCTGCTTAGCCTGATCATGATTCAAACCGGTGTGATCCATGTGATATTTAATCATCAAGACAACCAGCTTAACGAAAGCATCAATTGGCTGGAAAGCATTACTGATGTTTGTAACACCATCATTCTTTTGCTTAATGAATGATTCAACACCTAATTCAACGCAAATTCTAAAGAAAAGCGTTGAAGTTTCTTCACCTTTGAGGATACCTTGAGATTGTAATTGAGAAATGTACGGTATGAATGCCTTTTCTACTTGTTGTGTCATACCGTAAATTCTAACCCAATCCGCAAAGTTCAATGCAAGTCTTTGTCTAAGTGCAGTTTCTTGATCATTAGAGGTTTTTGTTAACCTATTGAGTACAGGTGTGGCAACATTACCAGGTTGTGTTTGTTTGAGTGCTTGATGAAGCTTTGTCATCGCATCTGAAGTTTTGCTATTTTGCGCAGCAATAGTCAAAGCTTCTAAACAATGGGTGAAGTTACTTCTCGTTGCTATTTGATCTTGAATAGATTCCTTAATCAAAGTAGCAGCGAAATCGATCGCACTTTGTCTCATATCTCTGACAATCGATCTTGATAAGGTAAGGTCGAGTTCTTCGATATGGATCAATCTAGCTTTAACGAGGTATAATGTTACTGGAACGTTGAATTTCCTATCATCATCTGAGAGTACCAGCCAAGCAGTGACTTCTTTAGCTGCTTTCATCGAGAGTTCGCAAAGGTGTTGAAGAATCGTAACGTGGACCTCTCTACCCAAGTTGGTCTCAGCACGATAAAGTAACTGTACAATACGTTGAGCAAATGAGAGTGAAACTTCTTCAAAGTTTTGTGATTGGAATGCAAGTATTGAAACTTCTTGAACTAATGGACGAAGTTCAGAGTTTGGCGGTAATAGCTCAGATGAGTCTACTTGAGAAGCAACTATAGCCTTTTCAATTTCAACAATCAATTGATTGAAGCGTTCATAGGATTGTTGAGGGTTGATAGCTCCAGCATTACCGTTACCATCTACTGAAACACGTTGTTGGGTTCCAGGTGGGATGCTTTCAATAACTTCCGGTTGTTGTTGTTGTTGTTGTTGTTGTTGTACAGCGTAGTTGTTGCGGTTGAATCCTTCATAGACTTGTAATTGCTGAGCATCCAAACCATTTGGCTTAATGCGCAATAAGTCCGGTAAACTGTTAGAAAAGTGGGCAGATGAAATGACTGCATTATCCCAATAAGCTTGGTTGGTGGTCTAATAAAATGTCAATTTTGTCAATCTAAAAGAAGTAGCATACCTCTCTGTGCTTACGACGGCTTACGAAACCTTCAAGAAGTTGATCATCAACCTCGATTATAGCCCTTTGCATAGCAAGCTTTTCAATGACCTTGCAAGCAACATCAAGGTTTTCATTAACCGCAGAGTAAACAGTTTGTTCTGGTACTGATTGTTCAGATAAACCAGATTGATGCAAAACATGTCTGAAATGCGACACAACGCTGATTCTGAGTGGTTCCTTGCAAGTAACAAGCGAGAGATTACCAGCTAAGTTTTGTGCCATAAGATGAGCAGCTGCTTGCATCTTAGTTTCATCACCCTCCATAGCGAAATCCTTGACTATTAATTCTCTAGTTGATAAGGAAGCAATTGTAACTGAGCGCTCTACGACAGGTGCAATTATTTCCTTAATAGCTCGATCGATGGCAATATGCATCATCCTTTGCAAGTGAGCATTGTTAGCGAAGATTGGATTGGATGAGTCGAACACCAAATATTGAGAAATATTTGGTACAGCAGCAATCAATTCCGGTGCTATACTTGGCTGAGTGCGCTCCTCCTGTAAAACAGGTGATTCTGGGGCAAGAGGTTGTTGAGCGTTACCATTAGAAGCAATTTGTTGTTGGAATTGCAATTGTTGTTGCTGTTGAGCCGCTGCTGAGGCTTGTTGTTGTAATAGTGCGGCTTGGACACGTTCATTTGGTACACCGGCCATCTGTAATCTTTCCAACTCGGATCCCAATACATTTCCTCCTGGTGTGGTCTGATTGATCGCTGCGAGCGGTACAGCGTCCTTTGATGGACGATTTTTGACAAGGTTTGTTGGTTCTATATCCTTGATCTCTATACCTAAACTCTTGCAAAGAACTTCGATCTCAAACTTTAAGTTGAGCTTAAGATCTGCAACGATGTAGAGTTCAACGAGTAGTTTTAAGACTGCCATCAACCATGGGTTTGGCGGAACAAAGATTCTGCTGTTTGAGCATTGCTCCAAGACTTTACAAACAAATGGGATTGCTACGATCAACTTGTTTGTATCAAAACCCTCTAAGAGTAACTCTTTGAAAGCGATATTGCGGTGACGAATTGGTTTGTTTTTAGCCAGTGTCAAACCACCTAACCATGAACCAAGATTCTTCAAGTGCGAACGGTCAGTTGAGTTGCTAACAGTGTTGTCGTCATTAAGTAATTCGCGAACTTTGATATAAGTTTCGCGAAGAACATGACGAAGAAGATCACTCTCGTCAATTGATTCTAAAAATTGCATATAGAGATTGTGATTATTTGGTTCTATGCTGACACGTTCTAAAACCAAATAATGAGCGAACCATCTGGAATACTCAGCCTTAAACCTCTCTTTCATTTCATCTGATTTCGTTGAAAAGTTATTTGGTGCGAGGTTGTTGACAATGAAGAGTATCCTATCAGATGTTTCTTCATCTGGTACTGAGTAATCTTCTGTTTCATCAGTGGTCAAAGCATCAGGCTTTACGGTGTTGAAGGAAAGCTTAGCTGTAGGTGTAGCAATATCAGGACCATCAAGTGCGCTACCACCTTGGCTTCTTCGAACTTCATTTGAATGCTCAACTGCCAATCTCAAGTAGAAACCAAGATCAGGGATCGTTTCAATGAGATGTCTGATAGCCAAAAGTGCTTGACAAACTTGAGGCCATTCAGGCAATCGTCTTTGAAATTGTGAGAGTGCTTGAACACCAAATCTAAATCTATTGGTGTTTGGGAGCGACTGTAATGCCGTCAGAACGTATCTGATTGCAATTCCCAATGGTATGAAGTCGATAACCTGAAACTGAATCAAGGAACCAAACAAAATACCAGTTAAAGCTAATTCAGCTGCTGGATATGTCTCATAATGTCTGTACTCCTCGAAAAGTGTGTGTATCATGGCAGCAAACAACTCGTGATCACGTGGGTTGCTCGATTGCTTGCACTTCTCTAAGAAAACAATGACCTCATCAACGCGCAGTTCTCCGGAATACATACGATGGTAGTAATCTTCAACTTGCCTGTCGAGATCTGGTGAAAACGTAGTGACTGACAAACCTGGCTCTTGTTCTGAGTGTGGGGTGAGGTTCATCAAACGAGGCCAATATTGAAGACAAAGATTGCGAACCTCCTTGTAGTATTCAATGTCATCAGAAACCAATGGTAAAACCTCTGCATTTGCGCGAAGAACTCGCAAAAACATTGCAACGGTTTGAACATTTATGTTTAGTTGATTGTTGACGGCGCCGGTGTTAAGTTTGATTGCCTCTGCTTTAGCCTTAGAGTCCAAAAACTTCAAAGAATCTCTAAAGAATGAAATGCCATGGACTGTGACTCCATTCTGCAACCATTTCTCCATGTTGAGGTATTCTCGACGACTTGCAAGTGCTGCCAAATCAAATGCAAAGGTCACTGGTTTAATCTCAAGTACCTGGTCGAGTATCTAGTATAAAATTAGCTATAAATTTTGACATCATCATTTGTCTCTTACCTTAAGGTCTTGGGCAACATCAAGAATTCGAGTTACGTTCATGTTGTTGTCTTGATAAAACTGCTTGAATGCACCGAGAAGGAAGTTGCGATCAATCTGCCAGAGACGCAAGAATACAAGCTGATGAGATGGGTTTCCAGCGAGGAAGAGAGCAAGAAGTCGCGTGATAAGCTCAAGGTGATAATTTGACCATGGTTTCTGTATAATATTAGCTTCTAATTTAACATTCAAACATCAAACCTACCGGCAATTGTACCAAGCCAAGCAAGATTATCTCGCCATGCGTCCTGCAACCAGTCTCCAGCAATTCGCGCGCGAGTACATTGATTGGTTCTGGACCATGATCTTGAAGTTTGATGATTATATCTACGGTGTCGATGCAGTTCCAAAGGGAAGATTGGACGGCAGCAGCCATCGCTTTTATAGCTGGGCTCGACTGATTGACGTAATCCACGGTGATTATTTTCTGTGAAGGCAAAGCAGCAAAAGAAAATTGATCGTTAGGGAGCGAAAGCAAACCAGCTATAGCATTGATCTGAAGTGAAGGATTGACCCAAGTACCGACCAAACCTAAAAGCGGCGATTCATCATCAACTTGTCCAGGTGGAGCGGAAAGGAGAATGTTGGCGAGGATGTTTGGTGTTGGTGGTGGATTGTTAGGTGAGTCGAAACCGCGGATTATGAGTTGGTGCGAGGGTTTAGTTGGATAATTATTGAGGATGCTCATGATAGTGGAAATATCGACATTATTGGACATGATGCCCAATTGACCGAGACTTGAGAAAAGCTCTGATGCACGTAAATCCAAGGATTCTGTCTGCTGTTGTGCTGATGGCCAGCCAAACTTGTGAAACGCAGCTTCAAGGAGCTCTACGGAGGTTCTCAACTCGGTTGTGGAGGATAAATCAACCAACAACTGCGCTAAAGTCTTTGATTGGTTGAACTTCAAGTCCGGCACGACACTCTTTGCTAAAATGCTTGGTAAGCTAGTTTTAAGCCTGGTTGAGAGTGCGAGCAGGAGTGACTGAATATGGCTGATGTCGAGATGGTCATGTGAGAGCAGCGTAATAAGCAGAGCGTTCAAATCTGGGTTATTCTCCTCAATGAAGCTACCTGCGCCAACTATAATTTGCTTCGAGGTCTGGTCGATAAGCCAGTTGTTGAGTATAAACCTCGACTGTTCGATCAAGTTTTGCGATTGTGCATCGAGGAGTGCAGCGACTATGAATAAAGACTCAACTAGAGGAATTTCTAGCTTTTTCAACAAATCATCCAAATTTATCCCGTCAAACTGCTCGTTGTCGATGCTCTCCCTGACGTGTAGTGCTTGATCGACCGTGGCACCCAACCTGACTAATTCCAACCGCAATAACTTTATTTGCGTGGGGTTATTTTCTATACCCTTAAGCTGGTTGACGTAGCTGACTAAAAGTCGACGTATGAAATATATTTGGTTATCTTGACCGTGCTGTTCGATGAGCTGGAAATGGTTAGAGATATACAATATATAAAAGCCCTTTAATATACTCACACTCTTTATCTCTGAGTAATTTCTCTCCAAGTTGTCCTCCGTAATGGTGGAGACTAAAAACACTATTTGTGCTTGTATAATCGGTTGCGGATCTTTGCGCGGGTTGTTGCTGTGTGGTGAATTTGGTGGTTCACTCATTTTATCTCCTTCGTTGTTTATCTCTTTATCTTTCCCACTTCTTCGTCGTCGTCGTCTGAGAGGCTCTCCTGCCAGATGGCTTTAAATTAAAAATCTTCCGGGAGTGACAGGCAGCTCAATATATAAACGCGTATGAGCTGTGAGTAAGATATTTCCTTCTTTTATCTTCCCATCTCTCTTGAAAAATTCGTATAAGTGGGGTGACGTTCGTTAAAGGAATGTATAAAGGTCCCAGTACAAGTGGCAGGATGTATTATACATTAGCATGAATATTAAGTTAATTTAGTAAAATTGGTACTTTTGGTGCAGGGAATGTCGAAAATGTCGTCACCACATACTTGTCTTAAAATGGGCGCAGACGCTTACAACATCATATAAATATCATAAAACGTTAATCACTGAAAATAATACAAATGTTTATTATTACAATCTTCATTACTTAGATATTTGCTACTTTGAACTTTAATTATGCATTTTCGACGCTTTAAGAGCTTTCCTGTTAGCCTTTCTGAGTTTCACTGATTTCCTAACATTATATCCATCCTTTAGTACTTCTTGTACTTCTTCTAGTTGCAAACCAGCTGTCTCGGGGTAGCAAGTTACGATGTACGACCATCCACAGAGAACAAAGCCAGCAAACAACCCAAAGGTACCTATCAAGTGTAAAAATATATGCTGCTATAGAATATTAACCTACCAGATGGTGTCATCCCTTTCTGCATAGATAGGTAAGATTCACTGATAATCAAGTTAGTTGCCTTATGTGCATTAGCAGGTGCAAAACTTTTATAAATCTACTCTGCTCACCCAAACAGTTGCAGTACCAATACCTGTGCCAATGCCGCGGACTTCCAAGGAGAACAAATCTGTCGATGTCCATGGAACATGTCCTAAACCAATAGCAAACATTGCTATATCATTGTTAGCTGGTATGAGACTACACTGTTAAGGCTCACCGATATAACAAACAAATCCAATGACGACAGCTATCTGTTTGCCTGGATCGTAAGCTGCACCGTCAACTAATTGAAAGCCAGTATCTTTAGTGAGATAATACAGTGACACTATACTCCATACGCATCCAAGTATTGTACCTGGGCAACTAACATATGCGAGCAGTGGTCGACGACCGACTTTATCAACCACAAGCATACCGGTTGCTGTGAACACAAAGTTGGCACCAGCAACAACCATACCACCGGTGGCTGGGTTCTCAAATCCAAGCATACCGAAAAGTGTAGGTCTAGCTTAATTTTAGTCTTTTATGAATGGTGAGACAAAACACTTACGCAAAATACATCAAGCCATTAAAACCACAGAGTTGTTGAGTAGCTTGAAGACACATCGTTAGGAATATGCTCCTTTGGTTACGTGGTAATGTGAATAGCATCTTGATGAGCTCCCAGGTAGTATGTTCGTTTGACATTCTGACACTCTCGTCAACATTGGCCGTGAGGATCTACGGTATGTCAATCTCTTTAAGAGACAATTAAAAGTTATCTCACATCAAACTTTAACGCCATTTCTTCCTGTGTCGCGCGTGGATACATCCTTGCCAGTGCATTATAAGCTTCCTCACTACGATTTCTAGCGAGGAGATAACGAGGCGACTCCGGTAACATATGGATTGCAATGGCTTGATAAATAGCTGGAGCAGCACCTAAAACCAACATAATTCTCCATCCCTTAGGTGCTTTGTACAGTGCAGCACCTATCCCGTATGAAACAAGCTGCGAGTGTTAAAAAAAAGGGTAATAATCCTGAGATTAGGTGGACGTACTTGTCCAAAAGTGATAGTAACGGAATTAATGGTAACTAGTGTACCTACCAGTGTCTCAATAAGTATGCAAAGTTTTACCGAACGCATTTACGTACCTCTCAATTGCGTTGGACTAATTTCAGAAATATACATAGGACCAATGCAAGATGACATACCCACACCGAAACCTAGTATTAATCTGCCAACGGCAGCTTGAGCAACGGAGTATGATGCACCGAAAACGACAGTACCAATGCAGTAGCAGATATCGCTAATAACAAGGACCCATTTACGTCCAATCTTATCACTTAAAGCACCAGCGAAAATCGAACAGATGAATGCACCAGCACCTGTCATCGCGGTGATGATTTCTTTCTTGTTCTCGTGTTCCTTAGCGTTGATATCTACCCCCAAGTCCATCCCAACTGATATCGTTATAGTCCCGATAATACCAGTTTCATAACCTTCGTTTGTCAAGGAGAAACCACTACGTAGGAGTATACGTACCGAACTATTCAAAATATTACGTAAATCGTATTGTAAAAAGATAACTAACCATGAATCCCGCAACAGCAGCTGTAATACATACGAATATAATGTAGGGTGTGATCTAGCATGATTGTGTCAATTCTGGTTGTCAGGCGATTCAAAGCAACATGTACCTTGTCTTCACCCTCAGCCAAGAGGACCTTCTCATCGACATCAACAAATTTAGGCTTGGTATTTGATTTACTATCTACGTCTTCAACATGCTCGACTGTACCGTTGAATCGCTTCTTGTCTTCAAGTGTAAACGTTTTGGACATTTATTTCTTAACCAATGGGGACAAGACTTATTATATACACGCCCAACCAATGGATTCAGATGATATACACACGCGCTTAATCAAAGTCAGAAGTTCAGGACCACCGCCAGTATCGGGGATTTCTTTGTTTGGTGTGGTGATTAAATGGAGATAACGTGAATGGGTGTACTGTATTGTGAAATAAAGCTTTATTTATACTGCCCTCAAGTTTTTATTTTTTTATTAAAGCTTGTGAAAATCCCGCTCCGTCTTAATAAAAACGCGTTCTAGGAAAGATAATATCATTCCTTTTAAGAAACAAAGGAAGTCTTACCCATCTAGATAGTTTACCACTTAATTACAACATTCCAGTGCTATATAATCATCGATTGTTTTCCCTGCATTCAGGACATATCTTACATTAAAAAAAAATTTATAGTGTAAACTTACATCATTCAATACTTTAATGCTTCTCTAAGTGTGGTTGATTATGTTGCTTTTTACATGTTGGTAGGGACGATGTGTTCCTTTTTTATCATTACCCTATCAAATCGCTAATATTTCAGACATACATACATTTGATGTAATGTTAAAAACGTAAAAAAATGCAATATAAAAATAGAATACAGTGTCGTAGAAATACAGCGTAAATTATTTGGATTCTGGATCAATCTGGTCGATGTTGGTGTTTTTCATCGCTTTAAGTGCTTTTCTCTTGGTTTTCCTAAGCTCCATCGACTTGCGAACGCCAAATCCATCTGCTAAGATATCCTGAACTTCTTCAAGTTGCAGACCTGTTGTTTCTGGGTAGCAAAATCCTAAATACACCCATCCACAGAATATAAAACCAGCAAATAATCCGAAAGTACCTAAAGCACTTCAGCGTTTATGGTTAGGGCAATGTAAACTTACCAGATGGCGTCATTCCTTTCTGCATAGAGAGATATGATTCACTAATAATCAAGTTACACGCCTATTATAAAAGAATCAGCTTACTATGAAGGAATACTGGAGGCTCACCCAGTTAGTAGAAGTCCCTATTCCAGTTCCAATACCACGCACTTCAAGAGAAAACAGGTCTGACATTGTCCAAGGTACATGTCCTAATCCAGTACCATACATTGCTAGGTACACATCAGTTTGTGAGATTTAATCATGATGCAAATACCCACCTATATAGAAAACGAAGCCAATGATGACAACTATCTGTTTTCCTGAATCATACGGGAAGTTATTCTCTAATTGGAAACCAGTGTCTTTGGTGAGAAAATACATTGATACTATGCACCAGACACAACCAAGTATAGTACCAGGGCAACTAAAGTATGCTACTAGCGGACGACGACCGACTCTATCGACCAAGAGCATACCCAAACCAGTGAACACAAAATTAGCACCAGCAATAACTAGACCACCGGTTGCTGCATTTTCGAATCCTAAAGTTTGGAAGATCGTAGGTCTGACAGTTTTTGAGTTTAAACTACATGTTTAATTGTGACATACGCGAAATACATCAAACCGTTGAAACCACTGAGCTGCTGAGTAGCTTGAAGGGTCATTGCAAGCGTCAGAGCTCTGAGATTCCTTGGAATGGTAAATAATTTCCTGATGAGTGTCCTTGTAGTGTTTTGCTTTGCCAAACGAACGCTCTCGTCGACATTAGCAGTGAGTATCTGAAAAGAGTCAATAACCGTTTAGTATTTTTGCATTTTCATCTCACATCAAACTTCAAAGCGAGTTCCTCTTGAGAGGCACGCGGATACATTCTCGCAATAGCATTATAAGCTTCTTCAGTCTTGTTTTTGGTAAGAAGGTAACGAGGAGATTCAGGTAACAGGTGAATTGCAATAGCTTGATATATGGCAGGAACGGCACCTAAAACCAGCATAATTCTCCATCCTTTAGGTGCATGCAACAATGCAGCTCCAAGGCCATATGCTACGACTTGACCGAATGTGATGGTGACAGAATTGATAGTTACTAAGGTACCTATGAATGTTTTAATAATCTGGGAATTTTGTTCAAAGAAACATACCTCGTAATTGTGTTGGACTAATTTCAGAAATATACATAGGACCAATGCAAGATGACATACCCACACCGAAACCTAGTATTAATCTGCCAACGGCAGCTTGAGCAACGGAGTATGATGCACCGAAAACGACAGTACCAATGCAGTAGCAGATATCGCTAATAACAAGGACCCATTTACGTCCAATCTTATCACTTAAAGCACCAGCGAAAATCGAACAGATGAATGCACCAGCACCTGTCATCGCGGTGATGACTTCCTTCTTATCGCTGTTTTCACTTTGGTTGATGTCTACTCCTAAGTCCATTCCTACTGCCACAGTAATACTACCAATAATACCAGTTTCATAACCTTTGTTTATCAGAAATATGTCATGATGTAACACATACGCACCAAACTTTTTGAGAATATAAATGTCAAAGAAAGCGATCAGTAAAAGAGCTTACCATAAATCCAGCAACAGCTGCTGTTGAGCATACGAATAGAATATACGGGGTGATCTATATAATCGATGTCAATCTAACTGTCAAGTATGTAACCGTCATACGTACTTTGTCTTCACCTTCGGAAATAAGTAGTTTCTCATCCACATCTACAAAAGCAGATTTGGCATTTGCATTGCTATTGATATCTTCCACATGTTCTATGGCTCCATTGAATCGTTTCTTATCTTCTAATGTAAATTTTTTCGTCATCGATTTACTGTCCAATAGGAAGAAAAGCCATTATATATAGCGTATATGGACGAACGAATTCAGATGATGTACCTCACGCGCATCATTTCAGTCACCCGCTTTAGGCACTTCCGTTCGTATCGGAGGCGCTTCTTTGTTTAGTTTGATTTTAGGAAATAAATAAAGTTGGAAAAAAGATCCTTGTATCGCAATGAACTATAATTTAGCTTTGAGTTTTCTTCATTTATACGTCGTGTCAACATAACGTTTTCATACTACGAAAATTTTATATATCACCGCGATGACCTTCTTAATGAGGAAGGAACGTCATAGTTACTTTTAGGCATTAGATTCTTAGCTTTATAACAACTTTCTAGATGCGGCAGAACTCCGGTTTGGTGGAGATATATCAGATGACGGTGAATCGATGCTTTTTGTGTGAAATAATGACTCTAGCCAGTAAATTCCAAGTAATATTATCTATAAACATTTGGTCTCATGGTAAATTTGATTACATTATTGTGTATGTATAATTAGCTGTTGATTCTTGTGCGAAAGTGGATTCCGATTGAACGTCGTTTGTAACAATTCCAGTATAATTGTTTATTATTATTATTTTATTTATTTAATTCTCATTCTGATCCCTTGAATTTACAATATTATCCGATGATGTATGGCGTCACATCAGAGCGGCGCTTGAGATAGACCTAAATTTATTACGAATGGCATAAAACATGAACTGCTTTATATAAATACATTTCAACTATAAGTACAGCAGTATCTTTCACTTTGTCTGCTGATCAGTTTGGCCTATAACTGTGTTCTTCATCGCTTTTAATGCTCTCCTTTTAGTTTTTCTAAGCTCTAATGACTTGTTGACATTATATCCATCTTTTAATACCTCTTGAACTTCTTCAAGTTGCAAACCGACCGTTTCTGGGTAACAAGATACTATGTAAGCCCATCCACAGAACACCAGTCCAGCAAACAATCCAAAGGTACCTATTGTATGTTACCACGGACAATAATAAGTAGATGTTACCCACCAGATGGTGTCATCCCTTTTTGCATAGAAAGGTACGATTCACTGATAATCAGATTACATGCCTGAATAGTATTAGATTGGGAAAAAGCCATCATATATACATACCCAGTTAGTGGAGGTAGCAATACCCGTACCAATACCGCGTACTTCAAGTGGAAATAGATCTGAAATGGTCCAAGCTACATGACCTATACCTAAGCCATATAAAGCTATGTGGAGGTTAGTTACTTAATTAATAGCATATAATAGTACTCACCGACGTAGAAGACGAATCCAATAATTACTGCCATTTGTTTCGCTGTTTCATATTGAACATCTCCATCTAGTTGGAAGCCAGTATCTTTAGTAAGAAAGTACAATGACACCACACTCCATACACAACCAAGAACAATACCAGGACAGCTAACGTAAACGAGAAGTGTACGACGACCAACTCTGTCAACTAAAATCATACCCAATGCAGTGAACACCATGTTTGTAGCAGCAACTACCAGTCCACCTGTTGGAGGGACTTCGAATCCTAACATTTCAAAAAGTGTAGGTCTACATTTTATTGAATCTTCGGCTAAAGTCGAAAAGCAAGACACTCACGCGAAATACATCAAGCCATTGAAACCGCTGAGCTGTGAGACACCCTGAACGGTCATTGCAAGGAAGAGTCCTCTGTAGTATTTTGGAATTGTGAACAGTGTCTTAATAAGCTGCCATGTCGTGTGTTCTTTTGCCATCCGAACACTCTCATCAGCATTAGCCGTAAGTATCTGCAGACTGTTAGCTGATTTTTGACCAAAATTCCATGCTTATTCACTCACATCAAACTTCAAAGCAATCTCCTCATGAGTGGCACGAGGATAGATTCTTGCGAGGGCAGTGTAGGCTTCTTCTGTCTTGTTCTTAGTAAGGAGATAGCGAGGGGATTCAGGTAAGAAATGAATTGCAATTGCTTGATATATGGCAGGAATGGCGCCTAAAACCAACATAATCCTCCACCCTTTTGGTGCGTTCAACAGTCCAGCGCCGATGCCGTATGAAACGAGCTGCAAATGTTAGAATAGACCAACTTTCGGAAATAAACATACTTGTCCGAACGTGATGGTTACAGAATTAATAGTTACCAAGGTGCCTATCAATGTTTTAACAATCCGGGAATTTTTGTTCACTGCAACATACCTCGTAATTGTGTTGGACTAATCTCAGAGATATACATAGGACCAATACAGGAAGACATACCAACTCCAAAACCTAGAACCAATCTACCAACGGCAGCTTGAGCTACTGAGTATGATGCACCAAAGATAACAGTACCAATGCAGTAGCAGATGTCACTAATGACGAGGACCCATTTACGTCCAATCTTATCACTTAAAGCACCAGCAAATATCGAACAAATGAAAGCACCAGCAACCGTCATCGCGGTGATAACCTCCTTCTTGTCACTGTTTTCGCTTTCGTTGATGTCTACTCCCAGATCCATTCCTACTGCAACAGTAATACTTCCAATAATACCAGTTTCATAGCCTTCGTTTGTCAGATACGTAATCACTAGGCGGAGGAATACATACCAAACTGTTAAAATGATCAATTATGTATTAAATGGTAAAAAGGAAACTCACCATAAACCCAGCGACAGCTGCTGTGGAACAAACGAAAATAATGTAAGGTGTGATCTATGTTAATCGATATGAGTTTGACTGACATGCTGTATATGTGTAATCACCCACTTTATCTTCACCCTCAGCCATTAACAGCTCCTCATCTACATTAATAAATTTAGATTTATCATTAGTATGATTATCTGTATTATCTATATGTTCAATTGTACCATTGAACCGTTTCTTCTCATCTAGTGTAAAAGTTTTTGACATTTACTTAAACAATAAAAACACAATTTATTACATATATATGTCTGACCAAAGTAGTCCATATGATATACACACGCGCTAAATTGATGTCAGACGCATTAAGCATGGCCGTTACTGTCGGCGATTTCTTTGTTTAGTGTGATTATGAAAAGGTAACGTGCACACAAGGAACGAGTATGTTAAAGTCTTGTTTATATATATTTGCACCTATACAATGGCCCTCTAATTTGGAAGAGGCTCGACCATCCTTCTCTGTAGTAACTAGGATACTATAAGAGGAGAAGCAGAATATATCAGGTGCCAAAGTCAAATGCCCTAGGACATGTCAGCTGAATAAGTAATTGGATTTTGAATTCAACGTAATGGTTCTACGGCTACAATATGACTGTAAGTAAATTAAGACTTTTCACATACTTCTAATTCAAATAAGCACTCGAATATGGGAAACTACGGGGTTCACCGCTAAGCTTTCTTCTTCTGAAATTGCCTGGCTTGGTAATTGACCTTCCTTCCTTGATTGTTATTAGAATTATTCCAACGGTAATACGAATGAATGAGGTCTAGAGGTAAACCTGGTATAACTAAACAAATAAGCAAACAAAAATTGCTTAGGTATTTTATTTTTTCAATTTCAAAAGTAATCTTTTGGAAGATGGTGCATTCCTGCAATTCAGGTATGCATTGACTAAATCTCGTAGCAATACTCTGAAATGAGGAAACAACAAATTCGTAAACGAGTCATGAAATATTATTAGAAGGATATAAATACAATTGGTTCTATACTACATCTTTATTATTTTGATTCTGGGTCTATCTGGTTGATATCAGTGTTTTTAATCGCTTTCATAGCCCTTTTCTTGGAATTTCTAAGCGCTATAGACTTTCTAACATTGAAACCATCTCTGAGCATGTCTTGAATTTCCTCAAGATGTAAACCTGTTGTTTCTGGATAACAAAATCCTAGGTACGCCCATCCGCAGAAGGTAAATCCAGCGAACAAACCAAAAGTACCTATCAAATGTAAGAATAGATAGGGCGATCTAACGGTGACCTACCAGATGGTGTCATTCCTTTTTGCATGGAGAGGTAAGATTCACTAATAATTAGATTTGTTGCCTGATAGCGTTACTAATTTAGCTTAGAGCTAGTCATAACACTCACCCAGTTAGTAGATGTTCCAATTCCAGTTCCAATACCACGTACTTCAAGAGAAAACAGGTCTGACATTGTCCAAGGTACATGTCCTAATCCAACACCATACATTGCTTGAAAAGCGTTAATTCTTTCATTGCTATTCTGCTAGATAGTAACTCACCAACGTAGAAGACGAAACCAATAATGACAGCTACTTGTTTGCCCTGATCATACTGGTAGTTATCATCAAATTGTAAGCCAGTTTCTTTGGTGAGGAAATAGAGTGATACTATGCTCCAGACGCAACCAAGGATCACACCTGGAGAACTAAGGAATACTACTAATGGACGACGACCAACTCTATCAACAAGAAGCATACCCAAACCAGTAAATACCATGTTGGCAGCTGCAACAACTAGACCACCGGTTGGTGGGTTTTGGAAGCCTAACATTTGGAAAAGAGTTGGGCTACGTTTCTTAGCTTTTTAATCAAACCTAAAAGATTAGAACTCACGCAAAGTACATCAAACCGTTGAAACCACAGAGCTGTTGAGTGGCCTGAAGAGTCATAGCAAGTGAAAGAGCTCTAAGATTCTTTGGTATAGTGAACAATGACTTGAGAAGTTGCCAAGTAGTGTGTTGTCTTGCCAACTGTACACTTTCATCAACGTTAGCAGTAAGAATCTAGAGTGTGTCAGCTATAAAAGTGAGTTACAAAGCTAATTCACTCACATCAAACTTCAGTGCGAGTTCCTCTTGAGTAGCACGTGGATACATTCTTGCGATAGCATTATAAGCTTCTTCAGTCTTGTCCTTTGTAAGAAGGTAACGAGGAGATTCAGGTAACAGGTGAATTGCAATAGCTTGATATATGGCAGGAACGGCACCTAAAACCAGCATAATTCTCCATCCTTCTGGTGCATGCAACAATGCAGCTCCAAGACCATACGAAACAACTTGTCCGAACGTGATTGCAAGTGAGTTGATAGTTACGAGGGTACCTGTGATTGTTTTAAATGAGTTCAAAAATTTCAGATCGAACATACCTCTCAGTTGTGGTGGACTGATCTCAGAGATATACATAGGACCAATACAGGAAGACATACCAACTCCAAAACCTAGAACCAATCTACCAACGGCAGCTTGAGCTACTGAGTATGATGCACCAAAGATAACAGTACCAATACAGTAGCAGATGTCACTAATGACGAGGACCCATTTACGTCCAATCTTATCACTTAAAGCACCAGCAAATATCGAACAAATGAAAGCACCAGCAACCGTCATCGCGGTGATAACCTCCTTCTTGTCACTGTTTTCGCTTTCGTTGATGTCTACTCCCAGATCCATTCCTACTGCAACAGTAATACTTCCAATAATACCAGTTTCATAACCTTCGTTTGTCAGATACGTAATCACTAGACGGAGAAATACATACCAAACTGTTAAAATTATCAATATGTATTAAATGGTAAAAAGGAAACTCACCATAAACCCAGCGACAGCTGCTGTGGAACAAACGAAAATAATGTAAGGCGTGAACTAATTAGTCAGATATTAGTACAACTCATTGATCCAAATCAAACACGCACCTTATCTTCACCTTCAGCCATGAGGACTTTCTCATCAACATCGACGAACTTCTGCTTTGAATTAGACTTCTCGTCTGCGTCTTCTACATGCTCAGCGGTACCGTTAAACCGTTTCTTATCTTCTAGCGTAAACTTTTGTGACATTTGTTACTTATCCAATGAGAAGAAGGCTCATTATAGATAGATTTACCTTAAATGAATTCAGATGATATGCATGAATTAAGTCACCTGCCGTTTCAGGTACGCCGTAAGAATCGGACAGCTTCTTTGTTTAGCGTAAGTAAGATATAAGAAAGTAATATAACATCCATAAATTGTAAACAATTCGTCCATGTTTGCCTATTTTAAGTCCCGCGTAATCTAATGACGGCTTAAAACCGCACTTTAACGGGTGGAAAAATTTATATTCTACCATTATGAGTTTCCTAATTGGGAAGGATGAAAACCGGCGGTTATATGGGTTGTATATTTATCTTGTGAAGCCATAATATTAGCGGAATAAGTGCCGGCTGTCAACCGAGTTCCCTTCCGATCTATATGGAAGAGCCTGGAAGCTTGCCATTGAATGTTTTGAGAAGGAAAGGAGATAATCGAGCCAAGAATTGTGCACTTGTGATAGTTATAGTAGCGTCAAATCCAGTTCAAAAGTGACAAATAGACGTCAAAGACAGTTCCGAAAGGTACCATGCATAGATAACACCATCAGCTAGCTTTACAATGTAGTGAGAGTTAGAAGCCACGGTACTGCTTTACATTACCAACCCCCTTTATATCTAATTTGTGGATAGCTCAGGATACCCTTGCTAGCCGTCTGATCCGTTATCCACAGATGCATGATGCTAATCTCCTGCATTAAATTTATGAACGCATACTAACTTTGGACGGTGCCCCGCTAAATCAGAGATAGTGCTTCCTGGATTAAGTTGTTGTTTCACAATTCGTTGTCATGGACAGGTCTACCTGGTGAACTACCAAAATAACATGTATATTATTTATTAAATTGCTCTAATGGTTCATATAAACGCATCGCTAAGCTATGTGGTATGTTGGCCTGTAAACGAAATAAATCATCAACTGTTTTCAGCAAAAGCCAGAGTCTAAGGCATTAAATAGGAAAATCCGACTATATTGATCTTTTAATATTACTCTTCATGTATGCTCGTTCGTATCGGCATTTTCTAGTAGAACAGTAAGGGGAAAAATACATAATATCAGCATCAACGAGTAGAATATATGTAATAAAAGCGCTATGACGCTACTCAGTCAACGCATTACTTTGTATAGAAATCAGTACTTGGGCGATTATTGGAATGACGTCATGAAACGGGCGGGAAACACAACAGATCCCCAACAAGTGATGATAAAGACAATGATTTCATGTAATTGAAACAATAGTAACTATTTCAATTGTATCTTTAACTATGTAAAGTTGCGGTGTGGTGCTTTTGGAAAGTCGAATCGAACAAACAGCGAATCTCACCAATTAGCTGTCTTTGTGCACTCCAGTAGGACTTAAGTGACATCTGCAGATGTACAGGGATTATAGCCATTTTCACACTAGGTTCCTGTGATTTCAAGCTTTGAGTCTGTTTCTCGTATACATATTGTAGGCCGAATTCTTCTGGGGTATTTTCGCAGAGAGGTAGTTTAGTTTAAATCCCGTACTTATAAAGAAGAAAAAGAATACAGGAAAAAGATGAAATCAAAGAGTTCTGCTTATTTACATTTTTACAACATAACTAATGCGATACCAGATCCATCCCTACCAGATCCAATACCACCATGTATCTGCTGTCCAAGTCTCCAGTTGAATATGTAATAATTGAGAAGACCACTGCCAGGTTTGAACTTTTGGTCATCAATAAAGTGGTTAGAGTCCATAAGTGTGAGTGTGTTGAAGACATCAAATCCTGCGCCCTTTGATATTCTGAGAATTGCTTCAACTAGTCTATTGAGTCTTTCGCCAACTCTCGATCTTCTCGTTATATCTAACTTTTTATCGAAAACTTTCTCGTTTGATGTTCTCCAGTCATCTGGTAGTGATTTGTCAGTTGCGTAATAGAACATATAAGCTGCATCTAAGATTGGGTACTTTTCGTTACCAACTACTGTGCTAGGAAGTGAATAAAAGGAAATAAAGTCGGTAATTTGCTTGGTATTTGGATTTTCAACGACGTATGCCCATAAAACTTGCTTGGATCTCATTGGTTTGCCGTCTATATAATCACCTTCACCCCTACCACTGAGGAAGGTATGACTGATTTCTTCTTCACTGAATATAGGCTTCAAATCGAATCTAGAAAGGTATGCGTTGAGTAGTTCAGTGACACCTTTTACATCATTCTCTTCCATCTCTCTAAAGCCTTCTGGTTGAGGTTTAGCGGCTGAGCTAGCAGGTATTTCGTTTAACTTGGTCATTCTTTCTATTGTCATACCCGGTGGAGCCTGTGAGAAGCCTGTTTCCACTAATTTTTGTACATTAATCGGCCTATGGAAGTATTGACAGGTAGATATGATACCAGGGAGGATATTTCCACCTGTGTAGGTAGCTTGGAAAACACCTTTGATGTTGCAACGACGGGTGACTTCCTTGATCAAGACGGGTGCGAGTCTCTTTGAACGTAATTTTTTATGAACGCAGAGGAAGTTTACCTCTGATGTTCTGAGTTTCTGATTGTTAACATCTATGATCATGGGTACAGCTGCTATGAAGGCTACTAATTTGCGCTTGCCGGATGCAACGCGAACACCTACGTGCCAAGATTTTTCGTAACCCGGTGGTTTGAGAGCCCTGAGGAGTTAGAGGGGAGTTGTAGAGCTAAGAATGAACCTACCAAGCGAGGAATTCAGCTGAGTAGTTGAATCTGAGGGTTGCTTCGTCATCTTCGACATAGTTTAGACAAAGAAGTTCTCTGACGTCTTCGAGCTGGATGGTGGTTAAACGCTGAAACAAGGAGTGATAAGATACGAACCTCTTGTTCGTTGTTAAGGTCTAAGTCAACCCATTCATAGTCGTTTGGTAATGGGTATGGCTCTTTACGGAATTTGGTGATATCAGTTGTTGGATCAATAGGACCGTCCAGTGTGCCCTCTTGGGGAAGAGAAACAGGCTGTGTGGACCAGAACTTATGCTGACCGAGGTCCTTTTTATTGCCCTGGCCAACGCCGGCTGAACCAGAGGCTATGTCGGCCAAGTTGAGCTGAGAAAGTAAATCTCTTAAATTGTTTTTATCTAAATTCTTAGTATCTTTATTCTTATTGAGCTCATCCTCTAATGCTTTTAAAATTGCTTTGTCTTTTTTAGGAGCCATCGTTGTAGAAGATAAAGAAGATAAAAAAATAATGAATAATAAAATATTTTATTTTTTATATTTATTTTTTACTCCTTCGATTGATGCTCTCAGGCTTCCGTCGAGTCACTCAATTAAATCTACAAAAACGATTGTTTAGAATGTCAGAGAGTGCAAACTTACACAAAGATGAATTAACGGGCGAAATGATCTCCAAGACAGAATTAAAGAGGAGACTCAAACTTAGAGAGAATGAAGCAAAAAAGGCTTCAAAACCTAAGCCAGTCGAATCAAAGAAGAAGGAAGACGAGGTTGAGTTAACCCCTAACGTCAGTATCATTTTCTCTCCACACCGCCCCTAACGTCTTTTTAGCAATACTATGAGATCCGTTCAAGGGCTATTCAAAAACTTAGAGAGACTAAAGACCCTGATCCATACCCACACAAGTTCCACGTTGAACTTTCTCTCAATGGTTTCATCAACAAGTTTGATTCTAACTTGCAAAACGGTGATTCACGTAAGGAAGAAGTCGTCACCGTCGCCGGTAGATTGCACAACATCAGAGCAAGCTCCTCTAAATTGATCTTCTACGACCTTCACGGTGATGGTACAAAGGTTCAGATCATGGCAAACGCCGCTGAACACGACGGTGAAGATTTTACTAAATCTCACGAAATCCTCGCTAGAGGTGATATAGTCGGTGTTAAAGGTTACCCTGCTCGTACTAAGAAGGGTGAACTCTCTATCGTACCAAAGCAAATTCAACTTCTCACTCCAAACCTTCACCAACTTCCTAAAGAACACTATGGTTTCAAAGATCAAGAACAACGTTACAGAAAGCGTTACTTGGACCTTATTCTTAACAGAAACGTTAGAGACATTTTCGTCACACGCGCTAAAATTATCAACTACTTGCGTAAATTCTTAGACAATCTCGGTTTCTTAGAAGTTGAAACTCCAATGATGAACATGATCGCAGGTGGTGCAACTGCTAAGCCATTCGTCACGCACCACAATGAGCTCAAGTTGGACTTATTCATGAGAATCGCACCTGAACTCTACCTCAAAGAGTTAGTCGTCGGTGGTTTAGACAGAGTATACGAAATCGGTCGTGTTTTCAGAAATGAAGGTATTGATTTAACTCACAACCCTGAATTCTCTATCTGTGAATTCTATATGGCATATGCTGATATGTACGACTTGATGGACCTCACTGAGTCACTCTTCTCTGGTCTCGTCAAGCACGTTACCGGTGGTTACAAGATTCAATACCACCCAGACGGTAAAGGTGAAGGTAAGAAGTCATACGAGTTGGACTTCACCACACCATGGAAGAGATTCAACATGATTGAAGAATTAGAAAATCAACTCAAGGTTAAATTCCCAGAAGATTTGGAAACTGAGGAAGCTAACAAGTTCCTCTCTGATCTCTGTGCTAAGAACAACGTTGATTGCTCTGCACCACGTACTACTGCAAGATTACTTGACAAGTTGGTTGGTGAATTCATTGAATCACAGTGCATTAACCCATCATTCATTATCGGTCATCCAAAGATCATGTCTCCATTAGCAAAGCGTGACAGAAAGCAACAATCATTGACAGAAAGATTTGAAGTTTTCGTTGCAACAAAGGAAATTGCTAATGCTTACACTGAACAAAACGATCCATTCAACCAAATGGAATCATTCAAAGAGCAAATGAAGCAAAAGGCTGCAGGTGATGATGAAGCCCAAGACATTGATGAGACATTCATCAACGCTCTTGAGCACGGTTTACCGCCAACAGGTGGTTGGGGATGTGGTATTGACAGATTAGTCATGATGTTGACTGATTCTTCAAACATTAAGGAAGTATTGCTCTTCCCTGCTAACAAGCCACTCCCTGGTACAAATGCGGCAGCGAACGTCGAGAAAGCAGATGAGCAACCAAAGCCATTGGCTTAAAAAGATTTCTTTATTTAAATTGTAGATAAAGTATATATATAGATATATATATATGTTATTATTATTATTATTATTATTATATAACGATCTAGGTAATTGACAACCATCAATGTCATCAGCAGATCTAGGAGAAGACAGTAAACTAACGACGAAATTATCTAGTTGGGTTAATAACTCAATCAGACGACATTCAACTATCGATAGAACGCTCCATTATTTCTTAGATTACCCTGGCTATCAAGGTACTTCAATTGACGACGTGAGCTGGATTTTAGGTAACTTATACGATAACAATAGCGATTTATTGGATGATTTTCAATCTAGAATTTGGTGTACATATAGATCCAACTTCTGTCAAATATCTTTAAATGATCCTATGATGGACGATTTAGGTTTAGCTAAAATGCAGACATTATCTTCTAAACCTTCACATTGGTTATTAAGAGAACGCACTTTCAATACAGATCAAGGTTGGGGTTGCATGCTTAGAACTTCACAATCACTCCTAGCCAACACACTCCAGATAATGTTGTTAGGTAGACAATGGAGGAGGAATCCATTCGTTGATTTGACAGATTACGCTAAACGTAAGGAATACGTTAATCTAATCAAGCTACTCAACCTCTTCATGGATAACCCTTCAACCCTATCTCCATTCTCTGTGCATCGTATGGCTGTCGTTGGTAAAAGTCTAGGAAAGGAAGTAGGAGAGTGGTTTGGTCCATCAACAGCTGCACTCGCTATTAAGTGAGTTGTGATTATACAAGTTACATTATATTAACATCATCCATTAGACACCTCGTTAACAACCAAACAGATATTAATTTATCAGTTAGCGTTGCTTCTGATTCTGTTATTTATAAATCAGATGTCTATCAAGCATCAGGTGGTACTAGTACAACCGCTGATTCAGAATGGGGTAACAAACCAGTACTAATATTAGTCGGTGTAAGACTTGGATTAGATGGTATACATCCACGCTATTACGAAACCCTCAAAGCATTCTTAAGAATGCAATCGTGTGTCGGTATAGCAGGAGGCAGGCCGAGCAGCAGCTATTATTTCTTCGGATATCAATCAGATTCGCTTTTCTACGTTGATCCACATATAATGAAACCAACAATAAATATTAAAACGCCGCCGACAGAGGGTGAACTCAAGACTGAAATTGAGAATCTATTAAGGTGTAATAGTTTATCATCTTCTTCAACTACAACAACAACTTCTAATGAAGGTAACAACAACGGTACACCAATAAAGCAATCAAAACATGGGCATAGACGACGTAAAACTAGCACAATTTTGAATAATGTTACAAGTAAAAATAGAAGACGGTCGTCTAGTTCAGCTACCTTAAATCAAATTAGTCCAGATGTTAGTTCACCTTCCAGTTCAATCGATGAAAGCCAATCAATACAATCATCTTGGATGAAACCAAACCATTATCCTAGTTCATCATCACATTCTATACCTCAAACTATACCTGAATCTAACTCATTTATTAAGGATATACCAACGGTGGATGAATTAAATGATAAATGGTACATAGATAATTATAACTCAGCATCAATTTCAACTTACTTTTGTGATAAACCGCGTAAAATGAACATAAGTCAAATGGATCCTTCTATGTTAATAGGATTTTTGGTTAAAGATGAAAATGAATTCTTTGAATTTGTTAATCAAATCAAAGAATTACCACAACAAGTATTTTCTGTCGCGGATTCGCATAGGTCGTATGAAGAAGATGATAGTGATAATGATATGCAAAGTTTAAGTAGTAGTAGTAGTAATAATAATAGTAGTAATAGTATCAATAATAATAATAACGACGAATGGGTCGAAACAACAAGAAAAGATAGTCAAGACACGATTGAGGATGAAGCTATTCAAGTAGATAAATTGAATCTCACAGATGAAGAAGATGAAATGACGAGTCTAGAGGACTGCCTAATCGATGAACGATAAATACCAATAGTAAAATAAAACAAATTACGCTACAATTTATACCCCGTCAGAGAAATCAAACTTTTACGAATTTTTTACTCTTGTTGTACAACTTTATGGAAATCAGTGTATTAATTTTAATAGGAATAATTTTTTAATTAAAGTTGAAAAAAGCCGGCGAAAAGCCCTTACGTCATAGAAATCGAGCCACGAATTCTGTTGAGCGACTGTCTAAGTGACTCTCTTCGTTACAATCACTCAAAAAATAAAATAAACAAAAATGACGAAAGCAGTTGAAGAAGTTATTAGCGAATTTAACAAACTTGTTAATATGTCTGTAGAGGAATTAGAGGAATTCCTCAAAACTGAAGAATCACAAAATGCAGGTTGGGGTGAAGGTGAAGAATCAGTTGGGCATAATAGGTGAGTTGTATTTATAACGTCTACACTTATTCTTATATGCGATATCCAGCGGTCGTAACATTGTTGACATTCTTAAGAATAACCCAGAAAAGAAACCAGAAAGCTACGATGAATCTGCCTTGGAACATATGAGAAAAGTCGTCGCATACTGTAATCGTCATATTCAGGGTGAACTCTCATCACTTGAATCAAAGACTGCCGATGAAGTCAAACAAGCAAAGTCTTACCTCAGCTTGAAGAACTGGGGACATGATGTTCTCAAATATCTCAACAAAGGTGATGAAGAGAAGACTGAAGAGAAGCCAGCTGAAGAAAGTAAAGAAGAACAGCCAGCTGAGAACAAAGAAGAACAACCAACTGAACAACCTGAACCTGAACAACCAGCTGAGGAACAAAAGGAAGATGCTTCTGCTCAAGACGATAAGAAAGACGAAGAAGCCGCTCCAGCCCAAGAGGAAGAGAAAAAGGAAGAAACTCCAGCTGATGCACCTGACGCAGCTGAAGCTCAAGATGATGGTCCAGCTCCAGAGGAGCAAGAAGACACCCAAAATACTGATGCTGAAAAGCGTAAGACTGACGCACCTGAACAAGAGGCCTCACAGAAAGCCCAAAAGACTGAAAACACTGAATCAGCTCCAACTAGAAGATCAACCAGAGGTGCGAAGCCAATCAAATCTTACAACGAAGATGAAGACGATGAGTAAAATGCTTCAGCGATTTTAGAATCCTCAATGCCCATACTATGTCCTAATTTATGTCGACTAATAAAACTAAAATGTATGAAACTTTTTTCTTTAATTTTTCTCCTTAAGAACCATATCTGATCTACCTGCTCCAACACCAATGGATGTTACAGGTACACCTAAGTATTGCTCGATGAATTCAATGTATTTGCGAGCATTTTCTGGCAAATCATTCCATTGACGGCACTTTGAGATATCTGTTTCCCAACCAGGGAGTGTAGCATATTCGACTTCAACTTTCTCAAGCAATTTGAGATCAGCTGATAGATTTTTTTGTTAAATAGCCCTAATAAAAACTAGTCTACATACCAGGGAATGAATCTAATTTTTTACCGTCAAGGTGGTAAGCAACAGCGATCTTGATCTCCTTGAGTTGATCAAGGACGTCAAGTTTGGTGATGTTGAGTTGGGTGTAACCGTTAATCATGTGTGAATATTGCATGACAACCAAATCTAACCAACCAGTACGTCTTCTTCTACCTGTTGTCACACCATATTCAGCACCAACTTCTTGGAGATGTACACCAACATCGTTGAGTTGTTCAGATGGGAATGGACCACCACCAACTCTTGTAGTGTATGCTTTTACGACACCGTAGACTTCACCAACTCTACCAGGTGGTATACCCAAACCCGTACAAACACCACCGATGGAAGTTGAAGAAGAGGTTACGAATGGGTAAGTACCGAAGTCTATATCTAACATGAGAGCGTTTGCACCTTCAACTAAGACCTTCTTGTTGTTGTTAAGAGCATTGTGAATGAAAGCTACACCGTCAACGATATGAGGACGGAGACGTTCAGCGAGTTCTTTGTAACGCTTAATTTCAGCTTCCGTATCGTATTCGAAGGTACCATAACGTTTGAAACGGCCTTCGACGATTTTACGGAATTTGTGCTCAAAATCGTCATCGTAAAGGTGGTGAATTCTCAAGCCAGATCTGGATGCCTTGGAGGAGTAAGCTGGACCGATACCCTTCTTAGTTGTACCAATGGATGAACCACCAAGTTCGACTTCTTTCAAACCATCTACGATTTGGTGGAAATCGAATACGACTTGTGCTCTATCACTAATGAAAAGTCTATCAGCACAATTGAGACCTTTGTTGATTAATTGCTGTAACTCTTCAAAGAATGAAGGAACGTGTACGACGACACCGTTACCGATCAAACCAACGCATTTCTCGTTAACTAATCCGGATGGAAGCAAGTGGAAATCAAACTTCTGCTTCTTTGGACCGTCTGGCGTTGGGAAATCCTCTACAACGATCGTATGTCCAGCGTTGTTACCACCTGCACATCTTGCGTCTACATCTACGTCGTGAGCTAAAATATCTACGAGCTTTCCTTTGCCTTCATCACCCCATTGGGCACCAAGAATGACATTAGCTTTCGCTCGCGACAGCTCAACTTTTGCTGTCTTCGTCGCTGTTGACATCAAAGAGTGTTTTGCCAGCGCAAGAGTGAAAATTTCGTTAGATTAATTAAAAAGTCGAATATTTTCCTTAATACTTATTCTGATTGATACCATACTATATATTCAGTCACACTCTCAGCCATTTGTTTCTGGAGTTCCGCAATTTGTTATTTATAGTCACAATAGTGTTTTATACGTCATAGAATTCAGTTTTATATAATTTATGTATAACTAATTTATACTTTTTATCTTTCTATTTCGTAGATAGGAAAATTTGTTGGGTATGACTCTGATCTGCCAAGGGACTAGTCATAACAATGACAAATTATGTTAAATTAATATTATTTACTTTTTTTATATGCTCTTTGTATTTGATGGTTTTACCGCTTATGGTTTTAAACAACTAAACAATAATAGTCTTCTTGTTAATCCGCTAGTATTACATACAAGTGTTCCTTCAGGTGAACCCTGCAACCAATCAGCTCTCCTCTAATGTAATTACTCTCCTTAAAGAATGCGACGTCATGAGTCCTACACAGGGCAATTAGCACACTAATAAACAGCCTAATTGCACTATTTTTGAGCATAATACTCTTGGATTAGTCCTTGAATACATAATACTGCAATGAATTGAAATTTTTGGGTCTGCTAACGCTAAAGACTTTGGCTTATTTTCTGATATTTTTGTATTTTCGTGAAATACTAGTTAGTCTCAATCGGAAATACTTGCTTTGAAGTGCTCGGCTCAAGGTAATGAGTTCCCCAATGCATTCCTTTGGTATTTCTAGTAAAAGTATTTGATCAAACTTTCCAATAAGCGTGTCCTCGTTGTCGATTTGCTGTATCTCCTTTTTGTAAATTATGTCGTCTTGACATATCACCTTCGATGGCCTCGGAACTCTAGATGAAGCATACCTATGCACCTCTCTAGAGACCTTTAATGCTAAATTTTGACTGTCAAAGTCACAATTTATACTGTACTATTCAAGAAGGCATCATTCAACAAAATGAATGTACTGTACTAAAATAATATTATGATACCAAGTCGTATTTTTCCAAGATATTAGAATCCATGTATATCAATGCACTTTTGACGACTGCGATGTAATCGTTACGTAAATGATAGTAGCACCAACGCAAGCTCGACCTTTGGGATTCCAGAGGTTTATATAATGTAATTATTATGTACCCCAGAACGATACATCGTTATACATCTTAAACAAGACGTTGTTGAGTATCCACTACTCCACATTGTACGACTATCGGTTCAAATTCTATTTTATTCTTAATTATACCAGGAGTGTGACAGAGTTTCGGTCATATATAACTTTAAGCTATCCAAAGACAAGGTCTTGAGACCTGACGGCATTACTTTACTTGATTGAATGAACAAATCTTAATAATGAAAGTAATAGAATTGATAATTTAAGTCAATTTATGAAGAATGGAGTTAATCCATATTATTCCGACTCAATCTAACCTTCTATAGTAGAAAATGAACACCGACTACGCATTATACGGTAAAGAACGACGTCATAGTTGAAGTTTAAATTGTTCACCTGAACGAAAACAGGTGGTGCTTACGATAATTTGAACTCTATTTCACACGAAAATTGCATGCGTGACATAAAAATTTCACAGGGAATTCATGACAGTTGATGCTTTGTTGATGCGAACGACTTATAAGTTAAACCATCATGAAGTTTAATATTCTAGCTTTAGCAGCTGCCGTAGCTGCTTCGCCTTTACAACGTCGTTATGGGGATCTCATTAGAGGTGTATGTCAATTCCGTAGTCATTGTCATAGCGCTCACACTGAATAGGTTAATATCGGCGGTCTATTCGTACTTGAAGTTAGTTTATAATTATATAATAGGTCTATAATAATATTCTTAGCCTTGGATTACTCCTTCAGTCTTCGATCAAACAGGAAATCCAGCTATCGTAGACGAATGGACATTTGGACAGTACCAGGACCATGCACAAGCTGAATCTGCAATAAACAGCCATCTGGAGACTTTCTTCACTTATGACGATTTCCAACAAATCAAGAATGCCGGCCTTACTCATGTCAGAATTCCAGTCGGGTTTTGGGCCATTGAGACACAAGGAGAGCCGTACATAGTCGGAAACAGGTTAAATAAGCTTAAAGAGGTCGTCAGGTGGTGTCGCGATATTGGCCTCAAAGTTTGGATCGATCTTCACGGTATGTTTGTTTCTGTTCTGTTTTGTCTTGCTAATCATTAACAGGTGCACCTGGCTCTCAGAACGGATTAGATAACTCGGGTTTACGTACGAACAATGTACAATGGCACACAGACCAAAACAATGTCGATCGCTCTTTGTCTTACATTCAAACTCTCACTGATGAGTTCACAAAACCTGAATACGGTGCTATTGTTGAGGCTATCGAGCTTCTCAATGAACCACAAAGTGCAACACACCCGGAAATGCTTGGTACTCTCAAGTCTTTTTACCAAAATGGCTATGGTATCGTCTCTCAAAAGGCAGCAACTGCTATTCATGACGGCTTCCTCGATGTTAATCAATGGAACGACTTCTTGACTTCTCCACAGGAAAATGTCTACCTTGATACGCACAAGTATCAAGTCTTCTCAGACCAACAATTGCAAAGCAGTGATGAGCAACGCACGGGTGCAATTTGTCAATTCAAAGATAAATTTGCAGAGCACACAGCCAATCAACACTGGGTTATCACCGGAGAGTGGTCTTTAGCTACTACTGATTGTGCCAGATACCTGAATGGCAGAGGTATTGGTGCTCGTTATGACGGATCCTACTCTGGCTCTTCATATGTCGGTAGCTGTCAAGGTAAGACCGGTGACGGAAGCGATTGGAGTGAAGAATACAAGAACCAACTTCGTCAGATGTGGAACACACAAGTTGATGCCTTTGAAGGTGGTAGGGGATACTTTTTCTGGACTTGGAAGAACGAGGAAGCCGCAGATTGGTCATACCAACGTCTTCTTCAACTGGGTATCATCCCTCAAGATCCAAATTCATACCAGCACGGAATTTGCGGATAAGCTAGTTTTTTTTTTCTGATCTAATGGTAGTTCGGAAGCACATTTCTTTTTTTCGTTGTAATGAATCGGATGTCAATTGTTTTGTTCTAAGTTTTTGTGTATTCTAAAATTACAGAAGTTATAAAGCGAGGTTCACGTCGTTCAATGCTATTGCTGTTGCTGCCTTATGATGTCCGTTATATTGTCTCACTGTGTCACCACTAGCGAGTTCCCATAATCTGGCAGAGTGATCTGAGGATGCAGAGACAAGGTAAGCAGAGTCAGCTGAAAATGCAGCATCCCAAACCCATCGTTGATGACCAGTGAGCACTTTCTCTAGTCTAAAGTCATAATTATGAGTTGACCATATTTTTATGGTAGTGTCAGCCGAGCAAGTAGCGAGATGTCTTAATCTATCAGCTGGGAAACTCTAATATAAGAAATAGCTTACTTGGTATCAGGTGAGAGTATACATTTCGTAATATACCTACTGTGAGCAGGTAATTTGGTAATTGGTGTGAATTCGGAAGCATCATATTCCTGATCGGCGCGTATTTTCCATACGAAGCAATTTCCTTTGTTGTTTCCAGCAACTAGTGAACTACCGTCTGAAGCAATGGTGACCGATCGTATTGGTACATCTTCCTCCGGTACAAGTTCATGACTGCACGTGTTTTCACCCAAATCCCAGACTTTTACACTTCCTGCTTGATCACAAGAGACTATTTCACCCTGATTGGGATGTATAACGACGTCGTTGACAGGCGATGGATGCTCAAATGCTCGCTGCACGTGTGACGTTCTATGTACGTCAGAACACGTATTCGTGAAAAGGAAGGGACAAACCTAGTATCCCATATTTTAACTGTACCGTCCTCGCTACCAGTAGCTATCCATTTTCCTTCCGCTTGAAATACTACGGCTGTTATGTTACTAGTGTGGCCATTAAATGACTGAATCTAGGGCCAATATTAAAAATGATAAACTAGAACAATAATAATCTTACTGGATTTGGATCATTGCTGTTTATATCATATAATTTGACCGAGGAATAACCAGCTGCTGCCAGAAAACGTTTATCAGGACTTATCGCTAGTCTATTGACTGAATCTGAGTGGTGTATTGTTCGTGAGCAAGATCCAGACCAGGCTTCCCACGATCTAATCGTCCTGTCATATCCTGCACTTATCAGGATAACGTCGTTGCTCATAGCTGATGATGGTTGAAAATAAAGAGGCCTAGAACGAGGTAGACACAATTAAAGAGGTTGTAAACTGTAGAACATCTTACTATCTGCACAAACACAATTCCCAAAGATTATAATACTTATCGGCTAATTATGATCAGAGACTATAAGCAACATGAAGCATAAGATACGTTAGTGATTGTTTTAAGTATATAGCTAATATATATCTTGTTATATACTCTATCAGATGATTTGAGGGTGCTTACATCAGTTACTATATTTGTAACGCAGTAGACCTTGATCGGACGAGGGGTTGTAAAACTATACACAGTGCGTACCCATATACTAGAAGGGTGTTATTATGTAATGAAGTCTTTACTACAGTCCGCCTAAATCTGCGTTCTTCTCTTGATTTGACAGCTGTGATGTAATCAATTTGGAGGAAAGTAAACCAGATGTCAACCGGCAAACAATTTTGACTACAAATTATCTAAGCACATATAAGACTTTCCTTTTAGCATTCATTAATTTAGTTGAATTAGTATCATTAATTATGCCCTGGACGCGTTTAATCTCCGGCAGAACTTCATGCAATGTTTTACCGTAACTCCATAAATTCATCCGTGCATAATTCTTCTTACATTAACATCCACCATGATCTCTAAAATCCTCAGCGCAGGCCTCCTAGCTTCTGCCTTAGCTTATCCATCTCCACCATCTGGCGGTGTTGGTGTCTCACCAAACGATCCAGCACCAGTCTACTCACCTGAAACGGATTTTGATACCGAATCCCTCGTTGTTGGTGTCAATCAAGAATGGCTTGAGCTGGATCTCTTCCATAACATGCTTGCCACTTTTAGCGAAGAAGAATTCGATGCTGCCGGAATCAATGCCGAGCAACGTTATTACATTCAAGAAATGGCAGAACAAGAAGTTGGACATGCCATTTTAATTAATAATATGTTGGCTGTAGGTCTGACGTATTATACTTTGAACAATGTCTCATAATGTAATAACAGGGCGCAGGTAAAACCAGCCAACAATGCCAATATAAGTACCCATACAAGTCTGTAAAAGAGGCATTGTCATTTGCCGAATTTGTTACACGCTTTGGAGAAGCTGGTGTCTACGGATTTTTGCCTCACTTGAAAAACCGTGCTGTTGCACAAAACCTACTTCAATCCATTACAACAGAAGCCAAGCAAGAAGTAAGTAAGGCTTATGAAGATGAAAATTTACTGATTCATGCGTCTATAGGTGGCAATGGCTCAGATGGAAGGCTACTTCCCTCAACCATATTGGTGAGAAAATTTTCACTACCACAAATCCATCTAACGAGATTTAAAGGTTCAATATGGGACTCACACAAGCCATGACATGGTCATTGATGGTTCCCTTCTTAGACCACTGTCCAGAATCAAACCCAAAGGTTGCGTTCCCTGCATTCCCACTTTTGGACGTAACGAATGCAGCTAAGACAGTCGACGAATCCATTCCTTCTGGCGTATCAAACAACTACACTCATGTCGCACAACCAGGCAGACAACTTGATCTCAAATGGGCAGCACCAGGCCAAGATGTCGGACCACCAGAGCAAGGTTACAAAACGGACAAGAACCCAGATCTCGGTGATCCAGCATATGCAGCATTCATTCACCAGCTTAATGTCACGTATACACCACTCGAAAATGTAAACACTGAGGAATTGACCGCGACAACTATTCACCCAGATTTCAAGATGTTCAATGAACCAAACGGTATGGGTATCAATGGTACTGTATTCTTAGCTATCGTTGATGAAGAAGTACCTGTCACACCATACAACTTCTCATTGCTTAATGACCATATCCACGCATTTGGTCCATACTTCGCTGGTATTTAAAGAATTTACTTGTAATACGCATCTTTGGGGATCAAAGATAATAAAGATGATTAATTTTATTTGATTGTAAGAGGAAAAAGCTATATTCTTAGTTATCTGAAGTGAGAAGATCAGCTTGATTATGAACGATGACCAATAAATTAAAGCAACACGAAATTGGGAGACAACCAGAAATATTTTATCAACAAAATCTCAATAAATCTAGATTTCATGTACGTAGAGTACTCATGTTATCTCTGCGTAAGGAGAGTGAGATCATGGCGAGATTCCAGCATAGATTTAGACGGAAATGGCTGGATAACTACATGTTATGGAGTAGCTTCTTAGGCACTGTCACTTTCTTCATTCTACTCATCCCGATACCGTACTTCTGGGGACATTCTGATCGTGGACGTGCACTTCTGCAGACACTAGCTGCTAGCGTATGGATTACCTGCTTGATGAAGGTTTTAAACCACTTTTAATAACTAAAGAGATTTCGTTGACCATGCGCAGGACTTTTGCTGTGTTCCCCGACCGTACTCACCTCCAGTGACGAGAATAAGTGAGTATACGCTCTATTTTGATGTGTGCACGTCTCATATATATTAGCTATGGGGACTAGGTGCGTACTATCACTTGCGCTCTCGTAATCTTCCGTTAACTTATTAAATTTAAAGTCACTTGGAATATGGATTTCCATCGACGCATTCTACAACGGCAGTAGCACAGGCATTGGTGCTCAACAATTGGCTGTCTGATGCCACGGCTGATGGGAGTGTTGATCCTTTCACTATGTCTGTCCTCCGCACACTTCTAATCATAGCAACCTCGAGTGTTGTTTTTGGCAGATTTTACTGCGTAGGTTTACTACTAAGGCGATTAAGTTCTTTCTGAAAATACTAGGGCATGCATTCGGCACTCGACTGCTTCAGTGGTGTCATCACGGGCACAATGATTTATATTACGCGGTCATACATTGGTCCATACTACGAGGCATTCATAGAGCAATCAACTTTCCTAACACCGATTCTGTTGACTATCTTGAGTATGTTTGATGCCTCTTCTTTCTCATGGTGCTAACGACATGAAGGTTTGTACGCAATACACGCCCACATAGAACCTGCGGAAGACAATCCAGCATTCGAGGACTCTGTAGCATTTATTTCTGTATTCCTTGGTAATGGGATTGGTGAATGGATAGCTTGCAACTATGGTTTCCATCATTCGACCTACTTTGTCACTAAGCTCACAGGATGGGAGTGGTGTCTGGCATCTTTGTTTAAATATCCACTGGGTATGTTACAATTCAAAGAGATAATTTACTAACAGCATAATCAGGCGTCGGTTTGATCTTTTTGACTAGAATATTATGCAAACCGATCATGCAAGCTGTATTACCGCCTCTGTTTAGATTATTACACAAGCTTGTCAAACTTCCTAACAGGAAAAGCTACGTACCAGCAACGTAAGTCATGTCATCATTTTTGCAACGATTTCCAGAACTAAATATAAATAGTGAATACGAGAGTTATAATCCTACGAGCGATACACTGAACCCTATACCCTCTGTTGTAGATTTGGCACAATTGAAGCATGTGAAGGAGACGCATAATAGCAAGCAGGCCACAGAAATTGTTGGTGAAGAACGTCCAACGATTTCTCAAACAACGCATAGAAAATTCTCACCAAGACATTATGATGCAGATGTAATGACGAGAGTTGTGAGCTATGCGGCTATGGGATTCGTAGGTACTATTATAGCACCAATTATTTTCGAGAAGCTTGGTTGGGGATTATTTTAGTGATAAATGATAGATGAATTTGTTAGTAATACAATTGAAATTGTTGATGGTTTGATAGGGTATTAGAATGCTTGCATGCCTCTTTCGATGACGGTATATCTTACGAGTGACTAATCTAGGTGTGCTTCTTGTACATCTTCCTGTATTCTTCGATAACTGTTCTGAATTCTTTGAAAAAGTTTTTGTGATGCTCTGGTGAATCTGGTCTGGTATCTGGTCTTGCTGTTAGTTGATGACAAAGGTTAGTGTAAAGCTACGCACAGCAGGCTTCTTCTACAACAATGAAAGATTCCCTCATCAAAACGAAGAAATCATTGCTGAGGAGTCCAGCTCTATGATAAGCAGCGATTAATTTGAGGAGGTGAACGAGATGATCCTGATAACTGAGATAAACGCGGTGACTGGTCTTCACATGAAGCATCTGTTGATATTTATTGGCTATTTGTTGTAATATGTCTAATCCACCTACACTCTCAAACGATCTGCAATGTGGCCTTATCAGCTTGCGATAAGCTTAATAGCAAGACAAACTTACTTGACAGCAGCTGAGAATTGCTTAAATAAATCCCTCTCCATCCTAGCAACTCTTGTAACTTCGTTATTCATTTTAGCGTTATTGTAGATTTCCAAAAGCAGTGTTATTTAACTAAGTTTCACTTTTGTCACACCCCTTGATTTTCTCACGTCTATTTAAGTTAAGATTTGATTATAGTAATTGTAAATCACATACAACGGATTTCTAGAACTCCTTTCCACAATTCTTACATTTCAAGTGCCCACCCTCACTTTTCGTTCCTTGACTTGTTACGAGGCCGGCAGATTCTAGCGCTATGACATGACGCGGACGTCAAAAAATTTTAGAAGAATCCGTCTCACAAACCATAATCAGGGTTGCAATCTGGGTTGTTACCCTCGAATTTTTCATGTAGGTAAGATAAGGTACATTGCGGTAAAAGAAGATCACTGAAATTTTCATTTCATATATATTTTAGATACAATTTTAGGCTGCCTTTTTATTGCTTAGCCCAGCGTGGATAGGTTGGATCACTATCTCTGATGCGTTGAGCTGCACCTTCTGCTGTCAGGTCCCTTTGTGGCTCACCCAACAACTCAAATCTAGTAATACATTAACGGAGAGTGCTAGAATTAATTCAGACTCACCCGACAAGGAATTTCCTAACACTTGCTGAACGTAAAAGTGGGGGATAGAAGTGTATGTGCAGCTGTGCGTCGTCCCAGTTACTATCCCAATCAGCATCACCCTCTTTCTTGATCGGTTGCTGTGTTAAACCCATTGAATATGGGAAACTAGTGTCAAATATGTTGTCATATCTACGTATTACATTAGCTTATCGCATTATAGATAGTAAAACACTCACCTGCATGCAACTTCCCTAAGAATGGCAGCTAAAGATCCCTGCTCAGTTTCGTTGAGATATGCAACAGAAGGAATATGTTTCTTTGTTGGAATTACGAGCGTTTCAAATGGCCATACTGCCCAGTATGGTACTACAGCTACAAAATCGTCATTCGAGCAAACGACTCTCTCCTTTTTGTCTAATTCGAATGCTGCATAGTCTAATAACATATTTGGAGAGCCAGTTAAGTGTGATACCTTCGTTGATGAAGTTGCGACAGTATTCTTGGCGTATTTGCCCTGCATTTCAAGCGCTTTTGCTGGTTCTTCTGGTATATAACTAACTGACCATATTTGACCATGTGGATGTGGGTTTGAGCATCCCATAGCGCTTCCCTGGAGTAACTTATTAGAGGGTGTTTCCCCATCATGTCAAACAGACTCACTTTGTTCTCAAAGATCTAACAAACGTGTTTAGTAAGTTTAAAAGGCGTGAATTGTATTGGACTCACTTGTATGTACTTCACAGATGGTTCATCTTCTGGTATGAAAGAATAAAGATCGCACCAAATCTTGACCACGTTGAAGACGTCCTTCGTCTCCATCTGAGCAATCGTACGGTTATGATTAGGGTGGAAGCAAACAACGTAGCATCTTCCAGATATTGGTGATGTCTGTGAGGCTATTAGATAGGCTAATATTGTCAAACTAACGACGTACTTTGATCAAAGGGTGAGGCTCAGCTGGCGTTTCAACATTTTGTGGATATACCGCGCTGAAATCATTAACAAAGTACTTTATAAGTGTTAATTGTCGCGTATACGTCTATGATGTACTCACATATGTGCTATCATACTTTGGATTGCTACCGCCATTTGACCTCTCGTTACCAGGACATAAATAACACTTTGGATCGTATACTGGTAGATCTGGCTTACTTGGTGCTTCAACCTGCCCTTGCCATGGTCTTTTAGTGCGGTGTGGTGATACTAATATCCAGCTATCTGTCAGTGGATTGTATCTTCTATGAGGAGATTCTGTTGGATCAAATTTCTCTACCATTTTCGTCGTTTTAGTACAAGTTGGAGAAATCTGGAGAAAGATAATACGTCACTAGCGTACCTCTCACGGAGGAAGAGCGAGATGTGTCATGTCGATGACGAAACTTATTTAATTTAAATTACTTATTTGTACACATTAAAAAATCCTTCGAGTATCTTGGTGACACCAACTGCACCTGGATCTGGTACGGCTTGCTCCTTGAGTCCTTCCTGACCAACATAGGCAGCTCTACCTGCTTTGGCTTCAAGTTTCTTTCCTTCTTCTGTTGCTTGATTAGCAGCCTCGATCGCTTTCTTAGCGTCGCCGATACCAGCAAAAGCGTTGATGAAAGCATCCAATGGATCAATGAGTGTACGTGATGGTGGTCTAGCGCGAGTGTATCTGTATAACGTGTCCAATGCGCTCTTTGAGGCTTTTTGTATGTCTGATTTGTGTTCTCTGATTGCACCTGCCAATGCACTGAAGAAAATTGAGTAGAGAGCACCACTTGTACCACCCATGTCAGTTTCTGCTACTTCACTGATCTCTAAAATGTACTTGGCAATGTCTTCTCCACCGATTTGGCCTTCCTTAATACGGTTGAGGACACCTTCTGCACCAGCTTTAAGTGTAAGACCACAATCACCATCTCCTGCAATTGTATCCAATCTTGTGATCTCTGGTTCAGCTTTGATAAGGTTCTCAGCTGCACTTTGAATAGCTTTTACAATCTTGTCACCATTCTCTGTCTTGATTGGTGATGTTGTATCAGTAGATGACTTTGTAAGTCCCGTTTGGGCGTCGTTAGTATATTCGTCTTCGGTACGTGGTGGGACAGCTGCGTGCCATCTCCATCCTGGTGCGTTGACAGGCAAATCTAAAAGATCTAAAAGCTGGTTTGCAGTTGCAGGTGCTTTCTCAGCGTCAGCAGGGAGTTTTAAAAGCGTGAGAGAGAATCCAGGCATGTTCAATGATGTAATGAATGCACCACTTAAAACTCTCTCTACTTTGTAACCCTTCTTTTGAACAATGGAGGTAGCATGTCCAGTGGCTCCTGCAATTTCCAACTCAGACAACCCACCGAGGTTATTTACCATCAATACAACTCTATCAGTGCCGTCGTTTTTGAAGTTGACGTATGAACGGTCTGGGTCGCTAGTTGAAGTGAGAGTTTCGACCATATTCTCGATCAGTTTTGAAGCTGGTGGGATTGGTGATACCTTCGTGAAACCTGGCTCATTGTGTATACCCATACCAATTTCCAACTCATTGTCCTTGAGGTATGCTTGGCTGGCTTCTGTACCTGGAACGTGTGTGTGTTCGAGTCCAGCACCGAGGGTGGCTGTGTGATCGTTCACGTAGTTTGCTATAGCTTCTACTTGGTCAATGTTTCCTCCCTTTAAAGTGCGTTAGGTGTGTAGAAGATATGAAACACTAAATACTTACCTTGTGTGCCATAGCACCTGCAAGCTTGTGGATTAAAGTAACACCAGCTAGACCTCTACGTCCAACGATACCTGATTGTTCACGTCCGACGGATACATCATCAGATGCCATTATAAAACGCGTAACTCTTGCGGCTTCTGGGTTCTTGGCTGCGAATTTTTCCTTTGCGAGACCGAAGTGAAGTACATCGCCAGTATAATCTGATAGATTTGTTAGATTAACATTAACTTCCGATATAATCGCTTACTTTTGACAATGACGAGTGTACCAAGCGGTGAACTTGCCAACTGGATGCCTCTTAAAATCTGAGCTGTGTTTGGAGAGGCAAATATAGTACCAGGTACCGCTGCATTGAGCATACCTTCACCAACAAAAGCACTATGGGAAGGTTCATGACCTACAACGTCAGGGATGCGTTAATAAGAAATAACAAACTTACCAGATCCACCACCAGCGATAAGTGATACTTTAGACTTGTCAAAATTGGAGTTGTATACCGCCTTTGATTCTCTATCCAAGGTGAGTTGTGGGTTGAGTCTGCATAAACCATGCAATGCTTCTAAAACTGCAGTTTCTGAGCTGTCATTGATATGCTTGTCTGTATAGCTTATTAGATGTGTACTTCGTCCTGCATTTCACTCACTAGTTGCAGACATTATGAAAGTTACTATTCAAAGAAGTGGATATCCTCATATACGTCATATTTTGAGAAGTGATCTAAAATAAATATCTTATACAAATTACAGTTGTTCTATATATTCTACAGGCATACCAGTTGCTGTCCTCCAGCATCTAGCCGTACCTACTTTAATCCGCTCAAGTATGCTGGCTGGCGAATCAAGAGCAGGACGTACGTCTAAGTGGAAAACAGGCATGCCCTCTGGTGTTGGTGGTGCACCATAGTAATCAATGACATAGCGCACCGTTTCATTTGAGTTTGTTCTTTTTATGTACCAATCGTGCCTATCGAATGGTGGCTCATCGCTAGCGAATGATTAGGTTGTTATTATAAGAGAGTAATAAAACTTACTAGAAACTATTAGAGAATAATGTCGATAGTAACATTTGTAGTCTAGCTTTTGGTGTGTAATCTCCTGGTCTCCCGGAAAATTGCGCTAGTTGCAATGTCTCTTTGCTTTTTTCGTTGTTAATGAGCCTATTTACTAATGAATAAACTACTCACCCATCATTGTTACGCTTCTCCCACTTCAACACCTCTTTCCAGGCTTCTTCGTTGAGGAAGTTGTGTATGGCGACCATATCTTCTACAGATTCTTCAGGAGTCTCCCAACCTTTTCTAACCAAGGCGTTGTAAAACTGCTGAGGCGAAGGATACTCCCAGTGTGTACCTTCTCCATATCCTTCTGAGGTGCTTTTACCCTGTGGGCGCGGAATACTTGATGTAGTCCTTTCTGTAGGGAGTCGAGTAGATTGATTGTCTGACAAAGGTTGCTGTTGTAAATCTGGCATGTTGTTCAATGGGTTTATCTTTGTATCTTTCTCGTGTACTACTGGACATCCAGATGGTTGATTAACTGTTTCTTTTTGTGTATTATGCATCGGACATCCACTAGGTATTTCTTGTGGTACATTTTGGTTGCTAGACGCCACCTGTCCCATTCTCTACAATCGTGGTAGAAAAAAAAGAATGATCGTCAAATGAATTTATATAAGAATTTTACAATTTTCAAGATAATCAAAGCCCTAAAAAGTTAATATGAAATCTTTTATATGTCGTGCGTCTACTGTACTTCAATGCCTGAATCCGAGAATCCTTGGTTTGGCTTAGTGTCTGCGACGCGGCTAGCTCTACCTCTAGCGTCCTTGTAAAAGACGATATCACCCTTGTCTTCAACAAATACACAGTTACGATAATTCTTGAAGAGTGAAACAATAACGTTATCACCACAGTAGTGATAATGTGGACCGAGGTAGGCCTTTAAAGCGTCAGTAGCCTTCCAAGCATTGTAGTGGGGAATCTTTGACGATATGTGGTGCGCAACATGAGTCTCACAAATACCGTGTAATATGTGCTTTCCGATTGGACCCATGAAAGTACGGTCGATAGTGCAGAGTGCACCTCTTTGGAAATTCCACATACCTTCTCTATAGTGTGGTAATGAAGGATCAGTGTGTTGGAGGAAAGTGATGCAAACAAGCCAGTTGTTTACCCAAAGATATGGAATGACATAATAGTTCACAACCTCAGCAAATCCTCTTTGCTTGCCCCAGTAGTAGAGAGCGCCGAGCATTAAGCCAACGCCCAAGTCTGACAAAACGATTTGGCCAAAGTGGCGAGCATCAAAAATGATAGCTGATGGGTTGAAGTGATTTGTGCCTCTAGGATAATGACGCTGTCCAGAAGCGTTTCTAATCAAATACATTGGCCAACCTAAGAGTTGCTGTAAAAGAACATTGACGAACGTAGCTAATGGTGCATCTTCTAACAACTCTGAGACCTTTAATTGCTCGTGTTCTGGTACATCGACACCTGCGAGAACCTTTTCATCAGCATCCTCGTAGTCAATCTTTGGACCCTTTCTTTGAGAGCGTGTCTTTGGTACGAAGACTTGATCTCTGCTCATGTGTCCAGTGGCTGCGTGGTGCTTTCCGTGACTGATTCTCCAGCTATGATATGGGACCAATAAGAATGAATGTAAGACAAATCCGACGGTGTTGTTTACAGTTTTTGATGTTGAGTAGGCTTGATGACCGCATTCGTGTGCGATAACCCAGATACCGGTCCAAACTAAACCTTGCGCGAACCAAAAGAGGGCCCACAAAGAAGAGGAAATAGCGAGTGATAGATAGTGGTTATCAGTTTGAGATAAGACTGGGATATAGAAAGATCCTTTTATAAGTAAATAACTCAAGATAACGTCTTGTACGACGTATAAGGATGATTTAAATGAGGATCTTTTAAAGCAGTCAGCGCTGGAAAGGTAGTCAATAAAAAATGAACTGCGATAAGTAAATGAAACCCACGGAATCGCATTAAGGAGATCCTTTATCGAGATCTCTGGGACTGCGAATTTTTCGACCATCGTAATTTGATAGCAAGTTGTCAAAAAACCCCAGCTTGAAATAATTCAAAAATAAAAAAATGGTTGATTACCTGAAATTAATTCTAAACGCTAGGGTCTACGATATTTTACAGCAGACACCCCTAACGAAAGCAAACAACCTCTCGAATAGACTCGGCTGCAATATACACCTAAAGAGAGAAGACCTACACCCAGTCTTTTCTTTCAAATGCCGCGGTGCATACAACTTCATGGCCCATATCCCAAAAGACGACAGGTGGAGGGGCGTCATCACTTGCTCAGCGGGCAATCACGCCCAGGGTGTAGCTTTGGCTGGTAGCCACTTAGATATTCCTTGCACTATCCTTATGCCAAAAAACACACCATCTATCAAATGGAAGAACGTTGAAAGGTTAGGTGCTAAAGTTATCCTCCACGGCGATAACTTCGACGAAGCAAAAGCGGAATGTTTCAGATTGGTTAAGGATCTCGCTTTGACATACGTACCTCCATACGACGACCCTTACGTTATCGCAGGTCAAGGTACCGCTGCAGTTGAACTCACCAGGCAGATTGACATGTCAACCGTCGACAGCGTCTTCTGTAGCGTTGGTGGTGGCGGTCTTATCAGTGGAATGAGCGAGTACATTAAGCGTATTGCCCCAGAGGACGTCAAAATGATCGGTGCTGAAACTTTCGATGGTGATGCTCTCGACAGGTCCATCAAGGCTGGTCATAGAGTGACACTTGATGATGTGGGCACTTTCAGTGATGGTACAGCGGTCAGAATAGTTGGTGAGGAGCCTTTCAGGATCTGTCAAAAACTGGTAGATCACATACAACTCGTCGACAATGATGCAATCTGTGCCGCAATCAAGGATGTCTTTGAAGATACACGTTCTATTCCAGAACCAGCGGGTGCACTAGCAGTAGCTGCTCTTAAGTCATACGTCTATGAAAATAACCTCATCAATTCAGGCAAAACTTTCGTTGCTGTTATCAGCGGTGCAAATATGAATTTTGATCGGTTGCGATTCGTTGCTGAAAGAGCATCCCTCGGTGAAGGCAAAGAATGTATGCTGAGCGTTACCATCCCTGACCAGCCAGGCATGTTCGTAAAATTGCATAGCGCTATACATCCACTTGCAGTTACGGAGTTCGTCTACAGATACGCAGATGACGCTCAATCGAAGAAGCAGGATGCTGTCATATTCTGCTCATTTAGTTTGCCGTCAGCTAGTGCTTCGCTTTCTCCGTCAGAGCGCCAATTGCAAATTGGCAAGGTAATTAACGATATCAGGGAGCAGGGCTTCGACGCTGTTGATGTATCTGACAATGACCTTGCTAAATCTCATGCAAGATACCTGATCGGTGGTAGATCATCATGCCCTAGCGAACGTCTCATATCCTTTGGTGTGTTTTACCTACTTTGTACTTTCTTTGCTAACTATATTTAGAATTCCCTGAACGTCCCAACGCATTAAAGAAGTTCCTTACTGCCTTGAACCCAGGATGGAATATCTCCCTCTTTCACTACAGAAATCTCGGAGGTGGTAAGTAAAAATAACTAATTTCTAGTCTTTCTAATTTCCTGTAGATGTTAGTAAAGTTTTAACAGGCATACAAGTACCTGAAAGTGACAATGATGCATTCGACAAGTCGTTGAAAGACTTGGATTATCATTATGTCGATGAAACAAACAATTTCGTTTATCAGCGATTCATGAGATTCTAGACTTTAGTATAGAAGTTTCACACTAGTTATTCTCGCGTCTCATACATCGTTTTATATGTTTGCATTTGTTGGAACAGTGAAATATATATATTTATTTATTTTGAATGATAATTGTCGATACAAGTGTGTATCCCTAGCACTGTCTTTTCAGGTTTGATTATCATATTTTCTGGCTGACTAATAAAGTCCAACTCAAATTCTACAAGTTCAAAGTTTGTGCTGCCCAGTAGTCCACGAAGGTGTCTACACCCACATATTGTCAACATCCTCCTGAACTACCTCCAACACAGACTTGAACATTACCGTACTGAGCTGCTGCTACACCACTATCTCCCGAACAGTCGGCACTGTCAATTACTCTCCTTACACTGTCAGTACAAGCATTGACCAAAACAGACTGTCCTAATCCTAACAGTCCCACTCTAATACCATTTTGAATATCGCAACTGCCTTGGGCGCACCACCAGAACTTGATCCGTAGAGCTTAGGGGAGCAAACCATCCATCAGATGTAACATAACCATGTACCACAAGTTGTCCACCTATCGCCTGATCTGCCAAAAATTAGCAACCCTGCAAACTGAGGATTGTATTGATATCATCACGGCCTTATATACCCTATTTTTATTAGCAGAACAAAACATTCCACTTGGTTCACTAGTGACATCTTTCTTGACCCATCCAGGTCCCTCAACGTCAGGCTCGACTCTTCTGTAAACATTGTCATTAGCTCCTGAGCCCATCCCCAAAACTAGATGGGTTATCTCCAAACCTTATTCCTCTTCTGTCTCGAGATCCAATCTATCTGTAATCGGGACGACGTAAAGACCTTCGTCAGGCAACTTGTAGGTATTGTTAGTCATAAACCAGGGTTCACGTCCCACAGCCTTCGTCATTTTCTCTTGAGCTTGTTGTCCGTCAACGATCATTTGCAACCGACTATTTGAGGTCCAGTCTTCTTTGTGAATCAGCGCTCTTGCTGGACTCATTGCAGAGCATAGACGGCTTTGTCTCAACATAATTAATCCCTGTTTATAAAATCTCTAAACCTGCGCAATAATGGGAAATATATAGGAGATATCAAATCACCAAAGAGGATATAAAACGCCAAGTGATAAAGTATTTGTAGCAATATGTTTGATACGGAAATTGTGAATGCTTCCTGGGGCTAGAAAATTCCCTGTCCTCTAAAAAATGTTTAGGAATCATGATTATCGATTTACAAACTTGTATCTCTTATATAATTTCCATTGTTCATTTTTTTATTGTCCTCATTTTCCTCATAATTCTTTTCTATTTATTGCACACCAAGATTCTTGATTACTATGCCATATCCGCAACTTGAAAATAACTGACGCTATATGTTCAGCACCTGTAATTGAATTCCAATAGTATTCAAAAGTTGTACAATTTCGATGGAAGTATTCTCTAATAGTTTAAGGCCTTGTGTTTAATATTCGGATGCTTAATTTCATCTTGACTTTGTACTAAGCGCAATTCCCGTGCTCTTTGGCGTATAATACGTTTTCTATTTTCTTTATCGTTATCTATATCGACGTCTATATCCGCTGGTAGGATTTTTGACGCATATTCCCGTGTGTTTGACAAGACTCCCTGTATACTAGCAACAGTCTTCTCCGTAGCTTGCGTAAGCATGTCTATACCGCTAAGGTTTTCCGTGGATGAGCGTGCTGATTCGAAATAGGCTAGTAAAAGTGCTGAAAAAATGTCTCCAACACCTGAGTAATAGCCTTCAATCATTGGATATTGAAGTATGCGAGTAAACACGTTATTCTTGGGGCCGGTTGATGAAATAATCGTACACAATTCTCCTTCTGAACCAAAAGCAATTGAACTAATGACGACATACCGTACACCATAGCTAAAGTGCAAAACATGCAGAGCTTTTTCAACATTTTCCTTTTTAGATAGCTTGATATCAGTCAATAACTCTACTTCAAATGCATTTGGAGTTATCATATCTGCCAACTTGAGCATACTTTTGTAAACTGGAATAACATCACGATTAACGTAGACTCTATCGTCGTCACCCATGACTGGATCAAGGAGATATGTACACTGATGATTCTTTTTTGTTTCTGCGATGTAAGTCTTAACAATTTCTAATGATTCCGCACCCGGAATATATCCTGTGAGTATGTAATTCTGTCCCATCATGCCATTTTCTTTTAGAGCATTAAGCATAAGTTGTAAATCCTTAGGTGTGACTATAGTGCCCCCAAAATTACGATATCCAGCGTGGTTAGAGAAGTTGACGGTATTAACGGCGTCCACTTCCCATCCTAACAACTGCAAAGGAAAGGTGGCAGCTCTATTACCAACATACCCATATGAAACATGGCTTTGTATCGACAGCACCCTTTTATCGCATCGCATTTCTTTCTTATCTTGAACGTCGACGATCAAGAGATGAGCAGTTCAGATCGGAATTATGAGCGAGATACAAGAGATGAACAAGAGCAGCTTATATATTCAAACGATATACCTGAACTAGAATCACAGTTTGAGAAATCAGATGGTCAGACTAGAGTGCGTTGCTTGTCGAATACGTCACATATCTGACTGTTCATTTAGAGATATTGGATTATTCCTGTCATTATAGTATCAATTACAGCTATTTCATCTATTATCGGTACTATCGCTGCCTTGACTTACCAGCATCATTTCGGTATATCATCGAGACATCATCTCCCACTCACATTAGACAAGGTTTTTGATGGCACATTTAATCCAGTTCATCATAATATTAAGTGGGTAAATCAACAGAATTCTTCACATGGCATGTATGGCGTACAAGATGACAATGGTGCAATTAGTTTGGTTAATGTCTCATCAAACACGACGAAGACATTGGTACAACCTGGGGAAGTCTTAGATGTTAGTATTTCGAGTCCCTTACCACTACTCTAATTGTCATGATGTAGATCGACGGTCAACCTCTTGAATGGGACGGATGGTCACTCAGTCCAGACGGAAAGTTCATTCTTTTCCAAACAGACACCATTGCGGTTAGTTATCATAAATAATTACAACATCTATTAACTCGGCTTAAGGCATTTAGGTATTCTAATTACGCTAATTATTACATCCATTCGCTCGACACCCGATCAACACACCCTCTAACTCAACCAACAAACCCAGGCTCTATAAGTCTGGCGATGTGGTCTCCTAGTGGTCATGCTTTAGCTTATGTCCGTGGAAATGATTTGTATGTTGTACACGCTCGTGACATTCCAAAGGAAACATCCAAAGCTATTCGGGTTACGGACAGCGGCACAGATTCAGTCTTTAACGCAGTGACAGACTGGGTGGGATATTCGAACATCAGTGGTTTTTCTTGCTAATTTACATGATAGGTGTATGAAGAGGAGATATTTAATTCACATCAGGCTTCATTTTGGAACCAAGCATCTGAAATGATAGCATATCTTATACTAGATGAGTCTAAAGTAAAGGAATATAAAATTCCAGTATATAATCCAACGTCATCCTCGGATAATATAGAACAATATCCGCAAGAAGTAGGTTGATTTTTAATTAAACCTGATGTTTTATTTAATGCATATACAGCTCAGAATTAAATATCCAGAGCCTGGTACACCTAATCCACTCGCATCTTTAAGTGTATACTCGTTGATCAACGGTCAAAATTATGACCTTGTCTTCCCTGAACCAAGAGAGGATAGACTGATAATTGAAATTACATGGACAAGCAAAATGACACTTCTTGTGAAAGAAACTTCTAGGGATTCTCGACATGGAACAGTTGTTTTGTTTGACTTTAGAGGCGTCCGGGATTCTAAGTTTGTTCAAGGTCATACCGTTAGAGATCTTGATATCGATGATGGTGGTTGGATAGACTGTCGTCAATCTATTAAGCCAATCAAGTCAATGAGTGGAGACGGTTACTTGGACATTGTACCAAACGAAGGGTATAACCACATCGCTTTCTTTAAAAGCAGTCAGGAATCATCACCTGAGTTTGTTACATCTGGAAAGTGGGAAGTAGACATTATAATGGGTGTCAACGAGGAAACAAATAGAGTTTATTTTTCGGCAGCATATCCTACACCCATCGATAAACACATTCTGAGTGTCACGTTGCCAGATAATGATAAGATTAATGTTTTGGAGAAAGACAGACCGCTTAATTTGACCGATATTAGTGTACCTGCAAAGTATTCAGCAATTTTCAACAAAGCAGCCTCATTTTATGTTTTAAACTATGATGGACCGGATGTACCTACACAAGAGATTAGACAGGCTATTGAGGTGCACAAACCAAAAATAATTGAAACCAATGAAGCTTTAAACAATACTCTTAAAGAATATTCCTTGCCAAAAGTAATATACGATACCATAGTAATTGATAATATTGAATATCAAATTAAGGAAGTCCGTCCACCTCAATTGTCTGAAGATGGATGGTCCAAGCGTCCAGTACTCTTTCAAGTCTATGGTGGTCCAGATTCACAAGTAGTCACACGTAATTTCAAAGTAACATGGGGCGATTACCTAGCCACAAGTAATGGATATATTACGGTTTATGTTGATGTTCAAGGAACAGGAAACAGAGGAAGACAATACAGGAACGTAGTCAGAGATAATCTCGGTAAAGTTGAAGCAGAAGATGTGATTAAAGTTGCAAAACATTATTCTAGTAAAACTTATGTAGATTCATCCAAAATTGGTATATGGGGTTGGTCGTATGGTGGTTACTTGAGTGCTAAAGTTATGGAAGCTGATTCTGATGTCTTCTCCTTAGGGATTTCTGTGGCAGTGAGTAGTATGTTGTCGTAATTATATCAATTTGATGTATCTCAGCCTGTAACCAACTGGAAACTCTACGATTCAGTCTATACAGAGAGATATATGTCAACGCCAAAGAATAATCCAGATGGGTACTTAAATTCAGCAGTTAGAAATGTGACAGGATTCCATAACTATGCTCTAGCTCATGGTACAGGCGATGACAATGGTAAGTTGTTTCAGTTAGGTCATAAGCTGCTCATACAATTATTCAGTTCATTTCGCTAATACTGCTCATCTGTTGGACATGTTTACGGAAAATTCAATAAAGAACTTCAGGTTCAGAGCATTCACGGATTCAAATCACAGTATGGGCACGAGGAATGCATACAGAGAGTTGATGGACTGGCTCACGCGTTTCCTCAATGAGCAATGGAAAACACAGAAGAGTAAGGGTAAGAAAACTTAATACAAAACATATATAATTGTACAATATTAACAAGATCTACTCGAATACTTTGATGTAGTTTATGTGCCAGACGTTATTCTTGACATTCTCAGGGTAACGTATATACTCATTGCAGGCTTCTAAACCGCCATTAGGAAAATTGTTACCAGCTGCGGGTAAATTAGTTAGAGACTTAGCTAAAAAAGTTAGACACTTACCATAGTATCCACAAAAAGTGGTGTTAATAATTATAGTGTGATTCTCAAATGTGCCTGCAATATCGCAAGTATCGCTGACAAAATGAGCAGTTGGTTGACCCCAATTTTGAGGATTTGGTGCTTGGTTAAGTATGTCTTGAGGTATATCAAGACGAGGGAAAAACCATGTCTTTAAAACACCAGTTTCTTTATCCCATTCAGTCGCGAAAACGCCACCTCCGCTTTCTGAGAGGCCTTTACCGTAACTGTTTGGGTTTGGATCTTTGAATCCACATCCACTATTATCTCCTGATAGACCAGAACAGTCATTTGAGCTCGTGTATTCTCCAATTGCAGGTGCTGTTCCATCTTGTGTACAGCCTGGATAGGTGTGTATAGTTGCATGGTTGTTAGTCTCGTCGTTAACACCCTCTATTATGTCAAGTTCACCCTAATTTGTTGTTAGGGAAGATTAAATTAATATTTTCACTTACTCCGTATGGCCAGTCAGGGCCGTTACTCCAAAATGCTGGCCATGTACCAAGACCGTAGGGCATGGTCTCAACATCGAATAAAAGTATACCGCCGTTCCACGAATCTACACTCTGTAATCTGACACTATCTCTTTTACCACCTTGAGGAAGGGTTGACCAATTGTCGAATTGAATGAAAGGACTACCATTTGTGAACCCAGCAAGGCCGTTACTGAATGCTGTGTCTTTATCAACGTAGCTGAGGTAATGTTAGATACCAAAACAAACAATTCATGCGTCTGTCTTACTTCACTGCACCTCTATAGGCTTTAAATGAGCTAATTATAATAATTTAATAATATACTCACGCTGTTGGATCTTCATATGTAAAGAAAGTGAAGCCATTGAAGAATGTCTCGCCTTCATAGGATTGTTTGAGGGAGTAACCAGAATCAGTTGGAGCTCTTGGTGAATTACTTGCGAGAGTATTGCTTATAACTAGAGCTAGTGATGCTGGGAAGGCAGTTGAGCGCATTTGATATCTTAAGTGTATATGTGTTTGTTGTTGAAAGAAAGATATGAAAAGGAGGTAATGTAATTTAAATGGTGACTGCGGAGCTTTTCTGTCCCACGACTAGCTCTCTAATTGGCTCGTTTAAGACAACTTCTTTAACTTCCTTTTACGTTGGGTACCTTCTTTTTCCGAACGAGAAAATGAAGTAGTTTAGCCTTTTTAGGTAACCCTCAGATATCTAATAAAAGATGCTTGTTTCATCGTTGGTAATTTACAGTTCATTAAATCTGGGTCAGACACTGTTTTAATTGTATATTGAGATACATTTAAGGTGGAGTTTTCAAGTGGAGTTCAACTAGAAGTATATAGAATCTATAATGGTAAATAATTAACCTACTTATGTATTATTTGTTTATGTGTTTATTTATTGTTATAATTCGTCATCTTCGTTCGTTACTATCAACATGGCCACTCAAGGATTCAGATTTAATCATACGATGTTTAGGGTAAAAGACCCAAAAATCTCTATCGATTTTTACACACGTATAATGGGTATGGAGTTAATTGATAGCCATGAGGCCAGTGATTTCACTTTGTACTTCCTTGCATTCGACACCAGCAAAGGCATAAAGTCAGCAGAAGAGAAGAAAGATGAACGTTTCACTCGTGAAGGTGTTTTGGAGCTGACATACAACCACGGTACTGAGAAAGAAGAAGGTGCTGTATACTCTAATGGAAATAGCGATCCTGGACGCGGATTCGGTCATATTGCGATCACAGTACCAGATATTGAAGCTGCTTGCGAATACTTTGAAGATATGGGCGTAAGATGGAAGAAGAGGCTCACAGATGGTAAAATGCACAACATCGCCTTCATTTTAGACCCTGACAATTATTGGGTCGAAATTGTGGAGAACAAACTGAAGCTAAATTAAATTCAAATATGGCATTGCATTGTAATAATAAATAGAGATGTCTATATCGTTAGTCCCAATAGAATATTGTCAATCAACCTTGTTTTTCCAACATACATTGCAGCTGAAAGTACAGCTCCATCCATACCGATATCGTTGACTACTTCAAAGGTAGTAGCATCATTAATTTCTAAATAGTCCAATTTAGCACCCTTTTGTTGAGCTAGGGAAATGTAAGGTCTAGTTGCGTCAATAATTCCTTCTCTAGTCCTCACACCGGAATCGTAAGCTTCTTTGGCCGCATTGAGAGCTTTGTATAATAGTGGAGCAACTTCTGTGCGCTCTTGTTCACTAAGATAGGCATTACGCGAAGACAAGGCGAGATTATTAACTGCGTCTCTAGCAGTTGGAACTATTTTTAAGTTCTGACTTGTCGGATATTGTACCAAAAGATCTCTACACATACGTTTCAATATAAGTGCTTGCTGTACATCTTTCTGCCCAAAAAAGGCTAAATCTGGTTGTACAACGTTGAACAATTTAGTGACGATAGTAGCAACCCCCCTGAAAAAATGTGGACGGGAAATACCTTCCATTTTATTCCCAAGCCCTAGCATCTCGACGAATGCACCCACTTGTTTGCTAGCGTCCTGTTGGATTCCGTTTGGGTAAATCTCCTGAACATTAGGGGTGAAAAGTGTAATATCCTTAGATAAACTTTCTAGTGCCTCAATATCTCTCTTTAAAGTTCTTGGGTATGTGTCTAGATCTTCATGTGGTGCAAACTTCTGCTGTTAGTGAGTGAAATTATAAGGAGCAAACGCACTTGAGCTGGGTTAACGAATATAGAGACGATAGTGTTATTAGAACTTTTTAAGCTCTCCTCAACTTTGTGAATATTAGATGAGTTATATTCACTCTATCAACTCACCGAGCTTGAGATGCCCTTGATGCAATGCACCCATTGTGGGTACGAATCCGACAGTATTTCTATTGGACAATTGCTGAACTCGCCATTGCCTGAGCTCTGCAATCTTTGATACAATCCGAGTCATGAAGGTAGAAATCTGAGATGTATCTAAATGAAGATCAGCTTCTGTTCTTAATTTTATCTCCAAATATGTTGCTCATAGAACTCCTTGTCTTCCAACTCTGATTATGAAATATTATTAGTTTCATAGAACCCTTTTAGTGGAAATATATAGGTTTATTACTAAATTTGAATAGATTATAAAATTCTGGTATATTTTATTCTCATCATATGCTATGCCCGCTGTGTTAATTGCTCATTGTTTCCAACCAATATACTATGACAGTAGAGCAGCAGATAAGTCAGTTTTGGAGATAGTTGATGCTTCCACCAATAGACAAGCTCCCTATTGAATATCACTGGAGAGACTATTATTTTAATTGATGATATCATCGGACCTGTTTTGATTAGGATGACGACTAACCTGCATTAGTATACATAATACACTTCATTTGCTCAGTTTTATTCCAACCTTTAATTTACGTCTAATTATTATGTTGAGAAACCTTTTATTTATTATGACACACACTAACAATTGTGACAAGAATTTGTAGCAAGTGCTTTTAAATTGCTCTCAAATATGCTTTCTGAAACCAACTCCTACCATTCAATTATATTCTTCTGACGCTTTTCAGACTTCGAACAAAGATTACTACGATTAACATTTAGTAGTACACAGCAAGAAATGTACAACTAATGTAAGTGGCCTAAGTTCGGGGAATAGCCCCAAATGTAACAAATCTATTAGTTTACTCTCTCTATAATGATTACCAGGACTAAAAATCTTTTAAAACACATAAAAAAGAACTAACTTCAGTCAGAAGCTCTGGAGTAGGTAGGTATTCCTACTCCATTTTTTTTCAATAGTCCAAAAAGGCTACGTAGGTTTATAGGACAATCAACTTCAATCACACAATAGTGGGAATAGCGAATGAGTATCCTCATCGGTCGCAACAATCCCATCGGCATTACTTGACAGATAGATTGTGGATAATTTGCTGTATATGGAGCATTAATTATATTAATGATATCTTGCAGATAATGAAGCCACCTTAGGAAAATGTTAACCTCTTGCTTGTCGTTCACGTTACACCACTTTTCCATGAAATGATTAAGTGAATGTCTTAACACCAAAACGTATGGCTCGTTTATGGGTTCAACAGAAAATGACTCCTTAAGAACATCTTTGATTTTCTAATCTTTGGATATCTTTGCTACCTCTACTTCGTCGAAATACGCCTGTTTCAGTATTTTGTTAAAGAACATTTAGGAATGATTGAGCGATAACCTCATTCGATGTTTTTAGTACACCATGAATAACACTATGGTACTCGAACGTAACAACCACACAGTATCATCTTTTATTGTCTACAACCAAGACATTTACGTCCCTTCAGACATACCTTCACTTTTCAAACGGATTCTACTTTTAGAAAAAGGTCTAATCTATGTTGACTCCAAATTATACAATCCCCTCAAAGAGTCATTTAACTGCCATCCTTGAGATAATTTCACTAACACATACACGAATAAAGATGACACTGAATGCTTCAATTTTCTCTTTCATTAGGAGATTTTTTACGGTGTACAATTTCATCGTAATGGACATCTTACCTACGTTATTTTCAAACCCTGGCTACACAGGTCGATCACCTCGACGGAGTACTTTAATCTTCATTTTCCTTCACACTGAAAGCTTATTTAGCCAATAGATGTCCAATCGGATAGTTATTCTTCTCAATTCATCAAGAAACATTGTTGCTATTCGCTTTGTAGGTTCTTCCAATGTAGATAATATTTTGGGATATGGATTGCTTACGCAAACTAACTTGGCAAGTTTGTATAAATAAAAATCCATTTACGCCTTACTACCACGTCTTTATGTCGCACATGTCTTTTTATCTAGACTTCTCGAAGTTTAGTTAAACAGTAAGTTATATTTTAACAGATACTTCCTTTTTCTACTGACATTATATATATGCTCAGGTGAGAATGCTTCAAATCAGATACCAAGCATCTCAGCTTTCTCAGAAATTTCGTATTATCGATACCGTGGATCGGTAAAATCAGCATGTATCGGTTGTTTTAGTATACGAAGTAAGTTTGACAGCAAAATACAATTAATTATGGACTCAAGGTCTACTTATCGACATATGCTATTGGAGAATTGATATATCAGGATTTATATCTGAATTAACATCAAGTCCATTAAAAATTCTTGGGTTTCTTGAACCAGACAAGCATAAAGAAGTGCAGACGTTCATAATGCCAAAACTTACATTGCATTAATTAATTACGACAAAAACCCTTAAGAGATTTCAAAAGCCAGAAATGCTTACATGCTTACACACTTCCTCACACTTCTACACTTCAGTCCATTAGGGTCAAATTTTTCAATTGCATGTCGTAGATTCCCTACGCTGAATTACTTTGTCTTCGCTAACGATAGTCTTATTGTCATAGACTCTGCTCTGGACTTCAACTGCATTAATAATGTTCGAGCAAAGCATCTTTGTTACGCCATTCCATATATTAACCATACATACTAAGCAATAAACGCATATGATTCTTAAAGGTTTCATCAAATGACATCTTGAACATCTTACACAAATAAACACAAACAAGTCTCAAAAAGTTATCATAACCTTATTTGCTCATAATAGACTGACCGTTTGGCATTTTGCTATTCGATTCATATCAAACTGAACCATGTATTTAAAGATTCTCGTTATTGTAATACCTCTGAAGGCTGTTATACTCATAGCTCTTCAACACGTTAAGAGAACAAAAATCTAGTTGAATTGGACAGTTTAATATCAAGTGAACTAAATTCAAACTTCACTAATTACATATAGCATAAGTCCACGGTATATGAGGCCTTTTCACTGCAATAACCCCAAAAGCTCTGGTGAAACCTTTTAAACGGCGAGAGATACAGTTGCATACAATAGACTCGTTGGTATTAACTAAGAATTGATGGGTAAATCAAAATGTAACAATAGAACCAATCAATTTCGTTAAAGTCAACATGCGAAATGAAGTTCTTTTGGCTGCCGATTTGGGTCGGGTCTCAAGTTCTTCAGTTTCGTTGACAACATCATATTGGTATTGATGACATTCGTCAGAATTGGCTCTTGTCCAAATTAGATTAGATAAACTGATAAATCCTATAACAACTAGGAACTACTTGGTATATCTGCATAAAGATAGTTGCTTGTGTCATGCCAAGGGATTATCTTATGAAGACATCCGGACTCAGATTTCCTTGCGATAGAGCACAATATTTTAGCATGCAGGGTTAGTCGACGCTAAATTCATCGATCACATTTACAGTCTTATACACTATCAATCAACATCGCTATATAAATGAGATATTAGCACAGTAATTCAACGAACTTTTGCTCAACATATGGGATCTTTATCCAAGTACCATTATGTATTTCAGAACAATTACAGATAGAATTGCAGTGTTGACTGTCAGTCACATAACAGTATTTCACCTAAAAGTTTACAAAACTTTCTAAATATTTTAAAACATGTTCATCCTATCCTACAACCAACCCCTAGCTGAAATAAACAGTGATAGAGCGATCAAGAAACATTCAATAGTAAGCTGAACTGGACATTCCACATTATATCGCTTGGAGTAGAATATTGGCCCACGATGGCATTCATACAGCTGCGACAAAAAGTATACTCTAAGACTTATATTTCTTATTCAGCAATGACCAGGGCACACCAGAACATGGCGTCATATCATCCCGAGACGACAGCATAAGTTTGAAAACTTACGCTATTTTTGGAGGCTCATGGGAATCGTTAGTCAAATATAGTGTCTCAGAAGTGGTAACCTCGAATTTCAAGCTTAGACATAATGGAAAAGCTATTTGAACAGCTCTTTTACTTTCAAACGACGTAGCTTGCTATTTTGTACAATTGATGAATTATTCTGTGACCTTCCTGCCTTAATACATATCGGAAAATGAAGCCTTGTTTGAAAAAGAAACCTTTCCATTGAAGCACCGCCAGCCATTTTCCTAGCAAAGCTAATCTTGTGTACACCGAAAGTAAATCGAGTTAACAACTATCGGACAACTTTGAAGAAAATCGTCATTTGAGCTGGTGTTTTAAGAAACAAAAGCCGACAAGAGACTGATAACGCAAATGTTATAGGAGCTGCAAGCCAAAATTCGCATGTTTTGTATCCGACTAAAGCTACAAATCTTGGGTTAGTAAAAAGATAGCATGGCAATTTCCGATTGAACCACAATTGAATGTAGGAGATATATAGGTTCCCTAATGAACATTGATGCGTGCATTGTCCAGCATCGAATTAGAGGAAACAAATTTTATTCCCTGAAAAAGCTCTACACAACATTCTGGAGGAAGAATCAGTTTGCTTGCCCTGAAAGATGCCCAGCCAGGCACATGTCCGCAAAAAACCATTATACGAACCGTAGTTGAACGGCTTCCTATCAGACCCAGATTGAAGAATATGGAAACATAACGACATAACTTTTCTCGTGTCAAATATCGTCGATGCTACAATTAATACTCTGGTATCATAAATCATCTCATGCCTACGACGCCACATTTTACATTTTTCTTTGATAATGAAATTAAAACTACCACGGAATAGATGCACACATGCTGTAACAAATCACGAAAGCAACGCGGACTGATCCTAATCCTTTTATCAACAACTTGCTTCATGAATAACACGTAGATGACATAGAATCTTCAAAATCTTCATAGAAGAAAAGCTTTCTTTAATCGTTATCAATTCAACAAAAAGAGGTCTGGTAAGAGAAAAAATCAGTTTAAAACTATGCCGTCAATACGAATTTCTAAACGTATATAACGATGACATTCATCTTCATACTACAGAACCACGCCCTGCTTTTGCATCTTTGAGGAGTATTGGCGATAAATGTCAAACATCTTCTAGTAAAAAGTCTGTCCTCGTTATGTTGGAAATCGGAGTATTTCGAAAATGCTATGGGAAATCACATTGTCCTTTGACACGAATGCGCTACTCTTACAAATTGCATTCTCCAGGAATTTGTATAACGGTGAGAATTCCCAAGTTCATTTTCATGTCAAGCCATTAGTTATGCCCAACACTGGCCTTCATGGCCATCCACACGCCAACAGGTAAGACTGATCAAACATTCGAATTAAAAATACTTTCCATAAAGTGGGACCGGTGTTGTCCTGATGAAAGAGTTACAATGTTACTTCCAAACATTTTACGCCAATAACTTATCTAGCTCCACTTCTGAAAGAACTATTCACTATAACAAAGTCTACTAATAGTCTATACAATCTCACATGTGTTTGGTGCACGAGCTATACAACTGTGTCAATGGAAGGTGATAAACGATGTATATCATGTTCAAAGGTGCCACCAGGTGCGCCGTAGTATTGTTATGGGCCATCATGTATTTTCCCAGTTAAAGAAGAATCTCAAGCCTCGCTTTTGGTAACGGTAAAGAACCAATCCATTCAAACTCAGTCATCGGTGTCGCCCATGACTCGCGAACATGGTTGTCGTGTCTGCGGTTAATACAGGCTGTGAACCACCACTAATTTTCCTGGTTTCACTTCATGCCTTCATGCTGCATCTTAAGCTTTTTTTGTTCGTTAAATAGTTTCGAAAGTCGTGTTTCCCTCTGAAAGAAAAAAAAAAGAAAAAGAATGCCCAAGGAGGTTGAAACTTAAAACGACAAAAGATGAGTCGTGCTGTAAAATTATTTCCCACCAGATGGACGTTTTTTTTTTCTGGGGAAACAGGAAGTACCGGAAGAACCATAACTGGATGTGATGGAAACGTCAACTGTACTATGAAGGCGAATTGGCACTCAAAATAAGCAACCGAAGAGAGAATAAAGTACATTCGTCAATCTTTGTTACATTACCAGACTGGAAATTCATTAGACTTGCTAAGAAGATTACCTCACCATCAGGAATCATACTATATTAGAATCCCCCGAGGCGTTCGTTAGAAGTTTGCTAAATAACGGTTCCCGAGTCACCTTGCACTGTAATTGTAATTGACGTTAATGAAATGGTTTATTAGCCTGTGTTTGAAATTAAAGTGCGGTATATGCTCGTCTTTTATGACTCGCAAATATTTAGCGTAGATCAGCATGTGGAGGAATAGTTTTGCAAAGCAACCTCCTCAATAGAGTGGTCGAAGTTTTAATTTGAAGTGTAATCTGGAACAACATGGTGCTAAAATTTGTAAAGGTGTTACTGGGATTTAGCGGCAGCTACCTATAAGTATTCCCACCATAAGATAGGAGGTAGCGCATACTGAATATATCATAACAGCGTGTCATAAAATTAGATATGAAAATTGTTGTCGTTGTACTACCATGCATGATTCCGGGATAGTTCCAGTCGACTTGCGCGTCGCAAACGATCGAGTGTATGAGTAGGCTTTAATGTGAATAACCACGGTACTCAAGTAGCGAGTCGTTTAAATTGATAATGAGAATATTAAAACAGCTCAAACACAAATTTTACTTCAACCGACTTGTTAGTGTAATACTGATGCCCATGTGCTACAACCATAGCTGTTGCGTTAAGACAATACCCGTGAATGGGAACATCGCGTCGTGTTATGAGCACCATGGTGCCACCTCCGCTTTTTACGTGATTATGACCTCATTCAAACTCACTAGTCGTGATTGTTGTATAGGATAGTATTTGTGCACATAAAACGTGGTCTAATTTATAAAGTCCATGATGACGACGTTAATTTGTGGTACCCGCTTTATGTTCGTCCTCGCATGAAATCATCTTTGTAAGTGACACATTCTGGATGTCTGCGAGATTTTGGTAGGCTTTAAGTTTCTAAGAAATAAGTTGCATTTGTAGGTCAGCGTCTATCATCGAAGTTGATGTATATGTGAAAAGCTTTTATTTTTGAAGGGTGGAGTTGATTGTTTTCATTTGACATTTACCACCTACATAATTAAACTCGTTATCGTACTATCATATGTCACTGACTTCATTTAGCTTCTACGATGATAGCTGCAATGTTTACATCATTTTGTATTTGTAAAGCTCGAATTACGAGACCTGAAGGTTACTCAATACCTTTAGTATCGCATTATGTGCCAATAAATTTGGATATAGCATTCTGAAGTAATCTTCTGATGAGATAAAGGTTGTATTAGAAATATATTGTAAGAAGCGGATTATTAAGGTGATAGAACCTCCAAGATCCCAGTGAATGGCTACACAGGTTGACTTTTATCCAAAACGTCATCTGTATTCTAATGCCGCTTTACTTCTCTAGTTCAAAAATGAGGTTATTTGGCAAATATCAGTGAAAAGGCGAGCAGAAAATTCAACTAATGCTTGTATACAGCATACTTCTATACCAATAAGGTGAAGAAGATGTTACCACTTGGCGGTTTGGCGGTATTGCTAAATTTACCAGCAGCGTGAAGTAACCACTTTGCACTTTAGGTGTTTATCATCGGTACAAATAAGCAACACAATAATAAGGCGGCTGAAACTATAGAAATATTCTCTCTATAGATGTACATACAATACGGTTTTCATTGTCCTACTCTCAGTTTCATGTGATGATGACAATGTAAGCAAATAAACATAACAATAATCGGATTTACATGCGTTGTGAATCAATCTACTTACACAAGTTACTCCAAATCGATCCTTACCCGAATAGGGTATCCAATGTAGGCTAGTTGAATTATATATAAACTGAAGACTTCTCATTTGACATCATTATGGTCATCTCATCATACGCACTAGACATAGCAAAAACTTGCATATCAGAAACAAGCTGTGAGGTTTCAAGTAATTTCATGCTTTATCAAATATGATATCTTACCGTTGTCTGAAAGAATAGCGCCCCCAATGGTAATTAATCCTTTATTATAGATCATTTTATTTTTATGACTATCTTTTAGTAGTTCCACAGGTTTGATCTGAATTTTAAAATGTTAAATTATAATTACATGTATTTAATTTTATATTAATTCTATTCTGGAGCAACTGTAGAACCAAAAAATGCTGAGATATATGATCAATTATGCTTCTTTAGAAGCGAGGTGTTTTTATTTTAGTGACTTCACACGACTAATATATTTATTAAAACTTGTAATCGAGACTAATGTTTATTGTTTGAATTGCACAACTTCTTGTGACGAACAATAGCAAATTATGTCTAGTGAGTGAGTTTAATTATCTAGTTCTCTTTATATAATGAACCCTATCGTATTCAAATATTTAGGAAGTAAAATTCTACAATCACCTTCTTCACAATTATTTTCGCTACTTTGTACCCAGTAGTTTGTTTGTTTCGTTTGTTCGATGTAACATCACTCATGTCGTCAAAACAAGAAGAAAGTAAATCAATAGCTTATACAAAACCCAAGGAAGCAGATTTCCTAGTGACCTATATTATACATATTGTTTGCCCTATCATTTTGTCACGTTGCTGCGATATCTACAATAACATCATAGCAACAAGAATATTTTTTAGCTGAGCAGAATGTGCTGTTCCAATAAATCAGTAGTATATTAAATTCCGAGGTCAGCCACACTCGAATGTCTGTTTCCTTAAGGCTATCAATATTTGAGTAGTACTGTCTGATTTTATCGAATCCATAGCTTTTTTATCTGTGTATTCTCATGAATTAAGATATAAAGTTGAGAGCGCAAAAAAATTATTGGTTGCTTTATTTATTAACCAGAACGTTACAGTCATAGGCAGTTCGTAGTTGTAGAATATAGTCTTTTATAGGCAGAAAGGTCTATGCAGAAGCTCAAAAATACATTCCAAAGGAAAATAATCTGCAATAACATCATTTACAGTTCCATTGATTCTATTATCAGGTGTGCAATATTTGAAACATTTGATAGTTTCCTTGGATTGGGTTCACTGAAACAGACTTTTTTTTTTAGCTCTTATACGAGAACTCTCATTCCAGTCATGAATTCATTGTATGGTGATGTTCTGCTCATCTCAGTATTATAGAGTATAAATGAAGAACCAGTTAATTAAATCAGGGATATTTATAAGCTTTTCGAGCACTCTAAAAAGCAAGTATTAAAGTTTGGGCACTCATTTTCCATGAAGTTTACAGAAATCTCCACAATGGCTTGTCATTCTATCATATCGGACAAGTGTTCGCGCAACAAGTTATAGGTGACGAATTCACGCGTCTGGGTGAAGTATATCCTCAACTAACTTCTAATATAAGACTCTGGAGAGGTCCCACCTTGAAGTTAATATATTTCAAAATATGGTCTTCCATTTAAACATATCTTGCTTTTTTGTAAAAAGTCGATCTTCATGATTTATCCAAGTCAGATTGAAAATGTCAAAACTACGAATACTTAAGTTAAAGGCAAGAAAAGTTGTCATTGGAGAGGCTATAGTGTGATAGTATAAATAACATTTAAAACCCTCTTACAGGAAGGATGTAGAGGTTACATCAACCGTATCAACCAGCTATTGTCTTGTCAACTTTACATGGATTGAATATTGAAGGTTGTTTGCATACTCATCTAGAGGTTGTAAATGCGCCTTAAAATAACATGAAATAACAGATAGAGGAATGACGAAGGTTGGCTAAACGATAGAGAAAATATCAACCAGAAGATCTACTATGTGTTGTTTGAGTATTACAGAAGATGTTGTTGGCATAATAACTTCATAAACACTCAACTAAGATATCAATAGTATGCAATATTTCGCAATGATGCTAAATTACTGAAAAGTTTTATATGCGAATGAAGAGCTTCGAAAGTAATTATTTGATTGATAAGAGGTTTTGTGACTTTCAAATATCACTCATTATCATTTTATTCATAGTTGTATATCACTGTTGAAATAAATGTACATCTGGAAGCACTACGGTTTTCTTCCCATTACGAAGAAAAATGTTGGTCGACCAATATCGGGAATCGCAGAAGGAGAGGCTAGTACCTGTGTGTATCAAAGCAGAAACATTTATTTATCTCACATAAACTTAGTAGTCATCAATTGGTGAACCGGGTGTAGAATTCGATTATCGTATTAAAGAAGATCATAAATTGCATATAAGAATTGGAAATGCAGCGGACGCTAAGATATTTGCTCATCGTCAATGGAAAGGAGGACTTCACCTCGCTGATAGACTTCTAAATGGCGCCATAAACGTCAATGACAAGGTTGTATTAGAAGTTGGCGCAGGGACAGGTCTAACAGGTCTGGTTGCTGGCTTATCAGCTCGTCAGGTCCTCATTACAGACTATGATGATGAAGAGCTGATAGGAAACATACGGCGGAATGTTAAACAAAACGCTAACGAAAAGGCGAATGTCAAGGTAATGGCACATACATGGGGAAAAGAAGTTGATGATTTACTTGTTGGTGTTTATAAAGAAGGTTTCAATGTTATTTTAGCAGCCGATGTGATTTGGGATACATTTTCACACGAAAGTCTCATTGATACGTTTGTAGAGGTGCTCAAGAAAGAGGACGATGCACGCGTAATATTAGTAGCGGGCTATCACACAGGCAGACATGTCGTGCAGGCTTTCTTACGTCGCGCGCAAGCAAGAGGTCTCATACCAGACGACGACGCCATCATGGAATTTGAAAGAGGTAAACACAAGAAGACGTACAGCGAAGTTGAATTTGATCTACTAGATGGACTTAATGATATCGACAAATATCGCGAAGAACGACAGAAAATGACTATTGAAGTAAAGTTAAAATGTATCAAATAGGACTTTTTACAACGGCAACAATACATGCGCGTGAGACTTTTTATTTGAAAAGAAAGCTTTTAAGATGAGGAAAAAGAAAGTTAGTACATTACTTGTGAGTGATCGTAGTTGGAGTCGTCAATGGCGAAGGTGGGTCTTGTATATTAATAAAAGTAGGTAATTGAGATTGTACTTGTGCTTGTGCCTGTGCTTGGGCTTGTAAAGTTGCAACTAATTGTGCTGAAGCGGTAGCAGAAATGTTTGACATCCAAATTCTAGTTTTGAAACCTCTAAATAACTCTCTAACAAGTTCTCTAAAATCTATCCTTTGCTCACTTATAAAGTAGAAAGTTAATTTGCGACGATCCCATTGATATTCTGCGTCTATAACCTGCATAGGCAAGTTTCTTTGAGTAACCTTTTGTATACAAATTTGTAAAGCTTTTGCTTCGTCTTGACGTTTAGTTATGAGTAATTGGGTGTCAGAAGGGGAAGCTTTTGCGAATATTTTCTTTGGCTGGAGTTCTTTGGACAAGGATTTAAGCGCTTCAAAGGCATCGTTGTGAGGTGGTGGAAGGTTAATAGTGGATGTCGTAGGTGAAGGAGCATCATCTAATGGGGAAATAGAAGGTTTTCTATTAAGGGAGTTACCGGATAAGGCTACATCGGCTTGGTACTTTTGGTAGTTGAGGAGATCCTCAATTGTGAGTTTGTCATTTGTTACCTTTCCTAAATCCTTTCCTCTGTCGGCCTCGACAATTACTAAATCGGAAAGTTTGATCGAAGAAGCGACGTTATAGTCTAAAGTGTAAAACAGATCGGATCTAAAAGTGTGGGGGTGAGTGATAATAAAGAGAGTGATAGTAAAGCATACCTTGTTGCTTTAAATTCTACGATGAAAAGAGTAGTATGTGGGGGGATGCTCGCAAGCGGGGTGCCCTTTCCGAGATCGTTAAGGGAAGGCTGAGATTGCTGAGGAAGCTGTGATTGCTGTGATAGATCAAATGGGGGATAAAACCTAGGCTGTAATTGAGCAGGTAACTGCGGTGGGAAAAGTGGATAATTGAAGGGGTTGACATCTAAGCCGAGGGAGGAATTGTTGGATTGACTGGCGAAATCGAATCTAGAGCCTCTTCTCTGGGGTACATGTAATTCATCCTCTTTAATATTTAAATTAAATAAATCGTTAGTGTCTGCTAGTGTCGGTCTTCTATTGACAGAGATATCAGATGACAACTGGCTATTATTATCAATCATTGAGTGCCTCCTAAATAAAAAGTCATCGAATAAATTTAAATTTTTACCACCAAAAGGTGATTTATTAGAGTTGTCATTTCCTGCACTCATTACTCTAACATTCAGAGATGTCAATAATGTGAGCAGAACGATTTAATTAAACGGCAAAGGAAAATTTAACTTTTTTCGTTAGAAATTATAATAGACACTCGCCTAGTAAATTATTTGGTTTAATTTTTAACTCCCCTTCAAACACTGCCTTTGATTTAGCCAATAGACAGATTTATCTCCCAATCCTAGAGGACGTTCTCTTGTGGGATTATAAATCTAGCAGCGTTATTAGAGAGTTCCATGATCTTGGCTGCACTTCTCTCGTCACTCAGTTGTCTTTCAATCAGACGAACAACCAGTTAGCAGTCGGCTACAACGATGGTTCTATTAGGATTTGGGAGGAGGACTCCCTCATAGTCACCCTCAATGGCCATTCGTCTGCTGTCACAGCCTTAGAGTGGGATGCCGACGCTTTAAAACTCTTCTCCGCCTCGAAAGACACCAACATCATCATTTGGGACACCTTATCACACCAAGGTCTGGCCAGATTGAAAGGTCATAGAGATGTCGTAAACAGCCTTCACTTCCTTCCTACAAACCATCTCGTCTCCTCTTCAAATGATTCATTCATCAAACTCTGGGATTTAAACACTCATTTATGCATTCAGACTTTGATCGGACATAGAACTGCTATCCAATCAACTACAATCAAGGATGATATTCTCGCATCAGGCTCCTCTGATGGTGAAATTAGACTCTGGTCAATCGACTATGAAGCACTCAAAAACGGTTTGTCTACGGATGAGAACAATAACATAATCACCTTCATAAACTACCTCACTAATCTCTCCACCCACACCATCAATAGAAAACGTATCACGCAACTTTCATTCCATGATTCCCTCCCACTCTTAGCAATCCTCTCCTCAGACAAATCAATAGAATTTCTCAGGTTACGTACTGCTGAGGAAATCAAAGCCAAACTTGCTAGACGTAAGCGTCGTAACAAGGATAAAGGTAAACCAGTCAACGAGAATGCATCTGAAGAGGTCACAATCAATGATAGACTAACACCACATTTGGTCCTCCACTCAAACTCCAAAGTAAAATCATTTTCTTTCCCTCCATTACCTTCCTCATTCGATCACAAAGCTCCAGCTCAAGTTTTGCTAGCCTTGGCCAACAATGCTGCGGAAGTGCATGCTATACCTCAACCAACGAAGAAGTCTGTCGAAGATTCCCAGCCGGAAGCTGTACGTCTCCACTCGTTGGACCTTCCAGGACATAGAGCCGACATCCGTGCGTTGGCTTTATCGTCAGACGATCAATTACTCGCGAGTGCCTCAAATGGTCAGCTCAAGATCTGGAATATGAAAACTCAAGCTTGTCTAAGAACTATTGAATGTGGTTATGCGATCTGTATTGCTTTCTTACCAGGTAACAAAACTATCGTTGTTGGCACGAAATCAGGTAATCTTGAATTATACGATCTCATATCATCCACTCAAATCGCTGATGTTGATGCACATGATAATACCATCTATGGTATAGATATCAGCCCATCAAAGAAGTCATTTGTGACTGCGTCTGGTGATAAAGATGTCAAATTCTGGGATATCGTTCAAGTTGAACGTGACTCAGATACAGTAGTAGATACGAAGGTAACTTCTGTTGGCATTGTCCATACTCGCACTCTTAAAATGACAGACGAAGTGTTGGCAGTCAAATTTTCTCCAGATAGTCGTCTCATCGCTGTATCCTTGTTAGATTCTACGGTGAAAGTGTTCTTCAATGATTCACTTAAGTTTTACCTCTCCCTCTATGGTCACAAACTTCCAGTATTGTCTATGGATATTTCCTATGATTCTAAGCTTATTATTACCAGTTCAGCTGATAAGAACATCAAAATCTGGGGATTGGACTTCGGTGACTGTAATAAATCACTCTTTGGACACGACGGGAGCGTAATGCAAGTGAAATTTGAGAAGGACTCACACAAGTTCTGGTCATCTAGTAAAGATGCGACAATAACATACTGGGATGGTGACAAATTCGAACAAATTCAAAAACTCCACGGTCATCAAGGTGAAATTTGGGCCTTAGTTACATCAAACGATGGTCAGTTCCTTGTCACGGGATCACACGACAAATCGATTAGAGTTTGGGAGAAACTTGACGAGCCTCTCTTCCTCGAAGAGGAGCGCGAGAAGGCGCTCGAGGAACTGTACGAGGCAGATCTGAATGAAGCTCAAAATGACCAGGATGACGAAAAGGAGGCCGAGGATGTTCACAAAGCCACTTCAGCGACTTTAATGGCTGGTGAGAAGATCATCGAAGCATTAGAGCTTGCTGATGAAGACGTAAACGCATTGAAGGATTATGAGGCTCTTTCCGATATCGACAAGGCTAAGGTTGGTGCGCCACCTTCACGCCATGCCCAATTCATCGCTGTTGGAAACCCAACGGCTGATGAGTACGTACTCAAGTTTGTCCTTGAGAAGATTAGCCCTGCTGAATTACATGATGCCTTGCTTGTCCTTCCATTCTCCCACGTTGTGTCCCTCTTGAGTTATTTGGAAATTTGGTCAGAAAAGGTGGGTAGTTTTAAATGGAATAAAATCAAACTAACGATTATTGTAAAGGGTTGGAATATTGCCTTAGTTGCCCGTGTTTTGTTCTTCCTTCTCAAAACACATCACCACCAAATTGTAGCGAACAGGGTAATGAGGAACACGATGATTGGATTACGTGAGAAGCTGAGAACACGCCTCAGTGAGCAAAAAGTGAGTTGTTCATCATAATATGTGACATCACTAACATATCTAGTCTCTTGTCGGATACAATCTCGCAGCACTCAAGGTGATTAGGAGAGCGCATGATGCCGACACGATAGCCAAATACCTCGAGGAGGAAGATATGGATGAGGAGAGAGCTAACCAACGCCTTAAGGCTGATGAAGAAGCTCTCATGAACGCTGGTAAGAAGAGAAAGAGAATTATTATATAGATAATGTACAAAAGTATAGAGCGTCTAAGTTATTTTCCAATGCATAAACTCACACTAAACGTTGTGGTTGTTGTTCTTGTTGTGATTGCTTTCCTGTAGCTCCATTCTTCCGTCTGCTCTTAATTTCCTCGAGTTGTGCTCTCAGACTTTCTGGATCCTTCGCTGGTTTCTATGATATGTTAGTGTATGACATACTGACTGTATAACAACTTACATGTGTTTCTTCTTCCTTAGGCCAGAAAGCTTCTTTGGCCTGGGCAATGATTGGATATTTTATTAGGCTAATAAACAAAGACTTACAGGCTCTACATGTCTTTCGTACCAGTCAGGGTCTCCAAAATGGTACATGAATGCTATAGGGAAGCTAATAAAGTAATTAATAGAACACGCCAGTAAAACATACTTACAATAAATACGCTGCAAACTTAAACACTTCCAGGTTAGCACCTCCCATAGTTGACAGTTCAGGGTCAACTTGTCACAAACGACCATCAAGTAAGAAGAAAACTAGAAATACCCAAGTTATACATCGCAAATGGTTGATATAGAGCCTGAATTCGAGAATATATCCTTATCGTCTAGCCAGATAACTGCGACTATGATACCCAAAGATAACGAAATTGACAGCAAATTGTCTCATAATAGGACTAGATCATATAGTAGTCTACAATCTGACAAAGATAAAGATACTGGATTGCTACTACGCAGGGTCGACGAGACCGTCCATGAGAATACGCAGAACAGACAATCGATTGAACGGGGTAAACAGGAGCTTATTCATAATTTAGAAGAAAAGGAGAAAGTAAAGAAATCTTCCGATATTGATTGGCAGTTTTGGGGTGAAGTTATGGCCAGTGAGTTAAAGTTTACGTTACGCAATGTCGGCTAACGGGTCAGATTATGAGGAAGTAGCACGAACACAACCACATGCGTTATCTAAAGCTATCCAGAAGGGCATTCCGAAGGAATTGCGCGGGATGGTATGGCAGTTGATGTGAGTGTTTACTTTTTAAGATGTTTAACGACTTACATGCAATTAGGAGTAGCTCAAAGAACTCAGAACTCGAAACACTTTATCAGGAGTACCTCAAGCTATCTTCCGTCAATGATAAAACGATCTCGAAGGACCTTTCACGGACATTCCCAGCATTGGAGTATTTTCAAGACCCTGACGCGGTCAATTGGTTGTTTAACGTTGCAAAAGCCTATTCGTTATACGACGTTGAGTGTGGATATACCCAGGGATTGCTCTTTGTGATTGGGCCTTTGTTACTCAATATGCCAGACGAAGAGGCATTCTGTCTACTCGTCAGATTGATGCAATCTTACGATCTCAGGGGGCACTATCTACCTGAAATGCCCGGACTACATTTACGTTTATTCCAATTCGATAGATTGCTCGAAGAGATTCTACCGCTGCTACACACCCATCTCACCCGTCAGGGAGTCAAGAGTTCGATGTATGCTAGCCAGTGGTATATGACTCTCTTCTCCTATCGTTTTCCACTTGACATCGTCTACCGGATATTTGATAACATTTTCGCGGAAGGTATAGAAGCTATCTTCAGATTTGGGATAGCGCTCATGAAAAAGAATGAAGATAAGATCTTGAGTTTGCAATTTGAAAACATATTAGATTTCCTCAAAGAGGGTTTGCTTGAGGTGTACAGAATACCGCAAGGTGAGGGCTCTCAGAGAGGAAGCGAAGCTTTGCAGGCACCATTATTGAAAGGACAATCACACAGCTCACCGCATTCGAGTATGACGGGTAGTGTCTCACCCCGTCTAGCCACTTCAGCAGACAGTGGGGAGTGGGATTGCGATACGTTCGTCGCTGACGCATTTGAAATACGGATAACACCATTTCAACTAGACGCTTACGCCTCCGAATGGGCTGAGACGTGTTACAATATAAATAAACATGCTCATGAGGTTGATGGGTTGCGTCTCGCAAATAGGAACCTATCATCACAAATTAAGAAACTAGAAGCTAGTCTGACGCAGATAAATGGCGAGCATTGCGAGCTTGTGAAGACACTGGTAAACCTACGAATCGAGAAGGATGAAATGGAGGAATCACTCGTTAACCAATTAGTGAAAATGCAGGTAGAGAACGCAGCCAGCCAGGATGAGCTCAAGAAGACACAAGAACAACTATCGCGGTTGTCTTGAACTGATGTTTCAATTTTTCGTCATTCCTTTCGAGTTTGGATGTTTATGAAGATTGTATGAAATGTAAAATAAAAAGAGATATCTATCTATTTTATGAATTAAAGTAAATTAAAAAAAATAAAATCAAACTAGGCCCACCTCATCGTTAATCTCGTCCATCCCATCTGAACGTCTTTGAGCTCATAAATTAAAAACTACAAAATTAAAAAATAAGAAATGACAGCATCGTCTAGCGGAGATACACCATCAGCATTAGCAGACTTAGTAACCCAAGTTTCTCCGTCTAGCCAGCCCGCCAGGAATACGCGTCAACCTGTACGTAAGACGAAGAAGAAGAAGCAGCAACAAACGAACGATACTCAATCTCCTTCAACTTCTAATCAAGATCAACAAAATATGGATTCTACTGAAAACCCTCCACAAACTTCCGATCAAAATGAGCAGTTAGCCGCTGGTTAGTAACTTTATTACTTTCGTTATAAATCTAATGAACTATAGTTAAAGAGGAAGCGCCTAGAACTACAAAACCATCTTCTACTAAAGGACAGCGCAAGAAGAAATCATTTTTCTCCTCATTTTTCTCCTCAATCGTCCCATGTGTCGGCGAATCTTCTAAGAAACCAGCGCACGATGTGTCAGCAAAGGAAGATGAGCAACCAAAGAAGCACAGAGATCAGCAGCCGTCAACCTCACGGCGGAAATCTAAAGAGCGAGTCGAGGATGAGATACCACCACCCACACCAGTCATACCAAACCAAGGCGTAGACCTCCCAATTAGTGACACAGCCGGTCTGACCTCAGGAGCGGTCATGCCTCCAGGAAAAGAACTCTCCCCGCCAACGCCATCACGTCAACCGTCTTCACAAATGCATGAAGAATCTTCAGAAGAGGAAGAAATTGATGACTACGACGCTGAATTAGCAGATGAAGAGCGTATTATTGCAAAAGGCGGTATGGGTATCCCAATAGGGGAAGATGGTCAACCTAAACCACTTTTACCACAGTTGAACGAAAATTCTAAATGTCTTGTTTTAGATCTAGACGAAACACTCGTTCATTCAAGCTTTAAACTCATTCAGCAAGCTGATTACGTCGTTCCAGTCGAAATTGAATCTCAAACTCATAATGTCTACGTTATAAAGCGTCCAGGTGTAGACGCATTCCTTAAAAAAATGGGCGAAATATACGAGATTGTAGTCTTTACTGCATCTCTTTCAAAATACGCTGATCCAGTATTAGATATGCTGGATATAAACAAAGTTGTTAAGCATAGACTTTTTAGAGAAAGTTGTTACAATCATAAAGGAAATTACGTGAAAGATCTCTCACAATTGGGTAGATCTATAGATGATACGATTATTATTGATAATAGTCCAGCATCATACGTTTTCCATCCAAACAATGCAGTACCAATTTCAAGTTGGTTTAACGATCCACATGATACAGAATTAACAGATTTGTGTCCATTCTTAGCAGATTTGACTGAAGTCGATGATGTTAGGGATGTACTCAATGGATCATTATCACATTAAAACAACAAAATTATACACGAAGCAACTCACCTTCAATTCAATCAATTAATACATTCATTTGTTGCATTTTTTCTCATGTTTTATTTCAAAACTACTAATATCAACATACTTCTTTCATGCCTACAAACTTTGCTATTGTCAATTTACAAATTGTAATTCAATTATTATTCCATTTTTACATGTTTTATTCTTGATTGCGGGTCTTATCGACAAGCATCTCACCAAATTTTAGTAAACTTGGTGCACCCCGTGGTTCATTGAGTAATAAAGGAATCTGCGGGTTGTTAGAGTTAATCAGTTGTAAAAATGGATGATTTACCTTGACAATATGGAAATCTTCACCATATCTAAAACTGATTAGCTATATGTAAGGTAAGAAATGTTACCCACAAATCATCAGCTTCTGCGAGGTATTTCTTCTGTGTTGCGTCTCTTGCCAAACATCTGTCACAGCTAGAAACAGACTTGCCTTGGTCATCTTGTGGAAGCATTAAGAGATTGTTGATGACGATATTGCTGGTATCAATTCCACTATGGATGTTTTAGAGAAGCAAAGTCTAGTAACCTAAACTTACTATGTCGATAACTCTTGAATTAAACGTTCGGTCTCGTAAATAGACAAGAATTCAGCGATACATACGCAAACAAATGTCGTCAAATCCGCGTTCTTGAATTGAGTGTTGACTTGATCAATTGTTGTACGCATGCTTTCCAATTTCGCGAATATATCCTCCTGTGCAGGTGCACCACCACCCATCATACCTGTATAATGAAATAAATGGACTAGTTTAGGTTGTAAAAACTACTGACCTGAGAAATTGTTGATAAGACCACCGAATCTACCTGAAAGAGAACTAATTTTCTCCAATGCCTTACTAAGAACAGTAGGGAATGATAAGAAACGCAAGGTGTGTCCAGTTGGAGCGGTATCAAAGACGATACATGAGTATTGTTGTGAGTTTACGTATTTCATAATCTCTGCAAAACCCATTGCTTCGTCTACACCTGGAATGGCGAATGCAAGGTCTTGTACGAAATTACCTACGCCAGAATCGCCAGCTTGGTCATTCTCAACCATTTCTTGTAATGCTGCAGAAGGATCAATTTCCATAGCAGATAGATTCTCAAAGCCATTAACTTTTGTAGCCTCTTTTGAGAATTTCTGTCCAAATGCATCAGATAGATTGTGTGCAGGATCTGTTGACTGTTTAACAATTTAGTATTTGTTAGTGTAAGATGAATGAGCTCACTATCAAGAGAACACTCTCGCGAGTTTTTGCGAGTTGGATAGCAAGTGAACAAGATGTGGTAGTTTTACCAACACCACCTTTTCCACCTGTATTTTGTGAGATATACAGTCAGTATTGGCAATGTACTTATACTCACCACAGAAGATCCATTTGAGTGTCTATAGAGAAATTTAGAAGAATAAATGAGAATAAATTAGAAATACCTTGTTATTTACAACATTTTCTAACGTAGGCTCGAGTTCGTCAGTCATCGTGTCGTCGGTGTAAGAAATCGCTTGTCATATTACAGCCATGTCCTTAGAAAGTTTGAATTTGCTCAATAGCGAGCGGAATAGCTACGGTATACGTTCAGATGATTACGCTAAATACAGGTATGCTTAATTTCTCAATCAAGGTATTCTAACAGTCCCTAGAAAACACTGTAGTCGTAGAATCAACAAACTCAGACGTGGCTTGAAGCTAACCCACGGGAAGTCACACAAATACCAGAAGGTTACAAATGAAGCTATACTTAAGAATAAAGATCCACGTGTATTAGAAATGCTTTTGTTGCAATCTGATAGATACTGGGCTCAGTCATCAGAATATCCGCCAGCAGCAGCTTCAAAATTGAAGCGTTCTCTTCAATTCTCAAACCTTTTATTAGAAGCTTCCAAGAAATTCAATTTGCATTCCTCTGAGTTCGTTCAGCTCGTCATTTATGACAAATTCATAGAGGCTTCTTACAATCTCTCGAGAAAGAAATACCAGAATTCACTCGAAGCGTTCTCTATTGCTTTCATCTACCTCAAGAACCTCACAGTCGCAGCACCGAATGATAAAGTTAGAGCTTTAGCTGAAGGATGGCTTGATCAGATATCACCCCAAATTCGTTACTGTGCGTATCAGCAAGGTGATAAAACCAAAGCCCATGAAGTTGAGAGAATTGCAAAGGAATCTACTAAGAATTATGACTTTATAAACGTTGAGTACGACCAGGAGGATACAACAACGAAAATTTCAGGAGTAGTCTGGCGTGGTGAAGAGCTCAAATTGACCTCAGTTGATCTCGTCGATGCTATGCAGAAATTGCAAACAGTCATTGACAAGAAATCCAACAAAACATTGTCAAATTTCGACGAAGTACTTAATAGCTACTCAAATGTAATAGATATAGCACCAGAGGGTAAACTTAAGCAAGTTTTAACTTACAAAATGTTAGTTTTACGTATAGAAAGGGATTTAGAAATCAACAAAAAGTTAGATATCAATGATGCTGCTAATAATAGGTCAAAGGTGAAGATATTAAGTGGAATTATATACACACTTGAACAAATACGCAATCTTGATCTCGTAGAGTCTGATGATTTGGATTTATCTGCCTACGTTGAGGTCAAATTAACAAATTACCAAGCCTTTAGAAATTATACACTCGGTGTTGCCCACTTAATGGCTAACAATTATGGTCCATCCATACGTTTACTCGAATCATCCAAGTTTTATATAAGATCTTGCTCCGATTTGCTCAAGAATCTTGAAGAGGAAGCCATCAACCACCCTGAAAGTTTCAAACCAGTCATCAATGAGGAGGTTATTGACAATTTCTCCAAGGATATTGAAGAAAGTATCATAAACTCCAAAAAGGCCCTATTTGCTCAACAATTTAAGCGTCCACTCTTCTTTGATATTGCCAATACCTACGTAGAACCACCAATGGAGTATATTCTTAATAGATCACAAACCCAGGATGAGAAGAAGGCACCAAAGCCAGCCAACGTTACTATTGCAAAACAGGAGGAGATTGTATCGCAAGAATCACCGGAACCAAAAGCTTCATCTGGTTGGTTTGGAAGTTTATGGAAACGTTAACTAAAATATATCATTTTGAATACATTACTGCAACCAAGATAGTGGATACACGAGCGAGCTAAGAATACATGTGTAAAATTTCAGAATACACTTCAGCTTGTCGCTGTTGTCTTATTCTGACGTTGTGCTAGTGCACTTAAAAACTTTGCTTGACATTCAGCATTTGAGACACCGCAAGTTGCTTTCGAACGTAATTCCGAGCAGAGATTATCCAAATCAAATGCCTCGTCTTTAATTTGATGCTGATCTTTACCAAGATCCTTCCAGGCTTGTCTGACTACTTCATCAACAGATTCCTTGTTCTCTTCTGCAATTTCCTTGACGACCTTCTTGATTTCTTGTATGAGATATGGACCAATCTTCTCAATATCCTCATGTTCATTTTGTACGATACCCATTTGTTCCATTTTAGCTTTAACTTGTGGACATTTGGATCTTTCTGAGGGACTTGCCAAAACTTGTGCCAATTCGATTATAGTTGGTGGAGGACCAAGAGTGGATTCAGCCGGCTTAGGTGAAGGTATTGGTTGTTGATCGACGATGAAGTCACCTTGGAAGTTGATATCATTTAATATATCATCCCAGTCACCACCGCTGAAGTTATTAAAGTCGCTTATTGGGTTATTATCTAAGATATTGCTATCCCTATATTCCAAATTATTACTAATCTGTGGCAAAGGCGAAGGGGACTTTTGCAATGACTTATTTGGTTTATCTTGCTGTCCAGCTTGTTGACTTGGTACAGGGAATTGGAAAGTGAAAGCTGACTGTTTCAATGTCATATTCTCTTGTTGTAATCTCGATAATAAATCTCTCAAATTATTATTTTCTTCTTCTTGTTGAGCGACCTTATCCTCCAAGACCTTAACGTGTTTTTCTTTTCTTTCCCTGAAAGCACGTTGTGCGGCTCTATTTTGTTCTTTGCGCTTCTGTGAGCTATTCTGCTTACTTGATTTACTCGAAGGGTTATCATTAGAAGAGCCTGAAGAGCGTCTGTCTGTATTTGGATCTGTAATAATTAGTAAATATAAAAAATGAATAAAACTCAACTCACTCTTAATGTTGTGTGGTTTCATGTCTTGATCGAATGACTCATCTGTGGCCTTACGCTTATCTTCTAGCTTGTAATTATTATGAGATCCACTAGACTCTGGGCTAGAGGTGTCATTGTTCGTTAACGGTGGCGTGGGATTCTCCTTATAATTTGAAGTGAATTGTCCGAAAGGCTGCCTATTATTCGATAAATCCAAGGGATTAATAGAGTCTTTATTGTTATAGCTATTTATTTGCTCTCTGAGCATATCTAAGAACTGACTATCCATACTTTGAATTTCGAATGCGTGTAACGACGACGATAAGGAAGTAGCTATCGGACCTTCAGTTAGACAGCTAAAATAAAAAATTTATTATATTTTATTATATTCTTTTTACAGCTGTTTTTATTTATTAATATGCCTTACTATCTGCTATTCTGCATTCCTCCACTTTCTTACTAATCAGCCGCAATAGTGAGTATCTTTACTTTTGAATATCCTTCTATATATATCTATACTATAACTAATCAGTCAACGTTACGCATCTTTAGATACACATATTGTATGATTACATCAGCTCATGTTGGTATGATACATCCACTCGTTGTTTTATAGAGTAATTAGTGAATAACATATACCTTCTCTCTGTCCTTTTATCTTATCTATCTATCTCTCAACATTTCATTTACTATCCTCTCTTCTCTCAATCTTCTTCAAAAATATGGAAATATCGTCAGTAAACACAGAATTAATCTGCAAAATTAATAAATAAACAGTTCCTGCTTACAAGGTGGATATCACAAGCCACTATCCAGACAATGGCAGTGAGTATATCTATCTACCCAACTCAAAAAAGAAGCCAACATTTATACCCAGAAATCAAGGGAAATCACTCCAAAAATCTATGTTTATGTACCCAATATTCATCACAGATGATCCAGATGCATCGGTTGAGATCAAATCCCTCCCAAATCAACGTAGATGGGGTATAAATAGATTACAAGAGTTCTTAGCTCCATTGGTAGAAAAAGGCTTAAAGAGTGTTATACTATTCGGCGTGCCGCTCAACATGAAGAAGGATTATAGGGGTAGCGCAGCAGACGATATCAACACACCTGTCATCCTCGCTATCAAGAAGTTGAAACAACTTTTCCCTGAATTGTACATCGCCTGCGATGTATGCTTATGCGAGTATACTGATCATGGTCATTGTGGGCTACTCAGAGAAGACGGTTCAATCTACTCTCATGAATCGGCCCAACGTGTTGGTGAGGTCGCCCTTGCTTACGCCCAAGCGGGAGCTGATTGCGTTGCACCAAGTGACATGATGGATGGTCGTATCCTGCAAATGAAACGTAAGTTAATTGACAATGGCTTCGGTAATAGAGTCTTGGTTATGGCATATTCAGCTAAATTCTCAACCAATCTCTATGGCCCATTTAGGTGAGTGTTATATCGAATATTGGTATTTGATCCTTGCTAATATTATCTAAGGGAAGCTGCAGGATCAGCACCTTCATTTGGTGACAGAAAGTGCTACCAATTACCGCCAAATGCTCGTGGTCTTGCTAGACGGGCTGTCGTGAGTTTCTTTTCTTCCCTTATTACTTAAAAACTAATAAACTCAGCAACGCGACCTTAATGAAGGCGCTGACATTGTCATGGTCAAACCATCATTGCCATACCTCGACGTCATCTCAGATACCGCACAAATCGCTTCTGATTATCCAGTAGCCTGTTACGTTGTCTCTGGTGAATTTGCCATGTTGCACGCAGGTGCCAAAGCTGGTATATACGACCTGAAGTCTATTGCCTTTGAAACGCATGAGAGCTTCTTACGCGCAGGTGCAAACATATTCTTAAGCTATTTTACACCAGAGTTCCTCGACTGGTTGTAAATCTTTAATATACATCAATAATACAATTGCTTAAATAAGTATAGCGTTTTAAACTCGTTGATTACGACTTGGTCGTGCGTCAATATCTGCCTCGATGCTGTCGTCATCTTCTAGTCTCCTTTTTGAGTCACGGGTGAGTGTCGGCTGGTTTGCTATTGCGAGAGATGCCCGGTAGATTGCTTCAAATTCCTAAAATTCGTCAGTATGTCTCAGATCAGAACGTCAAAACCTACTTTGAGTTGACATTGGAAACCTAAATTAGGAGAAATACAATATCTCTGGTAGTTATTTAGTGGTTATTATTCTTAATCTGATAAAACATACCTTGTTTTGGACGTAATTTGTTGCATCTTCGAAAGATACTTGAGCAGCTTCCATTACGTACATGATAGTGATAGCAGGGCCTCTACTAATACCACCTTGGGGATGTTAGCTAGGAAGGGCTTTCAAAAATAACACCTTACCATTACAAACAATAAGAACCTTTCCACCATTCTGTAAAGCATTCGAGATATATTCACGAGCTCTGCCGGATTATTAGTGAGGCTTAATGACTAGGTGGTAACACACTCTGGATATATTCTGATAAGATTCTGCTCTTCAGAATCGCGTACATCCAATACCAAATAGCTGAACTGATCTGGATACCGCGGACGCACGAATACTGCCTCAGCTTCACCGCGTATGACAACACTAAATGGTTATAAGAATAAATTAGAAACTAGAATAGAGAAGCTCACATGTGGGTGATACCCGCAGAGGTGAGGAATGCGGTGTCTTTACTACATTGATACGGACCTAATACCAAATTTGGTATTATTTCCTGACATTCTCTACGCATTTCATATCTGAAGTACTATCAGTACTGTTTGCGATAATGTGCAGCTAACGTACCGCCAATCTGAACCACCGTCAAAGCCATCTGAGTTCTCTAGTAAAACCCTCGTATGGTTGACTTCCTCATTGTCTATTTCCATATTGCGCTCCTGGCCGTCAGTCAAGAACGCTCATGATGACTGATTTTGATGATGAAATACCAACTTTGATAGACAGTAATGAAACAGTAGACATCCCAGATGATAAGAAAGTACCTCTCACTATCCTCACCGGATATCTTGGAGCTGGGAAAAGCACACTCATTTCCCACATTCTCACAGAACGACATGGACACAAGATAGCTGTAATGTAAGATGCGATAAGGTTTAATATCATCCTTTAATACGTTATAGTGTTAACGAGTTCGGAGATACCGCAGACATTGAACGTGAGCAATAATCTCTTATTTTACACACCTAACCCAGCCTTAGGACGCGCTGTAAATGTCGGAGAAGATGAAGAATACCTCGAACTTGAGAATGGCTGTCTCTGCTGCTCGATTCGTGATGCGGGAGTGGCTGCTATCGCCAAAATGATGCGAAGGAAAGGCAAATTTGACTATATCATACTCGAAACAACCGGTCTGGCCGATCCTTGTAGGTTATTAGCTAGATAATGTGCACAGCACTTAACAAATTCAGCTGGTTTGGCAGAAATGTTTTGGGAAAATGAGTTGTACATTCCTGACATATACCTCGACGGCGTTGTTTGTGTAGCTGACGCCAAAAATGTCCTCAAGGTGGGGTTCGTTAATACGCCGTAGATTCATCTCACACGCTCAAGCAAATGGAATCAGATACACGGCGGAGTGCGAATGAATGTGTGAGGTAGGTATATATCATCTAATTCCGCTTCATAGCTAACACGAACTTACAGGCAGATTGCTTGTGCAGACTCCATTATGGTCAATAAGCAGGATTTAGTTGATGAATTTACCCTTACTGACGTCCGAGATGCATTGAAGTGAGTGGTTTAGACCTTCTTTCTTTAATTCACCTTATATAAGGACAATAAATGCTGGTGCAACAGTACACCTTACAAGCTATGGCAAGCTTGATCTCGGGCAAGTCATAGACCTCAATGCCTTCAACTCGGTAACCAAAAACGACAAAGCGGTGAAAAGTATTGAGAATATCACTCACGGGTGCGACGAGGCGCATAATCATAGTCACTTATTCGGTATCCAAAGTATAGAACTATCCTTGCCATCACTCACAAACGTACAATATGCCGACTTCGATATGTGGATACGGTGTGTCTTATGGGAAAATACACTGCCTTCTGTCGAAACAGTTGAGATTGGCGAAGAAATGGAAATACTGCGCACGAAAGGAGTTATTAATCGTGATGATGGTGCAGTTTACATTCTCCAGGGTGTTCGCGACATGTACGAAATCAAACAGGCACCAAATGGTCCTTCAATCAACACAAAATTAGTTTTTATAGGCAAAAACACCAATCAGGATCTCTTCCAGAAGAGTATAAATAACTACTTAAAACTCCAATGACATGCTATCTATTTTTAATCTTCTGTGATGCCTCTTCCGCGTGCGCTATACAAGAGTCTGGCACACCAGCCAGCTTCGCGACGATAAGACCATGGCTGTCTTTACAAACGCCTTCGCGCATAGTGTAAGTGAACGCGAAGCCGTCTGGACCAGCGTCAAGATCTGTGCTGAGGAATCTCACAGGTAGGTTCTGACCGTCGAGCATGTCATCCAACTCATGGAAGTGGGTAGCAAAGAGCGTCCGGCTCTTGTTTTCAGTAGCAAGATGGATGAGCATAGCATATGCTAATGAAAGACCATCCACAGATGTCGTACCACGGCCGATTTCATCCATTATTACGAGTGAGCGTGGCGTGGATGTTGACAAAATCTCTGCAGCTTCTGTCATTTCAACCTATGGTTTATGAGTCATGTATTACACGTATCAGAAGGAAACCCACCATGAATGTCGACCTTCCCCCGCTAAGGTCGTCACTCGCGCCAATACGTGAAAAAACCCTATCGACCACACCCACGACTGCCTTATCTGCAGGCACAAATGAGCCAGCTTGGGCAAGCACGACAATTATAGCATTCTGGCGTAGATAAGTAGATTTACCACCCTGTTCGAACATCCATTAGTGTGATTTTCTAAGGTAAATAGACTTACCATGTTAGGACCAAATATGGCATTGATGTAAGCCTTATCGTCCATATAAGTATCATTTGGCGTGAAACTATTGAGAGAATCCTGGAGGGCGATCTCCACAGAAGGATGGCGACCAGTTTTGATATCAAGCGTGCGATCAGTTGTCATATGAGGACGCGTCCACCTCTTCTCCTCAGCCAACTCAGCGAATGAGAGTAATACATCTAATTGGGATATAAGGTTATTGTTATGCTTGAAAGCCTCACTTTGTGCAGACAATTCATCTTTGAGCGACGTAAGCGCCTCTCTTTCGGCCTTCTCTAGTTCTTCTGATGTATCTATGATAGCTGACTTGATTGACGTCCACTGCTTGTGTATATTAGGAAATATTCCATTGAAATATAAAACGACAACTCACAGGATGCGAATACGAAGCGGTCGATTTCTGAGATGCTACAACTTGATAGGCGCTGGGTATATCTTTATTACCATTTTTCCGTGCAGTTATGTAATGGCCAAGTTTCTGATTCGACCTGAGTAACACCTGAGACGAATCTGTAACCTTGAAGTCATTTCTAACCATCTTGGCAAGCTCATCCCTACTTTTGTACAGCTTGTCGAGCTTCTTATTGAGCTGGGCAATTCTGGGACTATATCGTGGTGTTATTGACCTCTTAAAATCATCATTATAGATATCTGAACTATTTGACCGCTTAGTTTCTTCCGGCTCGGCTTCGCCCTCATTTTCAAGTTCGTCAGTATCTTTAGCTCTTAATGCGTCTTCTATAATGACCTGGTCGACTTTATTGGCGAATTTTATCAGAGGCTTGAGTGTTTTCGTTAACTCTAACAAAGAGCTCCATTCTGTAGATTTTGCGTGTAAGCCTTCATACTTATGCTCATATTGGATACGGTTTACGACCTCTTGTGACTTCTCAATCACCCTCTTCACTGAAAGCAAAAGTGAAGGCTTGAAAGACGACGCAAGTACGATCCTTTGAAGGAGACGCGGACCATCTTCGATATCTTTCAGGAACCCTCTGAGATCCCTCCGTAATTGGAAGCGAGATTTGAACAAGTCGACGCAATCATGACGTGATCTGATCTTTGATATCTCAGACGAAGGTTCACAGAGCCAGCGTTCGAGCATTCTATGACCATGCTGTGTGCAGGTCCTTCTCACAGCCTTTAAGAGACTACCTGCTGCTCTGTTATCCCTTATCGTAGACTTCAATTCGAGACCTTTGATAGTTTGAGCATCTAGTATAAGTTTGTTGGCTGCAAGGTCTCTCATTGGTGAGATCTCGGGTGTGTTTTCTATCAAAGACGTTTTAATGCGTGATTGTAATAGTGATATAGCTGCATTTTCGAGTGGGGTATATTCCTTTGAACGTTTGGCTTTTGATTCTTGCATCGGTGCGTAAGTGACAGTAGCATCATGGCTACCCATCAAACGTTGCAAAGTGGATGATTGTGATGGTGTTAATTGTATATCTAAGACTATCTCTGAGGGTGACAGACGTGCTAGGTAGCTCTTCAAATCCGCCGGTTTGCAAGTCTCAGCATAAGAATCACCAGTTGAGATATCGGACCAAGATAGAGCGACTTGTTGAGTAGGCTCCTGATAGATGACTGAGAGGATGAAATTGTGAGTGTTTGGATTAAGTGAAGATTCATCAAGCAGTGTACCTGGTGTAACGACCCTGGTTACTCTCCTGTCGAATGTGCCAGTTGTGTGATTGAAAAATTGATCGTTTATCGCGACAAAGAGAGAATGATCGACGACTAGCGTCCTGAGATGCTTTTGTAGTTGGTATGCAGGGAAACCGGACATTGGAAAGCGTGTTTTATTGTATGATTTGTCACCTAAGCTGAAAGATAATAACTTTGAGAGTTCCAACGCGTGATCGTAATATGCTTCATAAAAGCCGCCAACCTTTGTTAAAACCAGTGCATCTGGATGATTGTTAATCGTTGTTACAACATTCCTTAGTAGATCTGAGCTGAGCTGATCGCTATGGTAACCAAATGGATTGATAGCGAACTGTTTAGCTGGCTCTCGATGTACTTCTAAAGGCTTCTTCGGTAGAGATATTTTAATTTTACTAGTATTTATATTTCTTATTATTGTTCTATACATTTAGAGGTATACACCAGAGACATTCAATACAGATACGATGGCCAAACCAAAGAAGAGTGAGGAAATAAGTGCGAAATAGATTTCATGGGTGAAATTTTTATTTGTGCTATCAGACTATTAGCTAGAGCGTCTCTATATAGACGTACCCACTTGTAGAACTTGAATGCCATTATAAATGACGATATAAAGGACAAGACAGCCAATAGAGACAAGAGCTCAGTTGGTATCGTTGGGAAGAAGGGGTACTCTCTCTAAATAAAAAATCAGTTTTATTTCTCGCACTTTAATAATCAATTTACGCCGGAATCCATTGTTGACTTGAACGATGAGTATCAACGAGAGGCGCTGGGTAAATCCGATACCGGGTTTGCCTATAACTAGAAGGGTATCTTCTAATAGCAATAGATCGTCTATTATACGTCCACCACGGTCTCAGAATCTCCGCTCATTGACCGACACCTCTCAGCAATTTATGACGACAGCACCATTTGATCAACTGCCAGTAAAAGAAAGCGATAGCCTGGATAATATAAACCCAGTAAATTCCTATATTCCGCCTTATTTAGCCTTGTCATCCACCCACGATCAATTATCCCTTTTACCATCTCAATTTGACACAAAGAACTGCAGAACTATAAAGCTAGATTTATCAGACAACAACTTGGTAGTCACCTACGCTGGCCCTTCAGATGGTAACGAGAAAGACGCCGCAACCGTTCGAGTTAATGAACCTATTCCAAGGTGTTCCGGCATTTATTACCTCGAGTTTGAGATCTTAAATAGGGGTACAAAAGGCTATATTTCGATTGGATACGGTAATAAACATTTTAAATTGACCAGATTGCCCGGTTGGGAACCCTGCTCTTGGGGATACCATGGCGACGATGGCTGTTTCTTTGCTCAGGCTGCAGATGGTCTCAAGTTTGGTCCAGAATATTCAACCACATCCGGTAATGTTATCGGTATGGGTTTTGACTTCACCCAAAATAAATCATTCTACACACTCAATGGCTCTTTCATCGCATACTCCCCTGAACCTCTTCCATCTTTACAACTATGCCCCGAAATCTACCCTTGCATCGGTTTACGATCAGATAATGAATCCGTTAAAGTCAATTTCGGTCTCTCCGAACAAAATCCCTTCAAGTTCGATATAGAAGCCTACGTCAAGCGTAGAAAGTGGGATGTAATAGCTCAAGAAATTGAGAACAGACGCGTTGATTGGAGGGTGGATAACGAACAGCGTTCCGTAGAATTTCTTGAAACACCGCTTGAAATGCGCAAAGTACTTGGTGACAGATACACATACAGTGCAACTGGTGACGATCTTAGTATGCCAATGGGTGAACTCGTGATGGAGTATCTCGTGCATTCTTCCTATGCACAAACAGCGCGTTCGTTCAGCGAGGCACTCTCAAAGGAAAATAAAACAGATAAGCAACCAATTGGATCAAAGTCTGTGGATATGGAGGTGGATGATTCACACTCTAGCTGGCTTCAATCGCTAGATGAAGCAGCGTCAGCTTGCAAAGGCACGCGTAATGCGATCTTGGCTGGTGACATCGAACTAGCCTTGTCAGAGATACGAGCAAGATGGTCGTCCGTACTAATAGACAACCAACAACTCACTTTTGAACTTTTATTGAGGAAATTTGTCGAGCTTGTCATCAAAGCTCATTCAAGTGAAGTGAATGGTTTATATGAAGGTGGAGAAGATACAGCTAAGAACGAAGAAGATATGGAAATGCTACAATCGCCTGTATTGCCGCCACAAATTCCACCCCTGGAACTACCACATCCAGATCTCATGCGAGCACCATCGCCCGCTCCCCACTTGAATCCACTCGATAAAGCCTTAGCAGCTGGACGAGCTCTTCAAGCTAAGTACCCACCACAGGCGTATCCAGAGTATCAAGAAAGGATGCGGGTTGCGTTCGCATTAGTGGCCCACGATAATATCGAGAACGCCCCAGAAGAATCGTTAGAGCTGCTTGACATAAATGAGCGCCAAAGACTGTGGGAAGCAGTTGAAATGGCTATAAACCGTGAGTGAAAAGTTTAACAAAAGAGCACACGAGCTGACTATCCTACAGAATCAGAAGGGAAGCCATTACAGAGTGCCCTGGAACTGGTAGTGCGACAAGCAGGCGCGACTGTATCCCAAGCAGCATTGATGGGTGATGGTAAAGCAGCCTACATTGACATAGACGACTACATAAACTGATAAGAGAAGAAAAGTAGAACTGTATTATATTACATTAATTAGGGTCTCACGACCAAATGATTAAAGAGTTTTAATGAATTGTTATGTACTTTAGACGATTTACGTACGTTAGACTGTGACCATCAAGTTGGATAAGGCTGTATATCAGCCATGGAGAATAAAAACTACGTAGAAACCTATAATAGGGATAGAAACGTTATAGATTTCAATGAGAGTAGAGGTTCACTCGCTTTTGGTGATTCTTCCACAAAAGACGATGAATTGGCTGTAAATTTGGAAGCAGAAGAGAAAGTGACGCCTTTTGTTGTATTCCTGACAGTAGGTCTATCATATAATCCATATAATTTACTAATATCGATATAGCTTGCGGCTGCTGTCAGTGGTATGTTGTTTGGTCTTGATACTGGTATCATTTCAGGTGCACTCGTAGAAATGGACGACGCATTCGAGACTGAATTGACAGACACTTACAAGGAGCTTATCACTTCCGCTACAACCTTAGGTAAATTCTTAATTATGATATCGGCCTCCTTCTGACTAATTTCACAGGTGCCTTAATATCTTCCCTTACAGCTGGTATTGTGGCAGACATAATAGGAAGACGTTTGGCGCTTGCCGGGGCTGATGTCTTCTTCACCGTCGGTGCTATCGTACAGGCGTGTGCTCAAGGTGTACGTTTATCACCAAATTAACTAACACAGACAGTCTCACATTCATTTCAGGTTTGGACGATGATAGCTGGTAGATTCATCCTCGGTCTCGGTGTAGGATGGGCATCATGCGTTGCACCCCTTTATATTAGCGAGTTGTCACCGACTCGTCTAAGAGGGCGATTAGTCACTGTAAATGCCGTATTTCTCACTTTCGGTCAAGTGATTGCGTATGCAATTGGTGCAGCTTTTGCTAATGTTGATGACGGATGGAGATACATGGTTGGTATTTGTGCCGTGCCATCAGGATTGCAGTTTATCGCATTACATTGGCTGCCAGAATCACCACGCTTTTTACTTTCTAGGGGTAAAGACGATGGTGCTATTAAGGTCCTCTCGAGAATATACCCATACATCAATCAGGAAGACATGAAAGCGAAACTCTACGTACTCAAACAGGGCGTCAAGGAGTCTCTTGAAATATCAAAGAGAGTACCACTCTACAAGAGAATAGGAAAAATGTTTACAGAACCAGTCATCTTGAAAGTTACAATCATTGCCGCTGGTTTACAGGCATTCCAACAACTTTCAGGTTTCAACACATTAATGTATTACTCAGCAACTCTCTTTGCTCAAATTGGATTCGACCAGCCAACAGCCACCGGTTTGATTGTTAGTGGAACCAACTTCCTTGGTACACTTTTCGCTCTTAAATATATCGATGTCATTGGAAGGAGAAGAATTATGTTGATTAGTGCACCAATGCTGGTTGTATCTCTGACTTTCGCAAGTGTATGCTTCCACTTTTTGACGATCGAAACTGGTGGACAATTCGTTGATGGACACAACTATCCTAAAGTGTGGTCAGCTCTTGTCTTAGTAGCTATAGTACTTTATGTATTATTCTATGCGGTTGGATTGGGTAACGTCCCATGGCAACAAGGCGAACTCTTTACGTTGGAATATAGAGGTATTGGTACATCACTAGCAACTGCAAGCAACTGGAGTTGCAATTTGCTCATCTCTTTGACATATCTCTCACTTATCAATAAGATAACTGCTAGTGGTGCTTTTGGATTTTACGCCGGATTGTGTTTCCTGGGCACGTTATTTGTTATCTTCTGTTACCCAGACTTGACGAAGTTGTCATTGGAGGAGGTTCAAGATGTCTTTAGCGGTAATAGCTTCAAGGATGCTCGAAGAAGGGCAGAAGTCATGCGCAAATCTAAGTCAGAAGTGCTTTACCGTCTCCACGAAAAGGAGGGTGGATTGACGCCTGACCATCCGGACGAATAAATGTATAGAAAATAGGATTAATCATTTCATTTACTTCTTTAATATAATGTACACTAATAAACAATGCTAAATCAAACTTCATCTCAATTTTTATCAGCGTAGCCCCAAGGAAGGCTATAGTAAAATAAATGACTGACTAAATTAATAAGAAATGAAATAATTTTTTTGTATGATGTACTTCGTCTGTGCGTCGAATCTAATCTAAGATCGCGACCATCAATAGCGAAAAATGAAAAGTCTGAGGAGGTCCTTAAATAAAGACAAAGCGTCTAATCAGTCCAGCCCAGCGACCTCACCAAAGATTAGCGTCCTTCAACCACCTCAGCTCGTCATAAAAGCACTCGATTCATATAAAGCACAGAAGTCCGGTGAATTGAGTTTCGATGCCGGTGTTTTCTACCACGTACCAGATTTAGGCAAAGGCGGCGATCTTTACTACGAAGCACACGACCCTCTCAAAGGCACTAGAGGTCTCGTACCACGTAGTTTATTTGAACCATTGAGAAAAGGCGGTATAGGTACAAGGTGTGTTTCATTAACTCTTTAGTCATAACCTGATCGACCAATTTGTAGACAATCCGGCGTACCTTCTCCTGTATCCCCGACGGGCAAATCGTCCACTCAGTACGCCGTCGTACAGTTTGATTTCATTGCTGAGAGACCAGATGAGTTGTCAGCCAGAGCTGGTGAACCTATTATCGTTATCGCACAATCAAACCACGAATGGTTTGTCGCTAAACCAATTATGAGGTTGGGTGGACCAGGTCTCATACCCGTCGCGTTTGTCGAAATACGCGACCAAAAGAGTAACCAAGCTTTAGATACATACACTATCGTTAGATCTGGTATTATTCCAAAAGTTGAAGATTGGAAGAGACAAGCTGCAGACTACAAGAAAGCTTCTATACCACTCGGAAAATTCGAATTCGATCAACAGCCAGAAGACGACAAGGAGAAAGAGAATCACGCTCCTGATGGTCAGCCTCAACAGGCCGAACCAGTTCAACAAGCACAACGTACTAGCAACAATAGCAACAATAGCAACAACAGTAACATCAGTAATAACAAAACAAACAGCGTCCAGGAACCTATCAAAGAGGAGGCCCCAATTCTGCACTCTACTTACATAGCCAGGATTGTAGAAGCTAACGTGGTATCGCACTACCATGAGAATGAAGTCACTTGGTTCCAGTTAGATGTCACTTTATTAGACACAAAATCGAAAACTAGTTCGCTCGTTTTGTTCAGATTATACGAGGACTTTTATGACTTCCAAATTAGATTATTGGATGCCTTCCCTGTCGAAGCCGGTAGAAGAACCTCAGGTGATGGCACAGCTACACCTAGAATACTGCCTTATTTGCCAGGACCGATTGAACCACAAGACTTAAATGAGAGTTCTATATTTAGAAGAAGATTAGAGTTGAATCAATATATAAACGAGCTGTCACAACTTCCAGAACGTATCCTCTCATGTGATCTCATGAATGAGTTCTTGGATGTCAGACCGGGTGACAGAGATGTAACCAACTTACAACCGGAGGTTGTACAACCGCCAGGCGAATCATTACATTCCTCTACATCGAGTATATCAATCAATGGAGGTTTAGTTGAAAGTATGAGTTACCTTTCAGTGAACAATGAACTTCCAACGTCAAATTCAGTCGATAGTTCAATGTCGGGACTACCAAAGGTTGCTTCAGAGTCAACGTTATCGACTGCATCAAATAGTATGATGAAAGTTAAAGTATTGCATCAACCAACTGGTGATTTGATAGCCTTGCGGATATCACCATCAGAGATAAAATTACAAGCATTGATTGAGAAAATAAAAGAAAGAATTGGTTCAGATGTACAACACTTATGGTCTAATGAGGATAACGTTGCTGATAGGAAGGAAATATCAACAGACGAACAACTCCAAGAATGGGTGAACAGCGGTGTAAAACTGAGCTTAGTAGCCAGCTGAACAATTTCATTATACTCTTTTTTGTATAGAATATATATCTGTAATTAAGTTTCTTAAATTGAAACAACGATGAACTTCTCTGCCCAGACATACTTTGATACGCAACCAGAACCACATGGACATAGTCAGAAGATATCGTCTGTGGCTTCTTTCATAGATAGACAGATAAAGCTCAAACGTAGAGTCGCACTCGTTACCGTGAGTTTTCGTTTACATCATATCAGCTCATCTGAGAGCGATCGATCAGTCGGGTGGTACAACCGTACCATTAGAGAAGAATACGGTGAGATTTTTAGATAATTTTAGCGCTGGTACTCGTGGAGCCACATCCGCTGAGTACTTACTCAATGATGATCGCTATTCCGTCATATTCATGCATCGTCAACACTCTTTACAACCATATACGAAGCATTTTAGTCATACGACTAACCCTTTCCTTGATTTACTCAACCTTCCTAACAAACCCGAAGATGATATAACCGTTAACAAGTCAAAGACACCGGAGATGTTCAAAATTTTAAAAAGACACAATGAAGTCTATGAGCAAGATAGGTTGTTCAGTTTACCATTTGTCACTGTACAAGAATACCTATTCTTACTCCGTGATGTGAGCAAATTAATGAAAAAGTTGGGCAAAAATGCTTTATACTATCTAGCAGCTGCAGTTAGTGATTTCTTTATACCTACGCAAAAAATATTTGAGCATAAAATACAATCCCAAAAGGGTAGCTTACAAATTGAGATGGATCAAACACCAAAAATCTTAGGATCATTAGTTAAAGATTGGACGCCAGAGGGGTACATTGTTAGCTTCAAATTAGAAACTGATCAATCATTGCTTATTCCGAAAGCTATAGCTGCGCTTGAGAAATATGAACATCATCTCGTTATTGCGAACGATTTAAAGGATAGAAAATACAAAGTAACACTCGTTGAACGTAAATTTGATAAGCAATTTAACGAAACTGTTATAAAAATTGATGAACACTCGGATAAAGAGATTGAAGAAGAGATCATTAGTCAGGTTGTAAGTCGACATGACTTACACCTCACACAGCAACGACTTTAAGCTTCTCATTTTACACGGACGTTGGAATTCTTTTGTACAAATTACAAATTACAAATTACAGATATCAATGCAAATTACTAGTAATACAAAACATGCTTTCCTTTAAATTGTTAATGTTGCTGGGTTGAGTGCTGGTCTAAACTAGACCGTCCGTCATTTGATTCTAAGGGTGGTGCACTCGCTTCTATAGTGTACGAGTTTGTCGATGGTGCTGGTGGTGCTGATGGTGTACTTGGCACAGACGGCATATCTTGAGGCTTTGAAGGCAGAGCCTTTTGTACCTAAGTATCTAATCAGTGAAATTCCCTTGAAAAATAATGCACTCACGTTGTCATAATCTGAACTGTACGGTAAGTCAAATGGACTAAATGTAGGTTCAAATCTCGACGGTGGATGTGGTAAACTTGATTGAGATTGTGATTGTGATATAGATTTCGTTATAAGGGTATCATGAGTGCTCTCTTCCAGAGTTTCATAACCCTCTTCGTCGACATCAACGACAGGCACGGATGGCGCGGGCAGCAACGTTTCTCCACCTGGTGTTGACGATTGAAGGTGAAGGTTTTGCAAGTGGTCTTTGTCGTCAATAGCAATATGAGCTCTGAGATTACTATGACCATCATGACTATCATGGCCATCGTCTCTTTCCATCTGGGCATGCTCTTCGACAACTTCCAGTTCATTATTACCTCTGCTATTAACGTAGCGACTCTTCTCCGTCCGTCGGGCAGATGTTGACGGTATGTTGTGATTCGGTCTATAGGCAGGCGGCAAAGCCGGGAGTGCACCGGAGTCCGTATCCCTATGTAGCGAGAATGGTGGTGGAGAATCATGCAATGAGTTGTGCAACTCTCCATGTAAACCTCCATGTAGTCCTCCATGTTCCCCGCCTTCTCGTTCGGCAGACTCATCCGGTTGATTAGATTGATCAGGTTGATCAGTTTGATCAGTTTGATTAGGCTCCTGGCTACTCTCGTTGGACTCAATATTGATATCATTCGTCCCACTCTCATCATTCTCCCGCTGAAGTAATTGATCGTTGTCATTTTCAGTTTGTATCGCCGGACTGCTCAAATTCCAACAGGATGAATCAGTGGGTATAATCTTCTTTCCTTTTCTGTGCTTCAGGTATTTGAGAGGGTTCTTGCGCTTCTTTATTGAGGTTGACGTAGACCTCGGTGTATCAGGCATGAGTTTCGCCCGGGATTTGGATTTACGACGTCTACGCCAAATGATAGTACCAAACATTGTAAAGACAATAACTGATGCCAAAACGACGCTGATACCAATAATAAGTGGTTCGCTGTTCTTGTGATAAGATGCACTGGCGTGGTTGGTACCCCAACCCCTAGGCATTGAAGGATTGTCTAATTCGAATGGATCTGTAGTACGTTTATCGTATACTTTTATACCCCAGAATCTAAACTCTTCTACCTTCTCTAACGAGTCGGTTAGTTTGAGTGGCAGATTATTATCTTGATTTAATTCAACTTTAAAGTTCCTAAGAGCTTGCGGCTGATCTTCTTTAAATGGCATAGCTATAGCCGCGTTGATAGCGACCAGCCATAGTATTCTCAACATGGACGTTCTTGATAACGAATGAAAATAGAATACTATTAATAGTTATACAAATGTATAGTAATTTATTTAGCTGCCTTCAATTGTGCGATCTTCTCAGTGAACCTATCAACGATAAGCTTTGCCTGTGGTTGATTAGCGCGTTGGTTGATGATCTACAATACTCACATCTGGTGAAGTTGTCTGGATAGAAGGCAAATCCAAAAGGCTATTAATGTATTTGTAGAACTTGCTATACTTCTCTGTCTTTAGTGTCTCCAAAAGTTGCTTTCCACCTGCGATATCAACTTCGCTGTGGTTGGAATTCTCAGCAAACGATTTGAATCTGATAAAGAAAGGTGCGAATGCTAAGTCACCAATTGATGGTCTATCAGTACCTAATAAGAAACCAGTCTCTGGAAGGTGTGCTTGTACACCCTCAATAGCTGTCAAAATGTTCGTCGCTGGCTCTCCTCTAATCAACCAGCCGAAGTAGGCGCTGCTGAAGGCGTTTCCTGCTTCAATAAACAAGCGTACTTTCGCTCTGTTGACAGCGTTAACTAATCCGTGTGGGAGTAAGTGTGCATCTGGGAAGAGATCAGCCACGAGTTCCAATAAAACTAAACTTTCGTTGACTGATACACCACTTTCGGGTACCTTCTCTAAGTCCTTGCTGTGTGCATCTTTGTCTACTACTAGCGCTGGTACTTTCAACGCTGGGTTGATCTGATGGTACCATTCTGGCTTGTTCTTGAGGTCAATCTCAACTTTATCATATTTTGCACCTGCTTGTTCGAGCGCTGCGTGGACTCTTTGAGCGTATGGGCAGATGAGTGATGTGTAGAGAACTAATCTTGAGTTGAGTGTCATAATCGTTGTTTCTTAAAAAGCTGCAATACTTCCTCTTTGCTTAATAATAAACATATGACGCAATCGACACCACAGAATATGTAATAAATAATAAAACAATCTAGTACAATGGGAATTCTTTATTTATACCACTATATCTAGCCAAGCCTCCTTTCACATTCTTGACACTCTTGTTTTCCCTCATCAAGACATCTGTCGCGATCTGTGAATCATTGCCGCGCCTACACAAAACATAGATATCCTTATCTGTTTTAACCTGTGAAGGGTTTGATAGTAGATCTACAATTGGTAGATCTTGTGTGATACGTTAGCTCCTTAACACTTAATGACGTATTTTCATCACTCACTCGTCGATCCTTCGAGATGACAAATGCCATACTCGACATTAGGCCGTGTATCTATGACCAGATCGTCATCTTTACGCGTCCTAACGAAATCCTATAGTGAAATCAACATAATACCAAATGAAAAAGGCTTACGAACCTCAACACTAATCTCATTCGCGTGACTTAAACTTAAGTCCACACCACAGGAGTCACCTCCTGTGAAAGTAACATAGTCGACATCCTGTACGCTCTTGAGAGGAACATCATCACCATCTGCGAAACAATCCTTCTTCCTTGCACGCATTTTAACGGTCCTGAAAGGCGTTTTCGCGAGAGCTGAATATACAGTCAGCGAGCTTTCCTTTGGATGTAGTCCTGTGAGAAGTTTTATAGTCTCTGTAGCCTGCATTGTGCCTAATACACCAGTGACTACGCCTAGAATGCCCTGATCGTCGCAGCTGGTGACCGTCTGCTTCGGTGGTGACTTTGGTACAATACAACGGTAGCATGGTGCATCGTCTTCGTAACACAGTGTGATTATCTGACCGTTAAATCCCGTCGCTGCTGCACTGACAAGACTTGCTCGTTTATGTGTGCGATTGTGAATTACAACGGCGTCAGATATTAAATAGCGTGTGGACGGGTTGTCAGTGCAGTCTAATACGACATCTGGCTGTACTTTCGTCAGGATATCCTGAGCGTTGAGTGTAGAAAATTGTTCAAGGATGGGTGAAACAGTGACATTTGGATTAATTCTAGTAGATGTTTGTATGTGGCCGTACTAATTGGACTTATACTTACCTCTTTACTGCCTCTTTTATTGAATCAGCTTTATACAGGCCAATTTTATCGTCTGAATGCAAAATCTGACGCTGTAAGTTGCTTATCTCGACGGTATCACCATCTACTATAGTGATATGTCCTATATATTATCAGAAAGTGAGCTTTTATTGCAGGAAATATCCTACCAATGCCGGTCGCTGCCAAATACTGAGAAGCAGGACAACCAAGTCCACCTGCGCCTATAATCAAGACAGAAGCGTTCTTCAATGATAGCTGACCTATAAATAATATAAATAGGCTATTCAGAGGCGTATAGGAACGAACCAGGTAAGCCGATGCCATTGAGTACCATCTGTCTTCCATAGCGTCTATATTCGCCTAAGTCTAGACCGTTCACTGACGTTATATCCTCGTCGCTATTCTCCAATTTTAGCTCGAGTTCCTGTATTCGTTTGCGTAGATTGCTTATCTCTTCTCTAATAGCGGCCATATGGTAGTAATTTATCAAAAGATGATTACCGCCTATTTCTATTTCTATTTATTTTTTATTTTTACCTACTTTTCTTATTGGAATGCTAATACATTCGTCATATTTGACTATCATGCCATCAACGCTATCAAATATACTCGGATGGTCCTATGTCACTAGTTGGTGTCTATCATTCTACCCACAGCTGATAGTAAATTACAAGCGGAAACGGTTCGTAGATAAACTCTACTCCCACGCTTATCTAACGCTTATCGCAGTGTGGATGGTGTCAGCATAGATTTCCTCTATCTTGTGTGTAATATTTATAATATAAGCAAATCTAACTCCATATCAGAACGTCCTCGGTTTCCTCTGCTTAACAATCTACAATCTCGCCTTTCTCTATTCTGATACTGTCAAAGAGGAATACAAAGCACGGCACAATGGCAATGACTCGACTGTACAATTCAACGACGCTTTATTTGCTATGCACGCTTTTACATTGAGCGTTGTCGGTGTCATTCAGTCCTTGGTCTATCCACGTAGCAAATCTCAACAATCTGTCAGTATAACTTCAGGAACTACCATTTGGGTAGTAGTGGACGGTTTCTTTGTACTCTCCCTCTTTGTTTATCTCGGCTGGTGGAGTTTGGAGCTCATTGACTTGCTATACTTCCTTTCAGGTGTTAAACTCTATGTTACAGTATGCAAATACGTTCCTCAGGTAGGCTAATGCGCATAGTTGCTAGAATATATCTCATACATCCCAGATGCTTCACAATTATAGGCGCAAATCGACAGTGGGATTCTCCATTTTCAATATCCTCTTTGTGAGTGATAAAGAGCTATATATACCATTTTCTAACGTATAATCAAAAGGACTTTGTCGGCGGTTTTCTCAGCTTGTTACAACTCATCGTCGATTCGGTCGGAAGCGGTGATTTGACTGGTATCATAGGTAATCCAATAAAACTGTAAGTCTAGCCTCACATATGGTGCTTTTCTAACAACTTCAGATCACTATCACTCGTCACTCTTGTCTTCGATATCATCTTCATGGTGCAGCACTACTACCTCTATAGAGGCAATGATCATGTCGAATATGACGAGGAAAATACGCACACACATCCTCACCGTCGTCACTCGCATACGGAAGAAAATCGAGCATTTTTGTAACATAGTGCCAATAGCGTCATATATACCCTTCTTATCTTCAGACGATGAAGAGTGCAGCAAAAAATGCTGATAGCAGCAACGAACTAACTCCTACAGAGGAGATACCCGGATACACCTCAAATGACTCTGGTTTCGCATCTGATGAAGAATACTCCGAATATGGCACAACGCCAGACCATGATGGTAGGAAAGAAGTATCGAGCTTAAAAGCCCATGATATTACACCATGGTGGCATAGCCAACAATCGACCATGTCAGGAGCATCTACAACGCCTGAAGAGTACAATAACTATGGCATCACACCTGAGTCTATTTCACCACCTACAAGCCGACATGTACGATTTAATAGTAGAATACACCTCTATAGACCGCATACAGCTTCTTCTGCGGCCTCATCTATTTCTGGATCGCTTAGATCGACATCATCGGTTGTGTCCCCATATAACGCAAATCGGCGGCATAGTTTGATGCCAATCATGCAAATAAAGCAAGCGAGAATTAATGAAAGATCAAGATTGATGGGTGCTGATAATAGCAAGAACGACGACGATATTGATGTCTTATATGGAAAATTTCCGAAACGCCTACTCAATTGGGAGTATATAAGGTCGATAATATGCGGTAATTGTTGTGATAGTCTAAATTACAATGATGAAGATGACGTATGATTAATATTCAGATTCTTTCTTGCTTTCTCAAGTTGTTGTACTATAATTGTAATAAAAGCGTCTTAAAACTATAAACCTATTGTTGAATTAACTTCTAACACTTCTTTGTTAGTTACCACCAAAATGGATCCAGCAATGATGGAAATGATGGGATTTTCTGGCTTTGGGAAGAAGAAGACTGAGAAGAAGTCAGCAATTTCAGAAAGATTGGATAATACAAAGAGGTCTGCTGATACTCAAGACGAGAGCGTAAAGAAAGAGGAGAATACTGAGAATGTGACTATAGAATCTACTCAGGGAGCTGCACCAGAAATACCACAAGAGAGTGTAGAAATACCATTAGAAATCGACAGGAAACCAAAGGTAGAAACTGAAAAAGACACCAACGAAGGCGATAAAGACGATGAAGACGAAGAATACGAAACTGACAGGGATCCTATTCCATCTTCTCATGAAGTCGTTTTACAAGATCATTCGAAGGTACGTTATACTTCATACTAGCGATATTATCTAACAATCTATCTTAAGGCTGCAACTGCTATTGATTTAGATCCTGCTGGTAGCAGATTAGCCAGTGGATCACATGATTATGACATTAAACTGTGGGATTTCGCAGCTATGAACACGGCTTTTAGACCATTTAGATCATTTGAAGGTTGTGAAACAAACCACGTGAGTTCATTCATTATGTAGACTTAAATCACTTACTGTATACCAAGATTCACGACCTTAAGTATAGTATTAATGGTGATTCAATTCTTGCAGCCTCTGGACAAGCAATACCACGTCTATTCACCCGTGATGGTGACGAGATATACAAATGGTCTAAAGGTGATCAATACATAAAAGATCAGCGTCAAACTAAGTAAGCTTTCTACTCTATTATTCGAATTGTTTATTTACGGGACAACTATAGAGGACATATCGGGGAAATAAACAACTGCGCTTGGCATCCATTTGATTACAACTTGTTTATCACCTGCTCAGCTGACAGTACAGTGCGGTAGGTAACCCAATCTCCTTATGGTACCATCTAATAATTACAGGATATGGGATGTCACAGAACCACGCGAACAGAAGCACGTACTTGTGTTCAAGAGCAAAGAAAGGGGAACTAAGACTAAAGTGACAGCATGTGCCTACAGTCCAGATGGTAAATTCATTGTTGCAGGTGAGTGCATATGTGTATTTTAAATCTGCTGTTCTAATTACCAACCAAGTGGGATACGATGGCGCGATGCATCTTTGGTCAACTGCTGGAAACTATGCTAGACCGAACGCAATGAATGATGCAGCGCACACTAAGCATAGCTGGACAAGCTCTGTTTGTTTCACTCCAGATTCCAAGTATATCGTCACTAGGGGTGGTGATGACACTGTCAAATGTGAGTATATACTGAACAAAAGATGGACACTTCTAACTATATCTAAGTATGGGATGTAAAGAACATAAAAAGACCAGTGCATGTTGCTAGCAACTTGCCATCACTTTATCAAGAAGTCAATGCAACTTTCTCTCCAGATGGGAAATATGTTCTCACTGGTGTTGCTGGAGTGCGCGGTGAAAGTAAAGCGTTTGTTGTCGTCCTCCTCACAGAGACATTGGCAGAAGTAAAGCGCATACCAATTGGAAAAGACAAGGGAGGATGTGTGATAAGGACGCTCTGGCATTCGCGTATCAATCAGATAATAGCAACGCATTCAGATGGTGGTATATACGTCTTATACGACCCAATGAGCTCTATTAGAGGTGCTTTGATGCCATTAGATAGAGCACCAAAGCGAGCACGTGACGTCGAGGATGTCCTTGCATCCACCGATCCAGACAGAGATTTGAGAGTGCCAATCATAACGCCGGATGCGATGGAGGAGGACGAAAGAACACAGAAGCGTATGCGCATGAAGAAGGAGTCAGATGCGCGCAAACCTCAGCCGCCGCTCGTTGGTTCAGGAAGGGGTGGACGTGTCGGTGCAAGTGCAACACAAGCAATGGTACAGCGTCTCTTTGGTGAAAGTACAATAGGACAGGACCCTCGCGAGGAGTTGCTCAAGTATGCGGACGTCGACAACGATCCAAAGTGGACCGGCGCCTGGAAAGAGAGCGGACGAGTGTACGACGGAGAAACAGAGGAGCAAATGAAGGAGCGCAAGAGGAAGGAGAAGGAGACAGACTGATGTCTATCTGCTGTCGTCAGAAGACCAAAGTAGGCGTAATAATAGGAGAATAACAGCATTTTAATTGTATTATAATAAATAACAAAATTTATTATCATTTAATTTATTATTTAAATTTATAAATTTTTTATTCTGATGAGAAGCCAATCTTCAAAATTGCCAAAGCCTTCTTGCCTTAGAGTTCTCAAACGGTAGGTGAGAGAATATTTATAGGGACAGTGAGGGAGCGACAAATGCTCTGTACGTATTCAAAATATTGGTTTCTTCTTCTAGTATAGACTATACTATCCTTGGTTGCGGTCGCTGGCTCTTGATCGATATACAGACGGCTTCTAGAGAAGGTTCATAGCTAGCTATAACCAACGCTTGCTCTACTACATCATAGTCTTTTTGCGCTCTCTTCTGTCCAGTTTTGAGCTCTCACCGTAGGATCGAAAAGCTGCTAGTATCTTATCCAAAACAGGAGAAATAAACAACAATAAATAAAACCAATGGGATATATTCATCAGCGTGTTACTTGTTAGCATCGTCCGCCTCACTGTTCCTACATCCTATATCTCGACTTTGCTGACAATATTTTAGAAAGCATGGCTGTTGGCAAGAACAAGGTGATTATCGGTGTATATTCTCTACACACATATTCTAACACCCTATACAGTCATTCTCCAAGAGAGGTGCAGGTAACAAGCGTCGCGCCGTTGATGCATTCGCTAAGAAGGGTTCGTATATTTTTTTACTTTTTTATGACAATCTACTCACAAAGCACCCAGAGTGGTACGACTTGAAGGCTCCTTCCGTCTTTGAGACTCGCAACATCGGTAAGACAGTCGTCAACCGTTCAGCCGGTCTCAAGAACGCCGACGACAGTCTTAAGGGACGTGTCATCGAGCTCTCACTTGGTGACCTCAACAAGGATGAGGACCAAGCATTCCGTAAGATGAAGCTCAAGGTTGACTCCATCCAAGGCAAGAACTGCTTGACTTCCTTCTACGGTATGGACATGACCTCTGACAAGCTCCGTTCATTGGTCCGTAAGTGGCAATCACTCATTGAGTCACACGTCGATGTCCGTACAACTGATGGTTACTTGGTTCGCTTGTTCGCTATCGCTTTCACCAAGCGTCGTCCACAACAAGTCAAGAAGACCACCTACGCAAAGTCATCACAAATCAGAGAAATCCGTAAGAAGATGTTCGAAATTATGACTAGAGAAGCTGGTTCATGTGACTTGAAGCAATTAGTTCAAAAGTTCGTCCCAGAAGCTATCGGACGTGAAATTGAGAAGGCTACACGTAACATTTACCCATTACAAAACGTCTTTATCAGAAAGGCAAAGATCTTGAAGTCACCAAAGTTCGAATTAGGTAAATTATTAGAACAACACGGTGGTGTCCAAGCCGCAACTGAAGATGCCGGTGTCAAGGTCGCAAAGGGTACTGACTTTGTTGAGCCAGCACCACTCACTTCAGTTTAAGAGTTGTTGTCTAAAACGAATATTATCGATTTATTTAGTCGAATTTTTATCTTTCTATTAGTGTTTTAATGTGTCGTGTGTTAGATTATATAGATTATTAGAGTTAACTTGAGTATATTTAGTAAACTCAAGTAGTCGCTAGCCCATTTTCATCTTATCGCCCTACCTCCACTCCTTTTAGGTAAACTATGAACAAAAATACAAAAGAAGACCTACCAATTTCACGGAATTGGACGAAACTATTCAAAAGATCACAAACAAATTTAGATAACCTATCTTTTGATAAGAAAAAGGATGAATCGACAAAATCAAAGTTCATACGGAGAGTGGCCTCTGCACCAAACACGAACAAGCTCTTTAAGAAGTCTAGCAGCAGCTTGTTAGCACCGCCAGAGAAGCCATACGATTATAAGCACAACAACTCAGATATCACCTTATCCTCGACATCAAGTTCTACGATACATAAAATGAAATCCGACTTTATACAGCAGTCACGTTCACAAGATACTAACATACTAAAACCATCAAAGCCCGGTTTTAGAAGAACTTACTCCTCTAACTCGATAAAAACTAAACAGGTGGGTTGTTTGGAATCCTAAGGAATGTGCTTATATAATTTACAGGTCGAGGTTACGCCTGCGTCATTCCAGAAGATTAAACTATTAGGTAAAGGTGATGTTGGAAAGGTTTACCTAGTTAGAGAGAAGAAATCAGCCAATCTATACGCGATGAAAGTACTCAACAAGCGTGAAATGGTGAAAAGGAATAAGATAAAGAGAGCTTTAGCAGAGCAGGAGATTTTATCAACTTCTAATCATCCATTTATCGTTACTTTACATCACTCTTTTCAGTCAATCAACTATTTATACTTCTGTATGGAGTATTGCATGGGCGGTGAATTCTTCAGGGCTCTCCAATCACGTCCTGGTAGATGTCTTTCTGAATCTGACGCACGCTTCTACGCTGCGGAAGTCATAGCTGCGTTGGAATACCTCCATTTGATGGGTTATGTGTATAGGGATCTCAAACCAGAGAATATTCTTCTACATTCTTCTGGACACCTCATGCTCAGCGATTTTGACCTCTCTAAGCAAGGTAAAGAGCCAGGTGGTGGTGCACCAACGGTCAAAACCGGTACAAACGGTATACCTATGCTTGATACACGCTCATGTGTAGCAGATTTCAGAACGAATTCTTTCGTTGGTACTGAAGAATACATAGCTCCTGAAGTTATTAGAGGACATGGACACACATCTGCAGTAGATTGGTGGACTCTCGGTATACTCATTTACGAGATGATATTTGCAACTACGCCATTTAAAGGAACAAATAGGAATGCTACCTTCTCGAATGTCCTCAAAACCCAAGTGAATTTCCCTGATTCTTATCATCACATTTGTTCATCAAATGGACGAAGTCTGATACGGAAACTACTAATAAAGGATGAAAATAAAAGACTGGGTAGTACATCTGGTGCAAGTGAAGTCAAGCAGCATAGATGGTTCAATTCAATAAATTGGGGTTTACTGCGTAATCTGAAACCACCAATAATACCAAACCAAGGGAATGAAATTGATGCAGTGAATTTCAGAAATCTACGTGAATCTAAATCTATTGACTTTGATAGTCAAGTTACGCCAACTACTAGTAAATCTCAGATAACCGACCCATTTGAAGATTTCGCTAGCGTTACTAGGTTGACGGACGCATAGGATTTCCAGATATCACTTTCGGATTTATTTTTTTCTTATTTGTAGAAACATTGTAATTTATTTTGTTAGTTCTTTGTCGCTGTTATGTCATTTGGGAAACTACCGAACGAATTGACATTCAAAATAATTGGATATCTTGATATATCCGATATAATAAATCTAACTGGAATTTGCAAACACCTAAGGGAGATCGCAATAAGTGATGCCCTATGGAGTGATATTAATCAGAGGGTTATCGGGGAACACGTTGATATCAATGCTTACGCGGAGTCTATAAATGCAAGTCAATACTTTACATATATTAGCTTATTTCGTCACGCTATCAACTTTATTGGAATCCACGCTGGGGATGTCTATCCCCAGGGACACATACTCAATTGGTCGATAAACCGTACAACACCAGAATCAGAAGGGAACTTACTATTCATGAGGAATAGATTTAACCCCAGTAATGAATTTGTACAAGAACTGGACAATCTTGGTTATATGATCACAAATGATGGCAAACTGATATACAGATTAGACGAAGTGATTGATGCCGGGCTAAATACCCATATTGAAGACCTACCCGATCTGCTTGTGAAGTTCACGGGCAATATCACGAACCCTGTTGTAGCATATGACGTAGAAAGCGGTGAGGAGAAGGTAACGAAATATACCCAGGAAAGTGTCCCAATTGACAGCCTCGACAATATTAATTTGAGAACTTACCCAAGTCGTGAACTTTGTCACCTTGTTGAGCGTCGTACGCTCAATACAATCAACGTTCACACTTTCCATCGACCATATCCATGGCCTGATGACGAGCCTTTGCGTACCGTAAAACTCGACACTAGTAGGTTGGATAGAGACCCCCTCGAAGGCTTCTTCAGTGCCGAGTATGGGAGCCATGTGTGTATTTCTTTCCCACTGTTTCTATTCTCATGTCTTCTTCAGGGTATAGAAATACTTGCAGCCAAGAAAAGTGTACAGGAGGGGTGAGTTACAGTTCAACTACGTGTATTGTCTTACATTTCCCTCAGATCAAACACTCTGGAGTTCGTAAAAGTAGGCTATACTGAGAAATTTTTACAATTTTCTGAATATTTAGCAGGTCACGGGTGATAACAATGTACCAAGGTGTGTATAGAACACTACTGTAAGGCATTTCTAAGACATTAATAGAGGATTGGTTTCCATACGCGCTAATCTCGACCAAGAGATAAGAGATTCAGAGCTGCTTGAGGATAGCGACATCAGAGTGTCCTCAGATGACAACCTCCCGTGGCCGTTAACTTGTCCAACCCGACCAATTGGAAAGTCATACAGTGCACAAGGGAAAATAGCGAATAGTGTAGGTATTAACATACACTTTTCTACTAAACTAAAAGGCAAACACACAGGAACATCATTCTCCAAGGTCTACCCCAGTAATAGTCCACATCGAGAATCCAGACGTGGTATACGTAAGCTGGACAGAACTGAGAAATACAATAGTGATAAAAAGAATATTCTAATTTGTTTTGTATTTCGCTTCCTTAATTACAAAATATCATCTTTCTATCGTTCCATTATGGCATCAACAGAAGGTTTATCAGAAGCTCAGCTAAGAGCGCAGAAAAGACAGGAGAGATTGCTAGCGAAGAGTTCAGACAGATTGGCTAGACTGACAGGTGGATCCAATGATAGAGTTGTTAGCGATTGTAGGTAGATAGTTATCTCATATATTCCTTAGAGCTGACAAAGTAATTATCAAGTACCACAGAAAGCTACGAAGAGTACAGAGACGAACACGCCACCAAAAGTAGTCGCCAGCGACGATCCAGACGATGTCGATTTGGCCAAAGTTGAACAAATCGCTAATCAGGAAAATGATGAGGTAGCAAATGAAGCTGCATTTCAAACTCTATTACAAAAAAGAAGCGATGATATCCCAACCGTACCATCACTCGAAGAATTACTCGCTCAACAGCCAACTACACCTTCCAGGGTGGAGGATAGCAACAAAAACGCTCGTTTGTTAGCAATTATAAGGGTCTTTAGAGTTATCTCAGTTATTAGTTTAACTGTATTTGCTGTCATGCACTCTTCTCTCCTCCCCTGGCACGAATCATTCTCAGTTCTGGCCAGTGCAGATCCCGAGAAGAGGCTCCAGGAAGGATCAGCAGCAGGTATAGAATTCTTTCCATTATGGTCAACACTCTTACCACTTCAAATCTTCTTTTATGTTCTCACAAGTCATTTATCACCACCATCTAACCGTCTACCAAAACTTCCTGGATGGATGACCGCACTTTTAGATTCACCCTTAGTACCAGAGTATATAGTGAACATATTCAGATGGCTTAAAATAGCCAGTCATTTCTTAGATGATCTCGCATTATCAGTCTTTGTCTTAATAACAGCACAAGTTGTAGCCGAATACGTGATATAAACTAATTATTTATCTAAATCTGTGAAATCATCATCTGTATTATCGGTATCCAAATCAGTCGTTGCACCCGCATTGTTTGATATTGGGATCGTTTCATTAGCATCGTTCATTTTATCAGCTTCTTGATTCATTCTATCCAACCAACGTTGGATTAGTGCGGCATTATCATTCTTGAGATTTTGATTACGTATTTCTATCTGTTCTAGTTCTAATCGGAGAGTTGTTATTTCATCTTGGAGGGCTTCCATACCCCTTTCACGCTCGCGTTTACCTTCAACGTCATCCTCTCTGGCTTTCGATAATCTAGAGACCGAAGCTTTTAAACTGAGATTTTCAGCTTCAATAGCCCGTAGATTATCGTCTCTTTCTCGTAATGTTTCGTTCATTTCTAGGAGCCGCTGTGAGGATTGATTCTGACCTTTGTAGAGATTCGTGAGTTCGTCTCTTGTAGAGTGTAGTTGTTGTTGTAGTGAGTGTACTAGCGCAGCTTGTAGTTTATTTCTATGGGCTATGGGTTAGAAAACGAGGAAAGGAGATAGTAATAGTAATAAGCACCCATTGGTAGAACTAAGGTTGGTATCTGTAGAAGGTTCCTCTGAAGCCTTAATGAGAGTGTCATTCTGCTCCTTTATAATATGATATTGCTGTAATAGTCTCTTATCTGATTATAAATTTAGAACAGGGGGATAGTAAAAGAGCTACTAACAATTATCTGCGTATGATTCATTAATACGTTGTTTACTATCCCTTTCTAATAAATTTCTTCGTAATTCCTCTGTCCAAGATTCGATCATCGCTGTTAACGAAGTACAACGATTAGAAATGCCTGCACCAAAGAAAACAGTACTTTTAAAGGTAAGTAAATACGTCTATAGATTATCAATAGCCTATTAATCATCTATACAGGTTATTATCCTTGGTGACTCCGGGTTCGTTATCAATATTTAGCCACACTTTAGTCTAATTAACACCTTTTAGCGTTGGTAAAACGTCTTTAATGAATCAATACGTTAATAAACGCTTCTCAAATCAATATAAAGCTACTATTGGCGCAGATTTCCTTACAAAGGAGGTCGTAGTCGATGATCGTGTAGTTACTATGCAGGTGGGTTCACAATACACTCTAGCTACACATCCAATGATATCCCTTAGTTATGGGATACTGCAGGTCAAGAAAGGTTTCAATCACTTGGAGTAGCTTTCTATCGTGGTGCAGACTGTTGCGTATTAGTTTACGATGTCAATAACGCAAAATCATTTGAAACTTTAGATAGCTGGAGAGATGAATTCCTTATACAAGTCTGTATATACATTACTAGTTATATATCAACTCATTATCCCACAGGCATCACCTCAAGACCCTGTTAATTTCCCATTCGTCGTTTTAGGTAATAAGATCGATATGGAGGATTCAAAGAGAGCCGTATCACAGAAGAAAGCAACAAGTTGGTGTCAATCTAAAGGTAACATCCCTTACTTTGAAACGTCCGCAAAGGAAGCTATAAACGTTGAACAAGCTTTCCAAACTATCGCACGCAACGCACTCGTACAAGAAGCTGAAGTTGAGTTGTACGCTAACTACCCAGATCCTATTCGTATCGATCAGGAATCTTCACAATCTTACGGTGGATGTGAATGTTAAAATTATGATGCAATCTGCATTTGGATTCTTTGCGTCTAGTTTAGAACGGACGTTTAATTAGTTTTATTCATTCATTCTCATTTTCTCTCTCTCTCTCTCTCTCTCTCTCTTCTCTTTACACTCTCACCAACAATCGACATCCTTTTAATTTCTATATCTTCCTTTTGTACATAGTTATAGTATATAAAATATATATAGCGTAAAATACATGACACAAACGAGCTCTTTTCGTACATATTATTACTAATTATTAAATAGTATTGAGTGGTGAATAATAACTACCGCTCTTTAATCTGATTCACTACCTGAATCTTCTGAAACAACTGAATCACTATCAGAACCTGAACTTGCTTCGTCATTTTCAGGTATCGTAGTTGGTTGGTTAAGTTGTATATCTGTAACACCTTCAAAAGATTTCAATTTTGCTTCTAATGCTTGGATTTTTAAAGCTTCTTCATCTTCATTCATAGATTTCCTTTTAACACCACCCGTACCTGCACGTTTTGGTGGTCTTGGTTGTAAATCTACATCGACGTGTTGCTTATTGTATGGTCCTCTCTTTTGTTTTTGTGGTTTGACGACAAACATATACAACTTCTGCAACGTCTTAACTGGCAAAACATCGATATCTAGTTCAATCTCATCACTATTGTTGTCAAGATCGAGTGTCTCATAGATAATCTTTATAGCCTTATCTAATTGATCACCTTCTAGTTGTTGGATCTTTCCTGCCAATTCCTTTTTCATATCGAAAGTTATCTCTGGGATTTGATAATTCTCGTCATCCTCATCATAGCTCTTCCTACGTGGTCTACCAACTTGACCACCTGTTGAGCCTCTCTTTCCACCTCTACCACTACCACCACCACCAGTTGAAACTCTTTCTGGTGCACCTGTGCCCTTCTTCTTAATATCTGTTAATGACTTCTGCATATCTTCAATTTGACGTTGGAGTGCTTTAACGGCATCAGAGTTTTCATCATCTGAAATTTCAAGTGGTGTTGATAATGGTGGTAATTGTGTCCATTTTTCATCAAAGACCGCTTCAGTTTGACGACCAGCTTCATGAACAGGTGTACCAGGTGGGTTATACTTGTAGCAATTTCCAAACATCAACTTCATATCACCAAAGAAATCTGATGGACCTTCGTAGTCGCCCAAGTTCAGCTTCTGACCAACTGTAGACAAATCCATTGGCTGTTGGACTACTTGAGGATAATCAGGTAATCCAAGTGCAATGTAATCAACAGGGTCATAGAATGGTGATGCATATGATGAGTGTACTTTCTTATGAAGCTCTTTCAAGATGTATGCACAGTGGCGCATTTGATCAGCAGTTCCATTGCGACCATATGCCGTAGTCTTTCGCCTCTTCGACCGGTTAGGATCGTTTTGGGTCATAGCTGGATGATGAACTTCTCTACGTGGTCTACCAGTTTCTTGTGAGCGTCTTGGTGCTCCTCTTCCTCTGCTAGTTGAAGGAACAGCATCGTTGGTCTGCTAAACAAGTTAATTGGTTAACGTTAGAATAAAAAAACCTACGCTAGGTGGCATCTTCTTTAATTGTTTGTCGAAAGATTCCTCAACTTGTTTACCCATTTTTGAAACTGGGTGCTCATGACCGTTGAACCATTCTGTGTTTCTGAAGATTCTACGGACATCGGTCTCCCAGTCGTTGAAGTTATAATAACCTCCCTCCTCTGCTTTAATAGTCTTTTGCACTTTTCTATCAACTGTGCCTAAATCAGAAGGTTCTGAAATAACTTCAGGGTAATGTGGAATACCCATTGAAATGTAATCAACAGGTGAAAGGAAAGGTACAGCCGCCTTCATCTTTTTCAATTGCTTAACAAGTGAAGAGACAAATTTCAATTGATTGAATGAGAATGGTGGACCTGCAGGAATACCAAACGCAGCAGAACGTGGTGGAAGTTTGGTACCATTTGAAAGTACGATTGGTTCAATACCTGCAGGCGTTGGTGGTACGACTGGTTGACTTTGATCGTGAACCTCCTCTTTGAAGTCGTCCTGAGGAGCATCTTGTGAAGAGTATGAAACACCTGGTGCATCGAAAGGTTGCGGTTCTGTTTGTGGTTGTTGTGCTTCTGATTGACCATCTTCCATTAGTTGAGGCAGCTCTGGCTTAACTTCTGCAGATTGTGGTTGCTCAACAGATTGTACTTGCGTATGTTCAGGTTGTTGTAGTGATTGATCGGTTTGCTGAACAGTCTGGATTTGTTCAGAAGGTTGTTGTGGCTCAATTTGCTGCATGGGTTGGATCTGTTCGGAAGTTTGTTGGCGTTCGATTGGTTGGGTAGGTTGAACATGTTCGGAAGGTTGCAGTGGCTCGACGGGTTCGTCGGTCTGTACTGATTCAGCTGGTTTTGCTGGTTGAACAGGTTCCGATGGTTGTTGCGTTTGGACTGGAGCTGATTGAGTACTTTCTGATGGTTGAGCAACTTGTATTTGTTGGACTGGCTGAACTGAACCAGTTACCTCCAATGGTTGAGCTTGCTCTAATTGAAGAGGTTCTGGGGCCGATTGGGATGGTTCTGATGACTGAATTCCTTGAGCTGGCTCTATAGACTCGGAAGGTTGCGTTGGAGCTGATGGTTGCTCTGGTTGCTCGGGCTGAACTGAATCAGATGGTTGAGATGGATGTGCTGTTTCAGCTGATTCAACGACTTCTGATGGCTGTTGAACTGGTTCTGATGGTTGTGGTTGCTCAATAGGTTGTTCAACTGGCTCTCTTGGTTGCTGGGACAATGGAGTAGACGTAGAATCAACAGGTTCTGATGCTTTATCCAACTGAGGCTGCTCTGACACTGGAACCGGTGATAGTTGATCGTGTTGTATATTTTTGGGTTGTGGAGAAAGATGTGAAACGGGCTCATTTGTAGGAGTATCAGTCTCAATATGTGAAGGGGTCTTCAAAGTTGGCTGTTCTGGTGTTTGAGCATCTGGGCCATCTAATGGTTTGTTTACTGAAGACGGAGTTAAAATTTGCTGCACACAATGAAACATTCCAAGACACTAACCTTTTATATTGTCATGTACATTATTATTATATAATTCTAATTTCTGTCTTTTATTAGAAATTTCTTCCTGTTCCCCTAGAGGTCTTTTCTCTTCAAGGATTGACATCTTAAGACACACACTCAATTTTTTTTTTGAGGCGCGCTAAATTTTTAATGTTGGAGGTTGGGGAACAACAAGCGCAAAGTTATACCCAGATGGAGGAAATCACGTGAAAATCTCCAAAAAAATTTAAATTTAAAAAATATTTTGTAAAAACTAATTAAATATTATTTCTTAATTTTTAACACACTGGAATGGCACATTTTACACTTCTTCAACCGGATTTAGTTGCTGACGTGGCAACTAAATTAAGTTGGAAATTAATCGATAATATTGTATGAGCATATAAAACGCTCTTTTTAAATGTCAATACCACTTTCCATCTTCAATATCTCACAGTATCGGCAGATATCACTTAAACCCTTGTTGGGAGGTGTAACAGACTGACAGTCCACATCTCTGACAGTTTATTATCATCTTTTGAGCACTATTTAGTCACTCATAACGACCATTAGCGTGGTTGCTAGGGGTATATATGTAAGGACTACGATTGGGTGGATCACACCATTACGGCGATAACTCCTAAGTACTTTCTTGTACCCCAATGGACTGACAGTTTTTATTGAAGATCCATTCAGGCTTCATACATCTCAAGCTGATCAACGTTCCAATCCAAGATGTAACTGGGTTGAGATATATCTGGACTCACTTTCTACTTGACTTTTATTAGCCTTTGTATAGGCATATAAACCTTTTAAACAAAATTTCCACTTGGTCGTTCGTGATCACGTTCGGTTTGAGCCTATGCCATGCATTTCACGTTACAACTTTATATTTTAACCGCATTTGGTTGAAAAATGCATTTAAAAAATCATCCATGCTTTAACTACCATAAATCCGATTAAATGGTGTATTTTTTCATTATGCACCCTTGTCTGATATATGTTCTAGCCTCTTAATGTCACATACCGCTCAAGTCTGCAGAAAGACATGCAAATGAGAGGCAACAAATCATGGAAAGTAACAAAAGACGAGCGTATAGTTTATTATGTTTTTAAATTCTAAATACCAAACAAATTATGTCGTCAATTTCGACCAATTACGTCATAGTAAAGTATAATTATGATGCAGTTGTCAGTTTGATTTGCATAGAAATGGAAAGAAAACCAGTAGAATTTTGGTGATGTAACGAAAGGCAATTAATGTTAACGTTGGATATTATACAAATTAAAAAGTTTAAAATAAAAATTTCAATATAGCTCAGCGGAAGCTGGGTTACGCCGTAGTGTACCAATGGTAGGTGACTAGCCTCCTAAGCTAGGGGTTGCGGGTTCGAGTCCCGTCTACGGTATGGTATCATTTTTTTGACATTTCTCTCTCGACATCAACTTATTTTATTTTTGTACAAGTGAAGGACATTTTTAGGATGTGACTAAATTGTTTCTGATGTATATGTTCTATTGTTAATATTTTCCGAGCTGTCGATCGATTGTAGTTTATTTGTATGGAAGTACTTTTTTTGTAATTTTGTTAGTTTTATAAATGGTAGTAAATTATCGAACTATTAATTAATAATTGAAGATAAATAACTCTCTAACTCAAACCATCAAATCATGCCAGCGTAAGTAGAATGTCATGGCGATAAACAACAACTTAGAGTATAAAAGTAAATTATTCGCTATTGGAAATCCTCTTCTTGACAGTGAGCAATAAATACTTACGGATTACCGCGGAAATTGACAAATTAATCTAGTCTCAGTAACTGAGGGAGCTCAACAATTGTTGGAACAATATAAGCTCAAGGCTAACGATGCTATTTTGGCAGGTGAAGAACACCAACCAATCTACGAGCAAGTTAGAACTACATTGTCACCATTGTACTTAGCTGGTGGTGCTGGTCAAAACACAGCACGTGCAGCTAGCTACGTACTCCCAGAAGGCAGTGTCGTTTACACAGGTGCTGTTGGTAACGACAACTTCGCCAAGACACTCCGCGAAGCAAACGAGAAGGAAGGCGTAGAGAGCGCTTACCAAGTTGTTGAAGGTACCTCAACTGGTGCATGTTGTGTTCTTATCACCGGTCATGACCGTTCACTCTGCACCAACCTCGCTGCCGCTGAGAAGTTCACTGTCGATCACCTCCGTTCAGCTGAAATCAAGCAAAAGATCGAAGAAGCCTCACACTTCTACATTGGCGGTTTCTTCCTTACCCATGGTTTAGAGAGTGCCCTCGAAGTTGCTAAGCACTCAGCAAGCGCCGACAAGACTTTGGCATTTAACCTCTCTGCACCATTCATCCCACAATTCTTCAAGGATCAAGTCGATCAACTCATCCCATACGCTGACATCGTCTTCGGTAATGAATCAGAAGCTGAAGCATACGCCCAATCACATGGTATTGCTGTGAGTTAAAGCGAAAATATTTAATGTCTTACTCAAACATACTATAGGACACCTCAGCAAAGAACATCGCTCAACACATCGCTAGCCTTCCAAAGACCAACTCAGGCAAGGACAGAATTGTCGTTATCACCCAAGGTGCTCAAGAAACTGTTGTTGCTATTGGAACCAAGTCAGTCACTTCTTACCCTGTCACACCACTTGCAAAGGATGCAATCGTCGACACAAATGGTGCAGGTGACGCCACCGCTGGAGGTTTCGTCGCTGCTTTCGTCCTCGGATCACCAATCCCAGAATGTGTCGAAGTTGGCCACAAGCTTGGTGCTATGTGCATCCAACAAAACGGACCTCAACTCCCTTACCCAAAGCAAAAAGTTCTCTAGATTGGATATCAATTAAAAAATCAAATGTATTACGTTCAACCGTCTTTTTATACACTTAGTTATATTGCATATATTGACCTGTAGATGAGAACTTGGTACCTTGTCTGATAACCTTGTCAACACTATCCAAGAAGTCCTTTTCACTCGCGACCTTGCGTCTAGCTCTAATTGCAAACATACCTGCTTCTGTCGCTACTGATCTGAGTTCTGCACCTGTGGCATTTGGACAGAGTCTCGCTATTAATTCGAATCTAATATTCCTTTCACATGACATAGATCTTGCGTGAATCTTTAAGATATGGGCTCTACCTTGGTTATCAGGCAGACTGAACTCTACTCTTCTATCCAGTCTACCTGGTCTAAGAAGAGCAGGATCAAGTGTATCAGGTCTATTTGTTGCCATCAAAACTTTGATATTACCTCTTGCATCGAAACCATCAAGTTGGTTGATTAATTCCAACATAGTTCTTTGTACTTCATTGTCACCACCTGCACCATCATCAAATCTAGCTCCACCGATAGCGTCAACTTCATCAAAGAAGATAATACATGCTCTTTTACTCCTTGCCATTTCGAAAAGTTCTCTAACCATTCTTGCACCTTCACCAACGTATCTCTGTACTAATTCTGAACCAATAACTCTAATGAATGTCGAGTCTGTTCTGTTTGCTACTGCTCTGGCACATAATGTCTTACCAGTACCTGGTGGTCCATAAAGAAGAACACCTTTTGGTGGGTCAATACCCAATTTCTCAAATCTTTCTGGGCTAAGTAATGGAAGTTCAACAACTTCACGCAACTTCTCGATCTGTTCTTTGCATCCACCGACATCAGAGTAAGTGATATCTGGCTTCTCCTCGACCTGCATCATTGTGACGGTAGGATCAATTCTTGGTGGTAAAGGAATTTGAATTTGGTATTTTTGACGATCGACACTATATAATTGTGAGTAATAATCTACTACGTGTGTTGTATACTCACCCAACACGCATACCCTCCTCGACGTCAGTTGGTGCTATCCTATCACCTAATCCGACAACAAACTTTGCGACATGCTTGATATCAATAACGTATTTGTCGTCACCTTCACCACCGGCTTGTTCAGCAGAAGTACCAGCGCCGAGAACACCTTGTCCAGCTTGAGCCATACGTTGTGTGAGTGGAATAGATGGTTGAGATTGCTGACTTTGCTCACTTCCGCTCTGTTGCTGAGCAATTTCATGTGGTTTGATAATCTTTGTACATCTAGCTACTTGTAATGGGTGTTCTGACTCCATACGCTGTCTGTCAGCTGGTAAATCCCATAAATTTGGTGGTGCCAAACCGGTATCAGATTCTTTTATTCCCATTCTTTCATTGACACGCTTCTGTACATCCTTGATATCAGTTTCTGCCTTCTTGAGCTGTCTAGCATATGGACCTTGTCCGTATGTTTTCAATATCTGAATATCTGTATCGTCTAAGGCTTCTATTTTACCGTCATCCTTCTTGGTAGGATCTGCTTGATCTGGTGTATGATTAGAGAGTGTGTATAGAGTTTAGATATAACTGACATTTCTCCCAGTCTCTATAGAAGTCTATCAATAACAATTCAGTCGTAGTTATTCCCCACTTACGCTTTTGGTGGCATATTTTTTCTTGGGTGTTTGAAGTAAACCGATTACGTACACGTTTGATTGCAAAGTTCAAAATATTAAATAATTCTATTAAGGATACAATATCTAGTCTATATCAATAGAAGGCATTTCTTCATCCTCGCTTTCATCTTCATCCTTGCTAATTGGTAGCGGTTTAGTAAACGATTTGCTCGATTCTACTGGAGGTGGTCTAGCAGTCGTGATACTCTCTACAGGTTTGGGTTCATCTTTTGGAACCGCAAACTCGAGATCTCCACTGGCGCTAGCTCTGCTTTGTGGTTCAATTACTGACTGAATTTCCTTCGCGACTTCTTTTTCTACTTTCTCTTCATCCTGCATGATTTCATCTTCATCCTTGTCTTTACCTGCTTCTTTATCGTTAATACTCTCTCCCTCTTCTACCTCCTCTTTTTCCTCATCTTCTTCCTCATCTTCTGTGGTTACATTACCAACACCGCCAAGAGCCAGCTTAATGGTATGCAACTCCTTCTTGATATTGTAGCGCTTGTCTTCTACGTCAGCATGTATAATTGGTGCTGGTGCTGCTGGATGTACTAGAACATCCAAGAGAGGATTCGATCCAGTGACTTCGACAATCCAGCTCGACATTGGTGTAGTCAATGCGTGCTTGCTCACAACAATTCTCTTTATAGCACTCCAGACTGAGTCGGCTGCTGAATCATCTGGCATGAGTGCTCTCCAATCTTGGTCCAAGGCAAGCGCAACAACGATTTTAAGGGCGAGTGTCTCGACGCTCGGAACGGTATGCAAAGCACACTCGATAACTTCAATTATGTTAATTCTACCATCTACGTGACGTATAGTCGCGACTCACATTTGAATGCCGCTGTCAATGTTTTAACATTCAATGTCGTCAATTTGACACTTCCAGCAAATGCTTCGTCAGCTTCGAACTGATTGCGCGAACGCTTCTTTCCTTTCGCAGACTTGGCTGTTGTGGCTGTGACAGTCTGCTTGACTGGATTTGTCATAGCGAGTGTACGAAGTGTTGCCTTGAATATACGCACCATGTGTACGTTGTCGACATTGAATGCTGCACCAGATTGAGTGAGATTCGTTGCGAGTTCAAGAAGTACATGTTTGACATTCCTACATCCATTAAAACTATCGCGACACAAGGAATTGACCTACCCGTTCAAATCTGTTGAGGAGAGATGGAAAGCAACAGCATTGAGGACCGTATTAACATGTGGTGTCAGAGCAGTCCCGACTAATTGAGCAAGTTGGGCCAACAATCCCGATGCGTATGATATGAGCTGCACGGAGCTACTTACACGTAGGACACTCTCCTCTTTATTCGAGTTCTCCTTCTACTCTTGCTGTTAGTCCTTGTAAAATATCAGTAAACCAAGACCACTTACGATGGTTGCAGGTGTAAGGTGCAATATGCGAGTGCAGAGGGCGACAATAGAGCCGACGGGGATGGCTATGTAGGTGTCATTGCTGCCAGACAAAGCTTTACAAATAGAGTAAAACAAAACACCAACGCGTCTGACCAAAAATGGTGCATCATGAAGTAAATCACCACTAGGAGCTCTCGTTTGGTCAAGCTTCAAATCGTCGCTCTTTATTGAGCTGCCGAATAAATCGCCCATAACCATACCAACATCCTTTTCGATACTCTTGAGAGTCGTCTCTATCAATTTTTTCAAAGTTTGAGAGACATTAGCCTTTCCAGCCGCGCGCGCAGAAGTGGAATAAAGACGTGCGACGGCATCAACATGTTTCTGGTTTGCATTATCTGGTGACTTTGCTAACAAAGCTACTACTTGAGCATTAAGTGCGTTTAATTGTGGTCTAAATGAACTTGAGTGGGTTGTCAAATGATCGCTGATAGCGTTTATTGCATCAATTTGTAAATCTGAACGATGCTTAAGTATATCGAGCAATTTCTGAGCATATTTGACAGCGAGCGGTTGTGTAACGTTCCTACTAAATTCTGGCAAACGAGTAGCAGAGCTGAATATAACTGTTGTGAGCTCAAGTGCTAACTTCATAGTTGCTTTCTCATCATTTGCTCTATTCACGATGGCTAACGCCTTCTCAATCCACTGTTTTCCAAATTGACGGATACAATCGAGTGAAGAAACACGCTCATTTACCCATAAAATAGCTATTTGTAAGCCTAATGACCTCTCATATTGATTGCGTGATTGTATGAGTGTGAGTACTCTGGTATTCAACTGTGATAGCAATTCAAAACTGCCGCTAAGATCTAAAGCTTGAGAATCCGTTTGGAGAAGCTGCAGGGCTGTAGCACCAGATTTATCATCTGGGCTACTTAAATAGTTTCTAAGTACTAATTTTATAAGCCTATCACTCATTTCTTGATAGGCTATCGAAGGGAGAAGACAAGAGTGTTTTATGGATAGAAAATACAATTTCATAGAAATACAAATTTATAATCTTATTATTATCCTATTAATTCGAATTCGATATGTCTAAACATTGATCTACCGCTCTTTCGAGGTTGCCGTGTTCAGCTTTCAAGACGAGCTCACAAACCCCGGGTTCCATATGTGGGAACACTTGAATTAGTGTCTCGAGGGACCTGTTAAATTGCTGACGGCTTTGCTCGAAGTGTTCAGATCGTGAGCGTACGAAATGCGCTTCTTCTGCTCCTTCCTCTCCCCGATGGGCATCACTATGGAGATCATTGGCAGATGCTGAGCTAGTGAGCTTATCGACGCCCTCTTCGACAACCTCACCGAGTAGTTTGCCTATCTTACCAATACCCTGTGTTGTCTTCTGGAAGAGTTGCTTTGACTCATTTGCTATATTTAGCTGAGGCGTTGTTGGTGGTTTATCAGGAGAAGCTGGCGGAGTTGAGGGTAGCTGTGAAATAGCTTCTTCGACGTGTCTAAGAAGAGTATTAGTAGTTGTAGAGCGGTAAATCAAATTACTCACCTCTCAAAGTCTTCTTTTTCGATATTCGAAAGAGCCTTATGGTCTAAGTTGTTGATAAATGAGACAGCAGCTGTCAGAGTGTAGAAATAGTAGCCAACCTCACCGGAGAGCTGCTCGTTGTTGGTGAAACGCTGGATATATTCTATATTGCTAATTAAATGTGAAGGGTTCGTTTGAAGGAGAGTGTATATAAAAAGTGGAAGTAAGCTATCAGCAGATGTTGTTGCTGGTGACTTGTTGAGGATGTCTGTGAGGATAATTGATGTGTTGAGAATTACGAGTGTCTTATCTTGTGGGCAGTGGTATTTATTTATCGATTGGAGCTGTTCTGTCGCCAGATTAAATGTCTCACCAAGGCCGAAATCCAAGTCAAGCTGTTTCAACTCAATCCAGCTAAAAATCCTCACCCTTTGTTCCAAGACCTGGTCTTTTGCTAAGTCATCGTTCTTTGGCTTGAAGATTCTATGGTATAATTTACGATGAATGAGCTTGTCCATTGATAACAATGCGCTGTCTAAATCGCCGAACTGGCCTGTCTTTTCCATTTCCTCTCTAATGAAAGATAAGAAGTCTGTAATCAATTTAACTTGTTGATTGCTAGTGAAATCCCTTTTCGAGAATCCTGACAAGAATGAGTGTGTGTACTTGTGTATAGATTCCACGCTATTGAAGCTGCTCATAAAGTCATCAAACGCACTATCATCTCCTATTTTATACAATTTTTCTTTTATTTTAGATATTTCTATACTCTCACTTGCTTTCTCGGTCATCGATGAACGATAAATGAAAGATCAGGAATTAAACTGGGTAATTTGCTATCTCAAATTTTTAATATTTAATATTTCAAACTGGACTACCCTTCTATTGCCTTATAACGATCTCGAAACCCATCTCTATAAGTCGTCCATTAACAGAGATGACGTTTTTAGATTACATCTCAACGGTAGTAGCATCGATAGGATACAGTTCATTACTCTACTAAGTACTCCTGAGTACCTCGCTACTATACACCCAGCCATCTCATCTGCAACAACTCTAAACATCATCGACTCTCAAACGAAAATCATACGAGTCTATCTCTCCACAGGATGGCCCAAGAGTACGAAATACTCTGATATGATCGTCACAACGTTCTATAACACGAAATCTTTCGTCTCCGTCGCGACTTCAATCGACCAACAATCTGAGGAGCCACATCAATACATACAAATACCTCTTTTTGCCTGGTCCGCCGTATTCACGAAATCAACGACGAAAATTGACCACTATTGGCAGTGGAACTTAAAAAACCAGTCAAATACCTCCTCAATTATGTCGAATTTAATCAGTTTAGTCAACAACACAAAGGATATACCATTTCTTACATCTTTCAGCGATTTAAGCATATCAGATTACCTCATCAATACTCAAAGAAACAGCTTATCTTTTAACGTTAACCTTCCGAATGACATCAATGATGTTTCCCCACAATTGAACTTGGTCGTTCCAGCTGAGTACTCATGGGATATACACACCTCAAGCGACTGCAAAGTTTCCGTTAAAAGATACGAAAACGCACTCTCAATTCAAGTCCTTCCCATTCAGTTTTCTAGTCTCTCAATTGAGAAGACCACCGGTGCACCTTCCTCAATACGTTACAATGGCATAATAAAACCAGCCACTAATACTGAAGACCAGCTTCTTGGTGAAGCGCTGCCCAGGTCGTCTGCTCACAAGTTCCACGCAAATTCGATCATGCAAGAACTCTCTAATGTAAGCCACCAAGATGATCTAGCTCCTTCAGAGAAACCAGCAGAGTCTTCCGTGACGAATAAGAAGAATGTGCGCACCCAAAATCAGGCAAGTGAAATTGCTTCACTGATTCGCCGGAACTACATATATTTCTCTAGCCTGCTGCAGGAGCCAGAAGCCAAGTGGAAACATATCAGCGATAACAAGGGTGTTTCAATAACTCAACTTGACACTATTGATCCCACGCTCGTACTTTATCGAGCACAAGGTGAGTAGGATGTTTAAACTTTGATCGTTTGCTGACTCCAGATCTAGCTATATTCATTGGTGTAAATATATTCGATATATTTGCGGTCTTCGAATCCTACGGCTCGAGAGTATTCTGGGATAAGACCTTCGAAGATGCCACATTACTTGAAGATATCAACAACACTTCCAATTTATGGTACTTTAAAACCAAGCCTGTATGGCCTGCAAATGCTAGAGATAACGTCCTAGTTACAACATCTTACAAGTCAATGTCCAGTATACACTGCTTTGGATTTACAGCACACGACACATCACTCTTTCCGTCAATTCCGCCAATGACAACCAATCTGATCAGGTCTCAAACCGATCTCTCAGGTGTCGCGATTGAGAGCCTCTCACCTACGACAGTCCAAGTAACGATACTCGAACAGAGCGATCCAAAAGGATGGCAGAACAAGTCGGGTATACCTCAAATACTCACACAACAGCTCTCAGGTATTGGGGAATTTGCTATCAAATATGGAGGTCCTCCCATCCTTACGGATATAACAAATGGTCGTGCATTGACAAGTCATTATGATCATGATAAGGCTAATTATAAGCTGGAATACGAAATGATATTGCCATTTGACACACTCGTACCTGTCCAATCACAGGAGGAGTTACATCCTAATAGAACTAAAGAAACATTTACTATAACATGCCTATTGAGATGCGATTTGGATATATGGGCAAATAGTATTGACGTTATAATCGATCCACCAGCAACAGATGTCGACTGTATTCGTAGACATCGACTTAGCGCTAAAGGCGGAGGAGTTTGGATAACGATAAAACATAAGGGTATGTGATTTTCCCAACAACAGAGCGTTTATTTGCTTACAAGTAATATAGTCGATCCATCAAATGAACAATATGACATATTTGACTCCAAGTTAGCTGTCAACATACTTAAGAGCAAGAAAGAAAAAGACCGTGGTAATGTGTATGTCAACGGTATCAAGGTACCAGTCGAAGTTGAAGAAATTTCAGAAGAAGCAGTCACGAAGTTGAAAGCAATGAAGCGGCATCCTCCATCGAGAGTACCTTTGGATACACTTGCAGAAAAGCAGCTGGAAGTTAACGAAATAGATCCAGTGGAAGGATGGTCAACTTTGGAGAAGAAAACGGATGAATCAGCCTCAGAAGCTGCATCTACCACTACAAGCAAGGATATTCCTACAAAGTACACCTCTAAATTAGGCAATGTGGCGGAAACACCTGTGCAATCGCCCTCATCATTCAAGGAGAAGTCGAGTATACACTCACAATCTCTGGACCAAGATGCTACGACTACTACAAAGCATAAAGAGCCTATGAGACGCGCACTTGATTCTTTGAGTTGGACAAGAAGAATTCACGACGATTTGAACAATAGCACGGTAACAACATCATCAGCCTTAAAGTCCACACTATCATCACAGAAGCAACAGCTGTATGGGTCAAGTGCTTCAACGACTGGTAGTATAGCTAGCAATAGTTCCAACACCGATTTAGTTTCAGCTGAAAGTTCTAAAAACACAAATTGGAACGTGATTTATGAAAAAGATGACTTAACGATCAAAAGGAAGTTGTTCCATGCACTATCAAACGATATACCCGTACAAGTTGGACAACGTATTATCGAAGGATGGAGCGTAAACGAAGTAGCATCCGCCATACAATCATCTTTTCTCAATAAGTCTACCAGAGATAGTAAAACATGGGATAATGAACGAATTGTGAATAATTTGCCTCTCGAAATGTATACAAGTGGTAGTTTTAGTTCGTATCTCACACTAAGGACTACGTTCCCATTCAAAGATAGGGCATTCTTTACGTCGACAATCAGCAGCAACATTAATGGCAAGCGCTATATAACCTCAGCGAGTATAGATCCCTCGCTATTGGCTGCTCACAATTTTAATGAGAGTAGACTGAATAAGAGCAGATTACCATATGGCAAAATCCTAATTGATAGTTGGGTATTGGAGGAAGTTGATCCATACAGCACTGAGAAGCTTCTAATACCATCTACGAATGTCAGTCATTATGTGGCTGTTGATTATTGCGGCAATGTCCCTTCGACAGTGAACAACCTATGCAACACTTTGAGCGTGAAGGTCCTTAATAACCTCGACAGTTATTTAACGAACAACGGACCTCCAATTAGCTTACTTAAACCAATTCCAACATTTTCTCTTAATAAGAATAGCGAAATACCAGATGAAGTCAGTCTTAGAGAGGGAGAACTCAGTTGGGTAATTGATAAACCAAAGAAAGGAGAAGTCAGTGTTGTCTTATCAAACAAATATGATGGTCAGCATAACATTGAATTCGGACATGGTCTGCTTTCAACTGAGGAGATAGACAGACAGGCGGGAATGCACAAGTTGGCAGATAAAGAAGATACAATAGATGATATCGAAATAGATCAGTTATCACCTACACTCCCCGAAAGATCATTTGAGCAGCAACAGCAACAGCAATCTAGGAATGTCACACCATCAAATCTTGCAAAAAGGGCCTCATCAATGTCACTGAAAGTCCCAACTGGTTCAAACACCCAGATGAGAAGTATAAGCGGTGCGTCTACATCTACGATCCGCAGATCAGATTTCAGAAATAACTTCGATAATCTTCTGCAAGCCTTACGATTTGGCAGAGATTACATCTTGGCGGAACTCGTTGTTGACTTGCAGCTTTATACGGGTGGTATAAGCGTCGATGTACAATCTAGAGTCAGCGATGAAGCCCTCCCGTTGTCTACCACTCAAAACACTGTCGATGAGATGGCGATAGATTTGAATGTTTTTAACTTGAGTTCATCTTTAGATCCTGCCAGAGTTAGACACAAGCAACTGCTTCGATTAGTATTGAAATGTGGTAGTTTGAAGGATTCATTCAGAGTTAAGCTTCTTAATCATCACAAGCTTGTAACGACGCTCAATATTAAGAGCGCGGATGAGTTGACACCTACGAAAGAAGTTCTCTATAATGGCTCAAGTATGGATGTCAAATCGGAGAAGCTTTCTATGCAAGATTTACTGGATGATGTAAAATATGAACTACTTGACTGTATTCCACTCTCTAATTCAAGTGAGTAAGGATTCCGTATAATTATTTCTACTGACAAACTTCAGACGTGGATACTGCTATACCGCCTAGTTTACTTAACCCACTGGCCATATCCGGCAAACACCTCAAGGGTGTAGAGAGGGAGGAGGTAGTCGAACAAGCTGAGCCAGCTGAACCAGCTACTGAAGAAGGTGTCAAAGATGAGACTAAAGAAGAGACGAAAGGTGAAATCGTACGTGCAAATATACTACGATGATACATAACTGATAGTTTCATAGGTTTCAAGCAACTCATTGATGTCGATATTCAACTCGAACTCGAATATATTTTCAAACTTCACGTCGCCATCTTTCCCATCGCTGCAGTCGATGTTTAGTATGAGCAAGACACCAGAGCCACCCAAAGAGGAAGACAACAGTCTTATAGAGAATGAAGTAAGCCAGAGCACATCATCCAGTCCTTCGCCTGAGAACTACAAAACACCTGAAGGGATTCAATCACCAGTGCACTCCAAATCAACATCACCTATCTCTCAGACTTCGAGCGCAGAAGTTGAAACTGTCAACCCCCAACATTGTCAACAGGCTTACACACCAACCTCACTCGGACTGGTATTCCTACTTACGGCAGTAACGTTTTTCTTGTTAGGATCACTCGTTCGCTCGTTGATATCGCCTGACGATTACGTCGTCTATGTTAGCAATAACGGTGTGGACCTCGAACAGCTCGCCAATTCAATAAATTACAAAGTAATAAAGAAAGTAATACAGTTTAAGATACCCTTTATCAATAACGAAATAATCTTCGGGTTCTCTTAATTTATTTGATGCATTTTTAATCTATTGTATTTATCTATGTGGGGGAATTGTTAGATATTAAGTAGATAGGTTAGTATACGCACCAATGTAAACAACTTCTGCTGTTCTTCGAGCCTGCATAGTGGATGAGTTGTCTCAGCGACGTGATCGTCTGGCATCCATATTCTGAAGTCAGTGAAGCTGTGGCCAGTCGATTGAAATACTTGTGAGACGCTCTGCTGGGATTGCTGTGGCTGTTCTTCAGGCTCATCGTCATTACTTTCCTCGTTATCGTCGTCTTCCTCATCATCCATTGAGTATTTGGTAGCTTTGACTGGTTTTTTGGCACTTTTATGCCCATCTGATATTATTTCGCTCACACATACACCTTGTACGCGTTCACCCAAGCTGACATCCCTCGCTGTGATCTTCCTTCCTCTGAATGCAGCTGTATTCCCCATAGGATGGAAATAAGTTGAAATATCAGCGACGCCTTGATATTCTATTGAAAATGGCAATAAATCAACTTTCACGTTTTTATCCGCCGTCTTTTGTACTTCGATTGTCATTGTGAACTTTGAACGCGTCAACGATGACCGCAGATAAATCATCTGTACCAATAGCCCAATTTAGAGTCGTTAATGATAAATCAAATGCCTCACATATCGAAGACTCGTCTTTCTCTCAATTCGGCTGTAAGTCACGCTGTAGATTCTCTACCAACATTCTGAACTGCATGCAGATAATACGATAGTGAATATGTACAAGCAATCGAATGCTTACGTCCGGTATATAGAGCCACTGGATGTTGATTTGGCCCGGCAGGTCGAATATGATATGGATGAGCAAGGTGGGGGTTCTATTACACATCTCCTGCGTTTTCTAACTGAATACAAGATAAAGAGTGGCTAGACGATCTCAACACTTTTCGGGCTGAACTACACGTTGAAGCTGTCACTTACGAGCTCTTTGAGATCATCATCGATAGACTAGAGAAAGAGTACTTGAACCTGCAGAAGAAGTTACCAGCGTCACATACTAAAGCACACTTCAATGAGGATTCAACCTGCGTTATATGCAATGATAGTGAATGCGACAACAGCAACGCGATTGTCTTCTGTGATGGGTGTAATTTGGCGGTACATCAAGATTGCTATGGCATACCCTACATTCCAGAAGGGCAGTGGTTATGTAGGAAGTGTACGGTCTCACCTGAGAACCCAGTCTCTTGCGTTCTTTGTCCAAATGAAGGCGGGGCCTTCAAACAAACGAATAGTGGTGCATGGGCACACGTACTCTGCGCTAATTGGATACCCGAAACTGGTCTTGCGAACCCAGTTTACCAGGAGCCTGTAGAAGGCATTGACAAGATACCCAAATCCCGCTGGAAACTCAACTGTTACATTTGCAAAGAGAAGATGGGGGCCTGTATACAATGCGATGACAGATCGTGTTTTGTGGCCATGCACCCGACCTGTGCAAAGAATTTCGGTCTTCTATGCAAGACTAAGAACTTACCTGATGATCAGACGATCATAATGAGGGCGCTCTGTCATAGGCATAGGCCGAAGACCATAAAAAGTGCACCACTGTTTGATGCAGATAAGGATTTAACTGTTATACCCATGCAAGTAAAGTCGTCGACCAAAGCTGCACGCGCACATAGCCACAATTTCAACCCTGGCCCACCTCTCTGTCCACAATACGTTATTGAACGGATATTGGATGCCATTGAATCTATTGATATCAGTTACAAGCAGGAAATAGTCTACGAGGTTACAAAATACTGGGCTTTGAAAAGAGAAAAACGGAGGGGTGCTGGTTTGATACGAAGATTACATCTCGAGGTAAGTTTTACAATTACCTAGTTTAATAAGCTTACATATGCGTCAGCCATGGTCAGCAACCCTTAGCTCACAGCACAGTGAAGCCGACAAACGTCAAAAGATGGAGGTGAGTGTTCATGATCAAAGAAAGGCATTTATCTAACAATACTCAGTATATGGTTTCTATCAAGGAAGATCTTGAACGCGCTCGTCAACTCGTTGAGAAGTTACTTGAAAGAGAGGCAGCCAAACATGAGCAGACAAACCATGTGATTGAAACGATTTGCAACTTTTTCTATCCATTCGACAAACAACTGCGACTCGTATTCGAGAAGATTGCCGCGTAGGTCACTAGTTGTCGGGTGATGTATTTCAAAACTGACTTTGATTAAAGGTTAGACACAGACGATATATTCGCAGAGCAAGTATCAACATTAGACGCACCAGATTATTATGAAATAATAAAACATCCAAGAAGTTGGTCGTTCATATACTCAAAAATTGACACGAAGAGCTACAAGCATAAAGATGAATTCTTGGCAGATATAAATCTCGTATATGACAATGCAATGGAGTATAACATGCCGGATTCCTTTATATACAATGCTGCACAGAAACAAAAAGAATTAGCTAAGCAGATCCTTGAAGAATCACTCAGTGAGATTACTACTTTTGAGCAGGATTCCAAAGTGATCGAAGTACTAAGGGATGAGCAGGGTATTGAGAAACTATATGATACTAGTCTCTTCCAAGAACCAGAACAGGTTGAGGAGCTTGTTGCCAAGCCTTCTAAGCGGAGACGGAGAGCGTCGAGAGCACCAAAGAAAAGCAAGAGGAAAAACAAGCCTTATGACAGAGAAGAAGCAAGAGTCACATTACAAGAACGACAACAAAGACAGGCTGTCATTGCAGATAAACAATTAAAAGACATCATCGACTCTGGCGGAGGTGAGAGGTCTTTGCGAAGTTCCCATAGAGATCTCAAGCCAGAAGAGAAAGATACCAGTGTAGAGATCAACAGAAAGGAAGAGAATATTGACGTTTCAGAGCAGCAAAGTGAAGTAACGAGTCCAGGTAAAGAAGCTCAAAAATCACCATCCAAAACTTTCAAGAAAGAAAAAGAGAGTCAGCGAGTGAAAAAAGAAGAATCTACTGCTGAACCTATTGACGATGTTGATAATCAGGAGAATGACTTGAGCACCAGTACTAATCTCAGGCGGTCTAAAAGAAGATCTTCCGTCACGAAAGAGCCACAATTGTCCAGAGAATCTTCACTGTCAGTTGTACCGCAAAGCGAAGAACCTGAAGAAGGTCCACAGACGAAAGAAGCTGACAGCAAGAAACGCAAAGGAGATACAGACCATAAAGGAAGCAGCAAACCCAAGAAAATCGCAAAGAAAACCAAATCAAAACCAAGAGAAAGCACTAAATCGAGTGGAAAGAGGACCGCTCCTCCGACGAGAAGTACTGACTTCACGAGTGGATCACTAGGTGAGTTCCTCATCACTAAATCTGTTGCGACTAACGGAAAAGCAGTCTGGGCAAAGTTAGAAAAATACCCACATTTCCCATCAGAGATTTACGATGTTGATGATGAAGAAGATGCTGAAGTAGTACCGGACAACGTCATGAAAGCCAGACCAAAATCGAAATTTGTTATTTATTTAGTCAAGTTCTTTGATTCTAAACGTACATGGGCTTGGGTACCACGTCACAACATCGTTTCACTAGGTTGGGATGATGTTGATCAACAATACCTCGAGAGAAAGTTATTCAAAGGGGTTAGAGAATGGGAGTCGACGAAAGCTGCTTATAGGAGAGCCATGTCTAGTTTAATTGATTGATAATATTTATGTAATTATGAATGACGTCGCATTACCTGCAAAGACATCCTTGGCAGTTATATTAGTTGAGATAGGATTAGTTCGATCTTCGTTATGTCCCAGACCAAGATTCCCATGCTCGTTCCATCCAAAGGCCCAAACCATGTTGTCTTCATCTAGGATAAGTGTGTGTTCACTACCTACAACCATTTTCTTAACAGATATTGATGATGTAACAAGCTGGGGTAAGACTTCATTGCTATTGCTATTAGGAAGTGCACCACTACGTCCACCTGCCCATATAGATTGTCCATCGTATACGACTGTGCCCCTCCATGTGCATCCGAAGTCCCGGACTGGTGAAATGTCACGGATATTGAGCTGACCGTATTGATTAGATCCCCAGCATATCAAACCATCTTGCGATTGTATAATAGTGTGCTCTCTTCCTGTTCTAACTTTTATAAGAGGTGTAGAAGACCTATAGAGTTCATGTGGAGTGCTTAAAAAAGATGTACCACTGTGTTCTTCACCAAGCTGACCTTTCCTAGATGCTCCCCATCCGTATACGATCCATAGTGGTTTATCTACCTGTTTCAAGAGAACTACTGCATGTCTAAAGGTCGATGAGATATCAATCACGGTGTGATTGTCTAAAGGGAGAGACAGAGGGGTGAATACAGTAGAACCTTCTTTAACACCTCTTATCCCAAATTCATCGCTACCAAAGCTTACCAAAAAGGAAGACTTTTTTGTGTTTGATTGAAAGAGAACGAAAGAGGTAGACCAACTGGCTGAGCAAAGTGTTGGGGTATATCCATCATATCGTATATCCAATAACTTGAGTTCTTCGAGGCACTTATCGTCTATAGTTCCAAGTTGACCGCTGTCGTTTAAACCAGCACCGTATAGCTCGTCTTTCATTATGGCTAAGGTATGATTACCACCAGTAGATAATCGCTCGACATCGCCTGAATAGCAAATTTTGAAATTATTCAAATCCTCACCAGGAATAGCCAATTGTGAGTTTGAATTTGAACCAGCAGCTAATAATGTCATCAAAGTGGGTGAAATAGTGCTATAAAACTGAATTATAACGATTATTAGAACTGAATTAGTGAAATTGTTAAGGAATACTTACAATTGTTCAATTACTCAAGCAATGGCTGCTTTGAAGGATGGAAACTATGATTTGACTAGTTCAAAGAAGGCGATAGAGACTATTTTAGAGAGAGATTCAACCAAAAAGGCTGAGAAAGCACTCAATAGAGGTGTTGGTAGTGAGGGTTTGATTGGTACCATCATTCTCAACAATGGATTCCCTATAACGACAGGTGTACCTGCATTGAATAGAGCTAGAGGTGGTATCTTGCAAGTTAACTGCGAGACAGACTTCGTTGCTAGAACAACTAATTTCAAGCAGTTGGTACAGGATGTTAGTCATACATTAGCCTTCTTGAACGAATCCAACGGATTCAAAGACATAGATTTGAATGGTGACATCTTAAGCGCACCTTTGATACAGTCAAACCCTGATTCAACGCCTTCTACATCCTCTAATACTTCGATAAAAGATGCTATCACTCAAACAATAGCTAATGTGGGCGAAAATATTACCTTACAAAGATTCTCAGGTTTTAGCTTGAATCCTGCAACCGACAAATCATCTCCGTTTAGATTACTCGGACAGTTTACTCACAACAAATTACAAAACGAGTCAAATTCACCTGTCGAATTGGGTACATTAGCTGGTCTGATAGACTTGGAAGTCTCTAATACTAGCAATGAATCAACAGCTAGCAGTCTGGCAAAGAAGATAGCAAGACAATCAGTTGCTATCCCATCAGAAACTTTGGAAGATTTCAACAGTCAGGAGCTCCTTGGAGGTGCTGAAGGTGAAAGTGTCTTAGATCACCTCAAGAGCATGGATGCAAAAATTTTAGATTTCAAAAGATGGTCCATCAAGTAATTTATTGTAAATTACACTTTTCATTAATGCTGTCATCTTCATCTTATCAATATAATTACTATATTGGTTGTCTGTTTGTCAGTAAAGACCTAATATCTATGTATAACAATAACAATATACCAGATTATCGTTGTTGCCGTCCTCTGGGTCTTTAGCTATGAGATTACGGATATCATGTTTACGAGCGGGTACAAGAAGCCATTCTTGTGAGCTTATTCAATTTATTATTAACATCATAGTAATTTATTTCATAGGCTCACTTATATCACTTCTGCCGCTTTTACGCCATATTTGATACCACACTTGTTCGGATATAGAGAAATAGACAGTAAAAAGCTATCATTTAATCAGACTTTTATTATGTCTGCGAAATTTACTTTCTGGTGGTTGTTAGCAAACTTCGCCGTCAACGCCAGCTTAGAATATACAAGCGTTGCTAGTTCGACAATTCTTAGCTCTACCTCCGGACTCTGGACATTCCTGATAGCCTGCTTATTGCGGATAGAAAGGTTCTCATTCACTAAATTACTGGCCGTATTTGCGAGTATCTTTGGTTCTATACTGGTAGCTGTGTCTGATGCAAGTTCTGTTAAAGCTTCGTCAAACCTATCAATCGTAGGTGTTTGTTAGTATATCACATATAACCTAATAGAAATCAGATTGGCGATCTACTGGCTTTGCTTTCCGCACTCAGTTTCAGTATATACATCCTCCTACTCAAAGCTTCTGTAGGAGACGAGTCACATATTGACTTCCCACTATTTTTGGGATTCATTGGAGCCATAAACACAGTTTTTTGCTGGCCATTATTGGTTTTACTGCACTGGACTGGCATTGAAACATTTGAAATACCGAACAGGTCATCTGTTGTCCTAATTCTCCTATTGAACATGTTTGTAACATTCTCGTCGGACTACTTATATCTTCAAGCGATGTTGAAGACTACTCCACTTGTCGCGACAGTAGGAATTAGTCTCACATTACCATTTTCCATTCTTGGAGATTACATTCTCAACCAGCTCACATTGACAATCAAAGGAATGCTAGGTTCTATGTTCGTGCTCGCTTCATTCATAGCATTGGGGTATGAAGAGGATGACGAGAATGCAAACAAAGAAATCGACGAAAGGGTAGCGGAATCAGCCGGTCTAATCGACGAAACCACTAACAGCGATATAACAGCTGTTTAGCCAGTCACCTATTTGTTAAGTTGTTGTATTTTTAGTAACAATGTGAAGACATTCCTTATCTAAAAAATGAGATCATAGCATTCTTTCCTCATATTTCTTCATACTCATACCACCAAGACCCAAGAATAGATCGTGGACGAAAAACGGAATGTGCTCAACAATATAAAGTCTCCAGTTGCTGGCTTCTCTTACTCCATCAACAACTAATCAACTCTTCTTCTCTTCACTTAGCCATGCGTTTCTCAATTGCAACAGTAGCAGCAGTCGCAACCATCTTCGTTGGCACACAAGCAGCACCACAACATGGTCACGCTGGCTTAGAACACGGCCACCACTTTGGTCACGACGAGCATGGTCCAAGAGGATTAGAGGGTGACTTTGATCACAAGCATTTACAAGGACATGGTCACGGACATCACGATGTAGGTACTTCTGATATATTGCGAGATGTTTTAACAGTTCCTAGAAACGCAAAGACACAGGAAAATTTGCAAAGATGTTAGGTTTACCAGCTGAAGATGGTCTCAATGCTGGTGGCAGAGGTGGATCAGGAAGAGGTGGCTCAGGTAGAGGTGGTCGTGGTTCATACCACAAGCGTGGAGATTTCCACCACGAACACCACGATCAATTCCACGGACATGAATATAAGAGATTTGAAGGTGGTCATCACGAACATGGCCACGGTCACCACGGACACGGACATGATGTAAGATCTGGTGATGGCAGCGGCTTCCGCAAGCGTCAAGATGGCGGAGAAGATAAGAAACATGAAGTAGTCGGAAACAAGAAGGAAGACGAGGATCGCCAACACGAAGTAAGAGGCTTCGAACATGGCCACGGTCACCACGAACATGGTCACGGTCCAAGAGGTTTCGAAGGAGGACATCATGGCCACCATGAACATGGCCACGGTCCAAGAGGCTTAGAGCATGGCCACGGCCACGGTCACCACGAACATGGTCACGGTCCAAGAGGCTTCGAGGATGAGCACCATGGTCACCACGAACACGGCCATGGTCCAAGAGGTTTCGAAGGAGGACATCATGGCCACCATGAACATGGCCACGGTCCAAGAGGCTTAGAGCATGGCCACGGCCACGGCCACCACGAACATGGTCATGGTCCAAGAGGCTTCGAGGGTGAGCACCATGGTCACCACGAACACGGTCACCACCACAAAAGACAAGAGGTTGGCTTCGAAGGCCACGGTCACGGTCACCACGATCACCATGGCCACCACAAGCGTCAAGAAGATGAGGAAAAGAAACACGCAGTTGTTGGTAAGAAGAAGGAAGACGAGGATCGCCAACACGAAGTAAGAGGCTTCGAACATGGACACGGCCACCACGAGCATGGCCACGGCCCAAGGGGTTTTGAAGGAGGACACCATGGCCATCACGAGCATGAACACCACCACAAGAGACAAGAAGGTGGCTTTGAAGGACATGGTCACGGTCATGGACATGGTCATGGACACCCACACAAGCGCGACAAGATGTCTCAACACGAATTCGAACGTCGCATCCCACACGACAAACACGGCCATCACTCAGGTGCTATGGGTGTCATCACTTCTCCACTAGTATTGGTCGGCTCTGCACTCGTCGCTCTCTTCAATTTCAACTAAATGTTTGCATGGAATCTTAACTGAAATTGTGGAACGGCTCTAATATACTTATTTATTCTTTTCTCTAATGTTGAACTCTTTGTACATATCTCTTTCAAATGAACATTTTAATACTTCTACAAAAACCTGATTTAGTGAGAAGTCACATGGTTTCAGAAACATTTTATTTTGGAAATATTGGCTTTAATGGGATGAACCTGTATGTAATGAGGACCAAAAATTATAATAATGCTTTACTTGATGTAATAGATCTATCAAAGTCGAAAGTTGCAGTAACAGTCAAGCACATCTGTTTGACTACTTCAAATACATGCATACTTGAATACATTTTAAAACAACGCTCAGGGGATCTATATAATATACATTCATCACAATATCTATTATCCTAGTTACGTCCTTGTAAAAAAGTTAAATTTTCACCTTTTTTATAATAACATATTTGACCAAAAATATCATTTGCTCAGTTATGCGGAAGCAATGCGAAGATCTTCCAAGCGTTATATCGACCAATAAGGTGATAGCATATCAGCCGTAAAGAATGAAATATCAGCATGACGTACCTAGACATTTGATTATGAAAGTATGGAATGGGATTGAGCATGTCTGAATTGTATTTAAGCCAACGATTATTCTCTTTTATACTCATCAACCACCTCTTCTATCTACACTAAGAGCAAGTATGAAGTTATCAATCGCAACTGTCGCCGTCGCTGCTGCTATCGCAACTACCTCTTACGCTGCTCCACAACCAGGTCATGGCCATGGTATTGAACATGGTCACGGACACGAACATGGTCACTTTGTGAGTACTTTTCTCGTCTGATTAATTTTGTCTTACATTCGACAGGCTCGTTTCGAAGGTCTTCACCCACACGGACACCACGGACATGAACATGGCCCAAGAGGCTTTGAAGGTGGCCACCACGATCACCATGATCACCACGGCCACCACAAGCGTCAAGAAGACGAGGAAAAGAAGCACGCAGTTGTTGGTAAGAAGAAGGAAGACGAGGATCGCCAACACGAAGTAAGAGGCTTCGAACATGGACACGGCCACCACGAGCATGGCCACGGTCCAAGAGGCTTCGAGGGTGCGCACCATGGTCACCACGAACATGGCCACGGCCCAAGGGGTTTTGAAGGAGGACACCATGGCCATCACGAGCATGAACACCACCACAAGAGACAAGAAGGTGGCTTTGAAGGACATGGTCACGGTCATGGACATGGTCATGGACACCCACACAAGCGCGACAAGATGTCTCAACACGAATTCGAACGTCGCATCCCACACGACAAACACGGCCATCACTCAGGTGCTATGGGTGTCATCACCTCTCCACTAGTATTGGTCGGCTCTGCACTCGTCGCTCTCTTCAATTTCAACTGAATGCTTGCATGGATCTTAACTGAATTGTGGAACGGCTCT